CCATCTCAAGGAAATCCATGAACAGCTTGCCACTGAGCTCAAGGAGGCCCAAGGACGCATGAAGCGCTTTGCCGATGCTAAGAGGGCACCTGGCCCAGACATGAAACCCGGGGACAGTGTCTGGCTCTTACAGCGGAATCTCAAGACTCTCCGACCTTCCCAGAAACTTGATCACCGTAAGATTGGCCCCTTCACAATCACGGAGAAGATCAACTCGGTCACATATCGCCTCAAGCTTCCCCCATCCTACAAAATTCACAACGTCTTCCATGTCTCCCTTCTTGAACCACGTTTCACCATTCCGGAGCGAACTGAGCCAGAACCCACCCCACCAGAAGAAGTCGAAGGACAGGAGGAATGGATTGTGGAAGACATTCTTGACTCCCGTATTCGACGCACGCACCTTCAGTACCTCATCAAGTGGCAGGGTTGGCCAAGCTTGGAGAACACATGGGAGCCAGTGGAACACCTTGCCCGATGTCAAGAGCTTGTTGCCCAGTTCCACCAAAAGTACCCCGACAAACCCCGACCAAAGCCTGCCAACATCAAAACAACATCCGGACGCCGTGGCTAAAGGAGGGGGTGATGTTATGGACGACGCGTCCATACCATGCGCTTACCTCATGACAGCATCCCAACAGTCAGTCAATGTCAATTCCCTGTCAAAACCTGACATCTGCCAAACCTCGCAGCCGCACGCAGCCGCGCTACCCCACACCTGCCACTGCCTTCATTTCTCCACGCAGCCGCACGTAGCCACACCTCCCAACACTCGGCGCTCACAAACCCTTCTCCATACTTCCCCACGTACCCGCCCACAGCCTCAGCGTAGCCACCCCATCCCCAGTCTTCTGTTTCTATGCTTCCCCACCCTTGGCGCTTCTCTTGGCTTCCCTCTCATTCCGTACCCTTCTGCTTCCCCACGCTTCCCCAGCCTTCCCAGGAAAACATAAATAGCCGCCTCCCCTGAGCTCCCCACTTCCTGATCCCCCAGCAGATCAACCCCAGTTCTTCCTAGTCTTGTTCTAGTTCTTGTTTCGGACTGAATACCATTACCTGTCAACAACCTGCACCACAAGTCGCCTCTATTTCCATCGGCTCCGCCCATTCATAACACTTGACGGACATTCCCATGGCTGCAGCAATCTCAGCTCGCTTGTTACACTCGGCGCAGCATGGGGCGTAATAAGGATTACGACTCAACACATCAGGGACGGTGTTCCAACGACCAGGTTGATATTCAATATCAAATTTGAACTGTTGCAGGAATTCAACCCACCGTGCTTGGCGATGGCTAAGGAAGGGCTGTGTCTGCAGCCTGACCAAACTAGCGTGATCGGTGAACGCTCGAAACGGGCGATCATTTATCCAATCCTGCAAGTAATGCCTATTCGCCTTGCATATCTTAACCAGAGCTAATAGCTCCTGTTCATGCACGGGGTAACGTGTTTCAGCAGACTGCATCTTCCGTCTAAAGAAAGCTATCGGCTTTAATGGTGGCAGATTCTTAAATCCCTTTACTGAGGTAGGCAACGGTGATGGGTAATGCTCTAGCCTGGTCCTGTTGAGCCTGATGTTCCTTGGGGTGAAAATCGCTTGCACGCTACGTTGGAGCGTAATTCTGCTATGCAACATGATGCCCTGCTGCAGGATGGATCTGTGGAGCGTTCTACATCAAGCAGCGTAGGCACCATGGGACATGGATCTCGCAGCATCCTTTCAACGGCAAAAAGCGCGAGGCAGCTCTCGTCGTTTTTGCAGAAGCATACAGATGTCATGCTTACTTTTGGCCATCCGATTGGGACTTTAAGTACATGCAGAAGGTATCTGGCTCGCTCGAAGGCGACGCACGTGCCTGGTTCGATACCGCATGCAGGCTTGACATGCGGAAAGAGGATTTCGAAACGGCTTTCAAGTTAGCCTTTTATCCTACAACCGCGAAAACCAACGCGCTCAAAGCTCTGCATCGTATGACTTTCCATAAGTCGATGGATTCTTATGCGACAGAGTTCAAACGTATCGTTGCCGAAGCACAGCGCAACCTGGAGGTTATCACTCCTGACGATTTGAATAACCTGTTTCTTCGCGCTCTTACTCGCGACAAGACCAATACCGTCGGCTACAAGTTGCCCAGTCGTTGTTGCATACGATGGTCGATTATAGGGAGCAACACCCTTTGCTCACATATCCGTTGATTCGTTTGATGGATCGTGCGCTCAGTTCTTTTGCTGTGCGTCGTCTCGCCGATAAGGGGACCGATGCTAACAAGCAGTTGCTTGTGGTAGTAGTGCGCCTAAACGTGCTAACTTCTCTTCTGCCGTGGGTACTGCGGGCAAGAAGGGGGGGAAAGCTAAGAAGGCGGAAGCTGCTAAGCCTTACGCACGCCCAGACCTCTCAAACATGAAGTGTTCCAATTGTGGTGAGATGGGGCACCGTGCGCGAGATTGTCCGAAAAAGAAGAAGGACAAGAAATCCGACAAGGCTAAGGATAAGCCGCGTTGGGATGCTGGTCAGAAAAAGGGTTTTCAGTAGAGACGTGTAATAAAGACACTGCTTATTTGTCTCATTGTGCAATGGTGTCCATTGAAGAGGAACTTGAGGCTATACACCCTGAGTCTGCGGTTGGTATACTGGTTGATTGTAGCAATACGTCTGCTTTGGGGGCGCGTCTGTGCCGGCCAGACGAGACTGAAACTGTTTTTCCGAGGCCTGAAGCACTGCAACTGCAACCCGATGCGTTGATCGCTCGATGTGCATTTCTGGTTCATGGCAAGTTGAATGGCAAGTTTTGTCACATTCTGATCGATACAGGACGCACAACACTTATGATATGACAGGGATGGGTGTCAAAACACGGTTTTCAAACCTATAACCCCAAAACACCCATTCATGTCACCTGGGGTGACGACGGCCATACATTCAACGCCAACAAGCTATTTTGTGGCGATTTTCAGTTATGGGGGGATCCACGGCACTATTCACGAGGAAAGCTTCCATTTTTGGTTGCTCCTCTGCGGGTGGACGTTATCCTCGGATTACCATGGATCTATATGCTTGATGACGTTCGTTTCGAGCACATAGAGGCTGAGATTCCGGTTTTATGCTTCCGTGCAGATGAAGTTGAACACACCCTGGTTGCCAGACAGGTAACTAGCAAGTGGGAATCCAAATTGTCCTGTAATGCAGCCGATCTGCGGTCCTTTGACATCAGAAAGAAGTCCAAACGTTTCAAGGCAGCGATGCCTGAACAAGAAGACTCAAGTGAAGGAGTTGTAACATATAAGAAGTTCACTCGCTTATCTCAAAAGAAGGTGTATGGGAAGTGTTACATGGCATACGCTATGGACATAGAAGCTGCAGTGAATGCGTCAGCAGCTTATGTCCCTGCAAATGAGCGCGATCGCGCCGAACCAGAGCCAGAGGTTCAAATGATCGAACTTACAAGACAGAAGGTTGATTTGGGCATGCCATCGGATCACCTTCTATATCCAACGTTAGAGAAGTATGTCGATAGTTTGTTGGTCGAGCCCGCAGAGTTGCCACCTGATAGAGGAGAGGATAACTTCCATATCGAGCTTTAATCCTTTATGGCATATGAGCGCAACTCAAAGAGCTGAATGAGAAGGTTACCCGCATGCTTGAGCGCGGTTGGATTCAGCACTCGCAGAGCTCCTGGGGCGCTGCAGTGTTATTTGCTAAGAAAAAGGATGGCAGTCTCCGTATGTGTATCGACTATTGTGGGCTGAACAAATGGGTGGCAGATTTTTAAATCCCTTCACAGAGGTAGGCAACGGTGATGGGTAATGCTCCACTGGATCCGCCGGCTGCGCGAGCCATCCTCCTATTGCAAAAACCTGATGCATCCGTAAACATGTATAAATCTCGCTTTGGGTCGTAAGACACGAGTGTAGGAGCTGTAATAATAGCTTCCTTCAGCTTAACAAAAGCTGTTTCCTCAACATCGCCCCAGTGCCATGGCCTATTGCCCAACTGTAGCTCTGTCAATGGATACGCAATGTATGCATAACGATCGACGTATTGACTCAGGTACTTTGTCAACCTCTTTCTGTTTGGTAGGACGTGCAAACTTTCAAACTTTAAATTCAAGGGAGTAATGGCCATTGTATCCTCCCCCAGGATGTGGCCGCAGAATTCAAGCTCTTTCTGCATCCATTTGCACTTGCATGGCTTGACATAAAGTTTATGCTCGGCAAGAACAGCCAAAACACTCTCGGCATGAGCGATATGCTCCTTGGCTGTTTCCGAGAAGATCAAGATATCGTCCAGGTAAGATATGACATACGCATCATACATCTTGCCCAACATCTTATTGGTTAACCGGTGAAATGTTGCCAGTGCATTTGGGAATCCAAACGGCATAACCAAGTACTCAAAATGACCAAACCGCGTTTGAAACGCTGTTTTGTCTCTATCAGCTTTGCAAACCAAGAGGCGGTGATATGCATCTTTGATGTCCAACAAAGACTTGAACTTCTTTCCACGTACCCGATTGTCGTAGTGCAGGTGTAATTTAAATTACACCTGCACTACGACACTGGTATTTTCTGGTTATGTAACTGTGGCGTATTGTTTATGTAACTGTGCTGTATTACGCTTATTATGTACTATATAATCATTACGTCCCAGTTACACCCCTGTAGCATATCTGTTACGTCAAACGTATCTATTACATTCTGCATGTATCTAGTACGCCCCAGTTACGCCCCTGGTGCGAAGACGTTTTGGCGATGCACCGTTATCGATAAAAGCGCACCCAAACCTGCTGCACAACCCTACGGGACCGCCGCGTCTACATCCCGAAACCCGGGGCTGGAACCCAAACCGTCGGCTCCATCATCCAAACGCCGCCGCTATGGTACGACCGCGCCACGACAGCTAATGATCACGGCCCTATCCCACGGCACACACACACGCACCTCACACGAAACTATCGGCGACTTATCAGTAGACTTCGCCGCGACACGTGTACCATTTAGCGACTAGAAGACCTGTGTGTAGAACAAAACGTACAAATTACTGAACGTCATCGAGGTCGGAATGCTGAGCTTTACGGTGAGCCCGGTCGAGGTGCTGTTGAAGAGAATGGGCAGCTGGAAGCAGAAGGGGGTCTGAACGTTGTAATTATTTATGGTCCCATAGATTGAGAAACTCTTCGCTGCCACAACCGTAGCTCCATCGAGGATTTGTACACCACATGTGATTCGAGCGTTCATAACATTTGGAGCGGCGGAGAACATGCAGTGAGCAACGCATGCCGACATTTTTGGGATCCACCCGATAGGACTGGGGCTAGTGTTGGTGTAACCATTGGCATTAGGCACAAGGACATCCGCCAACCAGTCTTTGATGGCGACAAAGCTCTGCACAAGGGTGTTGCAATACATGTTCGTGCTACAAGTCAAGTCACCTTTACAGAGGGCTGAGTTCGCAACCAGGCTATTAGTGGTGGTCGTGCCTGATACAGTCACAGTAGACGCATTCAGCGTATCCGCCTGAGCATTCACCAAGGCGGCCTTTGGAATCAATTGATTCCACTGTATCCCTCGTATGGCGACCCCTCCTGCTGTTGTCTGATTTGCGTACTGCCACGAAATCCCCCACACGGGATAGGCAGTGGTATTTGAGAACGAAAACGAATTCCCGTCCATCAACCAACTAGACGCGCTGATGTTGGAGAACGTGGCGATGGTCTTGACCGACGATTCGCTTGTCCGCGCCACTACAGTGAACGTGGTTGGCATCAACACGCCATCAGGCAGATACGCAGTTAGTTTGACTTGAGCCATGGCAATTGCGGTCGGGAGCCGGAGGAGGGAGAAATGCAGACTTTGCGCTGTTGAATCGAGGCTGAGTGTGCCTGTTGAAGTGCTACTTGTTGCCCACCGCAATCTCGATGCGTAGGATGCATACATGTAACAGTCACAACCATGTCCCGTAAGCCCATCTATTCCGTTTGAGTTGTTGTAGGTATACTCCGAGGAGTAAGTCACGCTGTATCCGTTCCAGGAGTAGTTTGTTGCCGGTGTCGTGGGATGCACAACTAGAGTGCTTGTAGACGTCAAGGCGGGAGTGAGGAGGTCGCCGGCTACATTGAGATTTGGCCCAACATACAGAGATTTTGCCACAGATGCGCCCCCGGATACCTGCAAAGCGCCCGACCCAACTGCCGAGGTATCCGAGGACCCTTTCAGTACAACGCTACCATCGCTCGACGCAACTTTGAGCCAAGCAACGGCTTCAGCGGAGTTGTATACAGAGAAGTCTCCAACAACACGTAAATCGTCCCAGACCCTAACATAGTTATTGGATGTGAAATTGGGGTCGATTGACAGTGGTCCGATTGTGTCGTTTCCGCTGATGATAGGGAGGTTTCCGTTAACTTGCAAGTTACCGGTTGGGATAGCAACCTTCCCCGTTCCATCAACGACAAGACCTTGTGGAGAGTTCCAGAGCCCCAACCCCAGCGTGTTTGCTGCAAGACCTGGGCCGGCGTAGTTGAAGTACAACCTTGCCATATTGTTTGTAGATGCCCCTGTGCCGAGCTGTAAAGTCGTGAAACTTCCGGCTGCTAAGTTAGGTGCTCCAAGATGCGATGCAACAATCGGTCCTGCTGAGGTGATATTGCTGTAAAGTGTCCCCGCAACGGTCAAGTCCTTTCCTACGTTAACATTGCCTGCAAACCCGGCTCCACCTTTGACTTGAAATGCACCTGATGTCGAAGATGAGGAGTCTGCCGTGGATAGAATCTGCACACTTGGAACATTGCTATTGATCACAAAGTTTGCCGCTGACCCGGAATAGAGGAAAAAGTTTCCAGCATTGGGAGCACTTGTACCGGTTCCAGCATAACCAAAAGCGCCCACTACCGTTCCCGTGTTGTTCAAGAAGCCAATAGTGGAAAACCCCAAAGCCGAAAGACTCTGGATCTTGAGAACATCGGATGTTGTGGAGTTGAGTTGCAATGTATGACTTGACGTCGCCGATGTTCCTCCAGCAAATAGACTTTTGGAGACACCCACCCCTCCTACCACTTGCAAAGCACCAGTACCGGGTCCACTTGAGTCCTCGCTAGAGGTACATTGGACAACCCCGTTCCCATAGACGCGGAGTAATCCGTTCGCGCCGTAGTGACCCAGTCCGAGATAGTTACCGGAGTTACCTGCTCCTGCGTAGTTGAAGTCAAAGCACGCTGAATTATATGTACTCATGCCGACACCATGGATGAACTGAGTGAGAGACCCAGCGGTGAGCGACGGCTGCAAGAAGTATCCTGTTGTGTAGCTGCTCGTGACAGGTACAGACACACTTAGAGCGTTCGAAGGGATCAGAACGGTTCCGTCGCCACGCAGGGTTAGCGCGGTCTTTCCCACCCCCCAGTCGGTATCGCTCAGGAAGAGATCCAATTGTGTTTTGGGCTGTACACCGGCAAGTGCATACCTTGACATGTTGAAAGTCGCAGATCCCGCGACCTTGGAAGCGGGAGTCCCAGCCTGAGCAAGTTGCAGAACAGGGGTCGGAGCCCCCACCGCTGCATTAGACACCTGTGTACAGACAGTCAAAGGGACATTGAACGATGAATATGCATCTACGTTTGAATCATAGCCAATGATGTTGCTCTGCCCCGCAACAACTAGATTTTTCCCCACCCCTAGCCCACCAGCAACTTGCATGGCCCCCGCTGTCGGCACGGCCGAATTGGCTGTTCCCGCGACAGTCACCGCTCCGCTTACAGCCAGCGACGATAATGTGCCAACTGATGTGATCTGAGGCTGAGCCACATTCACGCTGAAGGCGTTTCCAGCACGTGTCAGGCCCGTCCCAGCAGTGTAAAGACCATCAACGTAGGCTTTCGTCGCCGCATGTGCCCCCGATGTTGGTGTTGACACGGTGGCTGTCCTGCTGACATTCAATACACTTGTGACATTAAGTCCGCTTAGGCTGGAACTACCAATTACGTTCAAACCAGCATTAACCGTCACATCTTGCAGGTAGCTGTTTCCAGAGACAATCAAGTCAGCCGCTTGGACCTGTCCAAACTGACCGATACCGTTGACAAGAAGCGCAGACGAGTTCAAGTCGGTGGAAGTTAAACGTAGACTGTTCAACCGTACATCTGGATTGAGAGATATCACAGTCCCGGCCTTTGACAGATTATTCCCAGCTGTGACGGTCTGAGCATCAACATATGCCTTGGTACTTACCTGTGTATCTAGGTTCGCAAGAGGCAAGATACCAGTCACATCTGATGTGAGCGTGACAATGCTCTTCAAGGCCAAAGAACCAAGCCCGAGCGCACTTCTAGAAGCGACAGGACTGGTCGAGATGAAGTTTGTCCCATCTCCTACAAGGAAGTAGCTAGCAGCGGCAGTTGCATTGGATATAGTGCTAAGCTTGCCATTGAGCGGTTGCGCTCCCGTCTGTGTGGTGTTGATCAATCCGTCAACGTATCCCTTTGATGCAGCGTGAGTAGCCGCTGTTGGAGTTGCCTGAATAGTCACCGCTCCACTCACTGTTAGAGCCCTGGCGATAGTGAGTGTCAGATCACTCCCATTGACGTTGAGGACCGGCGTAGACCCGCCTCCAGTTGTATTCAAGAGCGAAAGGAACCCGGGACCCAGTGAATCACCGGCTACGGTCGAATATAACTGCCAGCTAGCCCCTCCGGTTGCCATACTCGATAGATTCAGCGCCGGCTGGGACCCCTGCACAATGCAACCCTGCGTCCGACTGTTACCGAGCACGGAAAGACCGTTTGTCGTCAGACTAGACAGGGTCCCAAGGCTGGTGATGCCAGGCTGCGCGTCGTTGACACTGAGTGCTGTGCCCGCCTTCGTAAGGCCAGCGCCGGCGGTAACCACCAGGGAATCCACATAGGTCTTCCTAGCTATCAATGCATCTATCCGTGGCTCCGGCAAGACACTTGTCCCGACGTCCGCTGCTAAGTCCAGCGATGATTTGAAAGACAAAGAGCCAAGTCCAAGGGCTGACCTGGCGTTCAGAGGGCTGGTCGAGGCATATGCGCCGCCGTCTCCCACCAAAAAGTACGAAGCCGCGGCTGTACTTGCAGCGATCGTCGAAAGCTTAGCATTCAGCGGTTGGTAGGAGGTGGCAGCTGTGGCTGAGAGGAGATAGTTGCTGAGGGTAGGTGAAGATATTGCCCCAGAGAACGTTGCTGTCGTCCCACTTAAAGCTCCACTAAGTGTCAGACCGGCCAATGTTCCGAGAGAGGTGATCTTGGTCGAGTCGAATGTCACCGTGTCCGCTGCCCGCGTCAGCACAGGGGAAGGAGCGAAAGTGAGCCTCTTCTCGTAGACGGAAAGGTCCGGTACGCCGCTAAGCTGAGCATAGGGAAGACTTCCCGTTTTGTCGAACTTGAGATCTATCTGAGGCTTGATGGCCGCGATGTGGTACTGTTTGAGAAGGTCGAGATTGACGGCTTGTTGAGGGACCTCAAAGAGCACTGAGCGGTAAGAACAAGAACTGGGAGTGTCAAATAATAACCTTGTAACATCACAGGAGGTGTCGTCGGGTTTCGGCAGCATCGAAATGATAACTTGCGAGCCGTCTTCTAGCACCGGGTTGTTGTTGGCGTCTATGATCGGATTCCCGCTAGCGTCTGTCTTATTCTTTCGTTCGCGTCCAAAAACAGATGCAAAGCCGCCTACAATGGTTGTTCCCCCAACAGCTCCCGCGAGAGCCCCAAGAGCGCCGAAGGCCGAGGTAGGCGCAACAGCCACACCACTGGCCAAAGGCCCTCCTATGAGCGACGCACCACTGCTGAGAAGAAACCCGAGGGGGCCAGTCACGCTGACAACGGGAGAGGATCCAGAAGCGGTCAACGGGTCACTCTCTGCAAACGGATCAGACTCCTCCATGTTCTCCTCCGGGTCAGAGTCCTGCTTCTTCTGCTTATAAGGCTGAACGCTGCTGATTACGTAACCGGTACCCTCAGAACCCGCCACCACGATCCCTGCTCCTCCAGATATTACCAGCGGCTGTTTAGAGATATTGTATTCCTTGTCAGCTCCTGTGACGATGATGGGAAGTGCGCCAGTGATGACTGTAGGAGTTTCGGGTTCGGGCTGGTAAGTACAGCTGATTGTAGCGCCGCTTATGCTAACGTTGTTTCCCGCTGTGTACGCTCCTGAGATGGTGTTCCCTGTGAGGCGGACACCGGTGTTAGCCTGGTAGTTTCCCTTCACCGTGTTGCCGCTCACAGTGACTGTCGAGTCTCCCGCTTGTAGGTCCAGCTGGAGATCATTCTCGACCCTCTTTACACCCTGGCTGGCGGTGAGCTTCTCCGAAAACGTGTTATTGCCGTCAAAAGTGATGGCTCCGCTGACATTAGGTGCGAGTTTGACCTGGTTCTGGTTCTCTATCTTGAGACCGCCGTTTCCCGGCTGGAACGTGAGTCCGATACCGATCTTACCGTCAATCACTCGGACCCCTTTGTTGTCCACCAAAGGAGACGGATTGACGCTGAGGACTTGATTCTCAACCGCTAGGTTAGCGTCTGTTCGCAGGTCGATGGTTCTGCGTCCGTTGCTCACCCCGGAGATGTTGATGGGAGAGCCCGCATCACTTTGGTATAGCTGTTCCACATACGCTTTTGTGGGCACTTCTGTGTCGGCAGGTGAAAAGTTAGAGTTGACGTATATGTGCGGCGCATGGAGCTCGTTCAGAGTCTCATTATAGGTGAACCCCTGAGATCCCATTGTAGAACGGGACTCTGCCTAGTCCCTGGGATCGTATAGCGAGTTTGTTTCCCGTCTGTTGTAGATCATCGGAGGTCTTGAGCCGAATAACACTGGCATCAACATCAACGTCATCGTTGAATAGCTCAGAGATGGACGAGTAGCCCATTGACAGCACATCTTCGAGCGCCAGGCTTCCAGCTTTATCACTACTGATGGCCCCGCGCCCAACGACGACCTGCTCAATGTTGGTCTCCAGCTCTTCATCATCATTGACCTTCAGACCCTTCCCTAGACGCACCGTAAGTGTCCCATCCTCCCACGTCAAGGGAGCTGATAATGCTTCAGGTACGACGCTGAGAGCGTCCCCGATGACGTGAGGACTGTCATCCGTGTGCAAGGACACGGTCTTGTCTGCCGTGGCAGATTCATGCAGAGGAGCTTCATAGTTTGTTGGGACGATGGCCAACGCGCCAGTGGCGTCCACGGCGAAGTCATCCGTATTCAATTTCAACCCTACGCCTGACCCGTCTCGCGTTAAGGGTTGCTTTAGCGGTTCCTTTGGGACGGACAAGTCTCCATTCGCCGTTACAACGAGCGTAGAATCGTGCCGCAATTCGATGCCATCCCTGTCTCGAATCAGAGGAGGCTGAAGTGTTTCCGGGGCAGGGAAGACTACGGAGAGCTCCCCATCATTGACCTTCAAGGTATCTTGGTCATACGAGAGCGTCAGGCCCTCATCCGTGACCGTTAAGGGATCCGTCCATTTCAGTGTAAGGCGGTTGTCCGTCTCATCTAGAGGCGCGATGACCTCAACTTTTGGCACGGGAGTTGTGCCAAGTTTACCATCAGTGACTTGGAGGGTCTCATCATGAACGAGGCTGACGGTTGCCAGGCCGGCTTCGGTCTTCGATTCCAGCGGCTCGGTGGCCTCTACACGATTCACTTCAAGAGGGCCATTCTCGTTTGATAGAGCCTGAAACGCGGCTGAGTCGAACCCCGTCATGGAGACATTGTCGCCAGCAGCTTTGATTGAACTGCTAACGGTCGGCGCTACCAGGTTCAGCCTATCCAGCGTCCTTATGCCGCTGCTCGTTCGAGAGTTGATGTTCATCTCGAAGGAAGCGGTTGATTCCTAGATTAATGACAAGCGATGGAAAAAAGAGCGATATGAGATCTGCTCAGGCCAGAGGAATGTTCTGCAGATGCCCGAGGAATTGATCGCCTCCTTTGTGGTAGGCGTCAACTTTTTTCAAGCCTAGATCAGCAAAGGAGCCTACCTTACGTGAAGCTTCTTTCACCTTGCCGTCGAAGATATCATTGGTTTCGATTCCCTGGCGGACATGAGTTAAGAGCTTGTGGCCGGTCCTGACGCCCGAGACCGCTTGATCGAGGAATCCCCGAGCCTTCTGAATGTGACCTGGGACTTTCGAAAAGAAAGTGTTCGCTTTGCTTCGTGCTTTGTCAAAGAACCCCATCGGTGCTGCAAGCGGCCTGCGTTTTCTTTTCTTCTTGATCAAGGTTATAGAAGAAAAATTAAACCAGGGATGGTTGAGTACGACGACAGGAACGCTAGCCTGCCAAGCGCTGGCGCTTTCACTTACCCAAATCAGCCAATCCTCAACATCCATGCGAGACAATACGCATACATTCGCGGTAGACCTGGCGAGACGTAGAACAGGCTCTTCCACACAGGATTCCATGTCCCAGGAAAGGGAGTTGCCAAAGGCGTCTTTGACAGGCGCCCGGCCATCAAAGAACAAATCGCGCTTCGGGCAGCTCCTTACCAGAGTAAAGTCGCTCGGGACGCCGTTGATGCGCTTCACGCGGTGGAACGGGAGCGAGCAAAGCAAGCCTACTTTGACGAGCTCGATGCCAATAATCTCTTCCCGCGTCGAGGCAGAACCATCGCCCTACCTAGATCCGTGGCATCCCAGACGGGGGCTGACGGTTCCACAACCATCTTTCATCAGCCGGGCTGGGTTCGAACTCAACAGAACCAATTCATGGGGGATGTGACCAGCAACGTTCGGCGTGGAGACAACGCGCATCTGCCCGAGAACGCGAACAGCAACGCAGGAAAGCCTATCCTCGGTTCCAACCCAGTCGTCACGAAACGGAATGACGGCGAAAGCTTGACCGACGAGGTGGGACGGCTCGGAAAGGTCTCCAGTGTGACCTTCGGTACACAGACGAGCCCGGTTCTCCCTCCTCCAAAGCACGCGGTCCGCGACATGCGCTCCGTTGCATCAGCAACCGATCTTCCTGACCTTGATCGGACGACTCTGGATCTCATCTTTGCAAACGGGGGGCGCTTCCAGACGTTCATGGATCAGCTTCGTTTTGGAAACGAAACCCTCCAGCAGCAGCTTCGCGGCCAAGAGGCTCAGCTCGGGAATATATCCGCGGCTACGATGGGCACATTCCGCAACATCCTCGTGTCGATGGGCTTCCAAGAAAGCAGCCTTCCGGCGACAATCAGTCCGGACGAGATGTTGCGTCTCGTGAAGCAGGTTGAGACGATTTCTGCGGTGGCTATCACCGAGATAGCGGCTATGCGAACCTTGATTGAGACTCTAAAGAAACAGAGGACTCAAGAGGTCGCCGACATGGGAACGCAATACTCACCTTCTGCCACTCCAGCCTCCGCTTCTACACGTCCAGTACCACCTCCGATCCAAACGCAGTGGCAACCGAGAGGTTCCCCAACCCCATCCCTTCCTTCCTTCGATTCTATCTTTGGCCAGAGCTCCCTAAACTCGTCGCCGGAACGCTATGGCCATACAAGCGGGAACTCGGCTTCGCCTATGTCTATCTCACCCGACGTAGCGCCTCAGTTCTCTCCCGAACCGCAGCCTTCTGCTCCTGGTCCCAGCGGACTAAGATGGTCGCCTAATCCCACGCAGACCCAAGTTTTCGGGCCAGAGCCAACGGTGGAGGCGAACGAAGACACTCCCGCGGTGCCGCTACGGAAAGCTACAAAGGGCAAGGGGAAAGGCAAGGCCCCTGCAACGAAGCGGTCTGCGAGAACAGCTCAAGCGCCAGAAAAGTTGAGTTACGACCCTGGATACATACAGACCTCGACGAGGAAAGGTAAGTAATGTGTCTATGTGAAATATGAATCTTGTTTGCTTCTCGCTTTGCGCCACCATGCTTTCATGGTGGTGCCGACGAGGTTGATTTTATCGATAAACGTGGCCACAACTTCTCGCGTCGTGAGGACTTTCATCGCCCTTTGCGCCGTGCTGCAGCCTGTTGGGCCAGAACCCATTGCCTAAGCTGGGGAGGTATGACACCCTTCTTAGGTTTTTCCCGATGAGCAACGACACGGCCGTGCTTGGCGCCGGTAACGCGTGCGTAGTGATTACGCGGAGGTTACCATCAGAGCCGACAAGGTTAAGCGATGACTCGGTATCTTCGTCCCCACTCTGCCAGCTGTACCGCATGATAAATCGATCGGTGTAGAACTTGTCTAGATCAATGTCCTCCGAGTAATAGGACGTGTTCTCGCTGAGTGAGAGGGCCCCAATCATGACTGAATCGCTTACGTCGAAGTCCTCAGTGAGCGGCAATCGGTACTGGCCAATCTGGTATCTCCACGACTTCAAGTTAGCTGTGGTGTAGATCCGCGACTTATCTCCCGTAGTCGTCGCAAAAGTGTTGTCATCCCGCCAACGGTGGGTGAGACCGATGACACGGGAGTTGGACAAGGGGAGAATAAAGTTGTTCTGACTTGCTCCCGAGCAAACGCTCGAAAGTTGGTTAACAGACACGAAGTCCATCTCCAAATATTTGCCCGATTGAATGCCACGCCAGAGGGTGCTCAGATATTCGCTGCTTGGGGTGACAAGCTGGGCCACGTAGCGGAGGTTGCTCACGATGAAGTAGGAACCCGCAGGAGCATCTGTGAACGCGCTTTGGGGGGTGTTGAGAGTCAAAGACAGCTCACAAGCTTGGTTAGGCAAGACGCACAGTGGCAACGGTTGCCCGTTCAGGGGCCTCATGCTCCCAAACTGAAGGTGGAGCTTAAAAGTAAACGAGCCATTGTCATTCTTGAACACGTTTGCATTGCCAGCGCCTTCATGGTACGCTAGATACTTTCGCCTTTCCTTGTCAACGAATTGGTACAGGTCAGTCAAGAACAAAGGAAAATCGTTGATCTCATCTACAAGCTTCCCGCCAATTCGAATAGAAGCTGATCTGAAGCACCCCATTGCGCCAATGTCGGACACAGTGGCCGTCTTCAGAGCCATCCCATCGGCGTTGAAAAGGGAGACGGTCCCACTCAGGTATGACCTTTGGGGCCGCAGGAACGACGAGCTACTGTCAATCACTATTTTGAAACTGTTGGCGCTCGTTCGCGAATCGAAGTTTTCTTTGATCGGACGATAGATGGCGATGTTTTCACTCAGGGCGTCGCTATGCATCGAGAACTGGCGAGACGCATATTGCCAGTTTGCCGGGACGACCGGGTTCGTGCTCATGCTGATGTTTAGCGCCGTCCTGCTGTCTTGCTTTCTGTCTAAGAAAAAAAAAGAACAGTCGACGGTTGCAACTCTTACCTCCAGCGCATCCCGAAGATCCCCATGAACTCGTCAACTGGAATTGATTGAGCTGTTGGAACCGAGACGGTCGTGGCTTCATCCTCGCTACTGTAGGCCAGATCATCCGGCAGCTCTGGACTCGCCGCGCGTTGTTGGGGTTGTGCCGCCGCGATTGGCTTCTTCTTGGCTGCTGTTTGTTTTGGCTCCACACCTGCCATTTGATGCCGCTCCGCCTTCCTAGCGGCCCTCTCTTCCTTGGCTTTCAATTTGGCTTTCTCCTTTTCTCGCTCGTACTTCTCGATGATCTTCCTTGCTCGTTCCTTCTCAGCTTCCTTCTCCTCTAACTCGCGACGCTTAGCCTCCTCCGTTTCCTGCTCTTTTTTCATCTTGGTGAGCTTCCGCAGGTTCTCCGCGCGTTTCTGTTGCGCTCGCTTCAAAGCCTCCAGTTGAGCTGCTGTTCTAGGCTTCTTCTGGCGTTCCTTGATGGTTGCGTCAAGCACTTTGTTTATCCCATCGTCTGCGTCAGGAACTGGAGTAGGAGGCCGATTTGTGTTCTTCTGTACTGGCGTATCCTTTTGATCCTCCATTGCAGCTTCTGTTATGAAAGCTACCTGTAGAAAAAAAAATCGTGAAGCTATCCATCTCGTCTACGCCACGCGATTCGGGAGCATGTCTGAGGGGTCATCGAAGATGCCCAGCGTGACTGTTATGAAAGGGCGGAGCCGATGGAAATAGAGGCAACTTGTGGTGCAGGTTGTTGACAGGTAATGGTATTCAGACCGAAACAAGAACTAGAACAAGACTAGGAAGAACTGGTGTTGATCTGCTGGGGGATCAGGAAGTGGGGAGCTCAGGGGAGGCGGCTATTTATGTTTTTCTGGGAAGGCTGGGGAAGCGTGGGGAAGCAGAAGGGTACGGAATGAGAGGGAAGCCAAGAGAAGCGCCAAGGGTGGGGAAGCATAGAAACAGAAGACTGGGGATGGGGTGGCTACGCTGAGGCTGTGGGCGGGTACGTGGGGAAGTATGGAAACAGAAGACTGGGGATGGGGTGGCTACGCTGAGGCTGTGGGCGGGTACGTGGGGAAGTATGGAGAAGGGTTTGTAAGCGCCGAGTGTTGGGAGGTGTGGCTACGTGCGGCTGCGTGGAGAAATGAAGGCAGTGGCAGGTGTGGGGTAGCGCGGCTGCGTGCGGCTGCGAGGTTTGGCAGATGTCAGGTTTTGACAGGGAATTGACATTGACTGACTGTTGGGATGCTGTCATGAGGTAAGCGCATGGTATGGACGCGTCGTCCATAACATCAAGTATATTCTTTTGGGGAATGTTACGCTTGAGGATTGGGTATAAACCTTGGAGGCTGATGAGTACTTTGCTTCTCAGAAGAATGCGTTGTCACAGCCAAAGGAACAGCAGTCTACATTCGATCGACGTTTTTCAATCGATGAGCATGATTGTTTACTGTATCATGATAAGTTTTACGTGCCAGCTGCTTTACGAGGAACTGTATTGCAAGCTTGCCGACAGGTAAGCGTGTTGGCTTACTTCGTTTGCTCCCAATTCCCGACCGATGCTGGCACATGATTGGTATGGATCCTGTCTTGATGCCAATAACACGGTCGTGGGGGGGGGGAAGGTGCATAGTGATGCGTTCTACAACAGTACTATTGTCTTCATCAACTATCTGTCATCGCACGCGTACTTTATACCTGCAACACCCCCAATAACTGCTGAGGAGTTGGCCCAGCTTTACTTCCGTCAAGCATAGCGCCATACAGGTACTGTAGCTGTGATTGTCGGAGATCAAGATCCACGCTACCTGGCAGAGTTCTGGAAGGTGTTTCAATTGTTGTTGGGCTCTAAGCAGAGCTTGAGCACGGCACGACACCAACAGACGGACGGAAAGGGCGAACGGTGTCTCCCTATCTTGAAGAGGAAGCTTAAACCATACCTTGATGTAACGGGAGACGATTGGGTTGACAAACTGCCGTTGTTGGAGTTTGCCTACAACCGTATGCAGAACAGCACTGGATACTGCCCTTTCGAGGTTGATCTGGGTAGAATTCCGCAGGCACCGATGCATTGGCAAGTTGATGCAAAGGTGTTGCAACGTATGGACGATATGTAGATCCCATTCTTGCATAAGTCATGGCGTGAGCTCATTGTACAGATGGAGAAGCGTGCTGAGGCATACTGATCCATTGAACTCATAGTGCATCAGAGACTGCAGGAAGCCCAGGACAAACAAGCGAAGTATCACGATCGTGAACGTCACAGCGACGGGATAACAATCCCTGCTTTCAACAAGAAGCCACTCCAGTTCAGACAGAGCTGGCTTGGACCCTTCATCGTGAAGAAGGAAGGACCACACCCGGGAACATACGAGTTGGAGCTGCCAGCTTTAATGGGCGCTTTATACCCGGTCTTCCAGACGGATATCTTGAAGCCATGGCACGAGGCGACTCTAGATCCAATGCGCATCGACAATGTAGATGACTCTAACCCAATGCCCATCCAAGTCAAAGGCGACAAAGAATACTACTAGGTTGCTCCATGGAAAACCTCAGTATCTCGTTCACTGGGTTGGTTGGCCACCTGAGCAGACTACATGGGAAACGCACGAGCGAGTGAAAGACTGCGCTGCATTGGACGACTTCATCTTGGTCCTTGGTGAAGTAGAATCCATTACAATTAAGCGAAAGTGGAAGCGCTCCAAGGGAACTGAGGCTCTGCAATGCAAGAGTGCACAGTTGGCTGAAAGCCATGAATGATCTGTAGCCAGATGGGACCTTCTGTTCAAGAAAAACATCGGATATCGCTGCAATTGAGCAGAGAAGTTCTCATTCACGATATTGTTGGACATAAGTCAAAGCTGTGGAGGGATTGCATCGTGCTACACAAAACGAGTGTTACCATGACCCCTTGATGGTAAACGACATCCGCATAGGGTAAATGCATTTACGGCCGCCGTCCATAATGAGTAAGCAGGAAGTGATCACTCCTGGAGACTCAGTGGTTGTATGCCCGGAGGTACACATAGGCATTGACTCTGAACAACAGAGCTTTGTATTGAGATAGCACCAAGATGCGGCACTTAGAAGGCTCTGCAAGACTTAGGACGCGTCTTGGAAGGCTCTGAAGATGTCTGGACCAGTTCCCAGACATCCAGGCGTCAGCACTGCGCTTTCATGATGTTCTTAGAGCTCATGGCGGTCAGTAGTGCCCGTATGGAGCTGTGATTGGGTTGTAGTAGCTAGAATGGACTTTATTGGGCTTGTGGAAGCCTGCAGCACCTTCCGCGGGCTCCGCGGACTTGGCAGACGTCCATGAGGGCATCAGCAGGCTACACAGACTTGGCAAAACCTTACCAACCTTAACTGCGGCACTCAGAGACGCCTTGGGCGTTCTGAGGGGGTCTCAAAAGGTGCTTTGGACGCCCCAGCACATAGCTAAATCCCCAAGAAAGAAGCCCCAGATTTGTATAAAAGGAAGACCTGTTGCCCATCCCCTCTCTTCACTTTATCCTCTTCAATACACTACTTTCTATCGCACTACTCTAGCCACACTACTGTCTTCTACATCACAACACTGCCCTTTGGGCAGCTACATCCCTCAGTCATCGGCAACCCAGTCTTAGGGACCTCTCAGATACACCTATATCAGCTAAGGTTTCAATAGGTTATGAGCCCTGAGCTTTATCATCACTAAAACCGTCTTCGCCAATCCCATTCAAGACGTTCCCAACCCCCTACGGACGCTTCCTACGCCCTACACTCCACATATCCCTCCAAAATCACCAGTTTCCGACCGAAAAACGCGCCAAAGTGCTCAACTCGAAAAGATACGCACTACTTGACACTCAAAACGCGTCCAACAATACAGCGTCATCCAAAACGCGTCCACACACCCGAAACAGACAACTTTAGCTCGAACACACAATGGCTGGAGACTCAGAGACTTCGAAACTTATGGTGGATAAGTTCACAGGGAGAACTACCATCTATGGAAGTTTAGGATGATGATGATGTTGAAGGCAAAGGGACTTTGGGTGGCAATGGAAGTTGGGAAGAAGGAGAAGGAAGGAGCTACGGCTACAGCAAGCTCGTCGCAGGGAAAGGGGGCTGACGGGGAGGAGGAGGAGTCGATGGAGAGGAAGGACAAGAGGGCTTTGGCATACATCTGCCTCAGTCTGAACGACACGCAGCTTATGCATGTGCATACAGCTCAGACGGCTTGGGAAGCCTGGTCTAAGCTAGCTGAGGTGCACAAACAAAAGGGGCTCGCCAGCAAGCTCTTCCTACGTCGAAAGTTCCTTACCATCACTATGAACAAGTCTGACTCGATCACAAACCACATCAACAAAGTCAGACAGCTCGCACAACAGCTGGAGGCTAGCGGCGCACCAGTACCCGAAGACGATATCATGACGACCTTGATATACAGGTTACCAAACAGCTACGAACAAGTCATCACAAGCCTCGAAAGCAGGGCAGACGACTTAGACATGGAGTTCTTGACGGCCAGACTTCTGAATGAAGAAGCTAGGCGCAAGGAGAACTCAAAACCAGTCAGATCGACTCGAAACGCCTTTGTTGGGGACGGGGGACACCAGCAGGAGGCTGGGGGTTCAGCCAGGTTCGCCAGGAAGAAGGGAAAGTGCCACCACTGTGGTATTGAAGGGCACTGGAAGAACGAGTGCAAGAAGCTCAAACGAGAGCTAGCTCAAGCCAACAATGCAAATCCAGCCGAACCACACCAGGCCAGCCAGGGAACCGGGTTCCTCTTCATGGCAGCTATGAAACGCACGAAAATCAACCCAGAGTGCTGGATTATCGATTCAGGAGCCTCCTCACACATGACACATGTCAGGGAATGGCTCCAGGACTAGAAGACGCTGGAAACTGAGATCCAGGTCCAGCTAGCTGATAACCGGTCAGTCCTAGCCATCGGAACAGGCTCCATCTCGATTAGAACACAAGGGGAGCACGCTGGCACCCTTCGAAACGTCTGGTTTGTTCCCAAACTCGAAAAGAACCTCATCTCAGTAGCCCAGCTGACTGAGAACGGAGCACAAGTCGAGTTTTCGAGTGCAGAATGCACAATCAAGACCAGGGATGGCGCTCTCGCCTTCAGGGCTCTCAAGGACAACGGCCTGTACACCATGACAGCCCAAGCTACCCCTGAACACGCCTACTCAGCAGGAGCACTTCGTAGCACACCCTTTCATATCTGGCATCAGAGACTTGGTCATCTGAATGCCCAAGACGTCCAGAAGCTCACCAATGGCTACCAACGTGATATCACAGTCACCGGACATCCTGATGGCCACATCTGCGAAGTCTGCACGCTCTCCAAGCAGTCCAGAGCTCCCTTCCCAAAGAAACAAGCTACCCGAGCCACAGATGTCCTGGCACTCATCCACACTGACCTCTGTGGCCCCATGAGGACGTCTACCTTTGGGGGATGTACCTACTTTGCATCATTCATTGATGACAAGTCCAGAATCGTCTGGGTCAAGCTCCTACGCAAGAAAAGCGATACCTTTGATGCATGGGAGGAATACAAGGCTCTTATGGAGAAACAGACTGGGAAATCCATCAAAGTCCTCAGATCGGACAAAGGAGGCGAATACGAATCCATCCAATTCACCCTCGCACTCAGAAAGGCTGGAATCCAACATCAGCGCGCTGGTACCGACACCCCACAGCAGAACGGAGTAGCGGAACGTATGAATCGAACTCTAGTCGAAATGGCACGCTGCCCACTCACCCAGGCTGGTCTTGGACACGAGTACTGGGGAGAAGCGCTGCTTGCAGCTGTCCACATTAGAAATCGCTGCCCTACAGTTGCCCTAGACAACTCCAAGACGCCATACGAAGCCTTCTTTGGTTGCAAGCCCATCCTCCTTCATCTCAGAGTGTTTGGATGCATAGCCTATGCTATGGTACTCAAGAAAAACCGAGGAAAACTGGACAACAAAGCCAAGAAGTGCCTCTTTCTCGGCTATAGCTCTTCCAGCAAAGCCTGGAGGCTCCAGTCACTCGAACCCGATGATCAGGGCACCATTATCGAATCAAGAGACGTCCAGTTCAATGAAAACAAGTTCTACAACAGCCTGGACAACGAAGATACACATGAAGACACATCAGATCGCTCCTATGACAGCTTAGCTAGCTTTGAATTCGATCCTGAGCCTGACAACATTGTTTCACACGCACCCAAGCCCACAGACACCACCGAATTACGGCCCGCACGCTGCAGGGGGGGATTCTGAGCCTCCCTGACTCATCTCCCAACCCACAACCTGACACTGATCAATGGGCAGAGGCCCCAGAGGACCTAGACGACCAGGAAGACCAGGAAGATGATGACTTGGTGCACTACGGACGCATCACACGCTCCCAGAGCACTTGCAGTACGCCAAAGCAACCTTGCCTATGCCCTGGCTACCGAAGTACTGCACACAGAGCCCAAAACCCTCAAGCAAGCTCTAAACTCCAACGCCTCAGCCAAGTGGAAGGAAGCCATGGATGCTGAATACGCATCCCTCGTCAAGAACGGCACCTGGGAGCTCTGTCCAGCACCCAAAGATGGCAACCTTGTCGGATGCAAGTGGATTTACAAGATCAAGACGAATGCTGATGGCAGTCTCGAACGCTACAAGGCCAGACTAGTCGCCCAAGGCTTCTCACAAGAAGAGGGAGTTGACTACAACGAAACATTCGCACCAGTGGCCAAGTTCGACACCATTCGGCTACTCCTGTCATGTGGGGAGCAGCTCAGGACCTCGAAATGGACCAAATGGACGTATCCACTGCATTCCTGAACCCGACACTCAGTGAGGAGATCTATATGAAGCAGCCACCGGGCTACATCAAGCCAGGAGAAGAGCATCTTAGTGCTTAAACTCAAGAAGACACTCTATGGTCTCGAACAAGCCCCCAGGGAGTGGAACATCGAAATCCACGGCACTCTCGTTGAGAAAGGCTTCACTGGTCTTGATTCAGACCATTGCGTCTATATCAGGTTCTTGAGGGCTGGCTCCTCATCCTGATCCTCTATGTGGACGATCTCATACTTATGAGCAACAAGAGCCTCGATCTTGACAGCTTCAAGGCCAAGGAACTTCAGAAGGCGTACGAAATGCGTGATCTAGGTGCCCTGCACTACTTCCTGGGTCTCCTAGTCACTCGAGACCGAGCCACACGACTCCTGACTGCTCAACCAGACTGGGTACATCGAAAAATGCCTTGAAACATACGGGATGACCGATTGCAAGCCTGTATCAACTCCCAGCGTCGTGGGAAGCCCTCTCACCAAGGAAATGGCACCTCAAACGCCTGAAGAGACTGCAGAGATGCAGAACAAGCCCTATCGAGCCATTGTCAGGCAGTCTGATCTACGCAATGATCGGCACAAGACCAGACATAGCCCAAGCAGTTGGAGCTGTGAGCCAGTTCTTAGCCAATCCAGGCAAAGGACATTGGAAAGCTGCCAAGCGCATTCTGGCGTATCTCAAGACGACCAAACACTACCAACTTCGAATGGGAGCCGTCCAAGGAACCCCCAAACTCGTGGGATGGTCAGACTCAGACTGGGGAGGCTGCCCAGACACTCGAAGATCGACCACAGGATACCTCTTCACCTTCGGCGGGCCAGTAAGCTGGAAATCACGCAAACAATGCACTACAGCACTCTCCTCCACCAAAGGCAAATACATGGCACTCACAGACGCCTGTAAAGAAGCCATGTGGCTCAGATCTCTACTCAGAGAAATGAGCATGCACCAAGACAAGACAGGACTCGCTCAAGGGCCCACAGTCATCTGGGAAGACAACCAAGGAGCTATGGCACTCGCCACAAACCCAGTTCACCATGCACGAACCAAGCACATCGACATCCGATACCACTTCATTCGTGAACAAGTCGCACACAAGACAGTTACCCTCCAGTACTGCCCAACAAAGGAGATGATAGCTGATGCGCTCACCAAGCCCCTCCCCATGCCAGACTTCACACGTCTGAGAGCTGCGATGCACTTAGAGGCTGCAGAGCCTTCAAGTGAGAGGGAGTATTGAGATAGCACCAAGATGCGGCACTTAGAAGGCTCTGCAAGACTTAGGACGCGTCTTGGAAGGCTCTGAAGATGTCTGGACCAGTTCCCAGACATCCAGGCGTCAGCACTGCGCTTTCATGATGTTCTTAGAGCTCATGGCGGTCAGTAGTGCCCGTATGGAGCTGTGATTGGGTTGTAGTAGCTAGATCGGGCTTTATTGGGCTTGTGGAAGCCTGTAGCACCTTCCGCGGGCTCCGCGGACTTGGCAGACGTCCAAGAGGGCATCAGCAGGCTACACAGACTTGGCAAAACCTTACCAACCTTAACTGCGGCACTCAGAGACGCCTTGGGCGTTCTGAGGGGGTCTCAGAAGGTTCTTTGGACGCCCCAGCACATAGCTAAATCCCCAAGAAAGAAGCCCCAGATTCGTATAAAAGGCAGACCTGTTGCCCATCCCCTCTCTTCACTTTATCCTCTTCAATACACTACTTTCTATCGCACTACTCTAGCCACACTACTGTCTTCTACATCACAACACTGCCCTTTGGGCAGCTACGTCCCTCAGTCATCGGCGACCCAGTCTTAGTGACCTCTCAGATACACCTATATCAGCTAAGGTTTCAATACTTTGTTGGCTCAATGGTTGCGTACATCCATTGCCTGACAACTTGTATTAGGCAACGTGCAATAGAAAGCACACCCGTTGCATTCACAGCTGGGATGCCCGCTGCCGGTAGCAGGTAGCGTGGATGGCAATTACCATTGAATCAGAATGGTTTGCAAAAGCCGCTTCCCACAACGGTCTTCTGGAAAGATTTCCTGAATGACATACTATCCTGATGTTCAGTTGCAGAACCGTGGCTTTCCGCTGCAAAGCCATGGCTTTTTGCTGCAGAACCATGGTTATTTGGACCGATGAGGAGGACCATTAAGGATTGCGCTGGGTGCGATCCCGGACACCTTCATATTCTACATTGCTCAAGCTTGCAGGAGTAGGTTTGCATCGTGGAATCTGGGGGGGGGGTGGGGGGGGGGGGGGAGGGGGGGGGTGTAATGTGGGTTGTCCAGTCTAATTGGAGAACGACGCGTCGGCGGAACATGTATCGCTGTCTAAGAGAAACATGTTCCCGAGAGTGTTCTCCAGTGGACTCTGGCCTCATGGGTACTTTAAGAGTGCTCGTCGCGCGTTCCTATTCACTGGAAGTAACTCATTTACTGCATAACGAATAGCAGCGCTGGCGAACACCCAGTCCATCTACAATACCTTACAGCAAAGTAGTTATTGTATACGAACATCAGTTATACAACCTGTGTGGAAGGTAGTCCACATCACATTCTTTTGCATTAGTTTAATGGTGCTTTGGTGAACTTCCGCATCCTGCACGTCGTCCAAGTCCTCCACTATGCTATCGTCGTCCCTCGGGCCGTCACCATCATCCAGACCAGCTGCAGTGGCGGCCTCTGTGGTTGCTGTAGGGTTCGCAGCCATGTCGTTGCCGTCCAGTGTGTCCAAGCTGAGAATTATGCCAATTTTCAATGTCGCTTTGGACTTCTCGCTCGAAAACGCAATAACCCTCAGCTGTACGAACAAATAGTCTAGTCCTCACCCAGCATATGGTCACACGCATAACTAATCATTTCCATTGTACCCATGAATGGCAGAAATGCCCCATTGAGGGCATTTACGTTTTCCATTAGTGCCGTACATCGTGACTTCCAAAGATACATGCGAGGTCACGTGATTTGCGTTACTGGTCAAGTTCTCAGTAACGTGAACGCGTTACTGGCGTCACTGGGTCACTAGGTACGTCCCACAGGCGCGTTGTTCTCCGAGACCAACCCACCACAGAAAGACAGCCGCGGTAGTCTGGGGATACAAACAAGGCTACAGTAAACCAGTTCAGCTTGCATGTCAAAGACGGTCGTTTACCGGCCTCCATCCAGATACAGTAACTCTTGAAGCCCAAGCCTCTTCGTCGCGAACACAATCCAAGCTCGCAAGCCGAACCATGCATATAAATACGTCTATGTACATTCATGCTCTTGTATATACCCCATTGATAGTCTCTCGTGGGTCGAAGACGCCTAAGAGCTCCTAATCCCGCAAAGCTTGACTGGTTTGGAGAAGCACTGCGATCTTCTCTTCGGACTCTGTGAGCCAACTCAACCCCTTCAGCGTCGCGAGTCGCTTGGCAAGCTGTTGCGAATTCGCCTCGGCCACTCCAATGAGCTCGTCCAAGACTCTCAACTCGCAATGATGAGTTTGGCATTTGATCTCGTAGCTGTGGTGACAGGAACAAATCAGAAAACAGTTCTCTATGCAATCGTCGACCCCAGGCGAGACTCGTACCTGTAAGTGACGTCGTTTACTGCAAAGCCCCTCCTCTGGAAGAATTCTTGCAGTTGTCGAATCGGACTCTTGGTTACCACATCCGGATTGGCATGGATCTCCAAAAAGTCAATCATTAACGGCTTGAACACCGTCCACATGACTTCAAGGTTGCATCCAGAGTCGATGAACACTGCTCCTGCCACAGCTTCAAAAAGATCTCCCAGCACCTTCGGTCCGCCCATTGCCGTTTCGATGGGGTGAGCAGACTTATCGAGGCTGCCGAGATATTTGACGTACGTCGCAATCTCTTCGTGGAGGCCAGGGGCATCATGGCGTAAAGATTTGTGCAGCTCGAGTAGCGCTGCCATTCGCGAAAAGCTCTCATTGTTGACTGCGGCTTGGCGCAAATCTGTCAACGCGGACGGGCTGAGATGCGGGTATGAGTTGAAGAAAAAACGCGTCAGCACCCAGTCCAGGACGGCGTCTCCAAGATATTCCAATCGCTGATACGAGCCGGAAGAACCGGCGCCGACGGCAGACCCGTGCGTAAGCGCCTGCATCAGTAAACTGCGGTTGTTAAACCGGTATTTCAAGTTCTGCTCAACGGCCTTGAGAGAGTCCATGGTCTCCGTCCGGTATTGTGACAGGGAGGGTTGACGGCCTTCCGGTGAAGCTTTCGTCTCAGCTTCCATGATACCCTCCTCCGGGCTCAAGTCGCCGTCGAGATCCTTCACGCCACTCTGACCATCCTTGACATGCCTGTCTTCAAAACACAGCATTGTCGGCGAGATGACCGCGTCGGAAACGAGACCAAATCGGTGCAGAAACATCAACGCCACATCGTTCCCCGAGTCCGTGTAATACGCACCGATGAGCGCTTCGAGGAAATCAGCCAGCATTTTTTGACTAATCTGTCTCCACCACGGCCCTTTCGCACTAGCGAACGGGTGCCCGTCCTCGTCTTTGGGATCCGCTCCCCGATTGAGCCGCCGGTGGTTGTTCGACTGGGCTGTCCATGGGGGTACCCACGATCGTGGGTTGAAGGGTGTAACGTTCATCACGGCAAAAAGCCGATGCTTCAACGCGATCTTGAACAGATTGCGATTGCTCACAATGCGCGACCGTCGCGTAGACAGAAACCCTTCGTCCGCATCCGCAAACCTTTTGAACAAGTCCATGGACACGGCATACTTGAGGAACGAGTCACCGAGCGTCTCAAGCCGCTCATAGTTGCTCATCTCCTGCGCGGAGGGCGACGAAAACGCAGCTAAAAGAGTCTCATTCGTCACTGGCAATCCGATGTTTTTCCGAAACTCGTCAATCGTGCAATAAACGTCCAGCTTGTGCAGAATGGAGGGAAAGATATCCGCCATGCGATATATATCTCGCGGGAACGGCAACACCTTGCACGCCTCCGGTACCAAGAACACTTTGTGAGTCGAAGGCGCAGTCTCCTTGGGCGGTAACCCGTGCGTTATCCGCTTGCTCGGTCGCAGCAAATTGTGCACGTTCGGAGCATGGCGGGCTTCGATCATGCCACTGGTGTCAGGGTGCCGCACTGTGTAGCCTTGCTTCGTGACGTAGTCGAGGAAAGTGACGGTGTTACCCAGCTTCTGTTTATCAAACTTGGCAGTGGGGTGCATGTCGAGGTTTATGCCTTCGATAGTATACTTGACGTTGCTATGCGGTGTGTGGATGACTAGCTCTTTCAGAATGGTCGTGATCTTTTCGAGAATCTCCGGTCGCTGATCGAATGTTTCATTCTCAATTCCCACTGAATTTGAAGCCAAGCTTTGCAGTTGGGTGAACAAAACGTCGAACGCCGAAGCCTTCTCCACCGCCTGGCGCTTGGATATCGCCCATTCCTCTCCATCCACTCGTTTGCGTTTCAGTCCGCAAACCTTATCGTCGTCATCTAGAACCGACGCGGCCCCCTGTTCCTGTACTGACACTGTCCCCAGTCTATCATATCCCTCGGTCCCTGCCGCAACTCGCAACTCGTTGTTTTCCACCGTAGATCCCGCACTCGCGTTCGGAGCCAAAGCCATCATCCTTGAAAGCAAAACCATCCACACATAGAGATCCCCGAATTCTTCGTCCGCCAATCTCCGGATCATCGGCCAGTCAAGCACCCACTCGCAGCGGGGCGGGTCCAATGACATCATCCACTCTGGCGTAGTCTCATCTGCGGGTTTGACGGTTGTGGTTTGTTCATCGTGATGGAGCGGAATGCCTCGCACCGGCAAAATCATATATTTTCTCGGCTCTGATGTCCGAGCATCGGATAAAGGTTGGACGGGTGTGGTTGGAATACTGGGACCGTGTGTCGCGCTCGGGCCGTTCGTCTCCTGGGCCACCCCCTCCAGAATTTCAGATTTTCCAACGGGCAAGGAAGCATGTTCCTCGACACCCTGCTTCGCTTGATCTTCCGCAATTGGTGCTTCGACCACATCGCGCTTCCTTTTCCCCAACGAACTATTCAGCGGCCGGCCCAGCGGCGTTGAATGCTTGGAAGCCAGATGCCAGAAAGTTTTCTGGAATTTGACGATGGACTCCAGCTCATCTGGGCTGAACAAGACAGCCTTCGCGGCGATCGTTTCGCGAGGCGGGTGAACAGCGCGGTGATGTTCCTCATCTTCATTCTCGTCTTCTTCCATAGCATTTTCACTTACACCCGCCGTGGAAGATTCTGACTCATCCCCCGGTCTCTGATTAGGGTCCCATGCCAGCAACTCGACCTGACAGGTTCGTTCGCCGCCGAGCCAAAGCGCAAATTTCGGGATATCGGACGTGGGTATCGGGTGCGTCGTTAAGATTGCGAAACTTCGTCTGTAGGAAGGAAGGGTTCGAGTGTCCGATCCGGGAATCGCGCTGAGGGTTTCGCGAATGAAGTCTGCGTGTGGATCACCAGGCTGACTTCTGATCTCCGAGTCTATTTCAGGTCCCAGCGATATCATCGTAACATAGAATGGTGTTGGCTCCATCGTTGTGCTCGGTAGGCTGCTGCCAACGTCAAGCCCGATTCTTGTCCAAGCCTGGTCGGCACCAAAGACGCTAGGCACGTCACGTGGATAGTCCGCCAGAGCAATCTCTCGGCTTCCCTCCTCTGTCGCCAAAATGGCGGATTTGACCTCTGGGTCTATGTTCATCTTCAGTCTCCACTTTTGCAAAAGAGCTGGAAGAGAAAAGGCCCCGGGCTTCTTCTTAAATTGCAGGTTGGGCAGCAAATGCTCGTTCAGTGCGCCGACATCGTATAGACGCTTGCAGGCTGCCAATGCAACACTTTGCTGGGCCAGCTTTTTGGTTCCGCGGATTGGTCCATAAACGACCTCGTTTGATAGGGGTGTCGACGCAGGGAAACGGAAGGCGTATGCGTAGCCGTACGGAGACTTGGGCCCATCGGTCGTGTTGTCACTTTTGACCGATCCATACAAGTGATCATTGACATACGCCCGCCATTGCTCATACGTGCCCGTCTGGTGGTCAAATTCGAGCGAATAGAATGCGGCCAATTCCTTCCGCTGCAAACTCCCCAGGGCACAGTAACGATGAAGCAACGTCGTTGCCCCCGACGCGGAAATTATCGCCCCGGCTTTCGACCTAAGCGGCGTCTCGAACGCCCCTAGGAGCAGCTCGGTGGTATTATCATCTATATCCGTTTTCGTGATCTCGCCCGCTACGATCTGCCGCTGCGACGCCTGTCCCGACAGTTCCTGGGCTATATCCTGCGTCATCACTTCCGCCACTTTGGCCCGCGCAACGGTCCGCAGGGCGTGCATGTCGTTCCGCTGGACCATGATAAGGTACTCCGAGCCGTCCAGATCACGGGCGCGGCCTCTGGACTGCACATACCCCGTGTGCGAGCGGAAGATATCAAACACGATGATGAGTTTACAGGCCGGAATGTCCAGCCCTTCCTCCGCCACCCTGGTTACCACCAACGTGTTCATGTCGCCTTTTCGAAACCGATCAAATGTCCGCTTTTGGTATGTGACGTTCATCGCGCTACGACCGGCCGTCTTGCCGGATTTGCTTGCGCCGTGGCCAGTGACGAATGCGCATTTGACTACTGGAAAGCGAGTGGTCGCCACGAGGTTCAGAAATTCTGACAAAACTTTGGCGCTTAGCCGCCGTTCGACGAAAATCATAGCGCGGAAGCTTGCTCCTTCGGTAGCATTCTGAGCGCGTTCTTCTAGAAGCCGAAGGAGTGTGTGCACCTTTGGCGTGATATCATTTTGTGTGATTTCCGATAGAGATGGCATTTCGGCGCAAGCATTCCTCCATTTCGATGTCTCGTTCCCTGCAGCCAGGACGTCGCTACCGTGGGATGCCTTCGTGGGTGCCTTTGGATTTGCCTGCCCTCTCCGTCTATGCGACAAGGCACGTATTTGCTCCTGCGCAGCTTTGCCAGCGAGCCAAGGTCCCAACTCGATCTTCATCGACCGAATCTGATCCTGGCTTCGGACCAATCGATCGGCAGCATCCGCCGCATCGTCATCTCGGGAATTCTGGATCTCCTCCGTCAGCCGTGCCATCCAAAAGTGGTAGCACCGAGTCGACTGCGACAGGGACGGATTTTGCATCACTTCCTCTAATGCATTCACCGGATTTGCGTACGTAAAGTCGCGATCCGCCGACTCCAAGTACTCCACCACTGTTTCCGACGCGCGAGGAATGAAGTCTCCCAGGCTGCTCCTGTCTGTGACTGTGACGACTTTGCAATCGAGATTCGATTCCAGTTCCTGTAGTCTGAATTTTGATTCATCTCGAGTGATAGTTTTTTGGTATATCGGTGATGCTGTCATCCCGAAAACTTTCGGCCTTTCGGCGTTCGATGGTATCGAGTGATAGAATTCTCTCATCATAAGATTGTAAGGATGCTGCTTTACGGCGTGGTGACATTCATCGATGATAAGCAGACTCACGTCCCGCGACAGCTTAAGGAAGCCATGCGTCAAGATGTTGAGGAAGATCTGGGGAGTAAACACAAGCACCTGCCGTTGAGAGAGCTCGTAGTACCATCCACGAATGTCCCAGTACGCCACCGACACAATATCTTCCCGCGAGTACTCGCCAACTACAAAGTCCGTATTTTCTCTAATCTTTGCTGCTTGCTGAGCTACAAGCGGGACGGTGGGAACCAAAAAGACCACCTTCTTCGGCTGCTCCGGTAAGTGCACGCCGGGGACTATCTCTTGGAGAGGGGAAGGTGCTATTGGCGAAGGCTGCGTGGAGTTCGTTTGACCGCTGGCTCCAACCACACCGTTTTCAGCGACACGGTCTGAGTCGGTTTTCTCCTCCGCAGTCCCTGTTTCAGCGGGAGCACCGTCCGCCTCTGGTTCGACGGAAACGTCGTTGAGAATATCTTTTGAAGAGATCTCAACCAGCTCCGTCGCAAAGTCCTGAATGAGGAGCACAGACACCAGCGTCTTCCCACTTCCCGTGTCCAGATAGGCCACAATATTGCGCTGACGGGCTTGCTGGTATAGTTCCAGCTGATAAGGCCGCGGTCGGTGCAGCAGAGTGTTATCTTTGACGGAAGCCATGCTGATAACCGTCTTTCTATTTCTACTGTATCTATGTAGGTAGTCCGGACGGCGTGTCGGCCAGCGCGCCCAGGCTATGAAGCTTGGCTGGGCCGGGGAGCCACGGTGCCTAAACAAAAGGTCGACCTGGGAGCGAGCGAGCCGAAGCTGAGCAATAGCGAAGAAGAAGGGATGCCGTCTCTGTCGAAGGAAAGAAGAGGAGGGAGGAGGCCGGAGGAGGAGGAGGAGAGCCTGAGAAGAACATGAGACTCATGAGAAGAACAGAACAAGGGTCGTCGCGTTCAGTATGAACGCATTGCATTTGCATTGCCTGACACTCCTTGCATCGTCCTCAGCAGCCTCACCTGCTGGCCACTGCTGAGACTTTCCGCTACATCGTCAGCTGCTTCAGAACCACCCAACAAACTCACAAATAGAAACCCACACAACCATGGCCGACGACGAACTGCAAGCTATCCGCGCAAAGCGCATGGCCGAAATGAGGGCCGCCCAAGTAGGTCACTCATTCTCTGTCACACTCTCTAGATCACTCCATCGTCCAATACCAACAGTATCGCTTACTCTTCCATCCTCTCGAAGGGCGGCGCTGCATCGGCTTCTGGAGGTCTACCAGCAGGGATGGTGGCAGGCGCAGGGGGCCAAGGGCAGAACGCTGCGGAGGAAGCGGAGAAGAAGAGGTGATCGTCCTTGTTGGAGTCGCGGAGGGGTGGAGTGTGGGATTGTGGGCTCACTTCTCCCGGTGATCCCTGTGCTGTAGCCAAATGGATGAGATGCGGCGGAACATGGTAGGGATGGCGTTCTGAAACATGGTTCACTGAAGCACCCAGGAGGACCAATCCCGTCACTAAGACCACTCTCTGTTCGCAGCTCTTCCAAATCCTTGACAACGACGCCCGGGAACGACGTAAGCCCCGGTGTGAGAACGTCTTCTTTCAATCGTACCGCTCAACCAACCAACCGTTCACTCGCCCTATCCAGTGGCCCGAATCAAAATCGTAAAAAGCGACAAAGCCCGCGCGGTGGAAGACCTCTTGATTCGTATGGTACGCCCATCAGTCGAATCATCACCGTCCTGAGATCCAATCAGTGCAGGTCAAAAACTAAGAACCTCTCACCGGTCATGCAGGCACAAAGCGGTCAAATCAGACAGAAAGTAAACGAGACAACCCTGATCGGGCTCCTAGAACAAATCAACGAAGCGAATCAGAAGGAAACTAAGATCGTGGTGCGTACAACGGTGTTCAAGAGAACATGGATGCTCCTTCTTTCACTTTGACTGATCCTCGGAAAACCCTTACTACCAGTACAATCGGCGAAGGGAGGATGATTCGGACGAGGAGGATTGGGGCTTGTAAGCCCTCCCGATCGTATGGCGCAGAAGTCTCATTATATCTTTGTTTTGATGAGCGCCATCATCTTGCGGATACGACACGTCTGCACGTCCCGAAACTCGCTCTCCTATGGTACCGTCGGCGTCTGGATAATGCCGTTGGGACCGCAAGATCGAGGTCGCGCACCTACATATACCGTCATGGCAAAACCCATGTCGAAACGTGTGCCAGGCACGACTCGGAGTTTTAGCCTGTAATCTCATCGCGGCGTGCCATATGTTTGTAGAATGCGGTGTATGTATGTGTGTAACGAGCAACATCAAGGGCCCGTTTAAGTCCATATCGCCCGTCCCTCAATATAAGCCGATGTTCTATGTGTCTCGTACGTACACAAATGCGGGGGTCGAATATGCGTTTATCTGTCTTCGGCAGCGTCACTCGAAGGTATCGTGGACTATCTGTGACTATTTCGGGGGTAAACGTCCGCATGGAACCAGGAGTATGTCCGCCGCGCATCGGCCTTCACCCAGCACTCCAATCTCCAATCCACTCCACCTACCACATACCGTGGCTATCCCCATCATCCCGGGCGATTAATACACCGAATCTTCTGCTTATTGACCAATACATGCTCAACGATATCATCACCCCCCAAAGTCTCCTCCTCGTTTGTTTCTGGGTCCGTCGTCATAATCTTCATAATCGGCGGCTAAAAAGAGAATCCCATCAATGAACGCCATCTGTGAGACAACTAACACCCCTTTTCTCCCCCTCTCCTAACCCTCCGCATACCTGAGTATGATAGATATCCTTATACCGCCTCCTAGCCTCCTCGACCACCCACCCTACTGTCTTGGGTGTGCCGGTAGGTCCATCAGGGCAGGGGATGGCGAGGGTTTCCTCTTCTCCGGCATTGCCGAGGACAACGCGGATTTTCAGTGGTGGTTTCCGTCTTTTGGTTTGAGACTGCGAAGGGTTGGAGCGAGACCGGTGGATCGGGGTGGAGAACGACGCGACAGAGCCGGCGTCGGTGCTGCTGGGGGTTGGGTGTCGGCGGCTGAGAGGCGTGAGTTGGGGGTTCGAAGGTGTTAGCGGGAGGCGAAGGTGAGGAGGGCGGGGTTGGGAGGATGGGACTGCTGAGGATAACTGTGTGGAGTTGTTCAGAGGCTTGGCTGTTGAAGGGTCGATGAACGGTCCGTCGATGTCGAGGACGCATCTGTTCGAGAAGGGCAAATGGGTAATGTTGAATAGGAGATTCACCACCACGTAGTTCAAAAGACAAGACACAGATCCCTTCACGTACTGCGAGTCTGACTTGATGAATGCCGGCCCGTTCTCATCAACGGTCCGCAACGCCGGTCCAGGCAGGCTCAAATAACCGAACGAGTCCTGAAGCTCGGGCGGGTCGGGCGACGATTCTACCCGCATTCTACAAAGGTGATGGGTGAGTTAACCAGAATGTGCCGAATATATGTCGCCAGCACGAGGATATCGAGGAAAGTTAACTCACCTCCGCTTAGCAATACTCTGCCCAGTCACTGGCGACATCACTTCCGCACTTCGTTTCGGGGACGGACTCAACAGCTCGATGACCTTAACCGGCGCTGATGTCGTTTCTGCCGTGCGCTTGGCGGTTGCTCGTAAACGCGGCGGAGAGAGGGGCTCATCGATATCGCTATCTATCAGATGGATTTTATACTTGGACGTGCGGTCGCGGATGGGTTGGGTGGTAATGTGCGGAGGTGGGGAGCTCGATGGCTGATGTGCTGACACAGTCGTCGGCTCATCCATTGCCGGTTTGGGATTCTGCTCTCCGTCCCTCATCTCCATGTGGTCGTCGTCAAAGCCCGCCTGATTGAGCACCTCATCATCCACCGTCAAATCCGACCTGGGCTCCACCGAATCCCCTTGTGTATCACTCTTCGATGCAGCCAACAGCTGCTCAACCTGCAGCAACTGCTCATCATATCCCTTGGCTCTCGCCGCCGCGCCGTGAGCCCTCGCGACCGCTCGTAAAGGTATCAATGCCTCTCGCTGCGCGTCCAGATCTCCCAGTTTTCGCGCCAACTTCAAAGCTTCTTCGAGGGTCCGGGAAATCACGTCGTACGTTTCACTGACGCGTATGGAGGAGTCGGCGAGTTGGAGGAGTAGATGCAGCCGGTCCTCGTCAGCCCCGACGAATTCGTGTAGAGCGTCGCGGAACACGCGGAGCGCCTCAGCGTGGCGGTCTATGGCCGCGTAACAAGTGCCGATATTCGCCAAGATCTCTCCAATACGCGATTTGTTCAGACTCAACTTGTAAGCGAATTGTTTTTCCTCGAGAAAATCTTTCAGCGCCGGGCCATGTTTGCCGAGGTCGAGGAGCAACTTTCCGCGCTGGTCCAACAGTTCGAGCTTACGGCGAATGTTTTGGTTTTCGTCGACTTTGCAGATTTGGTTGTAGGTCTCTGTAAGCTCAACCACCCGCCTCTCCTTCTCGATACATTCATTAGTCTCCTCAATTGCTGCTCTCGCTTTCGACCGTCCCGCCGCGTCATCGATGATCTGGCAAAGACCGATATAAGATCGAAACGTCTGGATCGCCTCGAGGTACTTGAACCCCTCCCTGTTTCTCACAGCAACCTCCCACAACGCTCGGGCCTCCTCAACAACGTTGCCCAAATCATGCCATATCCTCTGTTCAAGCCACAGATGCCGTATCGACTGTTCTATATCCTTCTTTTTGTGATATGCAAGTGACATGTTGAAGTAAGCCATGGCTTCGTGCGGCTTGTTTCCGTCCTTTTTGTAGAGAGCGAGCGCTTTCTCAAAGAATTCCAGAGCGCGGTCGGGCTGGTTGCTGTGGTTGAGCGTGATGCCGATGTTCAGATTCAGGTTTGCTCTGACGGGTCCTTTCCTGTCCCTCGGGATGTGCGATATCAGCTTGCTCGCAGACTTGAACGCCGTCATGGCTGCATTGAGTTCAGCCTCATCGTGCTGCTCATTCGCTTCGAACCGGGCGATATGAATCAGTCCAAGCTCGATATGCCCCTGCAGCTGATCCTGCACATCCCGGAGCTTTTCAGCACATGTAATGTACTTGGTACAGAAAGTCAAGGCTGGCGCGAATTGGTCTAGTTTGCGATAACTTGTGCACATCCGGTAGTACGCCCGCGTTTTCGCCATCTCAGCCTCCCGGCCCTTCAGGAACGCGGCATTGCTCAGCTCCTTCTTCGCAGTCTGAATTGTTTTTCCAAGATCTTCAGCTTCCTCATAAAGGTCTCCAAGTTCCCCCAAAAGCTTGTCAAGCTGTGCGTAGTCCTTGTTTTTCGTAGCTAGCTGGCTTTTAAGGAGGAGGGTCCGGGTTTTTTTGGGGAGATTGTCGCCTTCGGGACCGGTAGGGGACTCGTCCCGGGCTTCCCTGGCGTTGTTGCCTCTCTCTAGCTTGTAAATAACCTTACGACCCATGATCATCTACTGGAAGTTCCAAAACTCTGTGGGCGGAGAAAGCCGGCCTGCTTTTTCCCCGAGATTTGTAAGGCGTGAGGAGATAAAAGACTCTCTATACGTGTGATCAGCCAACCCACGCCTTCCTGTTCGCACAGTAGCCTATCGATATCGTATATCGCAATTTAACACCCGTGGAGTAACTGGAGTTGGTCCTGGCAGTGCTTCTTGGCCTGCAGAGTTCATTTGAAAAGCCGAAAACTGGCCGAAACACACGCGGCCCTTCCGCGTCCGGCTGGGCGGACACTTTCTGATAAAATGATGCACGGGCGGGCGACAGCAAACCTTCAGACTCCTTCAGACAGCGGTTGAGGGAACGTACTGTACAGTATGTACAGTACTGTACATACGGTCGCGATGCCTCATGGAAGATTGATACTAGCTCTGGCTCTCACTGCAGTGGCATGTGTCCGGAGATGGACACTGACTCGAATGAACGCTTTGCAAAACTCGCTTGGAGTGGCTGGAGTCCGAGAGCCGACAGCATGCCTCCATGTACACATATTACGGACAAGTACAGTACATATCATACATGCACCAGAAACAAGGCGGAGTGGAGGGGGTTGGCGACCCAATATTTCAGGGTTGATGAGGGAGACGGATGATATCCCAACACATTGATACAGGACGATTGGGCAAAGATATTTGTACGAGGTGAGCTGGACGACAGGCGCTATAGATTGTATGTCTATGCGCCCTTACGTGCACATGTATCGCATCACCTTTACACCTCGGGAAGGTACTGTATATTACGACCTGACAGACGTTCGGCAAATAATACTCGTCCGCCGGGTGTCGTTGAAGTCCTATAATTGCACACAAAACCACTAAACTCCTGCGGGAGTGAGAAGTATCGAAATATCGCCAGCAGCCCACTCGCTCTGACCCTCAACTTCCTCCAGCGTGTTATGCATATTGAATGGCAGCTTACTGTACATATATGCAGTATGGTGGACGGAAGTGCTTGCCAGAGTGGTGTGTGGTGGGGGTTTGCCAGCCTTGCCCTCAAGGGGTCGTGCTGGGTCTCTGGGTCGCGTGCGTTGTGCCGAATTGGGAATTTCGAGACAACGAGGAAGTCCTTTCCCACCCGCTCAGTCGCAACGACTAGACCTTCTTAAACTGTATATACGTAGCCAGGACTGCCGCTCTCTGATTCTCGTAAACAACAGCCCGAAAGGACAGCTCTTCTCTGGCGGGTCCACTTAGCTCCACCCCTTCGGTCATTCCTCATCCTCATCGACGCCAAGTCCCACGCCAACCCCGCCTCCGAAAGCCTGAGAGATCTCCCATTTCGGAGATCACCGTATATTCCTGGCAAACATGGACAAAATGGACCTGGTACGGGATAGACTTCCGGTTATACCGCTCGTACGCTTTGCCACGTATCACTCCCCCTGACCACTGCGTGTTCCTCTCAATTTTCTCTCCGCCCTTTTGCCGTCCCGTCACACTTCGACCATTCCAACACCCATGCTTGCAGTCTCTGGACGAGATCATTACTACAAACAGGAACCAGAGCCGTCGCCCACCTGCCGTTCAAGGTGGACGTATTCAGAAAAGCAAGCGTACTCAGCGACCTACTCCATACTCTGTAAGTTTCGAGAAGTGGGAACCAGAAGCCGAACGATAGCGAGCGCGACCTGGAGCATATGCGCCGGCGAGCGAAGCAAGTACCTTCTAAGGGGACTAATGGTTCTGCGAGCGATGGCGGAGCATTCGCGGTCTTTCTCATATCTCGCCCAACGTCCTTGTCGCGAGAGAAGCCAGCGGACCCGTCTGACCGTCCCTTCACCCAACGGGTTTTCACCCCAACGCTTTACCAACCCCGCACTGACCCTATATCCCATACGAACAGAGACCCCCTACTCAGAGGATAGGTCTTGGACGCCGTGGAAGAGCAGTACAGGGACAATGGACGAACGACCTGTTCGCAGCGGCCAACCCAGGCGTTCAAGTTGACCTGCGCAAAACCATCGGACCAGGCGTGCAAGGGGACCTGCGCAAAACCATTGGGCGAAAGCAGCACGGAAAACCCAGCAACGCCCAGTCCCCAGCTCGTAACGTTCACATCGGAAACAGCAACGGAATGATGATCGACCGCCTGGGACCTTCCGTCGGTAGTTACGCAGCGGCTGCTGTTCGCGGAAACTCTATCAACATTAAAGGCGCAGCTTCTCGCGCGGTTATCATTGAGAACTTACACCCGAACGCAACCGCGGATGATGTCAAGGTGCGTTGCGTTCGCCTTTTTCGAGGCCCTACGAGCACCATCTCAAAAACTTAGCAGGCGATTCTGGCCGGGTACGGCAAAGTGTTGGAGTGTACTATCGCGAAAGATGGAGCAGGGCGTTCAAAGGGTTCGTGCAAGGTGCTGTTTAAGGAAGCGGAAGTTGCTGCGCATGTCATCAGGAATCTCAACGGAATGACTGCCGATGGTATGGTCCATACTTAAGTCGGTCCTATATTACGTGTCCCTTTCTCACTTTTAGTGCTCTTCAGGACGCGTTTTGAGGGTTTCGGAAGCGCCAGCCGGTCTTTCCATCGCGGGAGCTGCCGCATCACAGGGGCAACAACATCAGAGCAGGTCAGTCGTTGGTTTCTCGAGGTTTTCTATTTCTCCACTCTGCCGTGTTCACGAGGACTGAACTCTCTGGTTTATTTCTCCAGCCGTCAGAATGGACCACCCGCGGGCACACTATACTCGGACCGCCTCCCAGGAAACAGTCCCTCCCGTCTCTTTGAACGCGCGTTCGATTATACCGGCGTGAACAACCCAAACGGAAGCAGTGCACAGCGCGGGGTATTTAGCCGGGTCGGGCCAAGGAGCGGAAGCGGAAGCGGAAAGGGTGGAAGGAAGACTACGTTTTCCGTCACGGTGTAGGGAAGGGATGTGTCATCATCTGAGAGAGGAGAGGAACGATCCTTGCAAAACATGCTTGGGAGAGGCTCGGTGTGAATATGGATATGGAAATCTAGAGGGAATGTAAACTTCTGTTACGTTGAATGTCAACGGATGTCGTCTCTGTACCCTCAATATATTGGAGATGAGGGAAGAGTTGCAATGCCCTGAATTGTTCTTGTCCGCTGACTTTCATTTGACTTCCACCCGAGGTCAATTAATCTACATGTACGTGTATCCCATCGCTTCCCTAGCATCACTCGGTAGATACAGTTCCAGGCACCGCTCACAGTCCAAATCATCCAGAAAAATCACCTCCCCGCCAACCCCCCCTGCAGCAACATCCCGACCACCTCCACCTCCCTCTTCACGGCCTCCCCCCCTTCCTGCCCGAGCACCCTCACAATACCATCAATCCCCCGTAACCGACCCTCCATCTTCTCCCTCTCCGCCTCCCTCGCCGCCACATCCTTGACCAGGAACACATATTTCCCTTCCCCGTAGTCCCTATATCGCCGCGCGGTGCGTTGGGAAAGCAGTGTTTGGGAAGTCAGAAGGGATTTGAGGTTGGTCTTTTGCGCGAGTTGGGATTGGAGCGTCTCTGACTGTGAGTGCAGGGTTTGGGCGGAGGTTTGTGTGGCGTCGAGCTGGGATTGGAGGTTGGATTGGGTTGATTGGAGGGTCGATATGTCTGCAGCAGAACCGAGGAGGGATGGGTGGACGTTAGCATCTCAACAAGGGTCTTTCCTTCTATCTCATGAATGATCTCTACATACCGGTATCGCATTCCTTTAGCTCATTTAAGGTCGACCGGATCTTCTTGGTCAGATCCGCAATCGCATTCTGCAGATTGATCTGGCCCCCTCCCGTTCCTTTCGTCTGGGATCTAAAAGTACAACCGCCATTCATCCCAATGTGCCCGAAAATCCCCATATTCCCCTCAATCTCATACCTAGACGCAATACTATCCCTCCTCCAGACACTCTTCTCCATCTCCCCAATCATCTTCTCCTGCAGCTTCAGCATACTCGCATGCCGGAGCTTCATCCGGTGGATCTCGGCTTCCATCTCCCGGATTTCGCTCGCGCCTACGTTCGGGTCTAACGCTGCTTGCGTTTCGCGTGCGAGTTGGATCTTCTTTTCCCAGAGCATCATTTGACGTCTGTCAAAGGAGAGAGGCGGGTTGGTTTTGTGGGATTTTGTATGGGATGGGATGTACGAAGGGCTTACTCGGCTTCGACGAGACCGATGAGTGCGCGTTGTTTTTCCGCGCGGAGGTCGACGACGTTTTGCTCCATGTGGATAGACTCCAGTTCCGCATTCTACATAATCAGCGTCGAAGTCAGGATAACCTTCAGTTATGCATCCCAATGTTCGAAAGACAATCGCACCTTCAGCCTCCCCCGAAACTCTTGCTCCAACCCGAGATTATTCTCCTCCAGTTTGTTCTGCACGACGGCATGTTTGGTCAACAGCGTGTTGATCTTGACCATATCGTGCTGCAGCTGCCGGATATTGCGTTCGTGGTTCCGGATCTCTTTCAGTTCCGTTTCGAATGCGCCTGGATGACATCAACCCCATAGAAAAAGGTCAGCTTGTTGACAACCTGCAATTGCCACTCGCCAGAACCGAGAGGAGGCCACATACCATTAACAACCATCTTCTTTCTACTCAGCACAGTCAACCGCATCTGCAGCTCACTCGTCTGCTCTGCAATCTCGCCAGTGCGTTGGGTGAGCGAGACCAGTTCGTTCTGTGAGCGGAGCCAGAACTGTGAGAGTTGCGAGCATTCTTTTTCTTTGCTTTGCACTGAACGGGAGAGGTTGTAGATGGTTGCTTCTAGGGGACCCATCGATTCGTCCTGCGAAACAATCATGGCCAGATGTTATATTGTGGGGTAGTATAGGTTCTTAGGTGTAAACGTCTTTGTTTCCGTGCGTACCTGGTTCTTAGCAGTAAGCTGGTCATACTTCTTATTCAGCATATCCACCTCCCCTTGCTTCTTGCCCAGCTCATCATTCCGTCGCCTAATCTCCATCTCATACTTCTCCACCAACCCGTTCCGGTCAGCTAATTCCCGATCCAACCGCCCAACAACCTCCTTCATCCCACGAATTGTAGCCGTGACATTCAGCGTCTCGAGCCGGATATGCCCCAGATCATTCTGCACATTAGCGATCGCCGACTCCTTTTCGTGGATCTCGGCTCGCAATTTGGTGTTGTCGCGTTGAGTGCCTTGCGTGCCTTTGGAGATGTAGAGCTGGGCTTGCAGGTGCTCGGCAATCTCCGATTCGAGCTTTTGGGTGGCTGCAATGGCTTGCCTCCGGCGCTTTTCGACGGAGGAGAGTTCGGTTTGAAGGGCTCGGCGTTCCTATCATTTACGAAGTACACAACCTCAATCGGGGATCGTCTTGTGCATACATCTTCTTACATCCTTTACGCACCTGCATAACCATAGCCAACTCCCCTTCAGTCTGATCCAAACTCTTGGTATAGAGACTGAAGCTCTCATTGAGCTTCTCCCTCTGCTCATTGATATTCGCAATGTTGCGTTTGAGGTGACTGACTTCGGCGTCGAGCTTGTTGAGCAGAACCGTGAGCGCTTCGTTCTGCTCTTGCGCTTTGCGGAGCTGGAGCCGGTAACCAGATACTTCGCCGTTCATGGTCAGGAGGGTGTTCTTATTTTTTCTGGGAGGGGGTTATGGTGTGAGTTTTGAATGATAGAGTTCGCAGACGGTGTTTCTTTGATTGGGCACTCACTGGATACCCCCTTCAATCTCCTGGATGACTTCTTCTCGTTTCTGGAGGCCAATGAGGCTGCTGTTCCACTGATGGAGCAGCTGCCGCTTCTCGAATTGTATGGCCTGGGCATTTTGAATGTTAGTACAGCATTTATACGGACACCGCGTATAAGAGCTCCTTCTCGCACCTCCATCTCGGTGGCCGCATCGTGCAGCGTCTCCATCGCAGCCTTGGTCTCCTTCTGCTGAGCCATAAGCTGCGTTTCGAAAAGTGCCCGCCGTTCTTGCAGCCTTCTCAGTTGGTCGGTCAACCGGTCAATGAAGTAATCCTAACAGGTTGATGATCTTTGAGCCCTTTGTCTCGCTGGCTACGGAACATGCAAAATTTGATTCTACCTGACGCTTTTTGTCCTGCTCCTGCTTGACAAGATCCTCCTCCGCCTTCATCGTGCTCCGCTTTGCAACGAGGATCTTGGATTTTAGCTCTTCGTTATACCGTTCCACTTGCTTGATGGTCTGCGCTAGCTTTTCCAGTTCGGATTTTTGGCCCTCCACTGTTGTTCGATGATCATGAGTAAGCCACCCTATAGATTCCCTTCTGAAGCACAGCCCGGAACTTACGGATCTTCGAGCTCTTATTTGCCTTCTCCTTATGCTCTTTCCACTGCGAGCTCGCCTGCCTCAACATCCGTTCCGCCTCCTCCCTGAAGCCCCGAATGACATTCAAATTGTCCTGCGTGCTCTCTAGCACCGCCTGCTGCCTCGCCAACTGCTGCTGCAGCGTATACAGCTCAACACCGACCGCCTCACGCTTGGCGAGGCTGACGCGCACCGAGTCCTCTTTCTCTCGAAACTCTAGTTCCATTTTGGAGCGACGCTCCGAGAGTTGCTTGTAGAGGGCGGCTTGCACCCTTTCCATGAGCGGCTAAAGATCGAGCGGTTAGCACTCCGATCACTCTGAGTCGCTCCAGACATGCACATACGTCGTTAGGATCCATCAACGCAACATTCTCCGCCATATCCTCCACCGCCTCTCCCTCAATCGCCTGAGACGGTGCAAAAGCCGACGACTCATCAATCGACGAGTCCGTATCAGGCATCGCCCCGCCGACGTCGGGTGTCTGGAACGTGACATGATGCGCGGCGGGGGTAGTTGGTATCGACCGGCTGCCGGTGCTGTCCGCCTCGCTGAACGTGGTGTGGGTCTCGGGGCGGCGGGTTGGGAGGGGTGGCAGCGCAGGATACTGGGAGCGGTCGTCTGGTTTCGTTTGGTCGTTGTTGTTATCGCTGGTGGAACCATCAGGGGGTTTGGAAGGCAATGGGCCTCTTTCGTCGGCAATGCTTTGGACTGCCTCTGGTTGCTCGGTTGCAGATGCCGCTGCACTCCCTGTCCAATTTGTCAGTGGTCATTGGACACATTCGAAAATGATGTAAGTGTTACCTGCATTCGACTCGACTTCGGCTTCATCAACGCTTTCGGTCGCCGGTGGAACATCCACCCCTACCCCTCCATTGTCTTCATGCTCAGCTGTGTCTAAGTCCTCCGCTGGCTCCTCTTCTGAGACCTCGGGAACGGGGTCGGATACAGACTGATCTTCATTCTCGGGCGCTCCCTCACCTTGTGAGTCCGGATCAAGCATGACTCGCAAATGAGTGTTTTCGGTGCACAGCTGTGGGCTTGACAGGATGCTGTTCGCTTTAGAGGCTTCTACTAGCTTCGAAAGATTCTGTTGGTGAGGAGAAGCACGAATCTGAATCAGCGGTGCGAAAATAATGTGAGGAAGCCTGTCGGCACTTCATAATTCTGCCAACTGACGGCACAATCGACAGCGCGTAGTTCGTAGCGCGTCGCGTCTCGTCCTGAGAGTCCACACTCGCCGCCAAGTTGCCCAACCACACAAGACGCGCACTACGCAGGATTGATGTCGCAAGCTCGAGGTTACTCCGGTCACTGTTGGATGGAGATGCCCTAAGGTCGTGCGCGGACATGCGGCGGCGGGTTAGTTTCTGCCCACATCATGAGCAGATGTTCTTCAGTTTAATGCGGAGTAGAGAATCACCTCTTACAATGGACGTAAGATAACTCCTCGAGTCAGGCGGAAAGGAAAAGGTTGAGAGAAAGGGGGCGGAGGGATCCTGAGGGAGTCCTCATGGCATCAATGTATGGGATACTGCAGTCTATATATGTAGCCGTGGACAACCCACCGACTCCCAAATCCATACGCACATCGATGTGTGTAATATGGATGTGCATACAAGGGTGATGATATCAAGGCGGCGCGCACGGGCGGACGTCGGTTAAAACTTCAGGTGTCCTAACGACGCCGAAAGCGAATGTTATCCCACTCTATGTGGGCATTCCATCCGCTCTCAATCCGTACGAGGGGGACCAATAGTGACTCCTATATGCGGGCCGCCGACGGTAAATACATCCATGCCCTTCGCCGAAGGAAGGGGTGTGTCCCATACAAACGCTAGCTGCTGTTCATTGGAGAAATGCTTATATCTCCAGCATGAGGTAGTGTTAACGTCCAATAAGGATACGAATTGCAGAACTTGTGTCCGGATAGGGTTTGTGGGAGGAGAGTTTACTTTGATTGACTGTAGCTAATGATCTTGTAGGCTGTTGAGCGGAAAACAAGGGTGAGATCAGGGCAAGGGATAATCATAAAGGAGGAGGTGTTTGTTACGTACAACAGAATGCAGCGAAGGCGATTCCCATGAATTCTACAACGACAAGTGTGTTAGTTCCTGGAACGTGCCATCCGCTCCCTCTTCACCATCAATGAAAAAGAATACATACGTTTCAAGCTCGCTTTCGTCCCATCACGAATATGCACCATTCGATTCGTTAAAATGTCAATCTCCTGATCAATTCTGGCCTCCGCTTTCGCCACAAGATCCTTCAACTGCGCCGCCTCATCCTGGATCCTCGCCTTCTCCAGATTGATATCCAGTCGCACCCCACCATGTACCCTTGATACTTCATCGCGCATACCCTGTTTCATGCGCTCAACTTCGGCGAGAATCCGTTCGAGCTCGCCGCGGAGCACGGCGAAATCGCGCTTTTCGAGCATCTGGATGTCGGCGCGGAGTTGGGCGAAATCGCGTTCGGCGTCGGAGACTTCTTCAGCCTGTTCGGTTTTTGTTACCATGGAGCGACCGATGTTTTCCATGCTGTTGGGAACGCGGCATGTCAGTGAACCTGATGAACCCTCAGTGTTCGACCATCACATAGCCTCGGAGAAGCAATTCCAAACGAACCTTTCGGACACAGCCTCGTTTACCAGCTGCAGGATAGCGTCCGCCTGCGGTGCCGTGAACCCTTCCGTCTGCAGCATTTTCGAATACCGCGTGATGTCGAATTGTCCGCTACCCGCAACGTTCGAACTTCCCGCCAGTCCCCCCCGAACAAGCCCAATCGTTTGGGCAGTTTCTCCCTCTGTTGAGATACTGGATGATAGTGGTGGGAGAGATGATTCAAGCAGATTTGGAACTTCCCGTGGGCGGAGATGCGGCGTAGGCGCCGGTGGAGGTTCCGGGGTGGGTCCTCGGTCGTCGTAATCGTCCGTAAGTAAGGAGCTTGGCGAAGAGGAGCTTAGACGATCTTCATGGTCGGTGTCGGAGGGCAGGTTGGAGAAATACCGTCCTGTTGAGAACGATGTTGAAAGACAGCGGGAATGTGAAGACGGAATATATGGTAACTTTGCGAAGGTGTATCGTAAGGATGCGCTGGGACAACATTGGACGCTAGCGCCCCTCCCTAAGGACCTGGCTGCTCTGCGGAGCATGCTTTCTCGAGTCTTCTCCTTTCCAGCACTTAGAGCGGACGTCCTGCGTCTGCTTGGGCGTCTGGTATCTGTACACAGCACCGAGAATATCCCTCTCAACTCCGATGCCCGCCGACACTGCTTTCTGGTCTTGAAATGTGGACACTTCCGGGCAGACTTCCGGGCAGCTTCCGGGGAAACAACCGCCCGGTGTGTTTGACGTTGAAGATGAGCGGGTACTACTTCTAAGAATGGGTCTCTAATAGTGCCTGTCTCTCGCTTTCTGAGGAGTATATGTACAGTGTGACAGACAAGAGGAGGACTCCTCGCAGATTGCCTCGCAGTCTCGCAGAACTCCTGGGAGTCATGGGAGGCTCTGAGGCTGGGACGCGGAACTCGAACTTCGCTTCGCCATTTTCGCCCCGAACAGTGGACGAAAAGGACGAAACTTCGGTCGCCAGGCCCGAGCTCAGTGACACCGCTTTAGGCCGAAGAGTGCGTTGTGTTTTACACAGCGGAAAACCTTTCTATAGGGTGTAGTTCATCGCGAGCGTTGGCGAGGGCACAGAAATGCAGTTCGGCTGTCCGAGAGTACATAGGGTAGTTTAGGAACGAACAGCACTATCGCAGCAGCTGCTGACGGGGACGGCCAGCCGGGGTAGAGACAGAAAGGGCAGCTAGGCCGGGGTTTCCTCCTAGGAAACAGGACAGGCCATTTTGCGCACGATGGGGGAGGACTCCCTTCGTCACGATGCCCTGCCCGGAGCGAGTAACTCCAAACGAAACCGCGACGACTATGTCCCACCTGTTTTGAGGACGTTATTCCCGGCGATCTGCTCGCTGTCGGCGTATTTGGAGAAGCTTGGGTATGCCCAGGCCAACGCATCGCCCGATGTGGAGTTCCTTGAAAGCATTATGGTCGTTCGATGTTCCGATACGCCCGTTCCTTCCGTTGGTCCACCTGGAGATGTCCATTTTTCTCAAGCTGAGGTAGAGGCTGATTTCCTTAGGCACCTCCCGCTAGATCTGCATACTTATCAGCGTCTCTGAAACGCGTGGCAGGTGGTGCACATGAACATCGAGAAAATCCTTAAGGCAGCGACGTCCACGACCCCCAACCTGCTAACTCTAGGGTACCGCAATGTAAGGCCAGATGTGCGCTCAGGAACCCGTATCTAGAAAGAAGTTGCTCACATGTCCGTCATATTCAAAGCTGCGTGCAAAAGGCAACCGGGTGGTAGGCGCACATGGAATCGAAAACTACTTCCCCAACACGATCATCAACATCCTGAAAGCCGAATGTTGGCAAAACTTGCTCCGTCGGTGGGTTGACCCTTTGTTGTGCTTTGTTGCGTCCCCGGGATGTGTAACTCACAGAAACATCAGGATTGGATTCGAAATGATGTGCGATTTGCTTCTGAATACCACAATGTTTCTCTGCATGCCAAACGGCTGTGTTGTCCAGCTTACTGGTATGTGAAAGTATCGAAGACTTTCTCCGGATCCCATATTCACATTCATTACCGCAAGGCATTCCCTTGACGGACCAGTCCGTATCCCTCGCTGTTGATGAGATTGCATTGGTCGGTGGACTCCCCAAGACCAAATCGAAGAGACAGATTGGAGACAACAACGCAGATGAAGGTCCGTCGAAAAAGATCAGAAATCAGGCCATTCGTGGAATTGACAGCCTTCGCGCTGGAAAACCTACCGTTGGGGCTGTTGCCGATCCCAATAATGTCAAAGCACCTGGCCCCCAAACTTCCAACAGGTAAGTCTCCCATGTCGGGTTATCCGTATATTACCAGAATGCTAAGAAATACCGTTTCAGCGGACCGTCATGCTCCATTCTCATTGCTCGACGGAAGATCTTCAGCGTACGAGGGCAACGCAACGCGACAGGCGGCTTCCTCTTTGGGCTTCCTAAATTCCGTAAGTCGATCTGTCCGCTGGACGCCAAACCTCCATGCGGGACCTGATCGGTGGCCAACGAGCAGATATCCTGAACCGCGGAAAAGCAAGCTTCTCCAAAACCAGGCTGCTTGCGGACATATTCCCAAACCAGTTCGGGTCACGAAACGCGTTCCGGGCTCGCAATGGGAAAGAGGCTGGGGATTACGGTGGCAAAGACCTACCGGTGCGGTGCGCTGAAACACGGATGTAGGAGTGTAGAGTGATCTCATCTCTTTGATGTTTCAGGACTCCTCGGCCATGGGAAAAGTCCCGCGTCGACTGAAAACGGTCGGGGATCTGGGAATGCAGATGCAAGCGCTGCACGACAGGTGTAATTATAGCGCCATCCTGGACTTTTACTGTCCGAAAACCGTGAGTGGCAAACATGTCGTCGATCGTGCCGAGTCGTCTTCCTGGCTGATGGTTCTTGCACAATGCTAAGTCGGGAAAACCTAGTCCGCAACCATCCGCAACGTTCGACGCGAGTTCGTCGTTCCATCAGGTTAGTCCGGGGTTGCTTAGTGGTCAGATGAGCAACTACTCACAATGTCGTTCAGGTCTCTTCGTTCGTGAGAGCCATCATACAAAAGGTGATTCCCAACGCTTTATGGGGTAGTCCGCGCAATCAGAAGGTGATCTTACAAGGTGTGGGGAAGAACACTAAAAGACGTCAAGTTGATTTAATTTCGCTGATGCTGATTGTCGGTTGTTGGGACAGCCGTGGATAAGTTCCTGCGCTTACGTCGATATGAAACAATGTCGCTTCGGAATATTGTACATCGCTTCAAGGTTAGTGACATTTGTGCTCCGCCATGGCGACGCGGCCTTGCATAAACAAATCCTACAATTCACTGCAGATAAATGAATGCGAATGGGCACACGGCCGCAAGGGCAACGCGGACATAAGCGCATTCACCCCTCTCTCCGAAACATTCAAGCGGACCGAACTCGTGTACGAGTTCCTCTTCTGGGTCTTTGACGGCTTCGTAATCCCGCTCTTACGTGTAAGTGCAGTTGCTGCCGCACGGAGCTTTCAGGGGGGAGTGATTGATGTGTGAGCCTCACATCAGGGAACCTTTTACGTAACGGAAAGCGCACCCTTCCGCAACAAGATCTTCTATTTCCGCCATGATCTCTGGCATAATCTCACTGATCCGGTGTTTCAGAGGCTTTCTACGACGATCTTTGAGCCGTTGCAGAAGGTATTGGGCCCCACTTCAGTCTCTTGGCTTGCATTTCTTTGGGACTGATGGATGGCTTGAATTGGAAGAGATGCAGCCACGAGGATACACTCAAATGTCTTGGATATTCTTACATACGGCTCCTGCCGAAGGAAAGTGGTGTGAGGATGATCACCAACTTGCGGCGGCGGATCTCGAGCAAGGTTTGTCCCCTCTAGATTCGTTTTCGGGCGGGACGCGGGGAGGTTTCACCCACCGATTCATCCGCCATCCATGATACGTAGAAGATAAGTCCGGAAGGACAGAACGGGCGGCCAGGATCCACCTCCATCAATGGCATCTTGCAGAACGCGTTTCACATCTTGACATATGAAAAGGTTTGAACCGAACCTTATGTATCTTCATCCACTACATACGAGAAGCTGATGCCCTAGGGCACGAAAGACCCATCGGGAAATGATGGGCGGGTCCGTGTCAGGTCTGAACGATATCTATGCACGGCTGAAAGAGTTTCGGGACCAGCTGGTTGCGTCTTCAGGATCGCGGTGCGGAACACGTTTTGAGTTCTTGACGAGAGATTTACTGACTTGACCCGTTCCTCCTCCAGCAAGCTCCCCACCCTTTTTTTCTGCAAAGTGGATGTCGCCAACGCGTTTGATACCATCGATCAGGGGCTTTTACTCCAGATCATTCGTGATGTCCTGCAAGAGGTAGACGCACATGAGTCAACCTTCTTCACAGTACCGACTGCAGCAGGCTTACACAATTGGCTTACGCATTCACTCCTGCAGGACGAATACCTGGTTCAAAAGTTCTCGCTGATCCACCAGAGCGCCGGCAGATACAAGAAGAGTTTCATACGCAAAGCTCGTCCCTCCGGTACGCTACATCATTATTCAATCGAAAAATTTCAGTGCGAAAGTAACAACATTCCTTTGCAGGCGAATTCAAGCAGTTCACAGATTTCGCAAAAGAAGTGGTCGTCGGCCTGCGGAACACGATCGTCGTGGATCAGGTCGTGCATAGCTTTGAGGAGCGCGATACGGTCATTACGTTACTTGAGCAGCATATTGAGAATAATCTGATTAAGGTGGGATAACTGTTCTTGAGAAAGAGGCTATTGATGCTCTATGCCAAGTAACGGGACTTTCTTTCCACTTGCAGGTTGGCAAGAGATTGTTCAGACAAATATCAGGAATTCCGCAGGGATCTATTCTGTCTACGATTCTGTGCAGGTACACACTGCAGTCACGACACTCTTTACGTCCCTGTGGCCCAAGTCTTAACCGTGCCTGTACATTTCTCAGCTTTTTCTACGCGCACCTGGAGCAAGAGGCCCTCCGAGGGTTCAGCGACGAGAACTCGGCATTACTCCGCTACGTGGACGATTTCCTGTACATCACAACTGACCGTGCCAATGCGGTGGCTTTTGTTCGCACCATGCACGCTGGTAAGGATGAGCAATCATCATGTCATTCTCTTGCTTCAAAAGGTGGGATGGCGATCCAATCCCACGAGTTTGGCAGGACATCCAAGACATGGCTGTCGTGTGAACGTGGATAAGACCTTGACCAACTTCCCACTGGATCTGGATGGATGTGCGGTCAAGCATGTTGGAACTGTGGATGCGAGTGGCTTGCGAGTTGGTGGGTTTTTTCTCCGTCAACTTGTCGGCTGAGGCCAGTTCTGATTAGTCATCTGTAGCATTTCCATGGTGTGGCCTCCTCATTGACACCGAGTCGTTGCAAGTGCGAGGCGATTTCGGGCGATTCCAGGGTCTTCGTGAGTGTTGTCTGTTAAGTAGACATCAATAGCGCATATTTCAGTGACCCCTGTTGACAGGCCTGGACGACACGCTGACTGTCGAGATTGCGCGGACACCCGGACGTGCGTTGAAGCACAAGCTCATGCAGTAAGTGCCACTTCCGGAGAAGCTTTGCATGCCCGCACGGTTCTGTTCGTTCACCGGCGCTGATAAATCCGATGTGGCAGGATGCTCAAACCCAAATGCCACGCAATCTTCCTCGACGCCAGCCTGAACAGCCTCCCGACGGTGATCGTGAGCGTGTACGACAACCTGCGCCTGTGCGCTATGAAGTTTGTCGCGTATGTGCGCTTACTTGGATTTGGGAACGCGTTAAGTGTTGATGTGTTTCTGCATCGTAAGTTTTCTTGAACGCGCGGACATGGGGATGTCGGCGCAGTGATATTGATTAACCGTTTTCGGCATGCAGGTGTGATCCGCGATGTGGTTCGCTTTGCCTATCTCTTGATCCGTAGCCGTGTAAGCACATTGACTGCACGGACCCACGGTTGCGTTTGCCCCCTCACCGCTACTCAAATCGAGTGGTAAGTCGCTCTCAGACATCACTCTTCACAAGCGCCGTCTAACGAAAGCATTCCCGAACACCACAGGCTGGGCCTGAAAGCCTTCCATTCGATCCTCCACCAAAAGCAAACACGCTTCCCGCATCTGACCAAACAGATCAGAAAAGACGGCGAGGCAGCCCGGTTCGCTACTGTGCGGAAACGGCTGCTTCCGATCGTTGCGCTTGCGAAAGTGTCTATCATTTAAATACTCGGACTTCTTGACGGCGTAAATGGAGAAAGTCTTTACATAAATGTCGCTACGGGACTCTGCTGAATGGGGAACGATGGAGGTGGTGTCTCTAGATTTGTACATAGTCCCGCCCGCCTCGGTGTCTTATTCTCTCCCATAATGTTCCGATCAACTCCTGTACGTGAAAGTGAGGAAGAGACTGGATGGGTATGATATACAAGGGCTGGCACTCGTTGGGTGAAGATCCATTTGTACGTACCCCTCCGTTGCGGATGACCGCGGACCAGAACTTCCAGTGTGGAAGCATATCCGGAAAGTGGCGTACTGCAAAGATAGATTGTCAGCGTGACACCACTCTTGCCCACTTTGCTTCGGCACTGATACATACTCCGGAAGACAGTATAATTGTACGCTCCCCCGATGATCAAGTAAGCGGTGCTCGCCACAAACGAAAGGAGGACGAACGTGCCGAATCCACTCATCTTGCGATCCTCACCTCCGGGATTCCCAATCGGCTGGTCGGGTCCTTTGGCCGCCTTTGGGCATCCCTGCGGTGTCTGCCACTCGATCTCAATAACCCCATTCCGTTTTGTTGCTGTTAGGTCCTGCAAGGCAATCCGGGGTTCAGATGTGCGAACCTCACGCATCCAGGGGCCTTCGCGTCGGTACCTGCGTCCGGTCATGACACAGGAAGGAGATGTTCACGGCATCGGTATTGTTTCGCTTGAATATGAGCTGCACCCCGCCCTGAATCTGTTGGACCACGGGCGGAGCAGCGCTTGCTAGGGGTTTCACCCCGGCCAAAATGGCTTTTGGGCATTGCGGCGAGTCGTCTGTGCCTTTCCCTTGTACTTCCTTCGTCTAGCGCAAAGGGGAAACTCTTTCAGCCCCCTGGGTATTGGTGACCGGAGTTTCCTGGTGGGAACTGACCTGGCAGAACCATGCTTTTGGGTCTCCACCGCAGTACTCTGTAAATTATAAAGCCGTCGATACGCTGTACTTCCGCCCACGCGAAAGCTCCGCTTACTTTCAGTTGCTTTGTTCGGAAGGGAAGCAAGTGGTCGGCAGGCGTTCCCTATTATCGTTTTTGTCACGGTTGCAAACTCAAACACTGGATCTTGGGGGATGATGGCTTTAAAATCGGCGTGGGTGAGGTTATACGTTTGACCTTTCAGAGAAAGAAGATGATTGGGTTGAGTTCGCTTCAGTCTTATGAGAAGATGTGGTGAACCAGTAACTTACCACTGAGCGAGAGGTTGGAGCAGTCGAACGCGAGGGCAACTTGACATAGGACAAAGAGGATGCCGATGGTAAGGAGGTCCATACTGAGATATACATACGACCGCTTTCTGCCCTCAACTCCTGGATAGAGCCAGCTTGTGTTGCGAAGGATATGTGCCCAGAAGAGCGTTTGAAGTTCGAAGTTCAACGGCGACGCGTCCAACTGTATAACTGACACGCACTTAAATGCATTTAATACGCAACTGGTCATGTGAGAAGAGGAGACGTCCTACACAAACAGCATCGACTCGGTTCCCAAGATCATGCGCATGATACAGGTAGGTCTAGAACAGAAACTAACTTAGAAGATGAGGCCCCAACCATCCTGCCTTCTCGCTCTATCCGCCAGGAACAACGTCAGGAAGGCATCGGCAGCTTGGCGGTCCCGCTTCTCAACCACCGCCCATGTGCTCGCCCGCACCACTCGCCTTTTTGCCCCTCCCGTCGTGAAGAAGCCGACGGTTGTGGAAGAGACGAAGACGGCGGCGAAGAAGAGGCTGGTAGCGGCAGATGCCACAACGGAAGTGGCCCCGCCAAAAAGACCCTTGGACGCGTTCTCGCTGTACTTGAAGGAAAGGCGCGCGGAGCTGCGACGTGAGGGGCGGCTGGGCACTCAAGATAACGGTATGTTTACGAAGAGTGGTGGAGGGGAGTTTATCAGCGGGCTAAAACTTTCGCTGAACCGCCTGCGTAATGGCAGTCACATATCAGAAGCAGTTGGGAGCTGAGTGGAGCGCTCTCACCGACGCCGAAATAGCGGTGAGATATCGCAATTGGGGATTATGGTTCATGCCTACGACGGAAGTTAGATGCTGAAGCTGCGTCGATTTTGTCTAGCCATACCGCCGACAAGCGCAGGCACTTAAAGACAAATACGAAGTACAACTAGCAGAATATTTGGCAGCCCATCCACAACGCGCCACTTCTGCGGATACAGGGATATCGATCGCCGAGGCATGGCAGCAGTTTGCAGCCTCGACTCCAGACCTGCCAAAGAAATTGCAATCGAAACCGATTACACATTCGGATGAGGCTAAAAGCAAACTTTTGGACGGAAAAAGTACCGATGCGTCAGGGAAAGGGAAACCGCAAAAGAAAGGGAAGGCGCAGAAGAAAGGCATTTCTGGAAAGCCGAAGAAGCCGTTGACTGCATACTTCCTGTATACTGCGGATAAGCGGGAAGCAGTGAAGCTGGAGAATCCCGATGCTACTTTTGGTAAGGATCCAACAGCTTGGATCAGACGCGAAAAGCTGGAGCGAGACCTCTCGCACAGGATGATGACGACTCAACAGTGGGCACGCTATTCACAGGCCAATTGGGCAAACTACTGGGTGAGCGGTGGAAAGCTCTATCAGAACAGGACAAGGAGGTCAGTTGAAGTAACCCGCATTTGGCGCCTTATCGACAATCCAACTGGGCAACTGACATTTTGCACCATCGTGTCAATGCAGCCGTACCAGAAAAAAGCAGCGAAACTAAAAGCCAGCTACGAAAAGCAACTGCAGCAAGGGTCAAACGAGATTTCCGAGCCTATAACGACCGAACCGTCATCAGCAGCAACGCTCACCAAATCAAAAGCAAAAGCAAAGACATCAACAAAGATAACCAAACCGGCAGCAGCCCCAGCAACCAATTCGAAAAACCCGCGGACAGCAAAGGATCCACACGCGCCAAAGAAACCCTTGAACAGCTACTTCCTTTATGCTGCGGAACGACGCGCAGAGATCGTCGCGGCCGGTGAGGAACTCTCGATCGGCGAGATGGCGAAGAAGATTGGGGCGGAGTGGAGAGCGATGGGAGGCGCTGAGAAGGCGGTAAGGGACATTCCCCGCGGCTAGCAGAGAGTGGTGAATGGTGTGAGTAACTGGTGCCCGTTTTCCCTGTCTTCCTTGCAGCCGTTCCTAGAGGAGGAGAAGCGAAGTCTGGCAGTATACACCAAGGAAATAGCAGCGTATAAGGTGTGTAAAACGTTCTCCAAACTGGTATGCTCCGTGGGGTTGGAGAACTTGCTTGTCTAATGTTTTCATGCAGGCCCGCAAATCACAATGAGCATCATGGGCGACTACATTGGCAGCTGGCAGCGGGATCCGCTTCCACAAAACGATGGCGATGAAGCGGTTGGATTATCAAAGCCACAGATGCATATGACAGGGATCATTCCAGGAGCGGGAATGGTGTCCCATGTAATGGGCGATGAGAACCGGAATATTGTGCGTGAATCGCAGGACGCTTTGACTGTCAGTTCTGGCGAGGATGAGGGAAAATTGAGCTGGATCGTAGAAGACAGTCCTGTAGCACGGTATACGTAGACGTATTATGGTAGATGTGGTTTGCGAATCAGCTCGGCTTCAAAAAGCAACGTGAAAGTGACTCTAATGTACATATGCAGGCTCCCTACGGAAGGACGGTGACTTGACTAACCGTAAGAATCTACAGCAACGCCTTGGGGTTCTTCAACAGCTTAGCCCAAGTCGCTAAAAACTTATCGGCGACCTTCGCCGACACCGCCCTCTCATCCACCACCAGATCCGCATCAAGCACGTAATCCACTCTAGGCTCGCATTCCCCGGAGAAAGAGCCCGTGTAGAAGCTCGAGGGTGGTGGTTGAGCGAAGAAATCGATGTCGGAGGGCGAGGTGGCCGTGGCGGTCTTCGATTTCGGTTTCGTTGATTCGAGAACAATCGTGGCGTCTGGTGGGCCGCTTTTGGAGGGTTTGGTTGAAGATTTGTTGGGTGCGCCGAAGATGAGGTCGAGGTCGTTGAGGCTGCTGGATGGCTTTTGTTGAGACTCTTTGCGGATGGAGCCTATTGTGAAGTTGACGGGGTGGCGGGATGTGGGGTAGGCTGTGACTTCGGCTAGAGGGGAGAGAACAGCGTCGAAGATGGTGAAGGCTGTGCCGGGGTGTTCCACAGCTTTCAAGTTGTCCTGAAAGATGGTGCGACGATGTCAGACATGCGAAAGGAATGAACAAACGACTCGAGTTGTGATGTCTGATCCCTCTCCGTTACCTGAAAGATCTTGCTGAGTTTCACGCCACCAACATCTTCCGGCTTCTCAAGCAACATGCGCGCACTGCCAAGTGGTGCCAGCCTGGTGATCAGAATCCGAGGCTCCGTGATGACTTCCTTCTTCTGGTTTGCTTCCACCCATTTCGCATTGACTGCAGACGTACATGTGGAATCAGCACAAAAGAGGATCCGACCGCATTTCTAAGTGACTTTCGCTTACCTTCGGGTACCGCCTTTAATGCGAGATGGGCCGCCCTCGTGAACAGGTCGGATACGGACAATGCCGCATGGTAGGTATCTATCGTGTGAACATTTAGGCGCCAATCTTGCAGTAAAGCGGTGTCAACCGCTCGACAAACTGCTACGAACCATTATAGTTCTTCACGAAAGTGACAAGGTCGTTCACAACCACTTCGCTGCCATAGTAGGCCGCTGGGAGAAGAGGTTCATCACTGCCGTCCACAGCAAAAACTGCCCCTCCCGCTGGTGCATTGTCCAAAATCGATGGGTTCGCCAGATATTTCAGTACATCCCCCTTCAATAGCCGGTTCTTCGGTCCTGGAGGTGCCATGTGTTTTGGTTAGTGTCGAACTGTCAGCGCACCATTCGACCAAACTGTTTCGCAGGCATACCTGAGCGAGGCAGACGCCTCACAGTCGCAGAGTCAATTCCCTTGGCACCGACAAGCCAGGCGACCGCCGGGGACAAGGTTTCACCACTTGTGCTGGTCGATGCAAAGCGCGCTACCAACCGAGTGACCTCAACGTCAGTAACGGAGGAAGCCGTGTCGACATTAACCTGACAAGGACACTCACCTGTGCATTTGGAGAGAGGTGAAGAGGTACGAGAGGCCCTTGCTGCCGCGACACTCACTCTTGTCAGCATCTTTGCTATATGCGGCGATTGGAGATGGGAGCGTGAAGTCTGCGGAATGAGACCTTTCGCAGTGCAAGCCTTCGATCTCAACCGGAAATCGATGTTTGCAACATGAGACATCGATCCGACGCGTTCAGCACGTGACTGGGTTTTACACTTTATACGCAATTGTGATTATCCTGTTATTCGCCACTGTCAAATGTTTTATCGTCTTTCTGTCTGTGTTCGACCCTACGTAACGTACTTTTGGCTGAGAGATGGTAACAGTAGCTCGGCCGTGTCCGAGGTTGGTTCGGTGCCAGAAAACATCGGACAATCAGCCATACACCGTAGGAGTTCATCGGCATCCAATCAGACATTCTTACAACAAAAACTCGAAGGTAAGTCAAACCGACATGCGCGGTCGAGGCAGTCCAGAAATGTTTGTCTACTGCTTTGTCCATGTACTTGAGAAATTGTGGAAATCCGTGCGGAAGCTTCCAGCCTCCCACCTTATACCCATAATTCCTTCAGGGTGCCTTGTCAATCTTGCTCAGTCATGTGTCTTGGCTTGCGAACGAAAGGAACGGGGCGATACCCATCCAGTTCTGCCTTCTTATAGCAGCTGCTTCTTTGCATGCACAATCGAGCAATCCGCCCATGGTTAGATTAAGGAGCCAGGATACGCCGGTATCAAAACAACTCAAGTATGCACTCTTCTCTTCCGCTCGCCGGAGTGTCTTGCCGACCCGTGAGCACACCGGCGTCAAAAATTGAGGTTCAAATTCAACAACTCTTGATCAGAGAATCAGATTGAGGCCCCTACCTAGTACCAAGTCCCGGGCACCAGTTGAAAGCGAAACCGAGCGACACCGTTGTGGTCCTTCCACATTTGGTTGTGGGCCGATGCGTCACACCACGGTCCAGAACCCAGACGAGCCGTTTGTTGGCTCAAACTGGCGGTGCATTGGACGGAGAAGCCTCGCAATTTAGCGCCTTGATTAGAATCGCCGCGGCGTGATGCAAGCTAAATTACACTTGGACGGGGCCTGAGACTGCTGTAAGACGTCGCCGTTCACTTTCCATGGCCACATAATTGTTGGAATTCTCGCGACGCACCGAAGGTCCGACGGCGAAGGCCCGCCCACCAGACAACAAAAGGTCGCACGGAAAAGCCGGGCCCCCTCGTCATCGCTGCCACCACGTCCTCCGCATCCCTCCGCCAGCCTCTCCCCTAAAAAGTTAAGCGAGACGCAATCGGTCCTCATCACCTAGTCGTCCACCTCCTGTCAAGATTGCCTGGTTCACCATGTCCGAGTCCCTCGACGAACAGGCGGTGCCAGCAAAGCCCGTGATAACCGCCCCGCCAAGAACGACCAGCAAAGCAATCTCAAAGCCAGCCAAGCCAACCACCATCGCCAAGCCGCTAGCCCACACGTCCAGCAAGCCCACCCGAGGCTCGATAGATTTCAGCCAACTCCTCACCGACCTCGACAAGGAAATCAAACATACCAAGACACAGTCTCTCCTCATACCACCTTCCCACTTCTCCCACCGCCGCCAAAGGTCGGACTCTAGCGCTGTCGAGTTCGGCCCGCCGGCTGTGGCCGCCAACGTTGCGTCTTTGGACCGCGTCGTGTCGCTTAGGTCACGCTCGATCGCAGCAGCCTCGCCGCCCTCGACGACGTCGGGAAAGAGCTTCCGTGGCCAATCCTCTCAAGGAGGGTCCGAGCAGCCAAAAAAGGTACGGTGGAGCGACGACCTCACCTTACCGTCCCCACCACCCCCCAAACGCGCCGATTCGCTGCCAGCTCCCGCCCGCGCCGCCCCACACACCATCCTCAAAGCCCCTACGACGGCGTTCCGCTCCGCACCATCCCATCAATCATCGACAGCGATAGTACCAGCATCTGTATCAACCCGCCTGACATCCTCATGGTCCCACCCGCCGCGCGCCTTCCTGCATCAACTCGCCTCCCACCGCCGGCAGAAATCCGACCCCGAAACCGCAGAGAAGCCCGACCGCAACGTCTACATGTCGTATTGGCTAAGCATGCTGGACGACGCGGCCCGCGGCGTAGCGAGGCGAACAGATGTGATGGGGGACGGCGCTGAGAATGGACACGGTGCGGTGCACATGGGGATGGGGACCGAGCGAGGGAAGAGTTTGCATGTGCAGGCGCAAGGATGATGGGGGAGTTCGTTCGTCCCCTTGGTTTCTTGGCTTCTTTGGGTTGATTTTATACCGAGTTGTTTGAGAATGAGTTTTGGGACTATCTTAAAACAATTTTGCGTTAGTTTACTGTTACGGCGCTATACCAGTATATAGTCCCTCTTGGCGTAGGCGCTATGTAGATACTACTTTTTTGGTCGGAATTCGGAAACTTTATATGACCTCTCAGAATACAAGTGCAGAATGGTTTCGTTGATGATTTGTAGAGACAGTAGTATGGGGTTGGAATTGTAAAACGAGTCATCGAGACAGCCCTCAAGCGGCGCGCGAGTAAAACAGTACGCACTACATGATTCATTCTACCCCTTCTTCCCCTTCCCCTTCTTCGTATTCGACCCACCCCCAACAGCCCCACTAACCCCATCCACAACAGCATGCGTCGCACTCGCTATCCGGTTCCTCGCAGCCCTAATAACCTCCCCAGGGCCTCCGGTTCCCAGCACCGACGCTGTCCCCTCGCTGCCACTCGTCGCTCCCAAATGCTCCGTCGATCCGTCCACGCGAGGCGGTCTTAGTCCGCCGGCAGACGACGCATCGCCAGCGCCGCCTCCGTTGATGCCGTTTGCGGGCGTGCTGCCGCTATCGCTGCCCCGCTCTTCCTCTCCCAGCTGCCTCATCCACATCGTGTAGTATGTGCCCTCCTTGTTCATCAGCTCGTTATGGGTGCCCTTTTCGGCCACCATCCCGTCCTTGAGCACCAGGATAACGTCCGCATCGACGATGGTGCTCAGCCGGTGGGCAATGACTAACGTAGTTCGCCCCTTGCCAAGCGCGAGCAGCCGGTCCTGCACCAGCCGCTCCGTGGTGTTATCCAGCGCGCTGGTAGCCTCGTCCAGCAAAATGATGGTGGGGTTCTTGAGAATCGTGCGCGCAATAGCTATACGCTGCTTCTCTCCACCGCTCAATCTCAGCCCTCGCTCGCCGACTCTCGTCTCGTACCCATCGGGGAAGCTCAAGATGCGATCGTGGATCTGCGCGGCTTTCGCGGCAGCGACGATCTCTTCGTCTGTCGCGTTTACGTTCCCGTAGCGAATGTTGTACTTGACGGTGTCGTTGAAGAGGACCGTGTCTTGCGGGACAACACCGATATGGGAACGGAGCGATGCTTGTTTGACGGTGCGGATGTCTTGCCCGTCGAAGGTGATGGATCCAGATTGTATGTCGTAGAAGCGGAAAAGAAGCTATGGAAGAAAGTTGAGGTTATTCACCGGCCACTTCACGCATGACTCTCGATGTTGCGTGCTGCTCTACATACCCTGAAAACAGTACTCTTGCCACCGCCTGACGGCCCAACCAGCGCCACAGTCTTGCCGGCTGGTACCTCGAAGCTTAGCCCTTTCACGGCCAGCTGCCTCGGGTCATATCCAAACGCAACATTGTCTAGAATTGACAAGAAGCCTTAGCAAAACGACAGGGACAGTTGCGCCAAGACCAAGTTCAATCTTACCAAAGACAATATGTCCCTTCTCGCGAATGATGAGATCCGTTGCATCTGGGTTGTCCTTGATTGCCTCGCCTTCCTCGAAAAGATCCAACATCTTTTCCATATCGATGAAATTTTGCTGGATGACTCGGTAGTATGTTCCGAACCTGATCGCCCACGAGTATCACATACGTCAGTGGCATGCCTATTCACGAAGTCAAAGTCAATCTCGAATCATACCAGTTCAACGGCTGGTAAAGCTGCAAAAGATAGGTCAAAAACGCCACAAAGTCACCAACAGTCAACTGGCCATCGGAAACCCTCTTGGCACACATCAAAAGACCGCTCAGGAGCCCGAGAGTGATGACGACATTCTGCGCAGAGTTCAAGATGTTCAAACTGGCGCTGCTCTTATAGTCTGCGTCCTGGTACTTGCGAATCGCCTCATCATACGCCTTCACTTCCAGCTGCTCGTTATTGTAGTACTTGACCGTCTCGAAGTTCAGGAGCGAGTCCACGGCTTTGGCTCGAGCAGCAGAGTCGAACTCGTTCATTGCACGACGGAACTTTGTGCGCCATTCCGTAATCCAGATAGTACATACGATGTAGAGCACCATGGTGACGAATACGAGCGTAGCGATGGCCCAGTCGAAGGTGATGAGGAAGACGATGCAAGCGAGAGCAATGTCGACAAACACCGGGAGGATGTTGAAAGCGAGATACGACAGGAGCGATCCGATCGAAGAGGTGCCCCGGTCCATCACTCGGAGCACTTCGCCGGTTTTACGATTGATATGGAACTTCAGGGACAAAGAGTGCAGGTGTTCTAGCATGCGAACGGAGACTTCGCGAGTGGTGTACTGACCCACGGGAATCCAGAGGAAGTACTGAAGAGACGAGAGCAGACCCACACCGCCTTGCAGGAAGCGGAAGAAAGTGTACAAGAGAATCGCACCCCAAGCGAAGTACGGGCGTTCATTATCCCCCTCGCCTCCCGGTGTAAGCGCATCAACCACCCTCTTATACTGCAGGGGTACCAACACGTTGACGACGCGTCCCAGTGCGAGGAAGATGAAGCACAAGACTACAAGAGCCTGCAGTCGCAAGGGCTTTGGCCATAGGAAAGGCATGAGTTTTCGCACTTTGCGCAATGTCTCGGTCCATCCAGATGTCGCTGCAGCGGTACCGGCTGCTTCCTCATCGGCGGATGCTTGACGACGTGTAGTGAAGTGCGTGACGATGAGGGTGACAATAAACGTGCATATCAGAGAGTAGCGCGTAAGAAAGATCCCAAAGTAGGTATTGTCGATTGAAACTTGGAGCATCATCGCTGAACGGATTGGAAAGTGATTCATTAGACACAACCTCTTGGAACATGAATACTCAAACCTAGGAACCGTACCACTAGCAGGCTTCAAGCTCGACACGGTCCACTGATACACTTGAGCAGACTCGACGACGAAGGCTAGGTACCAAAAATTCTTGATGACCAAAGGTAGCCTGTCCTCAGTTCTGGTAGCCCACTCCTCCCTCTCCAAAGTCGCCGCAAAGAAGATGAACGTTGTAGCCGTGAGCCACGCGAAGGCCGCCATCACATCTGCGACAGCGCGAGCCGGCATATCCTGCACAACAGCACTAGGCAGATCAGGATGTGCGGTGCGATAGAAGTCCAGCCCGACGTCGAACAAGAATGTGAGGAAAACTAGCGGGGCTATGATCCGAGCAACTATGGATCGCACTGCTATAGGATGATGCGGCTCGTCTCCATTCGTGCGTCGCAGAAGAGGTCGTCGCTCTGCTTCGTTCCGTGTGCCCTGTCTCATGACGCCAAGATACCATATCGTTCCCGCGATTACGATGAAGGCGAGCAGAATGCCAGATGAAACAGTGTCCAGCAGACATGGCGCTATCTTCCAGCCGTCAATATAAGGCGCTGAACAGAACGAGTCGTTGGGTACCGGGAAGGGTGGTATAGGTGGGAGGGGTTCGGCGTGGGACACCATCTTGTGCAGGGATTGACCCGTGGCGTGAGGTTTCTGTTTCTACGGCTGCTACAAATGTTTCTCCGTAAGGAAGATAGGAAGCGGAAACGACAGGACCAGAGCTAAAGCGCTGAAACCTGGTAGGAAAAACTCTGCGTACTCTTAACTGGGGACCGTAAGTGCTAAGGACCGACTATAATTCCGTACAGAAACAGTTTTCGCAGCCAACACCGTGTTGGAGCAAGCTGGAGCCGTGTGCTGCCCTGCGACGGACTCGACTTGAAGGAGTTTCTGGTGACTGATGAGAAGCTTGTCGTTTACCCGACTTCGCTTGGGGGCAGCAAGAAAAGAGGCGTGGGGAACTTCTTGCGAGTTGGGCTTGGGGCTTTCATCTGTCGCGATGTCACCCCGTCAAAAGGCGCATCTCTCATCTGCAAATGATCTGGGGGAATCTCCCGCTCGCTCGCAACCCCCACGCTTGCTTGGTCCCTGAGACCCTCCCATCGACCCCTCACAGAACCCCACTCACACTCGACACTCGCAACGGAACACAACCCTTTTAGACATACTGTATACGGTACATATATGTGTAGGCCGTTAAGTTACTAGAGCTGGGGCGAGGCAAGTATCGCATTTTTTGTTGGTTATACGTAGAACTCAGCGCGATGACAGCACATAAAGCAGCTACTGGACTGGGGAGCTTCTTTCGGTGTTTCCGGGTCAACGACTCCTGCTACGTTTCGCCAGTGTTTTTCTGTCGCCCTAGAGAAAACCGCGGAGGGTGACAGTTCTATGACGCCTAGGAAGCCTAGGAAGCAATCTGACGCGTGGTTTTGGACCTGGGCGTGGGTCTCGTGAGTTCGTCAGAGTGGTCAGCCCCCGGCCCCATACACTAAAAAGCCGATGTGAATATTGAACCAGAGCTGGCGAGGCGCATGTGCGGACTGGTCTGTGAGAGGTCCCGAAGGCCGGCCGATGGTTGAATTCGGGACTCTTCACAGTCCACTCTGGGCTGCCTGCCCTAGACGAGCTCACAAAACGTCCTTGAACGATCACCATCCGCATCCTGATCCGCATCCGAGAATCGAGGCATTGCTTATTACGAGTATTTCGATGTACTGTACAGAGTGCACTGAGGTTGTTTACAAACATTTTCTCGCAAGGCCCAAAGTCCCAAAAGTATCTTGGAAACGTCTAGGAGAAGAACTGCCGATCGCATGTGTCAGGTCCAGAGCCTACGGAAACCTCTTGGAGGTTCGATCTTCTGGCTTGACGTAAGTCAACTTCAAAGTCTTGAAGATCTCTTCCTCGCTTTCGACGGGAACTATGTCGCCCAGTTTCCCTGAACAGGCGGCAATCACGGTCATCAACGCACCGGCAAGCGGCATGGAAGGCGTCGCTTTACCTCTTTTTCCCTTCTCCCTCAACACCTTTTCCCCGAGACTATAGCCAATCTGGGAGGCGTAAATTCGCATCGCACGATTGAAAGGGTACTGGGCAGGAGTGGACGGAAATCAGTGTTAGAACGTGAAAGATGCATGGTGCTGCTTGATGCCAATCCGGCCTCCCTTACCGGACCGGTGGCGGCCAGCAACGTGCAGTAGTAGGCATCTTTCTCGGCGAAGAAGAACGTAACCCGACGGTAGATTGACGATCCTGGAGATTTTGCGGCGGCCTATGCGCACATGAGGTCGAGATCAGCCATGTATGCACTAAGTCCCAAGTGCCCCGCAACCGACAACTTACCACAAACTTCAAATCCCCGATCTCCCCAGCAATCTCTGAGAGCACTACACCGCGCGCTTTCAAGTCTTTTGTGAGGCCGTGCAGGCTGGTGGCGGCTTTATGCAGTTGGTTCCATTTGTCGTCGCCTTCAAAAGACGTTACGTCGTCGTGGGACACAACGACTGTGATGTCGGGGCATGACGGGAGGCCACGACGGTAGGCGCCGGCCAAGGTGATGTTGGTGTGTGGATGACCGGCGGTCGTCGTCTTGAGCACTTGCTATAAGGGCAAAGTAGATGAGCAGTTCATGTCAGAAAATCAGTGCTCACAACTCGCCAACAAACCTCCCACTCCGCGACCTCGCTCCTCGGAATCTGCCTTCCAAAATCTTCATGATACTTGATCTGGAGTCGCTGTTTCTTCTTCAAGGGCAAGTTAGGCTTCTGAAGGTCTTCAAGTGTGCGGACGTTGTAATCGTCATACAGCATTTCTGCAGACACCGGCCTGGTTACGGGTTGTTAGTTAAACCATGCAACGCCTTATCGAGAATAGAAACCCTATTTACCCAATTTCGGGAATACTGCAGAGCTTCCGAATGATATCAGAGCGAACCCTGCTCGAATCTTGTGAAGGTCGGCCACGGGTGTTCCTGCTAGGGAAACCATCGAGACCTCGTCCCTTTCTGGGGAGCACGGGGGACGGCGCTGGTTGAGCTGCCAAAAGTGGGAGGACCGTCAGCGCGCAAAGTCACATTGACCAAATCACTAAGAAGCACGCTCAAATGCCCCACCTTCATTCTCATCAGCGGGAACTTCTTGGGCGGACGCAATGCTTCGAGGACGAGCGCTCTTGCTGATGTTCCTAACCGAGCCGCGTGTCAATTCGCGACTGACAGGGACTATGCCGAAGCGGCCAGAACCACTCGCCAGAAGCGCGCGCGCCGCTCGAAAGCTGGAAACGCCGAAAAGCGACATTGCGGTACGTTTTGAGGAGATAGAGATTGAAAAGGCTTCGCTTCGGTGTACGGGGTAGTTAGTTCGGGGGTCGAATATCACGGAAAAGTACGTCGGAGAACTTTGACAGCTTCCAGGGCAGATATGTCTCGAGTTCTTCAAACAACCACCAAGATTAGCTTTGGTGAACGAATGACAAAGGCCAAGTTGGAACGAGACAGTCTGGGACGGTGGGAGTAGGGCGCCAGGACTTCTGCCTGTCCTTTTATAATAGGGGCTGCATGCATGCATGGCAGCAGAGGACTCATGGATGGAAACGGTTTGACAGGTGAATACTGTCAGTGATACGAAAACGCGCTGTCAATGGGGTCCCTGGCTTGCACAAAATGCCCTCGGATGACCTTCCTTTTCTTCCCGACGAGCTCAAAGGCGTCTGCAATGTGGCCACGAAAATCACTGGGCCCCATCAGTTGGGCGGCAGTGAGACGTGCGTTGAACTGGTGAACGGACCAGACTGTGATGGCTAAATGGTGCCAGTGAGACCATGACCAGTTCCCAATCGAGCCCCCACCTAGGCTGCAGCGCGACGCACGTCTGTCCCATTTATGCTGCAGAGGACTATAGATTGTGCTGCTGTAGGGATGCCTGACTCTTTGAGAAAATCGCACGCTTTCTTGCAAATGCATGCCATAATGCCGTGAACTAGCGAGAGCTGGATGAGAATAGCGATGTATGTAGTTTTCGTCAGCTCACGACTCGGATTCATGCATCTTGCGACCCAGCCCCACATTTGATACAATTGTAAGTAGCATTGATAGTCTGAAGTTCTATATGTTTACACGCTTGATCTTTGGCCCTGCCCGCTGATGTTTCCTGATAGTGTTTTTCCGCGCATTGTAAAATGGCAGCGAGTCGGGGTCTTCTTGCGACATCCTAGCCATTTGCAATCTATCAAACTTCTCTCCGATGTCCAAGATGTCCTACGAAACCATCAAGCTCCTTAGCAGTCCTTCCCGTTCGAAAGCAGAAGAATTCAGATGCTCACCTCGACTTGACCATCATGTCCATCATCCGGTACCTGTCCTCCAAACTGATTCTCATACCACTGCTCAAACTCCATCAGCAGTTTCTGCCGGCACTGTTCAACAAGCTGGTGGCAGTAGCCAATGTCGGCACGCAACGCGCGAAGATTGTCGAACTGCGTACGGTAGTCCTGTTTGAGCTGTTTGAGATTGTTCAAGAACACGTATTCTTCTTCGTCGATGATGATATCATCGCCGCTTTGCACGTCTGTCACCAGAATGGGTAAGAACAGGGTTGATGGCAGAAGGCGACGTGCAAAGGTGGTACCTCCGGCAGACCGGCTCTGACGCTTTTGCTCCACGTTTCTTCGCAAAACATCAATCTGCGCTTGCAGGTCATTCACATATTTTGCGAGCTCTCGTGCGTTCTTGCGTTTGTCTTTGAGAATGGCTGGGATGCAGTAGGGTGTCAGAAGGGGGGAAGATTGACGCTGAGCTGGCACGAAAGTCCGTTTACCTTTGTTCTCATTGAAGATGCGATTCATATCTGATCCTCTTCCCCGCTTGAACGCCTCATATTCTTCGGCACGAGACGGTGGTGGAGCCTGAACTCTTGAAGAATGTGCAGCGTTCGGTAAAGGTGGGAGTCCGCCAGCTTCACTCTGTTGAGCGTCTCCATGTGCGCTGAACGCACGAATACGGTCCCGTTCCCCATACAGCTGAGGCTTGCTCGTGAGTAAAGAATGCCATTATAGGAAGCTCACTGATGCCGGAACCAACCTCCGATCTCGTTTCATCCTCGTCTATTTCTGATCTAGCGAGAGAAACGATGCTCTGCGGTGCTGGTGGCCGGCCCTTCCGACCTTTGTCCTTTGCACCCCTGATACTGCCTGCTGCAGCCGTTAGACCTCCAGCCCCACGAGACATTGATGGTGCCTACAATAAAACGTGAGCCCAACGTGAGAGGTTGCATGCGCAGATGCTGCTCGTCCTACCAATCCTACGCCAAAACTGGAGCCTTCCAGCTCGCCAACACCGTCATCTTTCTCATCGGGAATTCGGATGCCCTGAACATTGCAGTCCATCTGTCAGCTCAACACCATATGTTTGCGTTTTCAGGTATGGAGACAGTCACCGGTATTCCCCCTGCCGTTGTGTCATCCTTTGTGCCCGCCGCGGGTCCAGCAGCGTTCTTATGTATCCGATGCCAGTCTTCATTTTCCTGCTCTTGCATTTTGTACAGTATCCGCATCTGGTGGAAGATCTCCTTCACTTGCCGCAGACTGACGATCTGTTTTCACCCAAACAGTAAGTTCACAATCCCCAGCTGCATCGTGACTTCGGAGCTGACGGCACACCTCCATTTCTTCCTCCTCATTCTCCAGGAATACTTTGACCTGCTTCTGCAGCTCAAGCTTCTGCGGCTCAGTATAGGGCTCGTGCTGCACATGTCCTCGATTGCTCAGCGTATCATGCATAGACAATTCCTGCTTGAGCTCTCGAATCTCTCGCTCGTACTTCTTGATGAGCGCTATCGGATCGTATTGGACGTTCAGCTCCGGCGTATTGGTCACACACATCATTCGGGTGGCAAAGCGGAGAGTTGAGATGGTTTCCTCGACATATTCCTGTTCACCTGAAAGTTGAAGTTGTCAAATGTCACGTAGACACTGGTAGTCATGACCAAGTCGTGTGATACTCACATCGGATGTTCGCAATCATGAGGGTGTTGCAGTTGCCTCCCAGCGCATCTCGTAGTACGTTCGTCAGCTTTGATTGGCGATATGGTATATGTCCTCTAGCAACTTCATTGATTAGGAAGCGTTACGCAGAGCTCTTAATGGAGGCCGACGCCCTACCTTCTCTTATCGGCAAGTGCAATGATGACCTGCTCCAAGAACGTCAGGCTCTTGTTGATGTCTGGTAGAGTCAAACAGAGGGTCAGCATCTGAAGAGGCATCAGCACGAGCACCAAGCAGTCCACTTACACATAGCTTCGCGCAACGACAACCCAGTTGTGTGCGTCTTCGAGAGACGTTCAGATCCAGCGAGATCAACGAGATTGAGTTTACTGTACAACACCCTTTCCGAAGACTCCACTCGCGATCGGGATTCGAGCCAGATTGTAAAGATGCAATGCGACCTGCGAGAAAGTAGGTGTGAGATTCATGACTTTGAACCCCGATGTAGATGTTTCAACTCACCGGGAAGAGTTGCGGTTGAGCTGGTGCTCGGCGATGGATCGTGTCGTTTCGCCTTCAAACAGATAGCTGAGGGCCTCTTCCTCCGTATTCGCTATCCGGACGTTGAGGCCTTTCACTTGCGCCGTCCCTATGCCAGTCCAGCATCAATTACCACTTCCATGCGGTCTGACAAAACCTCCGACCGTCCTCACCATTCTGGTCCTCAACGACATTCAGCACGGTTTCCCCACTTTTCACATCTGGAACAGGTCCAAGCAGGTCGATCATCTGCTCGTTGTATATCTCGATGTAACTGATGCGCGCCGTGTATGAGTATTGTGGCCGGTCGCTGATGTCCCGAAAGACTTGAGAGATGGCGCGCGGTATCAGACCACGGTGCTTGTAGTTCTCCGAAGCTCCAGTCCTGGAAGGCAATGAGTATCGACGTAGTCCACCTACAACTCCCCAAGGGATGATTCGCTTTTACATGGAGAAGGTCTTGCCACCGCCGGTTTGTCCATAAGCCATGATGGTTCCTACGAAAGATGGTTATTACCAGTCGGTCAGTCTTGGGGCATGGCTTCGAGCTATCTCACCATTGTACCCTTCCATCAACCCTTTCAGTATGGAACTCGCACATTCATCATACACCGCTTCTTGTGATGCGTTATGCAACACACTGTCAAACCGGAAATCCCAATCCTCCTGTTGGTTATTGATGAAGCCTCCTTCAGCACTCTTGGGAATGTGTACATGCACAGCCTTGAGGAACAAGCATATGAGAAACTTTCGGAGCTAGAAGAGGGCAGTATGCGGCTTACAATCCCTCTCACCTTTCTGTCGGGCGAAAATTGGACCATATGCTCGGCAATGTCGGCCGTCGGCCTGGTTCTGACCACCACCTTAACATGTTTTGATTTGGACATGATAGATTGGTTCGTGCCTTCCGAATTGTTGTCGGTCTCTTGAAGACGACGTCAAGAAGTGAGCCGTCGCCAATCTGTACTATGTCCCGGCAGTTGGAGCCTCGCAAGTCGCCCGAGGTATAAAGCTTTCCCAGCCTGTCCTCTCCCGGTCGGACTTCTCACGGCGCGTGTGTGTCATGAGCGTGACTCAGGACGTCCAGGCACTGTCGCATTTTTGCCTCGTTTGCTCCTTTCCCCATCTGCTGTTACTTTTTTCCCACGCCTTCGTTTGAGGCAACATCGCCTCCTAGTATAGCAGCTAAACAACAAGCCTCTGTACATATAAACTGCTGTCGGCTCGCAGCGCTGCTCACGTCTATAAAGCTTCTGATGACCGAAAACTGGCCAGGTTGTTTTATCACACCGGTCGCTTAGTGCTTCGCCATGGAATCGGGTTCGAGGACGTGCGTATACTGTTTTTCAAATACCTTCACAATGAACGTGCTCCTAAACGCCAATGACCATTACAGACAGTCATCTCAAGGCTCGCATCAGCGAAAGATATTCGATTATGCCCCGTCCAGTGTTGTCAGCAGCGTCAGCTCATCGTGGGATGCTGAGCACGTACGTTAATACGTTGAGGCAGTCCAGCTCTGCGCTTTTCGATGTTGACGGGCGATGGAAGAAGGTTTCTCATGCTGGCAGCTGATGGTCATGGCAGGATTATGATGCGGAAGCCACAAATCAAGTGCAAGTGATGTTGGAGCACCTCGAAACATTCTTGTACCAGGGTGCGTAGGCCCCCGGTGCTGAAGCCTCAAGTATGCTTTCCTGACTTCGCAGTCTATGCTCCAGAAAACAACATCCTAGACGGAAATCCAACGCTACAGGAGGAATGTGAAGAGTGGGCGTCGCTATTCCCACATTTGAGGTGTGCTGCTTGAGAACCATGCGTGGGAATAGTCACGAGAAAATGTCTAACGTGATCAGGATCCAAGAATTCGTGGCCATCAGACCCTACCCTCGAGCGACATCGGCTATGAGGCAATCCCGCGCAATGAACTACGATGTCATTCCCCATACTTCTATATACCGGAGAGTAGCTCTGCCTCCCACCGCTACTCCCAAGCGTTGTCTCAAGACGCGCTGAACGTGGAGGGAATCGGCCTGGGGAGCGACATAATCGGACAGAAGCATGCAGATAGACCGATAGCGGAGGCCAGCCCTGCCGTTGATGAGCATTCTTTGCTCGGTCGGAGTATGTTCTCCTGGACTGATTCAAAAACCAGCGATGCTCTCAACGCTTTGAAGAAAGGAACGCTGCAAACCAGTGGATACCAGTGGTATGTCCTGTTCTTACTCCCAACAGCAAGCTTTGAGGCTGATTCTACATACAGGCAAATCTTTGGATATCAGCCATCAGGCGCAGAGGGCGAAGATGGAACCCCTGACGGAGATGAAGAGGACCGATGCCCGACACCTACGCCGGACAACCCACATCCGCAACCAATACATTCTACGGCTGCGAAGCGCGCCAGATGGAATGTTGAAGCTGTATCGGCGGGAAGCGGGAGCTTTGAAGTGCTAAAGAAGGCACTCAGCAACCTGAAAGGGGATGGGACCCGAAATCACTTTGCCCTCCTGAAACATAGCGTTCACCCTTTGGTGCAGCCGCAACCTCAGCATCGGGGCCGTAGCCCAGATTGTGGTGTATCTTTCGTGTCGTGGGCATCAATCGGGGCAAAGCCGGATGGTGTGACGCAAACGCACGACGAAACACCCTTTTTGACCGTTTATGACGTTTTGCCCGTTCTACAGGTAGGAGTTTTCTGCACGTAGATCAGACGTTATGTTTGTCTCAGCGTCGACCCTCACACAGAATGTGAACTGCGCCATATATGAGTACCTGTCTCCAACTTTGGAAAACCTCCTCGCAGTTTCCGCTCAGCTTTTCTCAGCGTCCGTCTCGCTGGTAGATGACGGGTGCGGATCTTGGTTAAACGAAACTAACGAGGAAGTGTTTGCTGCGGATGGGGAAGTAGAAGAGTGGATCGCTTCGGAAAATCAAAGGTATTTGGCTTGTATGACATATTGTTTGACGAGGTTCGCTAAACGGTTTGCTCTTGAAAGCGCTGAGGACGCTGAAGACGACAAGCAAATCAAACATCATTCTCATCGTCGGAGAGCATTACCACCGGTGACTCCAAATGCTAGTATTCGGCAAGATATACTGGGCCATCTCTTCGATGACATCTGGTCAGAGGTAGGGAAGGTTTTTGTCTATATGCTTTGTTTTCCCCTCGCTTAAGATGTCAATCCCAGATGGTGCCCGTGTTCCAGCCTTTGCTGAACGCTCTATCAGATGGTATGTGTCATTCGCGTTCTGTACCTCACATATTCTGTGGGTATTGACTATGTAATCGGGCGTAGAGAAGGGCGATGAGGATGACAAGGATGATGATCTTATCGACAAGCTACCATTTGACGACATGATATTGAGAGAGCTAGCGGACGATGGACTACTCAGCGCAATGACGATTCGTCCCGTTTCCCTGCAAAAGCGGGATCATAGCGCTCCGCGGCCCAAAGCGAGGTAGGGGTACTTTCTTTCAGGGCCGAAGCTCCGGTCTAACTAACCTTCGGTTCTATCAAATAGCGCGGACGGCACTGTGTACAATGCGCCATCCATGGCAGACTTCTATGGCGCATTTAGCTCATCGTCTAGACCGGCATCAGCGCGGCCAACTTCCGCACGACCAACGTCGGGTCGACATCATGGCGATGTCTCTCAGTACGGGCATCAGAATCACTCCTCAAGAATGCAGTCAGCCGCTCAGTCCGCCAACAAGGCGTCGTATAATTGGAAAAGGTAAGGCCTCTTTGCGGCCCTACTCCTGGACACTTGACTTACACAGAGCTCCCACTGATGCTAGGAACAATCCTGGAGCGCGCCTACTGCCGCTGCCTGCGGTCTCGGCCAATACCTCGGTGAATGTGATATCGACCACTAACACCATGAATGATATGATCTATGGGACGAGGTTAGCCTTCACCTGCGTCCCTTTTGCTCGAGAGTACCGAACTAACTAGAACTGCGCTGCATCAAGCATTGGTTATGGGCAAACCAAATCGGCAGCAACGCACGCCTGGTGAGTGAAGGAAGGCGGCGGCTTCTTCGAAGATTCATTTTGACATTTGTCACACTCATCAAGGGATTCATCACGCCCATCAACATCCATCCCCGGCTCCAATACTGCATCGAAACGTTTACCACCAATACGCGGAGGTACTGTCTTGCATTCCCAAGACGGTATAGATGGCCTAACAAAAGTGAGTGACAAACCCTCGAGAGGTAACATCTCGAACTTTCATACTGAGACTATATGTCCGCAGCAAAGCACACGGCACGTTATCTTCGATGCTCCAGATGCAGCTGATGGACCTATGCAGCGACTGCGTCCGGCGTCGCCCCGGCCTTTCTCGGCGAGGTAGTCACCGAGATTTAGGGAAGACTTAGGCTTGATCCGTCAATATTAACACCTCGGAAACACAGGAGACAGCCTTCAGCGGGCATACGGCGGGTACGGCCGCACACCGCCATTGTGATAGATGAATCCAAGGTAAGCTCTTCTAGGGAACTTCATTTTTCGGATTCCGCTCACAAATCGTTCCTCCTAGATGACCGCTCCAATAAGCCGAACTGCAGCAAAGCCAATCCCACGAAATAATCACGGGCATAATAGCAGTGTGTCACTGTATGGAGAAGAACGACATCAAGACCCCTCCAATCCAGTACTGGGCATCCGGATGCGGCAAGGTAGGCTTATGACGTTTTTCCGTCGGGACAAATTGACAAAGATTTCCTTCATTGTCTGCAGGAGTCAAATCAGCGATAGGACGGCGAAAAGTGGCCACCAACGTATATTGACCAAAGCCGAGACGACAGGACTGTACATTTCTTTTTACTACCCCGGTGCTTATGACTCTTGTATATCGTGTTACATATTCTACAAACTCAAATCTGTTTATTGTCCGGAACTTGGCGATAAGCTTTCGATGTCCATATAACTTCATTCCAAAACCTTTCATCAGATTCTGACTGCCCCTGACAGCAAGCATGCTAAAGCTCTTGTTCATAAGAGGGGTGAAAGATCAGTCTAGCTAAATCCTCCAAAGCACATTATGACCTTTCTCATCTTACTGACGACTACCGTGTGTGAAAACTAAGTGCCTTCGAATGTTTAATCGTGAGTACTGACAGTGCGACCTATCTCTTGCATCGATGGCAGATATCGATTTCGCCCAGCCGGACGCTGAGACGGTTTTGTAGCTTTTGCTGGGGCCCTTTTGTTCAGTACCTAGGAAGATATAGAAGGTGAGTAACATCGATCTGAGTGAAAAGAAATCGAGCAGCGTCAATACCATTTCGGAGTTGAGCATATTGAGTTGCTCTATGCTGGGATTCTTGTCTTCCGGGGTGACTGAAATGGGCAAGGTGAGCATATTCTTAGGAGGTTTTCCGCAGAAGCGTCTCGGTACCTTTCCACATTATAAGCTTTCGCACTATAGAGTAGACCAAAAGCAGTCCTCCGAAGCTCATCGGGATCAGAAGGTAGATGGGGTCCAGGTTCATGGAGGTCAAGAAGACAGCTAGCAGACCAAGGGAAATATGAGTGGAGCAATTCGCCGCTGAAGCCCACTGAGTTTTGCAATGTGTCATGGCTCACCATTTGTGAACGGCATATAGACTATGAAAAAGCCGACAGCTGTGCCGCCAAATATAGCGAACCATGTTTTAGGGTTCCTGAGAAGGAAGATGGTCATCTTGGGGGCCCTTCATCGATAGGATCAGAGCCACTGACTGAGGCACTTACTCGACCATAAACTTCCCGAACGGCAAGCGTAGCCGAGCCTTGCATGCAAACAAGTTCCAGATTTGAATGATAAGGATTGAAAGGTAAAAACTGCTCTGTGCTTGCTTGAGCGCTTGGAACTGGGAATCTCCCTCCTGGCAATGACGAAGGTGAGTTCATGATCGTTGCTTGCCATTATCAGCTATGCTTACCAGGATGGCACCACTGGACAACTCGAAATCTGGGCTATGTGGGAGAAAGTACTTCTTCCCTTTCTGCGCCCTTACAGCATCAAGTCCAGAAATCCCAAAAGAGAACCAAAGCACCGCAAAGAAGGTCGCAATCGCTCCACAGCACTCTATCAGCCCAGCCTCCAAGTACGCCCAGGACATGACTTCGCCATCTACCAGGCGTTCACCCACGATGAACCCTTGCGTCAGATCACGCCACGCCCGGTATTGCGCGCGCCAGTATCCCGGCTGCGTGAGGATGGCGCGGACTTCAAACCACAGGCGCTCGTACTTGGACCGAATGCGCAGAGCTGCAGCGTCGGACGCCGCACCATCTCCTTCTCTGCCCTGGATGTCCTCCATAAGTAGCTCCGCGTTCTCGTCGACCAGACGATTCATCAACATGTGGGATTCTGTATATCCAGCTAAGCCCAGTGGCGTGCCTTCCTGCGAGGAGGACCGCACACCGCCTTCATCGGCGTCCTCTTCCGGTCCCGCGTCGCCAGCCTCCGCAGAAATAGTTTTATCCAGTGCGCGTCTCCTAGCGTCCCGTTGCATCCTGCGGGCATGCATCGTTGTGATGATGCTTTCCTGTGTTACCGGCCGCCGAGGGGGCAGTTTCATGAGAAGCTCTGCGTCTTCCGGTGGATCAAATGCGAAGGATATGGTCATGAAGAGCTCAAAGCCAAGGTCGACCGCGAGGATCTGGATCGAGGTCAGCGCTTGTGGGATTGGCACGAGGACGTAGAGAAGATAGGGAACGACTTCGGCCATGATGTGACTGAGAGAGTATTTGATGGCCTGCAATTTAACGAATAACGTCCTGTGATGAGTTTTCCTGATAGCCACATTCCAGCCTTACGAAAGAACTTACTTTCTTCAGATTCCAAAAGATAAGTCGCCCTGCAAATGGACGGAAGTTTTAGCGGACGTCAAGGGATCACTCATGTTGCCCACATAGCAATACCTTCAATAATGCCTTTTGCAATCGTCGCGAAATCATCGTCCAGAAGAATCATTCCAGCCGCTTCTTTGGACACATCACTCCCAGTCTTGTTCATTGCAATGCCAAGATCCGCCTTCTTCAAAGCTGCGGCATCGTTAATGCCATCACCTGTCACGCCAATGATGTGCCCTAGAGCTTGAGCACGCGTCACCAAATCCAGCTTTTGCATCGGCGACGTGCGTGCAAACACAATCTCCTCATGCAGCAGAATATGCAGCCAATCACTGTCCGTCAAATGCGGGATGACGGAGCCGGACACCACCACACAAGAAGCATCTTTCCCCCTCGAAGGGCTAGCGATCGGCAAGTCTTGCGGTGAATCAAGGTAACTGGGCTCTGGGCTGGTGATGATGTTGACTTTGCGAGCGACGGCTTCTCCCGTCATGGGGTGGTCGCCAGTCACCATCAGCACTTTGATCCCCGCTGTTCGCATCGTACCGATGACTTGGCGCACCCCTGACTTCGGTGGGTCTTCCAGAGATACGAGGCCGACGAATGTCAGATCCGACTGATAATGGTGACATGGTGAATATAATGCCCTGCCTTACCAACTTGAGGTAACTTACGGTCGGATAGTTTTCCTTCTCACGCTCGAACTTCCAGTTGTCGGGATACTTCGCTCCGCTCAGCTGCAGCATCGCAAACGCAAGCACTCGATGGCCTCGCTCACACATCTTCGCATGTCCATCCGCCCACTTCTTTCGCTCAAATTCGGTAATGGGGACCACTTTCCCTTCCACCCATATGGTGGTGCACCGACTCCAGATAACTTCGGGAGCACCTTTCATGTGAAGGGTCAGACCTCCCGACATGTGCCCCTTGCGGTGTATGGTGAGATGGCACTTTGTGTCGGAGGTGAAGGGCAGCTCGAAAACCTTGGGGTACAGGCTTGGAAGCTAGATACTTGTGTCTATGAGCACCAGGATCGTCTCCACAGACACTGACTACGACTAAAAGCTCTACCTTATCTATGTTGATGAGCTTGCTTGCTGCCCAACGCAGCAGGCCAGCCTCGGTAGCATCTCCCAATACTGCTCTATTTGCAATGTGCCTATGGTCATCAAGTTGCGCGGCCAATCCTACCACTTTCTGTGCACGTATACCTTTCTTCTGGCTTGACATCCGTCCGGTCGAACCTGGCTCTATACGGAAATGTCAGTACAAGTTGCAAGATGTATGATCTCCGAAAATAAAAACCCACGTTGTGCAAGTCGCTGCCATATGCAGAATGACAGAGATACCACTTGCGTCCATTCGAAGCGGTCGCTCCCCAACTGGACATTCCTTTGCTCCTCCAGGACCAGCATACCACATCATATTGTTGGTAAATACATTCGTAACCGTCATCTCGTTTTTCGTGATAGTGCCTGTTTTGTCCGTCGCCAGCATCGTAATTGCTCCGAGAGTCTCCACCCCATGCAAGTCTTTGACAAGTACATTCCTGTCTGCCATTCGTCGTCCAGCAATTGTCAGTAACATCGTAACGGTTACGGCAAGGCCTTGTGGAATCCACGCGACGAGAATCCCGATGCCGAAATTCAGCGCGTAGTTGGTGTTACGCGTCCGTGCAACGGCGAATAGGAAGAAGATGAGAGCCGTTAGCGTCGCGAGGACGGATATGGTGTGGCAAAACCGATGAATTTCGGACGAAAGTGGTGACCGTCTTTTCTTTTCCGCTTTCGTTAACGAGGCAATCTGACCAAGGACGGTCGAGTCGCCCGTCTTCACCACAATCCCATATGCCTCCCCTGAGACGACTACGCTGCCATTGAATGCCACGTTTGGGGCGTCGATGGCTTCGACGCCTTCCGGACTTCCGCGTTCTAGCGCCTGCCGGCCCACTGGTTCTGTCTCGCCGGTCAGACTTGACATGTCAAGCTTGCAATCAGACGCATGCACAATAATGAGGTCTGCAGGCACTTTCCCCCCGGCACGAACATAAGCCAGATCTAGAGAGCATAAATGATCAGTTCCGAGATAGGTTCTACCACTTGACAGCATTCCTTCGCGGAACTCACCGCCTGGAACCAGATATCGTGCCTGCACTGTTTCCAGTTTCCCTTCACGGACTACCTCAGCATGAGCTGTAATGAGCGATGTAAAGCTTGCCAAAATCGCCGCAATTTTCTGCAATTCATAAAACTCGATTCCGGCATTGATGAAGGCAACACCGATGAGGATGCACCCGATGTAAGCATTCTCAAAGTAATCGACGGGTTTGATGGCGTAAGTGATCAAGTAGCCTATACCCGCTGCACCCAGTAAAACGTTGAACAAGTTCCCCAAGCATTGAACGAAGCGCCATACTGCAGGTGTGCGCCTAGGCGGCGTGATCTGATTTGGACCGTACTTTGCCAGCCTCTTTGTTGCCTCCTGCTGTGGAAGCCCCTGTGACTTTTGTGGATTCTTCAGCTCGACGTGAGTTGAATGCTTGGCAACGAGATCTTTCATTGATAGACGGTGCTCGGATATGTCTGTTTTGAAGTGAGAACGTCGTTCGGTGACTTTCACTTCCTCGACCACGGGAACTTCCGGCTCTTTCCCTCGTATCCGCTCTTTGACGTCAGCCGCGATTGACGCTGCGGCATTGAATGTTTTCAGGTTCTCCGCCTTTTTGGCTTCAACATCCACGGATTTCCGACGTTTCCCAGGCAGCAGAGCTTCCAGGCCCTTTTTTTTCTTTTTTTTTGGATGGTTGCGGTGCTCGTCCAGCAGGTCGTCCGTCACTTCATCGTTCCCGTCTTCAGCATCTGGATGATCTTCCTCGATGTCAGATACCGCCATCGCTTTGCCGGGAGTGTCTGGCATGATACATAGGTAGAGTCCTTCAAAAACTCAAGGTGGTGATAGACTGGAATCAAAATGTGGAAGTGCCGTATGAACCGTCCTCGCGTCCGAAATTGTTCCCGAACATGGTGAGAACTCTCCCGACTTTCCGGACCGCCTTTACGTGAGCTGTCAATCTGCGCTGTAAATTCATAAACGCGGTGTCGAATTTGGCCAAGATCAATTCTATGGTGGCTTGGCGGACCGAGTAAGAGTTTATTTACGGCAGTCTAGAACGCAGGGGAACGTCTGTAAACAAAAATGATTAGCGGGCCAGCGTAGTTTGCGCCTAGATGTTTAAAGCACATCCAGAACTGCGCTGAGCAACTTCTTCACGCTTGAGCCTCTTATGTCACGGCTGCCCGTATACCGCTCCCTTCGGCTTCAGCACTGTAGAGGCTCGAACACAACGCAGCTTCAAAATCTCCGACTTCCGCCGCTGCTTTCGTTTGTCCTTCTAGTCGGCTCGGGAGGTTTTTTTCCCGCTTGTCGAAACGAGCTGCAAACCGTCACATCCGGTACCCGGCATTGTCGGCCCGCGTTCGCGAAATTAGGGGAGCCAATCGTCGATATCATACCAGCCCACTTCCCAGGCTGCATAAAACTCTGTGCGGGCGGTACATACATCAACCTCTTGCGTTCGTATTCCTCGACAAACGCGAGCGGTTGTGCAGCATATTCTCCGGCACCGGGCTGTTGGGAACTCTGACTGTGGGTCTTTGAAGCCTCTCATCGCTCGATCGTGCAGCCACTGGTAGTCGACGCACGAACATCACGGACCACAGAAAGGCTTTATATTCAGCTTAATTGGCGAATTCCCTACTGTCAGAATGAGGGAGTACAAGCTCGTTGTCCTTGGGTCGGGAGGTGTCGGAAAGTCTGCTTTGGTAGGTGCATGCGGGTCCAGCCTTCGCGTTATCCTCGAAGCCGGCTACGGTTGGAAACTTGCATATGACCAACTTCAATCGGCGCATCACCTATCTTTACTGCTCCTGTCCTAATGTGTATTTACAAATAATGGTCGGTACTTTCGTGCAACAGCTGACCCATGTTCCTCTTTTTGTCAGACTGTTCAATTCGTTCAATCGATTTTCGTGGAAAAATATGATCCTACGATTGAGGATTCGTATCGCAAGCAAGTTGAGGTGGATGGACAACAATGCATGTTGGAAATCCTGGACACGGCAGGAACAGGTATGCAAAGCCGCCGATTTAATGTCGGGAACTAGCATTAATCTATGCATAAACAGAGCAATTTACCGCCATGCGTGATTTATACATGAAGAATGGACAAGGATTTATCCTTGTGTATAGCATAACGTCACAGGCGACATTTAGCGATCTGGTGGAGTTGCGGGAGCAAATATTGCGCGTGAAGGACACCGAAAAGGTAAACATGAACCCCGCATACGTTTCCCGTGGAAAATACCTAACAGTCACGCCTGGCACAGGTTCCCATGGTTTTGGCGGGGAACAAGTGTGATTTGGAGGATGACCGAGTCGTTTCGAAAGATCAAGGATCGTCGTTGGCGTCACAATGGGGTGGATGCACTTACTTGGAGACGAGTGCGCGGAAGAAGATTAATGTCGACGAAGTTTTCTTCGATCTGGTGCGTCAGATCAACCGGAGCATGCCAGACAAGGTAAGAACATCATTTTTTTGTGCATTCTCCACTGCAAACTTCAAATGTGGGAACACGGGCTCACCGCTCCACTTTGCAGGACAAGAAAAAGGACAAAAAGAAGTGCACGATTTTGTAATCGACTTTGGACCTCCCCAAGCTGGTTCGATAACCCCAAATCCCAAACCCAAATGTAATCCGTCGAGCCTCGCAAAAGACACCTTTCCTTGATTTTTTTTCGGTAGATTTCCTATCACAATCCCTTCCCCCATGTTCGGCAAGCTGCGAGAGGCAAATCTGTATTATTTCCGCCTTGAAGATATCACGCGTTATTTTCCCTAACCTTCCCGATTTGCGTTGTGGCGAATGTGGAGGAAACTTGCAGGTGTCTGCTTGTTTTCTGGGGCATATCTGCCCTCGGACTGAGAAAATGCACAGGGCATACCGCCTAGGAGACCTTCCGTGGGCCCCCTTCTACAGCCAATCGCACAGGAGTCCTAAAACGCTACCGGACTTACTGACTGAAAGAAAAGTTCGAATTTCACGCCCTCCTACTTGTGCACAGAAGCAAAAATGTCTCGATCCGATAGATGAGCGTTACGATGACCCGGTGAGTATTGGCCCACTTTTTCAATACGGCATCATGACAGATAGACTCGAAGGCACTCGGCCACGGAGGACGGCTTCGCATGATCTCAGACCAACATCTTCTGTGTTCCTTACACTCTAAGCATCTCATATTTTTGTCACATTTCAGCACGTACGAATGTATTATATTAGCTTGACAGAGACTTTTCATATTGACATTAATCTACGCTGGCGCCGCCGCTGATGCTTTGGCCTTCGCCAATCATCCCGGGTTCACTTCCCGTTTCTCACCTCTCGCCTGCACGACTCGCCCAGCGCCCGCCGCGGCCGCCTTATCCGGCGACATCCTGACCCCAAACGCACCGCCACCGTATGGCGCAGGCATCCCATCCCAGTCCAACGTCAAATCACACACTTTGAATCTCGGTGCCGTGTCTCCCGTGGCAGGATCTCTCGGCGCATACCGCAACCCACCAAGGAACGTCGACTTCCTGGGCGTGGCGGCCGCACCGGACACACGCATCGTCTGCGCTTCAGCCGGCTTGGGCGCATAGTGCTGCGTCTCATTCGAGCGACGGAAGTGAGACCGCTGCGTTTGTGTCGAGTGCGTCGCTTTCGTGCGGAGGTTGACCAGCATCAGCGCGCGGCGGCGAAGCGTCCATTCGTTCCACTCGTAATTGGGATCAATGTATGTGTCGACGATGTGAGTGTCGACTTGCGTGCCTTGTTCGGTTACGAGGGGGACTTGGCCGAGGAGGCGTTGGCGGGTGAAGGACTTTGCGTTTTCGAGGGCTTCGATTGTTGGGAAGTAGGGGTAGAGATGCAGCATTTGAACAAGGTCTGCGGAGCGCCTGGCCATCTCTAGGACACCCTCGATGTACCTGAGAAACAGGCGTGATCAGCGAATTGGCCTTAGAAATACACATGCGTGAGCAGAGCATCCAACTCACAGTTCCGGCAGCTTGGCAAACTCCTTGATTGCATTGTCGTTCGCCAACGCATACAGCTTGTCACGGTATTTGACCAATCCGTAATTCTTGTCCCCAGGCACGACCAACCCCTCCCTCCGGATAAGAGTATGCGGGCAGAATCCCTGTGCATATCGACTCGCTTAGCCTCTGATGTAACATGTTAGGGACCCAGACTATTCAGAGCAACGAAACTCACCCCGTACTCCACCGGCAGTTGATAATACTGCGTCGCGTTACCCGGATGTATAATCTCGATGCCCTTTGTTCCTTTCACTGCCAGCGATACCATCAACTCGCTTGCTTTGGCAATCACTTGGGATTCTGAATATGAGCGGTTTCAGCATGTTGTTATATAGCAGGGCAGTTTGTATCGGGACAGATCCATGCATGCGCAATATGTACCTGGCAGGATAGCGCTCTCGATCTCTTTCCGAAACGGTTGAGAGAACGTCACTAACATGTTGGGGATGTTGAACTCAAACCCCTGTTGGATATGTCATTGAAATCGTCAGCACGACGGCCAAACGATCCGAATGAAAGAGATGGTTCGATCGTCTCGTACCTTCGCATGCTGCTGTATCGTGTCGACGATGCCTCTGCGGAAAGCCAACAAGAAGAGCTCGTCCATGTAGTTTTGCCAGAGATTTGCTAGGAGGATGAATGGCGGCTTTTTCGAGAGGCGAGAAAGAAGTAGGCGTCAGAGCTGAACTATCGGAGAGAGTGGTGACTTCGTCGGGATACTCACGTATACTTGATCGACAGGCACCGCTGTCTTTGCGCGGCATGTGACCTTCAGTTCCTTGACCGCTTCTTCAAATCGGGCGGTCAGGGTTTCCAATGTTGTCCGTGACCTGTTCGTTTGTTCCTGCGGACCCGCACTCATGATGAGCTCGGGATAAGCAGATGTCCATAATCATAGACGTACGTACATGTAGAGCATCCAGATATATGAGGAACTCTCGTTTGAAGACCAGCGCGGAACGCAGCCGCGGTAGTGAGACGTCTTCAAGCTGAGGATTAGGTGATACGTCCGCATAGTCCGCGACCGCTGATGTGAGCAAGGAGAATCTGAGAGATATTCCTTTCTAAACGCCACAACCGCCGAAAGCCTACCGGTGTAAAGCTGTATTTGGTCCTCGGTGGTCGTTGTGAGTTGCTTGAGCGTAGTAGAGAGATGGTTGAGCTCGCGGGTGCAGAGATGCGGCACTATTTTCCAAGATGCGAAGAGTGTCAGATCATGGTCACGCGTGCCTCCGCTACAGCTTTACGCCCTGTCCGCTTACGATCATCCACGCCTTCCCCTCCTTTGCCCAGTTGCTTGTTGAACAGTCTGATGCCCGTTACCAACTGAGCCAATCCATTCAGCTGGGCCTCCTTCTCTTGTCGCGATAGCGATATGAACGCGCTCAGCTCTGACTGCGGAAACACCGACTCCAAACCAGCTGATGATATGTTCATCGATCAGTAATCTCCGGGGCAACCCGTGAAATAAGCACAAGGTGCTCTACCTGTCGCCTCGCGCACAACGCGCATGTCTGTTGGGTTTCCGACATGGCTTCTCAGCAGAAGATAGGATACAATCTTGCGGTAGAGGGCTGAAGTATAGTGCAGCGATGAGCAAATCGGTCGATAGGAAAGCGGTTCATCCTGCCAAAGATATACCTTCGTAAACAGGGATAGCCTTTGTCCTCACCTCAACGATCTCCCGAAGGAGCACCGCACAGGCTGAGATCCGCGATTGCTTCTCCTTGTGCAGGAAGTCGGCTGGACAGGTCTATCAGTATTTTAAAGCAGCTCATGCGGGACGATAAAATACCTACGCACCCTGCGCTGGAAAGTTTGTGTCAAAGTAAACTTGCATCTTGACGGTTTCCATGACTGGGTCATTCGTCAAAGTGATCTTATCCACACAGCACTAGAATATTGAAAGCTCTATCAGTTCCCCAGCTTCCGAGCCTATAAACCACAGCTCGCCTTTTCGATCGATTACCTTGATCAGTCTGTCCACCTCATCCCTCCCCAGCTCCCGCTCAATCCTAAAATCATATCGTGGATCTAAGACTACGGCGCGGACCATGAAGGCCGCAAGCGTTTCCGATATTATGGCTGCATCCCCAGAAAGCGACGGTCTGACTGCCGTCGGTGTCCCACTCTCCCCTGCCCCAGCGGCGGGTACATTGCTCTCTGCAACATTCCGCCTCGCCTTCAGCACATTCGTCGACCTGTTGACGATTTCCCGGATGATGAACCGGATCACCTCTTCCGACGATGTGGCCATCGTTCAGGCTGACGTCGCCACGAATAGTATCAGAGGAATTCTGGGTGGGGTGCTCTGTAGTCCGTAGACAGGGCTGCTCGACGCCCTCGATGTATGTATGTCCGAAACCTCTCCCTGGATGCAAGAAAAAACCTGACAGTCTCGGAGTCTGCTTTTGACGGGTGCGGTCAACCACGTAACGGAACGGCCACCCATGGCATGACTCACGCGCGGGAAAAGTTGCTCGGCTCTGCTCTGAATATTTGAAGTTCTCAGCTCCCAGTCCTTCAATGGGCAGCAACATATCGAACCAAAAGCAACCATGAGCGTGGAAGTGAGAGTCGCAGGGCTGGGCCAGAGCACCACCGAGGTCACTTCAGCAGCGGCCGCGGCCAAAGAAGCGGGGGAAGCCTTCGTAGCAGCGTTACTTCGGGAAGAAGAGGTTGGGTTTACTTTCAGTGTTGTACGTGGTCTGAGTGTAGAATACCCAAACTCAAACGAGCACTCCTTTTGTTAGGCTGGTAGCATAACCGCATCGTTTGAGAGTTTGGATGCCGCGTCCTCGGAGCTGGAGGAAGCGGATGGTCTGTAGAAAAAAATTGGAAGTCTTTGCCCAAGATGTCGCTTGCGAACGCAACCGCTGAAACTCGAGCTGTCCATTCCCAGACCGAATATCGGCGTTCCAAGAAGACGTCCTAGTGAAAGAAGCCTTTACAAAGGTGCCGGGAGCGATATTGTTTTTGCTCTAAACTTAGGTTTCCGAAGACTAACCTATTGTCAGGGTACAGATCTCCGCGAGTACGCGAAACAAATAGCAAACGAACTTGACGCCGTCGAACAGGAGCACGTACTTGGATGTATGATGGGAAGTCAGAGCAGCTTTCTTGTGCACATGACTGAGCAAATCTTCTTAGATGTGAAGCAATGTCAACCGTTCGTGGACCTGCATCGCCAGATACAGGTATTTGATGGGACACGAGGAACACATGCACTAGTTGGTCGAGCCACCGGCGTTGTGTTGACGCATTGTCCATTCACCAGGCGTGTGACGAGATCCTGCAGAGAATGGAGAGCCTTATGCATGGATTTCAATCAGATCTGGGAAACATCAGTGCAGAGATTCAGATCTTGCAAGACCAGTCTCAGTCTATGAACGTCAGACTAAAGAACCGCACGGTACGGGAACGCTGGCTTTCCCGGCTCGTTTGTGGCAAGGTGTTGACGCGCTCCGTACGTTACAGAGCATGCAAACGATTCTGAACAGTGTATTAGACGGGGTGCTGGTCAGCCCCGACCTTATCAGGTTGGTTTGCGCGCATGCATATATGGCAAAGGACATCAGCTTACAATTTCGATGTAGGAAGATATCCGAAGGCGAGGTCAACGAATTCTTCCTTCAGCATCTGGCGGATCTCAACAAGAAGATGGCCTACGTGAAAAGTCAGCAAGGTCAACATATCCGGGCTTTCAAGGATGTTGGGCCAGAATTGGAAAGATTACGACTGAGGGTGGGTTGGGTCACTTGCTCACTTACGGGCCGAAGTTTGTGGACCTGTCGTGGCTGACTGCGTCATTTGCAATCGCAGGCCGCCGAGAAATCGAAAGAATTTCTCATAAAGCGGATAGAGTCGTTACGAGCACCCAACACGAACATTGCCATCATCCAGCAGAACATCTTCCTCAAATACAAGGAGCTCTTCTGGTTCTTGGCAGAGCGCTACAGCGACGTTGCGATGGAAGTTCACAACCTCTACGTGAATACGGTTGGGAACTACTTCCTGGTTTCGTTCGAGAAGTACATGAAGTCTTTGCAGAAGCTGCAGGTGAGCGAAGCTGCTTCGAGTCACTGAGAAGTAGAAGTTGACGACGGCCCAACTTTAGACGGTGATCGCGGACAAATCGGATCTCATCGCAAGCGAAGAAAGCGGGAAGCGGGGTATGTCGTCACGTCCCATGTATTTCTTCCACACAGACACAGCTGATCGCTTGCAACCCAGGTCTACCGGGTCTGCCCGGCATCTTTGGCGCTAAGCAGGCGTTGAAAGACAAGACCAACGTTTTCAGTCTGGGGGAAAGACTGAATGTGACGACCACGGCGGATCCCGGGATCATCTTGACACATATTGCGGAAGAAAAGAATATTGTAAATCGTTACAGATCTGACGCCGGGTCCGTCATTGGGCTCCCCCGGCTAACGTTTTGCCAACTCCCCAACGACAGAAATTCCCATTCGAGGCAATATATAAGAGCCTGTCGCGGTTGCTGATGGACAATGCGTCGTCAGAGTACCTCTTCGACACGGACTTTTTTTCGCCTCCCCGTGGGAAGAATGCCAAGTTGACCAAGGATGGCAATGCTGGAGCTTTGACTTTCAGCGAGGTTTTCGAGCCTACGCTGAGGCTGATTCAGGTGATGCGGGGAGAGATTGACACATCTCTGTTACTATGGCCAAGTAGCTCGACTGACACCTTCCATTAACCTATTGACACAAAGGCATTCAACAAAACAACAATCGATGCAAGCTTCGATGGCGTAGGCATCCTCCTCTGCATCCGTCTCAACATGCTGAACCTGCGCATCATGCAAGCGCGGCGGATCCCATGCCTCGAAAGCTTCATGAACGCGACAAACATGCTGCTTTGGCCCAGATTCCAGGCTATCATGGATATGCATATCGACAGTCTGAAGAAAGCTAGCCCGCGGTCTTTGTTGCCGAGCAAGGATGTGCATCCGCATTATGTGAGTTGGTGTTCTGGTGATGCAGTTTAGGGTTGTTGCGTGCCTCATGATCTGGAGCTCTTTCGTAGATAACGCGTCGGTATGCGGAGTTCTCGGCGTCGATTTTGACGCTTAACCAAGGATATGATGACGCTCTCTTGATAAATAGGTATGCGCGGGGGAGAGTATGCAAAGCAAAGAAAGAACTCTCATTGATTGACGCGGCGATAGTCTGTTCCGCTTACGAACAGAGGTGGAGCACCTGCTCATGCGGATGTCCGGCGAGTTCCCCGATCCCAAACAGAAGTTAGTATTCCTGATCAACAACCTGGATTTGGTAGTGTCTATACTCAGCGTACGTATATCCACTCCAGGGGACCGTTCTTTGACCTATCATCAACACCATCATCTATCCTTTAGGAACACTCCACCTCCTCATTCGAGCAAGAAAAGTCCCACTTCACCACGTTATTAGAAAGCAAGACCAACGAATACGTGGACGAAGAACTCAAGCCGTATTTCGCAAACCTGATGCGGTTCGTGAGCACCGCCGAGTCGGGGTTGGACCTCGCTAGTCTTCAAGAAGGTATTATATCATTAAAGGAAAGGGGAAGTTTGCATAACCCGCGTTATCAACTCTCATGCATCCCTTATCGAAAAAACAGAAAATTTCGAGCGCATCGCCGCCGAATTCAACCAAAACTGGAAAGGCGCACTGGGCAACATCAATCAATCTGTCATGCAATCCTTCGCCAACTTCCAGAACGGAGCACGGATCCTGCACCACGCATTGACGCAGCTGGTCCTCTACTACAAGCGCTTCATGTCGTTGTGGGATAAACGGTTCCTCAATCGGAAACCGAAGGTGCAGCCTATTGGATTGCAGAGCGTTATGGTGGAGATCAAGAAGTTCCGGTAGGTCAATTGGTTTTTGTACTTTTTCCGTTATGAGGGTGCATTCTTTTGCACTTCATCGCAGCAAATATCCTTACTGACTGCTATTTTGATACAGGTCGAGCTTCCAGTGATATTGGAAACACATGTATGCTCAAAAACATTTTTGGGAAACAGATGGGCAACAAACAAAAATAGATAGGAAGGCACCGGCCTAGCTTGACCGACTCCCTCCACTGAACTATCCTAGAAGATTGTGCGTATAACCAAAAGTGAATTGCTGGGATGCATCATCCATCGCAAAGAGATTCTCCGGTAGCTGAGGTTGTTGCTGGAGCCCTCCCAGCATTGCTTGCGCAGCGGCCACGACGGCGGCTTCCAGCGCCTCAGGGGTGTTGAATTGCTGTTGCATGAGGTTTTGGTCCAAAAAGAGGTCGGAGGATTGCTCGAGGTTTAAAGGGACGAGACCTTGCATGTTTCCGGCCGGCATGTCGAACAACTGGGCAAAGTCGGCTTCGGTGGTTGTCGACATTGCTGGTGTGGCTGTTGGTGAGACTGAGGCGGAGAGGGTGGGTGGAGGGCTGGGCTTTGAGCGCTTCTTTGGTCGTGAGGAGGATGATGTTGCTTGATTGTCGACGTGGTCGGCTGCGCAGGATGATGTTGCGGAAGAACCTGGGCGGCCACGCTTTTTGCGCTCGGAGTCGACGCAGGTGTCGGCCTTGCCCGAACGTACGCATCTCTGTTGAAGTAACGGGACCCAATCAGGATACCGCACGCAAAGAAAAGCGACGGGGTAGCGGATATCTTACCTGACACGGCCTGGCATTGTTACAAGCCACATGTGAAGCCTTGCAGTGCACGCATGCCTTATGCACATAGGGGTTTGCGCGTGTATTCTTCACAACCGGCGCCACCGGTGGTGGTGCTTGCTGGACTATTGGCATGGGCTGCGGGTCCTTAGGAATAGTGATGGCAGGCATGGTCGACATGTCCTCCGACCAGAAGATCTCTTGAGGTGCGATGCTTCCCATGTCCTCCAACCCACCGAATACTTGCATGTCCATAGACTCCGTCTTCATCGTAACCTCAGGGCTAGCGCCCCAAAAGTCCATCGCAGCATCCAACTCGTTGTTGACCGAGTCGAGTTTCATCGACTCGATGGCTTCAAGTTCTTGCGCCAGGTCAAAGTCACCGTCCAAAAATGAGAATGTGGATGCCGGGTATTCTGGTCCTGCCGTGGGCGGCAGCACCGTTTGTGGCAGAGCGCACATAGGTAATGTTGGTAGTGGCAAGTCGACTGCGGTTGCAGCATCGGTTTTGATTTGCTTTTTGAACGCAAGTAATGTGGAGATGGGGGTAGGTGTATGGGGATGTTGTTGTTGCTGCGATGTTTGCGGTTGCTGCTGGAGTCGGAAACCAAGATGCGACGGTGGCTGTACTGGCTCCTTGGCCCGCAGCGATGGCTGCTGTTGCTGATGCAGATGCGCCGCGAAAGGTTGCGGTTGCACTCTTTGGTGAAAGTGAGACTTTGGTAATGGTGCTCGGACCGATGGGTTGACAGGCTGGTACTCTGCGCCCAAGAAAGGGTCGACGATGTCGTCGCTTCGGTCGTTGATACCTCCAATAAGCGCGGCGGCCTGTATCAAGGCAATCCGTCAATTGTATGTCCTGACGACCAACTGAGCCGTTCCATAGGCATACACGATGCTCACCTTCTGCACACCGTCCGAACCCATAAAGTCCCTGCCTATCCCAAAGGCGGGACGCAGCCCGTGAAATACACGGTGCATCTTGGTCAATTATTTGCCGAAGCGGTCGAAAACGGTCCTGTAGCTCAGCTATGAAGCTGAAGGAGTTGGGCCTGCTGGTTCAGGCTGGCGGAGGTCACTACTTGCACGGTCCTCTTGCTGGCGATATGCTCCACAGCTAATGAGTCTAGAGAGAGGAAGTTGCTTGCTGAGCGAAGACAAGCGTCGTAAGCTCCGGTTGTTGCTGGAACCGATGAGTGTGTTTGTTGGCTTGGCTTGTGTTGCCTTCTTCCCAGAACCCTTTTTTCCCAGGCAGCGGGGGCGGCAGATATATGCATGGCATGGCTTTTCTTTGCGGTGGGGGGGGGCGGCTTTGGAGGAAAAAAAACAACACTGGTCGGCGCTAAAACAGCGCGGCCAAGACGCGCTTCCACGCACTGCAGACGCTTTTCTTCCGGTCCTCTCCGGGCATGGCGTTAACGATGGAGGTTTGGATTCCGGCATGGGATAATTGTGCCAGACGCCAGGAACGCACTGTTAATGCCCGGGCGGCTGGAATCGGCGTGCGCTTGACAAATAAGGGAAGAAACCGCGATGGGAGTCATCCAGGTCATGATTTCCTCTCCGAGCTGATCAACACACGCGCTTTCCCATCTCGCATAAGGTTTTGCCACGTTTCTAAACACGAAATCATCGATCATCGATTGCTGGCTAAAAATTGACAAAAACAAATGCCCTCACCGAGATTCGAACTCGGGACCTTCTGCTTACTAGGCAGACGCTCTATCCAACTGAGCCATGAGGGCTGGCTGAATTTCAGGCTTATGTTAGCATTCATAAACGTCTTGCACGTTTTGGCTCTCGTTCTCAATCTACCTCCTTCCGGCATGCGAAGTCAAGCGAAATAGCTACTACGATGTCTGGGACATGCACCGCTCGAAATGCATGTAGCAAGGGTGACTCGGTCCGTATTATTGTTATCTATATGACTCGGACAACGAGAAAAGTAGGAATGGCCTGCCACTACGGAATCCCAGCTTCCTCGATTCTCAACTACATACTACTGTCCACAGAACATCTACATAATCGCACATTCAGAGTTCTTGGCCGCCGCATCCCCGCCCTTCGCCGCTTCTTTCCTCCACTGATTGGCAGTCTCTCCCATCCGGCTCATCCTATGATTTGCGTTGTTGGACACGTCGCCGGCGCTCCGACTGTGACCGGCGCCAGCGGGGCCAGGACCTCTCATGCTACCCCCCATTTGCGGGTGATGATGGGCCGCCGATGCGACAGAGTGTGCCGACGACGTGCCGCGCTGCGTGGCGTACATCATGTTCTTCAACTCCTTCACCCTCGCAACGGCGCGTTTGTTGCCCTGCGCAGCGGCACGGAGGTACCATCTCCGCGCTTCCTCCAGATCGGGTTTGATGCCTACGCCGTTCTCGCTGTACCACCCCACCGCGTATTCTGCCTTTGCCAGACCCTTATCTGCGGCCTTCCGTGCCCACAAGTATGCCTCCGTGTCGGATTGGCGCAAGACCCCTTCAGCGCCGGTGAGGTACCACCCGGACAGTGCGAGCTCGGCGTCGGGGTCGGATTGCTCGGCCGCGCGTGTGTACCATGCGATGGAGCGGCGGGGGTCGATTGGGAGAGATAGGAGCCCATATTCATAGGAGAATCCGAGTTTGAATTGCGATGGTGGGTAGCCGAGTTGCGCCGCGCGAAGGAAGAGTTCGTGAGCGTGTTGAGGATCCTACATGTTTGCGAAGTAGAGGTCAGGAATGTGTCGGATACAACTCCAAAATCGGGATTGCGACATACTTACCGGAATGACAACACCCTCGCCCGCCCCTCCCTCATACAGCACTCCTAATTCATGCAAAGCATGAGGGGTATTCTCATCCGCCTGTGCAGCCGCCCTTTTCAACCAGGTTACGCCTTCGCGAGGGTTCTTGCTCTGATTGAACAGTCCATTGAACATGATCATTCCGACCTTGTACATCGCTGCCGTGTCCCCTAGTGCCGCTGCTTTCCTATAGAACTGCATCGCGCGAGCCGAGTCACGTTTGGTTCCCGCTCCGACTTCGTAACATACGGCTGTGCGGTATGTGGCGGCTGGGTGGGCCTGTTTGGACGCCTGGACGTAAAGCGAGAACGCCTTGTCGTGATCAACAGGTAGGTGCAACGAGCCGTTTCCGTAGCACTCTGCCAGGAAGAATTGTGCTTCTGGGTATGATGACTTCCCACCGATTCCGCCATTCGTAGCAAGTTTCTTGATCCATTTCAGTGCTTCGGCATATAAGGCTTCCTGCTGCTTTCTGTTCTTCTTCGGATCCCCATCTGCATTCGTGAGTGCTTCACCGGCTGCTATCAGTTGTTTGGCAAAAGATAACTGCACTGTTGGATCAGTGCTCCTTTTAGCGTTCTGTCGGTAGGTTTCCAATACCTCCCCGGACGCCCCAACCAGCGAAGGAGCTGCAGCAATCGCCGTGGTGCCGCCAGATGCGGTAGACATCGCGTCTGAATTCGCTGTCGCTTCGTTCAAATCCGGCGCAGATCCCCTCCGCTGTGATATCGTACCGCTTGGTGGTGCGAGGGTGTCCGTCCCAGCTAAAGATTGATCTGACAATCGCCGTCGCTCGAACGTACCGGGAGGCGCGAGAGATGGAGCACCATAGGGATCGGGACGCATTGGCATCGGACGCATTGTGGGGGGACCATACATCCCTGGCCCTCCAGGAGGAGGACGCATTGGTCTTGGACCGTAACCCTGTGGAGGGCCATATTGCGGGGGCGGTGCGTACTGTTGATGTGGGTGCTGAGGCATGTACGGCCGCCCGTATTGTGGCCGCGGAGGAGCAGGGTATCCATATGGTTGTGCACCGGGATGGTGGTATTGTTGATTGGCACCAGGACCAGGCGGCCCAGGAACATAACCGCCATACTGTCCTCCATAGTTGGCATTCGGGTGATGCGGAGGTGGTGGGAATTGACCCTGGCCCAGCGCATATGAATCCTGCGGATGCGGTGCTTGCGAAGGGTGCGACGGGCGCGGAGGTGAATGGTACGTCGTTGATGCCTGGGAACTTTGCGAGTAGCCGGCCTGCGGCGGAGGTGGTAAGGTATTTTCGGTATGCTTTACAAAGTTGGGTGTGTCATGCCCTTGGTGGGATCCACTTGCGCCGGACTGAGCAGACCCTCTTCGCCTGCTAATGGGATCTATTTTCAGCAGTAACGCAGTTAGTATCGAGTCTTTCAGAAACAGGAACGGACATGCTGCCTTGGCTCATACCATTTTGAAAGGAACGTCGCCTCCCATCCACGTCAATAACTGCATTCCCTGGTTGCAACGATTTGTCGTTCAACGCTGAAGGCGCACCCTGCATCAGCTCTGGGAGTACTCCCCTCCGCTTCGAGGAGGCCTCAGACACAGAGGAGCCGCGCTTTTCGACAGGGTCTACGTCATAGTCCCCTAGGCCTAGATCAGCTAAAAGCGATTCTGTTGCTTCCATACGGGGAGTCGGCACCCGCGGGGGAGTCCCAGACCTGGGTGAAGGGTCTTCTGGCAAGTTCTGCGATGTCGCCATGGTTCGGAATGGTGGGTGAGTGACTGCGATACGGAGTAAGTGATGGCGCAATGGACGCCAAGTGACTTTTTGCAAATGAGTGCTCTGCCCCAGAGGGTGGATATTTGTACAAATCGTTGGCCGGCGGCACAGAGAGGGTTGAGCTGAGCGAGGAATGAGGCGCTTTGAGTTTTCGGAGGCACTTGGCATGCAATGCGGTCGCTGTTGTCGTCGTTGTGTCGTTGTCGGACAGACGTTCCTGTCACCTTCCGTTCCTGCTCATATGAAGTCGACGATAGAAGTTGACATGCCAGCCTCATGCATTTTGATGTGCAAAGGCTCCAACGGACAGACGCGCTCCCCGTCATACCGTGCCTATCCTGCCTATCGGCACCTTCGCTGGTCGCACACACCGCCGGCCGGCCTGCTAATGATCGAGGAAAACCCGGCGCGGTCGGGCGGCGTTAGTCGGCGTCATAGTGAAGTCCATGTTGTGGGGTTTTGGGAAGTGCGTCGCATCGAGGTTGGCCCTCCAATATCGAAGCGTAACCAAATGTGTTTGTGATGGTGAACGAATCGATTAGGCGTGATTAGCGCAAATACCCTCTCAAAGAGCGCGCGGGTAATGACGCCGCAATCGCAAATACACCCAATTCGGCCGCTGTGAAACGTCCCCAGTGCACATTTCAAGAGACACATCTCCCCATCTACATTAACAGAACCCTAGAACACATACACAACAATGGTGAGTAGCGACGCTTGAGGAGCGGGTGTGGAGGGCAAGGCTTTTCACGTAGGAGTTACGGGATTGAACTGCGAGCGTGGTCCTGGGGCCCATCTCGTCAAGAGTATTCAACGGGCCTTGGCGCGTCAAGGACAATGCGATGCCCAACCATCCGCAGATTTTCATCCATCCATCCCGGCCGAAGCGTCCATCGAATCATCCATCCGACTCGCCCATCGTGATCAGCATCCGCGGCCTCTATGAGATGGATGGATGTGATAAACGGTCACTACATGGAGCTTTCGTCGGAATGGGCATTGGGGCATCATCGGCATGCCACGCGGTTGCGCGTTCGAGATGAGCTACGGAAACAGATGGATATGGGAAGGAGCAAGGACTTTTCGTGCACCAAATTATCGCACAATGAAGATGTCCCAGAGGGAGGAGCGAGAGGACACATGTGACGGAAGTTTTTGCCCATTTCCTCACGGTTTGATTTTCCCAACAGTCCAGCGGAGTAGGAGTTCAAGACACGGCCGTTGAGGCCTTCCAGGACCTCAAGCTGAAGAAGAAGTACCGCTTCATCATCTTCAAAATCAACGATACCAACACAGAAATCGGTGTGGAGAAGACGGTAGAGACCGGAGACTACGACTCCTTTGTTGGTTCCCTTCCCCCAGACCAATGCCGGTACTGCGTGTACGACTTCCAATACGACACCGCCGGAGAGGGTACCAGGAACAAGATCCTCTTTTACGTGTGGTGCGTAGGGTGCAGATTATCAGGCAAAACCCTCACTTAGGTGTACGAAATTAATTCTACGAATTTTCGCAGGTCCCCTGACACGTCTAAGATCAAACAAAAAATGCTTTACGCCGCATCTAAGGATGCCTTGAGGAAGAAGCTGGACGGTATTTACACCGAGATCCAGTGCACCGACTTGTCTGAAGTCAGCTACGAAACCGTTTTGGACAAGGTACGGACACCTACTACCATTTATTTTCAAGTAATTCACTGCTTTATATCTAAAATTCGATATCGTTCCGTAGGTCACCCGTATGACCAGCTAAATTCTCGTCACGCCCTCGCGAATCCCAACCTCTGATGGATAGCTATCTCCGTACTTTTACGCTATTGCAATATATCTGAATTGTATACCAAAATATGGATTTCCTCCCGCTTTGATCGGGAGTCGAATCACCGACTGAACGCTTTGGCCTTTGGAACGAGCCGGACTTCTGGGGAGATGGAGGAATAGACTTGGTTGAGGGGGTCCAAGTCACCAGGGCGATGCTGGGAATTTCATCGATTCGGAGCAAAAGCGGCGCGGATGACATCGAAAAACTGCGTTCAGGTTCTGCCGGAATTGCCGGTTGTCGATTGCGGAGCTCCGCGGGTGGTCGGCAGCATGGAAGGAGACGGAGGTTCCGGCATCAATCCTCACGATACATGATCGATACTGATTGGCTCACTTTGACTGACGCCAATATTATCCTGCACATCGACATCAGAAAGGCAATCGCTTTGTTCATGCATTCAGGCACGGAACATGTATTCTCCATCCTTCAGAGCATGCGTCCGCCCATCTTTTGTCCGCCTTGAGGGAGGGTTTGTCCATCGCGAATGCACTCTGCAGTGCCTGCACGCAAAACAACCAACATACGGAGGATGTCCTACTGATTTCTCTTCACAGCTCCTTCGGTAAGGTTATGGTAAGGCGTCTGATTTGCATGCTTGCCATCCTATACCGCTTCGTAGGCTTTTGTCTTGGTACCGAAGAAATGTGGTTGCACGGCTGAGGGCACTTTCCGCCTCCCAGGGCTTTAAAATTTCAGGATGCATTGTTGTTCAGGCCGGCCATTTTCATGTGCAAGGATAGATCCCATAGACCAAGTTTTCGCATCCATGATGCGAATAAACGCATATTCCGGAGACAGTTCTAGTCTCGTGCGCTTTCTTGCCTCGAAAACGCCTGTGACGCGCTGTCAGTTCCTCACGTAAGCACCGGCCCGACATCTTCTTCGCCACGAAGAGCTTTCCTTCATTGCCCTGCAAATCCCTCCCTCATAAAATCACATCGGATTTACCTGCGTCCCGCTTTCCTTGAATTCCCTTTCGCCCACAAGCCTTTCTGACCGCATTTCTACCACGAACATCAGCAGTTATGGAAGACCTTCGTGAAATCTTTGACGCATTCTGCGCGTTCGGCAGCAACCGAAACCTTGCCACCGGCGAGGCGGGGGGTAATACCATGGACGGTGGGTTTCATGATTAGCATGCGGTGCGTGTGTCTTGGCGTTGAAGGATTCTGATGACTTTCTTGATACTAGGAGCCAAATTTGCCAAATTCGCCCGCGACAACAAACTGATTGACAACAAGAAAGTCACTTCAACCGACGTCGATATCGTCTTCAACAAGGTTCCGTAAACATCTATCGCCTCCATTCCCATCTTCCCACAACCCCGAAAATCTAACACATCCTCCCATTTGGCACAGGTCAAACCCAAGGGCGCGCGCAAAATCGACTGGAACGGCTTCATAGAAGGTCTGACCCTCGTCGCCGAGAAAAAGACCGGGAAGCAAGGGCGCGATGCGTTGGATGCGGTTATTGGGCTGATTTTGAAGAAGGGTGGAGGGCCAATTGCTACGGGGACGGTAAGAGGCTTGATGGGGATTGGTGTTGGCGAGGGCATGTGAATTTACATGCTCTGGACTGGATTGATTGTGCAGGCTCCGAAGAGCGACGCTATTGTTGATCGGTTGACGGACACTTCGAAGTATACTGGCACTCATAAGCTTCGTTTTGATGATGGTGAGAGCTTCAATCTTAGGCAATGGTGGTGTCCGGACAATCCTGTGATGTTTTTCCCAAACTGATAGCCGGACACGGTCGCGGAGCCGCCGGCCGAGGTACGTCGTCACTCTTCACCCCTTCCCATACCATTCCCCATCACATTACTAAACTCATAAATCCGCCCCCCTTTTTCACACCTCACAGACCGCCCCACCGCAACCGCCGACCTCTCGCAAATCACCAACCGCGAAGAAACTTCCGTCCGCGGCCTGCCGGTCTCCATCGACCCGCAAGAGCGCGGCGCCTCGGCCAAGCGGTCCCACTCGAACCTCGTCACGGCTAGCTCGGAGCGATTGGGTTAGTTAGTGTCTCTCATGCATACAAAGCTGGGGGGTTGAATGTGACTGGACGCTGACCTTTGTATCTTACGTCTCATTCTTCTTGTTTCTTTGAGGAACTACAGACCGCGAAGCCAGCAAGCCCAAGAACACAAAAGTGGGGTCCAACACGAACTTGGCGGGGAAGCCCAAGACTGCTGGGGGCGGTAACGCTGCGGCGGCGAGTTCGTATGGCGCTGTAAGTATTTTTTTCTCCACGGGACATGTGTCTTTGAATATGATCGGATTGGAATTGTCGAGAGAAAAAGTTCCAGTCGACTGATTCATTTTATCCCCATAAACGCATAACAGAGCTCAAGCAAAGGGGGTTCCGTCTTTGACAGGCTGACCGATAGCAGCGGCGTAAGTCCTTCTTCCCGTCTCCCATCCTTCTCCAAAACCACTCACACCCATACCTCAATAGTACACCGGCGCACACAAACAACGCTTTAACGCCGACGGCACCGGCAAAGGCCTGGCAGGCCGCGACTCGCCCGCTAAAGGCGGCGCGCCTGGAAAGTACCGTGGCGGGGACGTTAAAGATTTGGCGCAGATTCTGCGAAGCTGAACGGCTGGTTCTCTCGTTTCCGTCTGGCGCGCGCGAATATGGGCTTTCTGCTGAGATCCATGGACTTTATATCGTTTCCTCTCTTCCTCCGTGTATCCTCTTTTTTTTGGGTTTGCTTTGATAACAGTGTTCAGCTAGTTTCTTGTCATCTGGTCTTATGTTTCTGGTCTTTGTTTCTTTCGTGAGTGGATGATAACTGTCTTTTGCACAACCAGCTAAACAATCCGGACATTGTTTCGCCTAATCAAAGTGTGTGTGACTGTCCAGAAGTATGGGGAACGACAAATTCCAAACAATAGAGAAAAGTCTTTCAATAAGATCCAAACTCATCCATCCACTCCTGGTACCGCTTGAGATCAGCCTGGCTGACAGACGACTGGATTTTGGCGATCGCTGCTTCAAAGTCGTCTTTTGTTGCTGGGGCCTCGAGTTCCTCTGTGGATATAAGTACACCGTGGAGTGTGTCAGAAGTTTGAGATGTGTCGTTTTGGAGAGAAAGTGTGTGTCCATACCTTTCGCCAAACTCCGGATCTCATCGGGCTTCAGTCCTTTGATCCGTTTTCGCATACTCATCATTGAGGCGTCTCGACAGATCTTTCATCGAGATGAGCAAGCGCCGTTATATGGCCTGCGTCCCATGACACGCTTTCTCATGCACAGGCACAACTCACGTTGGTGATATCAGCCCCAGAATATCCCTCAATCTTCCCAGCCAAATCCTCCAATACTACATCTTCCGCGATCTTGATGGAACGCAGGTTTAGCCGTAACAGTTCTCGCCGGGTTTCCTCATCGGGGAGTGGGATATCTGCAATTCCACACTCCCGTTTAGTTCCCAATTCCCTTGTCGACAATGCTGGGAAGAACTTACAAATCCGCTTCTCAAGCCTCCTCCTCAGCGCCTCATCAATGTGCCACGGAAAATTCGTAGCAGCCAGCACCATTACGACCGGCTCGCGTTCCCCTTCCGCGTTGGTCCCTATTGACCCGCTGATCCCGTCCATCTGCATGAGGATCTCGGATTTGACGCGCCGGCTGGCTTCGTGTTCGGAGCCTTCGCCGCGCGTGCTGCAGACCGAGTCGATTTCGTCAATGAAGATTGTGGAGGGTGCGTAGTGACGGGCCATTTCAAAGAGTAGCTGGAGATGCAGGAGGTTAGTGGTGCCAACCCGAATCCAATCTCCTGGTGAGTATGGCGCAGTCCCTATTAGCTTACCCGAACGATCTTCTCGGAATCTCCTCGCCATTTCGATGTCAGCATACTGGCTGTCACGTTGAAAAATGTGGTTCCACATTCCTACGATCACGGACATTCAAAACTTTGTACACGTGTTGCACAGTGTCTAGAATACCCACAGTAGCCACTGCCTTCGCCAACAATGTTTTTCCAGTACCGGGCGGGCCGGTCATCAGCACACCTTTCCACGGCCTGCGAATCCCTTTTCCCCATATATATTAGCTACAGGGGGCTCCATGTCAGCGTCTTGATCCGAATCCGTACCTTGGAAAAAGTCTGGCATCCATAATGGCAGAACGATGGCTTCTTCCAGCAGTCCTTTCGCTTCTCGTAGCCCTGCTATATCCGTCCACTTGACATTTGGTGCTGTCTGTAAAATGTCTCGTTTGACGATTTCGACGAGATCCTTATCATAGCCCGACCCGTCGAACCTGTGGCGTTCGGATGGTGAGGTGTTTGCTCGAGTAACGGTAGTAAAACTACTCCTCATACTCTGGTCTTCCGTTCTCATCCACTTCCTCCTCGTTCTTCGCTTTCGCGTCCTCTTTCTCCTTTGCAGCACGATCAACCATATTCGATTGGGACCCTGCTTTTCGCATAGGCTTCTTGCCTAGGGGAGGTGATGCAGTGCCAGCCGGTCCTTTCGACGCCGGGCCAGACCTAAAATTCGATGAGGATCAGAATCGGAGATGACTGAGAAACGATACAGCAGACCCAAGGCGCAACACCTACTTTGTGTTAGGAGCGGGCGCCCGACCTTTTGGTACGACCGTTTTCGAGATGGCCGCTTTCCCTCGCTGTCCACCGCCCCGAGCTGCGGAAATGCTGGTATTCACATCCTTCTTTGCCCAGGATGGTAACGTGTCGTCATCTGCTCTCAATGGTGAAAATGGGTGTCATCCTTCTCCCCTCTCCATCGATCTATGAGTTCAGGCACGCACCATTTGTCCGAGACTTTCGCGGCACGGATCTCCTCGGTAATGGATCTGGGGCCGGCCACACATCCTTATCGACAGGCGCACTGTATCCCGAATCATCATCCAAAGCACCTCTGCTCCGCGAAAAGATCCCGCTATGTGATCGCTCCTATGAGAACGTCAGACGGTCTGCCGTTATGGACTGTTGCAACCCATATGCAAAAGCACACCTTGAAGCTCGCCAACTCCAAGCCTATATCCTTGACGAGCTGAAACTCTACGCTGAGCTCTTGCCGTGTTGTGATCCACCTGTCTCGGAGTACTGGGTCGGCTATGTTTTTCGCGTATCTATAGTTCCCACAGACTATTGAGTTGGGCAGTTCTTGCGGAACAGTGACTTGTCGACATTTTGTGCAACATACAACAACTGACATACAGGTGAATGTTCTGGAGGATACTCTCAAAGTAGAGAAGCGCCGTATCATAGTTCCCCAGCAAGGCACATTCCCTTGCCAGTTGGAGCTCGGTGGGGAGGTTGACTATGCTCTTGGCGTGTGCCATCTTGCGAAGATGCGTCGGGTTCAGTCGGGCGACAGAGGCAGACGTTGAGTTCGCCACAGCGAAGCAAATGCTGCAAGGTACTGTAAAGAGAGGTCGGGGACCCTGTGTTTGTGGTAATCTCCAGAAGAGGCCTCAGGCGTCAAGGTCGTTTTGCCCCTCTACTGTATTTTTTCCCAGGGACGTCACCCGTGCGAGCCTTGCGAGCCCGTCCAGAAAGCAACAGACGCGTTGAGGCAGCCGAGGCGGTTTGGTCACCCCGGCAGCATCGTTTGCAGGCCAACGCCCATCCGCCACAGCACGGACAGGAGGTCTCAGGAAGTCCCCGTAGCTCCCGGTGGCTCCTACGGTAACCAGTTACCATTCGACATAGCAGGAGCCGCGTGCCCTACCCTTCTGTCTCTTCAAGCGTCGTCCATCCTAACCCCGTCTGCTGGACTTGCGGCTTATCACCTTCTCATGTCTCTTCCGAGGGCCTTCGTCGACTTTCTCCTCTACCGCCCCACCCAAGCGCTCTTGCTCCTACTTCTCCGCCCTTCCCCACCTCCTTTTTTCCAGAGCCTGACGCTCTTGGCTCTCCTCAGCTACTTCCAGAACCGCAGGCTCCAACAAGCAGAGTTCGAGCAGCAGCTAAGGAAGCTAAGTCTCGCCAGCCTCGGCGAAGCAGACCTTCCGGCGCTGCCACAGCCGTCATCAGTGCCGGCGCTCCATACGAATCCGGCCTCGCAGCCGCTACGGAATAGGTTGCGCGCGGCGGGTGACGATACGATGGCTTGGCTGACCGGTGCTCGTGGTGGTAGGGTAGCTGTGAGAGGATGGGGGAAATACAATGCGGTCGTAGCGCTTGTTGGTGGGATCACGATCTGGCTGTTTTATGTGAGTGTCTTGCTTGAAGGGGTCGGGAAGGATTTGACGGGAAAAGTCGATGAAACAACTCCGACAATCAGCGTGCTTCGGTTTCTGGCGAGTCCGAACGTTTTTCGGGCTAACATAATGCGACCTTTCTGGTTATATTCATCTCCACAGGAAAGCTATCGATCGTACTTTGTCAGTTTCTTCAGCCTTTTCCGCCCACACGCCGCCCTCCGCAAGCTCTTTCTCTCATCCCGCAAACACGTAGGCCCTCCGCCTCCCAAACCCCCAGGACCTCCTGCCACAACCACCACGACAACCACCACTACAGTCGCCACATCCACCACTCATCATCCACAACAACAGCAACAGCAACAGCATTACCCTCTCACACAAAAAAATACCGCACCACAGCAACCATCGGTGGCATCACCAGCTACCTCCTCACACTCATCAGCTACCGACCGGTCTTTTGATCTCGTCGGCGATGATCCTACACTTTTTGCCGACATGGACAGCTCGGCAATTTATGACTCTTCTCAGCACATCTCACACTCACATTCACCTCCGTATCCCGGCAGCAGCACACATCTCATCCTATCCCCGACACGAGGGACATCCCACCCGTCGCACCAACAGCAACGCGCCCCTGACAGTGACGCGCGGTCACAAGCCCTCCGTGTTGCGGCCTTGTATGAGCTGGAAAAGCGCGAATGGGAAAAGGAGAAGATCAAACTCATTCGGGCGGCTGAGATGATGTATTGGAAGGGGCGGAGGGATGGATTGGAGGGGTTGTTGCTTGAGCCTTTGGATGGCGGGAATGCGGTCTCCTTTCCTGGAAAGTAGTGAGGGAGGAGAGGAATTGGGACCGGGGAGGAGGATGCTCTAACTGGCACGGACACGGGATATGCGTCGTGGCCCGGGGTGGAGTCGCTGAGCGTGCTTTCATTGCCTTTCTTTGGCGAGACATATCATTCATTGTGCGACACTTTTGCATCATACATATGTTTTTTTGGGTGGACACCAGTTTTGGAAAAGAATAGTCAATAAAGGTAGTTGTCTCGGCGCTAGTGAATCTTATGTCCTCATAAGCAGTATCTACGGCAGCGTACCTGCTAAATGTCTGTTTTTGTGGCCTGTGTGTCGGCTGTCCGTGCAAACGCGTGAGGCAACCGTGTGGTGTTGACGCGTTTCTGCACTTTCCGCTCCATGCCTTCGGCTGAGGAACCCGACCGGGCTGTTCACAACCACCACCTGCAGAAGGAAGCTGCATATGCAAGGAAAGCAGGTTCACTCAAGTCCAACATCTAGGTATCGACGATTCAGATTGTGTCGCCCCTATTCAGTCGTACCAGCAGCGCTCACATACCAACATACGCCCCACAAACCTACTCCGACGCTCTCAAACCCACCCTCGCCGCAAAACCAGCAGGCATGATGACCACCCAACTCGACCCCAGCGAATCCACCACCCCACCACACGGGTTTGCCTCCGGCTTTAAACCGCAGAGCGCGCCCGTATCGGCTGCCAACGCCCGCTTGTGCCATATTTGTGGGAATACGTTTGCGAAAGCGTCGTTGCCGGCGCATCAGAGGAGGTGAGTTGGGGGGAATTAGTCATGGGGATGAAGGGTATGGGAATTTAGCGGAGCATCTGACGCCTTCTTGATGACAGCTGCTTGCGCAAAAGTGTGCGAACCGGCAACAGGAACTCGCGGACGGGATCAGTGTATCCGTCGTTTGCGGGTGGGCCGGAGGGACAGAGCTTCATGATGAGTTGTGGCAAAAGCGGTGGTGGTGGTGAGTACACAGTTGCCACAAGCTTTCTGCCTTTTATTTCATGTCTAACATCCCATGCATTACCTTCGCTGAGCAGACTCAGTCGCCCGTCACAGACTATCAGCCCCCTTCTCATCCCCCTCCCGCCCCGCCCAGCCGACCGCCGGCCGTTCCTCCACCGCCACGCCAACGAAACAACCCTTCGCCAACAGACCCGAATGGGCGTCATCCCCCAACTTCAGCGGCCACCCCGTCCACGACGACGAGGAGCGGTCCTACTACAGCCCCACCCGTCACCACCGTGACGACCCGCATCCATCCCACTATGATGAACCCTTCGAAGACGAATCCCCACCTCACGACCGACCCATCCGCAGGACAGCGGCCGCCGCAGCCGAGTATGCGCCGAATAGGTACGGCGCGACCCCCAGCGGGGGGAGCATGCATCACAACAGCAACACGCCGGCAAGCGCAAGCCGGTTCGTCCCGAAGAAGACGATCATCGCCCAGCACCCTGCTAGCGCGCATACGAGAGCGGCCAGGAGCAGTGGGGGTGTGCACCCGAATCAGAATCAGAATCACGCAGCGCATCGCGCACCGCAGGAGGGGAGGTATAACACCCATTCAGATGAAGAGTGGCCTGCCTCTCCGGGACGCAAACCCGTGCACCAAGAGAGATTCCATGATTCTCCCCCACCACCGCCCGCCGTTCAAGAAAAAGCGATTGGAATCCCCCACGCAACAGAAGACGACGACCCGAACAACTTCAGCTGGCGTGATTTCGCTCCTTTGGCGCGTGAGCCTGTCCCCGCCGCGCCTGATGTGCGTGAACAGTCGAACAAGGGCAGGCAGGAGTGGGATGATGGCGCGGGGGATGTGGATACGCGGTTACCGTGTTTGATGTGTGGAAGGAAGTTTTTGGAGCAAGATCGATTGGTGGGTCTTCTGGGTCTGGGTAGGGTTGATCTGTGGGTTTGGGAGCTAATTTTTCAATTGGTTTATAGGATAAGCATATGGGAGCTTGCGCGAAGGTGAAGAAGCCCAGGAAGACGTATGATGCTACGAAGGCGAGGGTTAAGGGGACGGAATTGGAGCAGTATGCTAGTAAGACGAGGGCAAACTCGATCCTTGACGACAGAAAGGTATGGACTGGAAGACGAACTTTCGCTGTTGCATTTGCGTTGACCGCATCAAGGACCGGACACTGAGCAACTCTTCCCACAGGGCAAAGCCGCCAGCCACGAAGACACCCTCCTCAAACCCCGCGCCTCCAACTGGCGTCTCAAGCACGACAAATTCATCCAAATGGTGCGCGCCGCCCGCCAGCCTCTCGACCGCACAAACAGCACTACCTCCAACAACCGCTCCTCCTCCTCCCTCGCCCCCGGCACCGCCGCCGCGTCCTCCACCGACGTGGACCCGGACCTGGTCCCTTGCACGCACTGCGGCCGCCGGTTCCAGAAGGACACGGCTGCGAGACATATACCGTTCTGCAAGGAGTCGAAGCAGAAGGCGATGTATAGGGCTAATGCAATGCGGCCGGGGCAGAATGCTGGTGGTGCAGGGAATGGGGGAAACTTGCCGTCGAGAGAGGAGAGGATGAAGATGAGGACGGCATATAAGCCGCCGTTGCCCAAGGCGAAGGGCAGTGTGGTTAAGGCGTCACCGGCAAGAGAGTGATGAGAAGCTCGGTTCACAGCTGCATGGCGGACTTTGTCGTTTGCGATTGTGTGACATTTGCTCGATATTAGACATTGGAATCACGCACTATTCCCAAAATCTGCGCACTCTTATGCTGAAATCCGTTTCCTTTGAATGCTATGATGTACACTACTTGCGCTGTTTGGACGCCTTCTTGAAGTCTCCTCCACTGGCAGGGCGGTTGAAACCACCGCGCTCGTCTTCCAGACCAATGATCGGCCCTGTGGAAGTTTGACCGATGTCAATACGTAAGAAGTCAACAAAGTAAAAGATGCAAAAACCTACGTGGAGCCGAGTCCGAAACGTAGCTAGAGTCCGTTTTTGTTGCTTGTTGCCCGTCATTCTGCTTCTTTGCGTCCATTCCTGCTTTTGCCATGTCACTGTGAAAAATGAAGAAGCATAGCTGTCAAATCAAATGCCGTGGGTCACATATGTGCTATCCACCACATAACAGTGTCCGTGGAATCATACCTGTAAATCTGCCCCGTCTGCCCTTTCTTCGCTAAAAACGTCACAAATATTAGCTATCCCCTTCGTGCTCGTTGCAAAGCACTCCAAATCGAAGAACGCACCAGCTTCAACACCGTGATCATTATCATGCCCGCCCCTCAGCTTCTGCTCTTCGTTATAAGCGATCTTGGCCGCTCGATGACCTTTGGCCAGAGCATCTTTGTTCAGATCGAGTCGTTGAGGTGTCGTCGACAGGGCTCGCAAGGGTCGAGCGGCGATGCTTGGGATGCGACGGGCGACGGCGGAGAGTGATCGGGAGTACATAGTGCTTTAGCGACTTGTGATTATTAGGCGAGTTCGAGCGTTGCGTAAGTGGACTGACGAGGTTTTGCGACACTTGGGGATTGTTTGGAGGCTGGAAGTCAAATTGCACAGGGCGGCAAATAGAGGGAGGGACGCAGTGGAGAGGTGAAGCAGCCACGCAAGGACGCGTAGGAGTGACGTAGGCGGCAGGAACGCCACAGCGTGACACACACTGGAGTCATGGACGTCCATCCCGCAGCCATATTCAACCAGCCCTCATGGCTCAGTTGGATAGAGCGTCTGCCTAGTAAGCAGAAGGTCCCGAGTTCGAATCTCGGTGAGGGCAATTCTTTTGCAAATCCCCAGTGGATGTCACATTCGAGTGCAAGAGTGTCCTCCTTTTTTCCATGTTCTTCAAAAACTCATTATGTGAACACTGATGGTGTTGACTGGATCTAGGCTAGACCGACTCCCATGAGGCATGTCACTGCACTGAAATCCGCCCCCGCAATACATTTCGGAGGCTCCGGTCCTCGTTCGAGTTTCGGCAACCATCTTTTACCCTACTCCTATGCGCCGTTGATGCAGCTGCTTTTCTCATTACGAGTGCACTCTCTTTGATCCCATAGGGGTCGGAGTGTCGCGGGGCTGGCATTTTCAACGGTGGTGTCGATAATGGCAGAGGAGTATCGATTTTGTTGTAGAATTTGACGGCATAAAGCGTTCTGATGAACCACGGGTCTCTCTTCCTCTCATGATGAGATTGGAAACATCCCCAACTCTCAAACCCATTGTCCGCAGTTTCTCTCCGACGTAGATCAGCGGCAACGGAAGACACTCCACAGCTTAGGTCTGATGCACAAGTGGTCAACGCCTGGCGACCGCTGAGGATGTCGGGACTGAGGACGTCAGCTGCCGGGCCGACACTACTACGCGGGGCGAGGGCTGGTTGTCCTGCGAGAAGCCCCATGACCTGCGTCCGGGATCAGACTCGCAGATGCCGAAAAGCCTTCTTGATGGGCTGCGGGATCCTGATGCGACATTCGGCGTCGTTAACCAGTCTCGGTAATGTAGTCGGGTTCTCGACGTGCAGAGTGTTTGCCTTCGCTGGATGGTGGCTGCGCTGAAAGCTCTGACTTCTTATCCCGCGTTCAAGCACCACATCAGCCAGTCAGTAATCTCGTTTGCAGATTCTGTCGTACTACGATGATCTGAGTCGCCGGAGATGCACTGGCTAGACCAAACTGGGCGTCGGCAAGTTTAAAGGAACCCACGGATGCCCAGTTTTGTCTTGCGTCGCAGCGATTGTGCTGACCGATCATATCCTGCGCCACACATACATCCCCTCCACCAGCCAAGTTGCCCAACAATCGTCTTCTGTGTTCCATCGGTATTCGTTCCCCCTTAGAACGCTGTTGCCACGTTGTTCACGGTGCTCGAACCTGGCAGTCCTGATTAATCGAGCCCCTCGGCATGGTTCAGCTGCATTGAACGGTGTACGCAAAGTCTGCTCTCTCTCTACTCGTCAGTCTCCCGAAAAGTCTCCAGATCCCGTGCCTTCATTCACTGCCTGCATTTCGTGCCTTAGATATAAGCGTGTCGCGGGTAGGTCCAGCCACATGGCAACTCTTCTTCCTTTGGCCCACACCCCGCACATTTGGCATTTGTCACTTGGTTGACAGCCACTTTATGATGTTCGTAGCTGCAGTCGGGATGTTTGCTCTTGTTGTCGGCCAAGCGGAAAAAACACTGAGATGAGATGCAGAGTGTGTGCGTGCATTCCGGTGAGACTTCGGGGCACTCGATGATACAGATTGGACACTCTGGGAGTGGCGTGGTAAGGTCCACTTCGTTGCTTGCCTCTTCAGAATGCGGTTGGTTGAAATTTCTCCATCCGTTCCCGTGTCGCCTGCGGCTCCGTGAGGGGAATGGAGGGTTCCCTAGCAGACACCGAGACCTCGTGACCGCTGGTATCGAGAGAGACCAGCAGCTTGACTTCCCCAAGAACCGACGCTACCCCCTATTCGACAGATCTTTGTTTCTGCCGGCCACCACCAGATTTACTGGCGATGGAGGGCGGAACTTCAAGGAAGGGGCGATCAAGGGACTGCTGGAGTTGCACGATTCCCTGCTCAATTTGCAGGATTCCCTGCCTGGTTCTCTGCTGGGCGTGCTGGATTCCCTGCCTGACCTCACGGGTTTCTTGCCGAGCACAGCCACCTGGGTACTGTATGATGAGTGGGGGGCGGAAAGCGCATGCTGTCAAAGGACTCGAGATCGAAGCTGCGTGGCTCGCTGGGTGACAGCACGTCATGCAAAGTCCCCTTTACAACTGAGTTTACTGCGTATGGCATGCATGACATCAGAGCACATCTGAAGGGGCTCTGCCCTTCTCGCGAAGCCCCTGGGGTAATGTGCACTTCGCAGGCCGGCCTACATGCAGTACAAAAGGCAAGCACTCCCTCGCTGCCGCCCCTCTTCGCTCTTCATAACACACACATCCCACAAACTCAATACTCACCCTCCCACCCACCCACCCATCTATCAACATGACCAAGATCACCGAAAACACCGGCGGCCCTCACTGTAAGTACATCCAGCTGCAACTCCCCACTGAGCTCGGGCGTTGGCTTCCGTAGCGTTGTGAATACCCCCATCTCACCCAACTCTCTTCCTCTCCTTCTCCCAGACACCGACCGCCCCGACAACGCCTCGGCCCCGTCCAGCAAGCACGTCACCGAGACAACCCTCGCTGACAAGGTCGAGGAGCACACCGCCGGTTCCGCAAAGCACCCCGCAAAGGAGGGAACCCACCACAAGGCCAACAAGGACGAGAAGATCGAGCTCGACGACCAAATAGAGGCCCTCAAGCACGATGCCGCCAAGCTTCAGTCCGAGGGAAAGAACGACCAGGCTGCTGAGATTGACCGTGAGATCTCTAAGCTTGTCAGGGAGGGTCAGCAATAAGGACCCCCGCCCGCCTGCCTCTCTGTAGATCGTCGTGACGTGAGGGAACGGAGAAGGTTCTTCCCTGGAGAAGAACGCATCTTTATATATATATTTGTACACACTCCTACATTTTGGAACAAATACCACACCACGAGCTGAGGCTCCAGTCTCGAAGCAAACTGCGTTAGCGCATCAACCTTGTGAGTCTTTTTTACTGTATATTCCAAAAAAAAAAACTGGATCGTGGTGGGAAACACTGCGTCGAGATGGGACAGGGTCGAAATGTCGACGCGCCGCGGACGCGACTCGATGGCAGCGAACTGCTTTACTTCATCCCTCGCTAGCGCCGCGCCAGCGGCCATGTGCAAACAACGTGGCCAAGACAACGTTGAAATCGAAAAGGAGCTCTTGCAAGCCTCTTCCATGCAAGCCTCTTGGCCCCAAGCCTTCTGCCCCTCACCTCCGCGGCCCCAGCGGTTGGGGAGGCAATTTATGACGCCGGGACTGGTCCCGCGTTGGTTTCCTTGGACAGGCAGGAGCAGGAGAGGGGCAGGAGCACGAGGGGGAGAGGAGCGGGGGCAGGGTTCAGAGTTTTGTGTAAGGAGACTAGTCAACCGGGTCGAACTCGGGCCAGGGGATACCACATGTCCATATGCTCATGCTGTTTTGCTTACAGTCTTACTGAGGAGTCGAAGGACGCGTTTTCTCGACGTCTTCCCCTGAAACATCCGACATGGGAGCCTAAAGTCCCAAGCTCTCCATATGCTCCCTTATGCCCCCCTCCTATGTCCCCCAGTATCTCGCGCAATTTGGACATCAAAGCTGGAGGGTATGAGACTAAATTCGGACTCAGAGTGGGGTCCTTGACCGCAGTTTTTCAGGTTACTGGCCAAGAAGTCTGACTACGTAAGCACGCGTTCAGACGCGTTTTTTTGGCTTTCGCAACACCTGAGCACTTTCTAAAAGTTTCCCCTTTAAGACGTAACTCCAATCTACATTGACCCCCGGCGCCCTTCAGGCCTGGTGACCAGGGCAACGCTTCAAAGAAATAACAGCATCAAAGAAATGGGACGCCCCGCTCGCGCGATTCTGCCGGGAGTGTCTTGCCATAAAAGCGCGACCAGTGTACCAAGAGCTTGCTGGCGGAGGGTGTGAGACACAACTTGAAGGCTTGACGTGTAGAGAATGTAAGCGTGCACTTTGCGAAACTGGCCGAGGCATAACCACGAAGGGAATAAGGTGAGCCCGCGTACGTTCGATGCCCCACGGTGAATTGGCTCACGATCTGGTATCACTGCAGTACGGGAGACCATTCGTCCTTAGGCGGGCGTGGCAGTCGTCCTTTGCACTTGTATATGCATGTGCGACACTTGCTCGGCTGACCAAGCACGCGTTTTCAAAGTTCTGGCGGCGTTTTGTTCAGCGCGCCGTTTCTGACTATTCCCGCTGAACATAGATTCCCAGCTCCCTGCATTTTCCATCCCGCAACCCCCACTGCCCAGGATCAGACAAAAGTAAATTTACAGAGGGAGGGACATGATTGACAAAGTGAAAAAAAAAATTCGAATGAAAGCTGTTCAGCATCTGGCCCGGCACGCTCCCGTAATTCAAGATTCCCAATCGGCACGCGTCGGGCGGTACATATATATTCGCGAGAGGAACAAGAAACGATTGCCTTTCCCCGGAATACTTATGTAAGTCGAGAATCCGGTGGGGACGCCTTGCGTTTTGGCACCGCGCACGAAAAGGCAGGCATGTTTGCTGTCTCAATCTCCATTCGCTTGTAGGCAGTCTCTGGAGTAGAGCCTCAACTAACTTAGCACGCGCGTTGTCACCCGTTATCCGGACATGGCTCTGAAGAAAACATTCCCTCGACCTCAATTCCCAAGTTGCCTCCCAAACTCGAGTCCGCGCTACTTTTTCTCCCCCCGAGGACCATAGTGCAAGATGCATGACGCAGCGAACGCGGACCCTGAGATGGTCAGCATTGCTCCCGCAAAAGCAGGATTCCGCGAAAACGCGTGTGTATGTAGAGCACTTCAGAGCGACGCCCGGTTTCTTGGGTAGTGGTGAAAAAGACGTTGAGAAAGTTTCGCAAAAGTCCAACGCCGACGAAAGTAACTTGCTGACTACGCACGCGTCAGTTTGGCGTTTTCAGCAATCGTACGCATTCTGTGGCCCTGGGCCTGAATTCAATGTTTTTCTCCCGGATTCCACTTCCCACTTGAGACTGGATGCCTCAGAAAGGCAGAGAGGAACGGCCAAGCTGGTCAGCATGTCGCCCGACCCGCACCAGCAAATGCAGAGTTCCGGGAAGCACCCCGGGCGTAATCAGCGTAATAGAGCCTGCCGGGGGTTACATGATACTTATCTTGATCCGTCCTGTATACTGTAGGCGTGAGTCGTCGGCAAAGTGTAGGAAAGCGGCAACCAACTGGCTGACTAAGCACGCGTCCATTTCGCGTTTCACGGTGTTCACGCGTTATTTTGTTCTGCGGGCCGGAAAAAAAAAAGGATCAGCACACACTTCGGGATTTCCCCCTGATACGTAAGTACAAGGTACCAGAGAAGAAACGCGAAGCATGGCAATAAGGTGCAAACCGGAATCCGGACCTCCAAGCTGTTCAGCGTCGTGCCTAGCCCGCTCGCGCAATTCCGGTAAGGGAGTTGTGCGTGTGAACTGGGCTATAAAAGAGCGATCGTCCTATCGTTTCCGGCTTAATCATTCATCCAAGCTGGTTCAAAAGAGGAACCAGAACGAAGGTCTTTGGATGGAAGGTAAATGTACACTATGTGTCCTGGCCCGAGGCATATCCAACTTCCACTGGAATGGCATCCTGTGCCTTTCTTTGGAACAAAAGACGAGGGGCATGTTCCGCACTGGCTAGATCCCAGTGCCCATACATGTGAGTGTTCTCAGAAGCGAGATGGTGGAATTATCGGAGTTGGCTTATCGCGCAAGGATTGTATCGACTCCCCCATCACCACCTCAAGGGGTTGATGCCCCATCTGTACACGCACGATACCCAAGGAGTGAGTGATGATATATCAAAGTCGTACAGTGTGAGTGGCAGATTTCTCCCGTCGACTGAGCACAGAGCGTTTGTACGAAGGACCTGATACGAGCCGTAAATCTGTCTCTTGAGATGCAGTGAACATGATGTGACTTGGTATATGCATCCATGTATTTCAAAGCCCTTGAGTGCACTGCACGCGCCCGCCAAAAGCCGCTAAGCTTTTCTTTGGTTTGAGTCTAAGTGCACGAGGGAACTAAGCGTTGCGATTAAAATATAGTCCTGTGATGGACCACATTGGTAGGTTCCAAGAAGGCCAGGAAGAGCTGGTTAGCATCAGAGCGGGAAGACACGATCTTCAGTACGCATGATTAAGTGACGGGTGCCAAACATCCGAGACCAATGAAAGAAAGTACTTGCGGCCATTGACTACGTATAGTTGGAGACCGGCCACACAAGTATGTATACACTGAGGGTTTGAGGTTCAACAAGCGTCGACTTGCTGATTAAGCACGCGTCAAAGCTCGCGTTGTTTCCGAGTTTGCACGCGTTACCGGGCGTAATCAGTGTGTCATGGACTCCGATTCACCTTTTCAATTACCTCTCCTGCAGCTCCGGTCCGTCTCCTTCAGGAGATTCAAAGGGACATTGCTGTTCGGCATATCCCGCCCCCGGCCCCGCCTCCCAATCCCCTCAAGCATGGTCACCAGATCCCCTCGCGTATCGAGCTGGGTCTCAAACTGCGGCTTTCCTACCGCTTTCCTCGTGCACTCAGTATTCCTGAAAGCAGCTACAGTAGCCATGAAGACACTTTTTGGAAGGTCCGTGGGGTACGTGCGCATTTCGTGGTTGGTAATTTCACCCGAGACATGAGTACACTCATTATTCTTGAAGCAGCTAGTCATGAAGACACTTCTTGAAAGGTACGGAGAGGTACAGTACGTGTGCATTTCGTGGTTGGTAATGTTACCCGAGACACGAGCCCCAGATGGGAGGAGGAGGGTAGGTCCGTGTCTGATCCTCTGTTAAATCCTCTTGCTGTTATTGAGCAACGCAAGGAGGGCCCTAGGAATTTGAGAAGCGGGTGCATATCCCGGAAGCTTTATTCAATCACCGTTCGGTCCATCTATCTAGAGTCTTGAATGTGAAGGGTAGGGTCATTGTCCCGGTAGTCCTTGTCCATAACAGATGGGCAGGGCCGATCCGTCCAATGGCCGAAATGACGTGGTTGAGGCCAATGGCACACAGAGCGGAATGCGTTTCCGTTACTGATGGACAGAATGCTCGTGGGGGCTAGTCAAGGTGAAGGCATCTTCAGTGAAATTACAATAGGCGATAGTGATTCGCAAAGGCAGGTCCATGTCGTACGGCCATTACTGGGAGACACGATCGTATATCCTCCCACATTCGAGATGTCCTTCCTCGTACGAGCATGAAGCGAGTCGAAAAGTCAATATTATCAATGTCGAACACTTTTGATGAAACAAATTCTGTACATTTATCAAATGAATCTATCTACGGTATGACCTATCTATCTCTATAGTGTGTGTCAAAACAATTTCCCTCAAAGTGTTGTACGCCGAAATTTTTGGAACATGCAGGGGGATTTATAGATGACTGTAGAGCGGTGCGTCTCTCTACAATGTACTCTCAGTACTAACAGGCGACGCGGACGACGCCGACCGTCTAAACGTATCCATACTGCTCCCCTGCCGCACCGCATGATTCACAACCACCGAGCCTGTTGATTCATCCGACGGGTTCCGTTGATGCGGGGAGACGGAGCGCGGGGACGAGGACGGGGGAGGGGGTGTGAGGGATGGTGACGGTGTCCGAGGGGGGAGGACAGATGGAGCAAGTTGGGAGAGGGGTGTATCGTCGTCTTCTGTTGTTGGGTATGTTGGCGCGGTCTCGTTTGCTTGTGAGAGGTCTTGGGCCGGGGGAGGTGATGTCGATGTTGGCCGCGGGAGCAGAGCGAGGGGCTCCGGCGGGGCGGGTGAAGGCGTAACCAGCGCGGTCTCCTGCCTGTACACAGCCGGGATCTCCGGAAGCGGCGGAGGAGGCCCGCCAGCCGTCGTCGCAGCATCGATGAACACGTCGTCGAAGAATTTTTCCAGCTCGGATCTCAACTCGACGATGGATTTTCGGCGCTCGTCTCGTCGTACGCTGGGTTGGGAGATGCGTTTAATTTCTGTGACAAGCTGCCGTGCCCTCCGCTGTGCTCCGGGGTCTTTGCTGCCGCTGTCGGACTGCAGGTCTGAGATTGCGGTGACGGATTCGGCAAGGTCGGATGCTGTGGCTTGTAGCTGCTTTGCGGCGGCTTCGTCTGCGTCGTTTTCTTCGAGCTGGGAGATGGCGGCAAAGTAACTCGCAGCGAGACTTGAGATTCCCGACTCTGGCGTCCCCGGTGCATTTGAGGCAACAGCTCGCGTCATCGGCATCCCTCTGTTGTTAGGTAGCAAGCTGTCCGCACTCCGGAGGAAATCCGGTCGGTACTGCTTGTTCCCCGCCATATGGTACGGAGACTTCTGCGATGGTGATTGCTGGTTGTCGATCAACGAGACCGTCGATCTGAACTGCTGAGAAGGGAATTTGTACAACTTTCTGTCGGTCCCACGCACACCTTGCGCGCCCCAATGACTCGACATGGCAGAGGATGCGACGGAGGGCAGCGGGGCAGGTCGGGCAATCGGTGGCGAGCTGTACAGAAGAGACGACGATCGGTTGAGCTCGGACCGCTCAGAACGCTGGGGTGACACCACCACCGCGCGGTGGCTGTCGGTGGATCTGCGTGGTGGATTGGCTTTGCTTGCTGGTGGAGGGGTAACAGCGTCACCGGGCGGGAGAAGGTCTTCGGACACGGGCGGGAATCTTTGCAAGAGATTTGTCGCTTCGTCGAGAGATACGACTGCGACGGGCATGACTCCGGATTGGCCAGAACTCCAATTCATTGCGAAGCACCAGGCGTCTTTGTAGACTGTGTAGACTGTGATGGCGTCCTGCAGATTGATAGGATGAGCTGACCGATCCTCTCGAAGAATGATTTCTCGCATTCTTGCCGCCACTTCACTTACCCCGACTTTAACAGCAACTTCATCAGCTTTTGATCGCTTGAACCAGTGTCCGGCAGCAACCATCCCCTTCAAACTGGGGACTTGCACCTCATCCTCCTTACTTGCAGTATGACTAGTCGACCGGCCAGGAATGTCCACGTCCGATCGCAGAGTCTTCTGGCTGTTTGTCCTGGATTTCACCGAGCGAGGCGGTTGTGGGGAATCCGAAGTTGGGGGTTCGGGCGTCTTTGATGTTTGTGGTTCGGGAGTTTGGGGGGTGGCAGGTTCAGGCGTCTTTGGTTCGACCGTCGGTGACGTTGGTCGGTTTTCGAGGGGAGTAGAATTAGACTCGGTTCCGGCGTGGACGGCAGCGGAACTGAGGAGGTTGGTGGTGCTGCAATTGGGCATCTCGCTGGAATTTGTCGAGGGCGCTGAAGTGGTCACATCGACCGCAGGTGCGACAGGTGCTTGGGTGGTGCTTATTTTCACTTGGGCATCCTTCTCCACAGCCTTCCAACTCACAGACCGTCGGACGGGTCCCAGCGGTGTACTCCTGCCATTTCCCTGCTCCACAGCAGAGAGCGAACGAGGTTTGCTTCCAAGTTGAGTTTTGCGGCGACGGTATAGGGCGAGGGCGACTGCGGCGACCAGCAAGCCCAGAACGACTGCGATAGCAGCAATCACTCCTGTTGAAAGGCCCATTTGCAATACCTGTGCCGTCTCTCTGGCTATGCTCTATCTATCTCCAGTGGGGTCGTCAGGGTGCAGCTGTCCAACAAGAGAGGGTTTAGTTTTCTGCAGGAGGAGGCTGTTGCCGCGAGAGGGAGTTCACAGCTGCCTGTCGAATGCGGCCGCGCAATGATCCTCCCGCAGGCGTCAAATTTGCGGCCGCTCGCCCATTGACTCCTCATCATATTCGCAACTGACGAACGCCAACCGCCCGCGACCATGGACATTGGACAATGGAAACGCGTGGATAGGCAGTAGATCCGACACAATGCCTTTGGTCCCATAAACAGCAAAAAAAAACCTGGTGTTGTGCAGATATTAGATGATGATGTATGGAAGGTACAATAACAAAAACGTATGAAGGACGGGTAGGGAGACGAGTGGCAGTTATATATAAAAAGAAACTACTGGAGGGTGAGGGTATATGTTGCAGAGAGAGGGGGATGGGAGGGATGAGAGGGAAAGCGGGGAAGGTGCTTAGCTTCAGGAGACGCAAAGCGGGGTGGAGTTGACTGGCGGAAAGCGCTTTGATTGTGGTGTTGGTAAAGTCCGCGAACGTCTAATCATCATCATCAATCCCCAATTCAATCTCATCCAACCGCTTCTGCAACTTCTTCCTCTCAGCCTCCTCCAGATTCGGAGCAGCCAACCGCTCCCTGAGCGCCGCAATCTGCCGCTGCGTCCTCATCTCGTCCTCCTGCTCTCTCCTCAAAGCAAGATACGTGCCCTCCGTGATCTTCCCGCTCAGCAGCAACATCTCCAGCGAGTCCACTTTCTCCGGCGCGTGTTGCATGGCTTGCACGTTAGATGCGCCGGATTCCAGCCGCGAGGGGAGCCCGAGTTCCATGCCGACGGGTAGGAGACATGCCAGCGGGAACACACCGGCCGCGTAAGCTCGGTCGTTCTGCCCGAATGCGTAGCCGTCGTCGTAGGCGAGACGGACCGATACAACGTCGCCTGGTTTGAGCTCAATCTCGTCCGCCAGTTTTGGTTTGTAAGGGTGGATAACTGTGAACCGTTGGACCATGTCGCTGGACGACGTGCGGTTCCCGCCGCGACCCCGGACGTGGCCGCTGGATTCGTCACCGGTCATGATTTCACCGTCCCTTCCACGATTTGGCAAGTCGCTGGTGTGGTTCTCCGCGTCGCTTGGTGATGTGGAAATTGCGACAATCCCGGCGCCTGCTGCGGCTGCGGTCGCGCCCGCTGTTTTGGCGTCCATCACGCGCTGGTTCAGATCGGCAGGCTTCGCCGGGTCCCGCGCCGAGCGAGCGGGCCGTGTTGAGAAGTTCATACGCGTAGCATCGGAGGTCGTCGTCTGCGACATTTCCGGTGTCCCCGAACCTGCATTCGCCGCAATTTCAAAGTCTTCGATTTTCCGCTCTCTCTCACTGTTTCGTATCCGCCTCTTCCTGTATAGAAGGAACCCTCCTACCAAGAGGGCGACTGCTGCGATTGGGATGAGGACCGCCAGAAGAATCACCGCTTTGGTGGAAAGACCCGAGTCCGCCCCACTAAATACGTCGAGGACCGCAATCTTTGCGCTTGCCAGGCCGGTTTTTGGATCCACCGTCCCGTCGAAAATCTTCGTAAACCAAGGGGCCATTGCTGCGGAGGCCTCGACCCACAAAGGTGCTGCATTGGGGGACGATGTCTTATCGATCAGGAATGGGGTGATGGTGCAATTCGTAGCCTGGCATGTCACCGGGTCTATCAACGGAAGAAACGTGATATCAGCAAGGTTTCAAACAACAAAGGCACAACGAGGGAACGAATCTATACCTGCGGATAATGATTTGAGACTAGGAGGTGCCCCAAAACGAAGCGCTCGTTCCTTCTGTACGACAGGCCCAGTCAAGAAGAGTAAGGCTTCCGCGACAGCGCTATCGTTCTTGTTTTCTCCATGTTTCGTCATCGCGAGGTGATACCCACCAGGCGTCGAGTACATTTGCGTCTCCGCATTCGGACTATTCCCCGGTATCACCGCCGGGACCCATCCTTTCCCTTGCCATTGGGTATATGTCTGGTGCAGAGAGGAGAATTTCCCTCGATAGAATACGGAGTCGCCGAGGGTCCATATGTTCAGTGCGGTTCCATAGTCGTACTGCATTGAACGTTCCGTCATGAAGTGCGAGTCTACGATCCAAGACCTGAATTGATTCAACATTGCAGCATTCTTCCCTGTGTCAAAGGTCGGCGTTTGTGGGAAGTTTATCAAGGGAGTGGTGTTGTTGTTGTAAACAAGCTCGCCCATGAAATCCACCACTTCCTGACCTGAAATGGGGCTGTCAATAAACTTCTCCTGCGGAAACGCATCGCTGGGGGAAAACACACTTACCTATCATGCCAGACACGAAACACTGCAAAGAGCGCCGATTCACTTGCTCCGCCGGTAGAATCTTTTGACACGCTTCCACCATTTGTTGGTAAGAAATGGGGATGCTTATGTTATACTTGGTGAGTAAGTCGCTTCGCGCGAACAATGCAGAGAAGTCGTTCCAGAGTGGTATCGCCACTGCGTAGGGGAAGAGCTCGGTAAGCGTTGTGAGACTATAACCAACCGTTAGGATGCCGTGGTGCACATACTTAAGCCATCAGGCGAGGAGTCCGCTTCCGTCGTTGCCTCATTCTCGTCGTTTAAAACACGAGAGGCAAATAAATCCGTCATGTTGGAGTTCGTTCCACTGATCTCGTCCTTGAAAAGGTTTACGAAGTACTTATTTCCTGGCCAGGTGTCGAGCCATGATTGATCCAATGCGATGATATCGTAAACATCGTTATGATCCTCAATGTACTTTTTCGCGGTTTGGTAATAGGCTGCTGGATCGGCACTGAACTATAGAGATGAAGGCTTTCAGAAGTGTGGTTCGCTGAGGACGCAGGTAACGCAACACCCAATACGCTTACCGTCACACCCATAGACACTGTAATAGCAATGCCGGTATCCTTTTGGAACTGTTGTGTCAACTGTGTATACAGAGCAAGCTCGTCCGTGGCAGAGGTGTCGAACAATGGCTTTACCAGCACCGCAACTAAGCAAAGCACAAAAAATTCAATCAGCTGGTGTTCCCACCCTCGCCGTGGGGAGTGGGCCCAGATACGGTACCTTCCGTACGGGCCGCATGACCGGGAAGGCAACTCCAGAGTGAACATATTGCACTCGCTGCCAGGCAGCTCCAAAACGACGGTAGCCGTTGCGACGACCGCAGAGGTCGCAGCATCGGAGAAGAGCCAGTCCTTTGCCCTATACCTCTCAGAGAGTCCAACGGCGTATCTGTCTTCCAAGTTCGAGCGGTAAATGGCCAACAGCACAGTCCTGTGGGAGCTTCCCTCGCAGAGATTTGTCGATTGGTCCGCTACTTTAGCGTCACCCGGTTCGACGCTGAGAGATTGAGCTGCCAATAGAGCGAGCTTACTCCAAGGAGGCAATTCAACTACGAAGCCTCTTTCTGGTTAGCCCCGAGTGGAGAGCTTTCGAAGGTCCGGTCGGCAGCCGATTGCTGAACGAAGCGGCGCTGTGACAAGGCGATACTCCAGTGAGTGCGAGTCCAACGTGCAGGTGCCAACGGCTGCCGGTGCGGGAACTGTGAGGGGCACAGTATGTGGGTGTGGGTTACGTTGTTCGCTCGTACATGTTCCGGCAGCATTCGCCCTCCACCTTCCGTTCGGAGTGGCAGGCGCCTAGGTGAGCGCCGTCTCGCCGTGTGTGCGGGACAGCGTGGGAAATACCGACGGGACGGCTTCAGCTAACCCAATATCCAGATCCAACATGTTTGCAGGATAAACCCCGGGTCGGCCTCCATTTCCACATTTAGACATTAGGAAACGAGTCAAAGGACAACCAAAAAGGGCCTATTCTCGCTGCCCCTGATCCGGAGTCCGTCGACCCGGTGCAGGGCCTAGACTTTGGCCATTCCCATTGCGGGATTTGAGGATGTGCATAATAAATGTCCTCCTGGACTTTGGGACGGTTGGAGACACCCGATAACGCTGCATCGTTGAGGTATCCCTCACCTTCCCACCACAGCCTCACCGCCGAAGTTGGACCTGGTGGTTCAAGGTTTTGTGCGGTCGGGAAAAACCTTACCTCCTGTGTAAGGGAAATCCATTGCTATTAGGAGTGGTCCGTAGTGGGGCCGCCGACGAATGTTGACCCTTTGCGAACGAGGTACATTTGTGCGGCCCTGAAGGAACATGAAGGATTCCCCGTGTCTTACACTATGATGAGTCTCGTGTCGAAGGACGCCGCCGCGGATGCAATTCTCAGCTGACGGTCACTGTCCAGCCAATGCCCTTTTCGGGCAGCTACTGTGTGTCCACTTCTCATACCGTGTACGCCGCATCCAACGCTCGCAAGCTTACTCATTCCCCACATATGATAGCTTCCAAGCATTCGTCGTTTAGACCCTGCAGCAAAAGTCATCTGAGAAGGTCTTGCAGCCAACGGGCCTTTGGAAAGCTTGCTCTACTCCAGGTCGAACACCCACTCGCGCGTTCCGAACTTTGCACTCGAGCGTCACCTGCGTCAACGAGCCTTCCAACGTCTCACCACTTCCATCGGTACCAAATGATATGCAATGTTTTGTATATTTAATTACGTTTTTGTCATGAAGATAGAGAGAGAGAGAGTGGGGATGCCAACGGTTGTTGAGAAGATCAACAGTGAGAGGAAAACAGACACCGCAACACACACAAGATATACAATTGAATCATGTGATATAAGATGTGAGACAGTCCGCTTAAGCTTCAAGGGTAAGGGCGAGACCAAGCTTGTGCACGTTCTCGTGGAAGCGGGTGGTGTCAAAGAGACCGCCCAGGGAGAGCTTAACGCCACGGCGCAGGATCTGGGTGTAGCCGAGACCCAACAGTCCGCGGTTGTCAACCTTGGCCTAGGTGATTAAAAAAGGAAGAATTAGTGTATGCGAGTATGGATGGGAGAATGGGTGAAAATGGCGCCTTACCTTGAGGGATGCGTCGTTGTCAAGGAAGTACTTGGTTCCAACCTCGACGTGGACGGTATTGTCGAGGGACTTGACCCATGTTGCCTTGGCACCGGCCTCGACGTCGGCGTTGACACGGTGGAAGTAGGACGCGGCGAAGGTGCTCAGGGCGTTGGTGCTATTCCATAGAGAGATAGGAGGGATGAGACGGATGCCACAGATGGACCACAAGAGTAATCTGCAACTTACGCGTGAAGGGCAACGGAGTACTCGCGGCCGAGGTAACCGAAAGCCAAGTTGTACTTGGTGACGCGGGCATCGGACACGTCGTATGCAACCTCTCCTCCGGCCAAGAAACCGTCGTTTCTGAAAGATTGACGACAGATCAGTCAAATGTGCCATGTGAAACTGGTAGCAACTCTTTGCAGTACTCACGCGACGACGGCATCTCCGTGAAGGGTGGGACCCCGGAAAAGGTCGACGGACGTGCGGGTGAAGAGGTGGTCCTGCTTGTATTCCACACCGGCCTTCAGGTTCTTGGTTCCCTTGGCGGGGAGGAGGGATGCGGCAATGTCGACCTTCAGGCCACGGGCAAGGGTGTTGTCAAGCTCGAGCTGGGTGCCGAGAATGTTGCTGCTCGTCCAGGACTCGGTGAATGTAATACCACGGGCCTTGTCGATGTGCTTGGCCTTCAGCTCGCTGGCGATAGCGCCAGTCTTGTTGTCCTTGGCTCCCAAAACGGTGAATTTCTGTACAAAGGGGGGAACAGAGAGTCAATGGCCTGCTCAATCTTTCAACTTCTTTGACAATCGTCGTGGTAGGGCGACCGCGGCCACACCCAACATAGTAAGGCGTCTTCCGTTGTCATCGACCGTTCAGGCCCCTCCGCCGCCGCTGCACCCTTGGTGCGGCAAACTTCGAATCCGGCTGAACAACCCGCTTTCGCCCTGATACGTCGCATACGCTCCGTCCCACCCTTTAGCAGTCTTGCGCCTCGGTTCGCCATGATACGTCACAATCGCCCCCACAGCCGTCTTCTGGTATGTTGTCCGTTAATGTTTTACGTACCACACCGTTCGTTGTAACCGTGTTGACCTCGAGCTTAGCTGCCCCGACGGGGAAGTCCTTGCTTAGCAGGTCATTTGTGGTCTTTCCAATGTCAGAGAAAGCCGGAGGCACGTTGAACTTGAGAGGAACCGGGATGGCGATAGGGACCGACATATTTGTGTGTCTGTGAAAAGAGGAAGATCAGATAGGATTCCGGCGTCGTCGCGTCTGTAAGTGGCTGTAGAGATCTTGCCTGAGACTTACGTTGTGCTAGTAGTGGCGAGAAAGGGGGAAGGGTGAGGAGATGAGGCGGCCTTGAGGCGAGCGATGAAGATTGAGGATGCGGGTTAAGGGGTGTTTGCAGTTTGGGCAACGGGTTATAAGCGGAATCTCTCTGGGGGCCGAATGCGTCACCGCTGTCCGTGCGTCTCGTCTCCAAGGAAGGCGCCCCCTCTCTCTCGCTCTCTCTCTCACATGAAGCAATTAGCGCATACGCCAGGCCTTAGTCACTCGCGCCTTAACTCACAAACCGGCCGTTGCCTATTGGCCCCTTTATTATGACACTGCCCAATAACAACAGCGCTACGTCATGCACTTGACTTAAGATGCTAGCTGGTAGTATAAGTCTATAAGGCCTCCGTATGCTGCGCCACAAATGCAAGCGACGCCAGCTGCAACAAACGTGTCGGTGTAATGTGGCCCCGGGAAATCGGAGGACGAATCTAAGCCCACTTTAACCAGCATGCTAGAAAGTCACGTGCTCGCATGGGTACCGCGAATACGACAGCGCGGTCTGTCTGACGCGTAAAGCATTATCGGACGAAGTTGGGGAACTGTTGTTCGCACGACTCCCCGAGCTGGTTTTTCTTCGGAAACTCTTCATTGAGGGCGAGGAGATTCCACCTCGAACTCATCGCAGTGGGACCACCACGATTACCACATAACATGACAGGAACAGGATCCGCACATGGGAGCGAATCGGAGAGCGTTCAGGATGCCAGCTTTGAGACTGTGCGCGCGGCAGCAATATTGCTTTCGACGGACTTTGTAAATACCAGTGAAAACCGCTCACACTACAATCCATCGAGATACTAATGGTTTCCTTTGATTCAGACATTCGCATACTCGTCACAATATGCGCACGCTTGGGACTTGATATGCGCCTACCTCCATGCAAATGAATCGGCACTGCGCTTTTTTGGGCTAAAGAACATATCACTATGCGCCAGATCAATTGGCAGAACTCTGCTGCACATAGAGCAAAAGCAGAGGATTGTATCGAAGCTCATCGAAATTGTGACCGGTGATGAGGTATGAGCGATGGCAAATGAGTTCAAAGAATGTGGATGTCTGGCGAAGTCTTAGTCAATCGTCTTAAAAGTCCTGGAACAACAGATGTCTCGCTGCACAACTACTGGGCGAATTCGTCGAAGCAATGTGCGAAGAAGGGTTCCCGGCCAAAATACGGACGAGAGCCTTTGAAGCCGTCATTGGCGAAATTGCACGCACCTTTCCGACGGAACTCGGTGATGCGCTGAATCAGGACCCGACATTGCTTGACAGCTCTCACTATGTCGCACCACAGGTGTTCCGCCGACGAATAAGTCTCGTGCACGCCAGCGCCCTGTTCCTGCGGGCTCCTGAAGCGCAAACTTCTTCTTACATGGGATACATCGACCGCCTACTTCTCACGCTGTTGAGGAAGAAAGCGCATCCGTACATGCAAGCCACCGCGATCCACGCCATCCACACCCATCTCCCAGTCACAAACAGGAGCCGGCTGCGAGTGGAAAAGATTTTCCGCGAACCCATCGCAGCGTTATCCGCCGAACTCCTCCCACCACCGGAAATCATAGCCAGCTCGACCAATCTCTCAACATCCGCGACCGAAGTTCGCCGGCCTAGCCTCCTACACGGCGCAGTACCGGCCACATCCTCCAACATAAGCATGCACACCATTGTCAAGCGCGAAATCATGCAGTTTTGGGCGGTGTGGTACCCGCGGCCAAACGATAAAGAGCTCCAGAGCATAGGTACCTCAACCAGTCAGACGCCGAAATTGACGGGCTACGCTATGCGGAGATGGAACTTGTTGTCCTTGCAGAACTACCAGAGGGACCAGGTTAAGGCGTTTGCGGGACTTGCGAAGGCGTCCAAGAGAGTGGACATGGAGCAGCAGATGCCAGAGGAGCCGTATGACGAAGTCTCCCGGGCGTTTGCGTTGTTGTCGGACAAGATGTTTGAGAGGCCGAGCATCCCCGCTGCGGGCAGGAAAGAAGGTACCAGGTTGGCTTCTCCCCGCGCTCGTCATTTCGCTACCTTGAAAGATCTACTCACTCACACCCCTTTTCCGTCAAGCCAGCGCCACATCGCAAGACCCCTCTCAATCCCCACCTCCGCACACACCGACCCTAACCACCATCCACGACGCCCCCACCGCCGACCCCGACGCCTCAACCCTCACCCTCAACATGACACCCCCTATCCTCCTCTTCAACCGATACCCCTTCCAGAAAGACATCTTCCTCCAAAACAAATCCGTCACGCACGACGTCCCCTTTCGTTTACAAGTGGGCCCGAGCAGGTTCTTCTTTGCCACCCCGGCATATGGGTTTGTGCCTAAGGGCGAGTCGGTTACCGTTACGGTATATTTTACGCCGTGTCCGCAGGTTGTGAGGAAGACGCCGGAGGTGCTGGGGTTTTTGAGGGTTAGGGGGGCTAATGGGTTTCCTTATGAGAGGTATGGTCTTATAAGCAAGGGCGAGGACGTTTGACTCCATTGATGGCGTCTCATCTCCATCTCCTTTAGGATCTCATTGCGCGGCTATAATACACCAGCGATCAAAATCAGCCCCGTCAGGCTCGACTTTGGCATCTGCCCCATCGGCGACACCCGCACCATGGTCTTCATGGTCTCCAATCTCCTCCCCGTCGAATGCCCCATCGTCACCCTCGTAGCGCCCACAGAGACCAGCACAATGTTCCAAATCTACCCGACGCAGACCATCCTCGCCGCCCACGAGAAAAAATCCTTTCAGCTCAAATTTGTGCCCAATATTGAGGCAGAAGTCTCCGATGCATTACTTGTTGTCGCCCTTGGCGGCGAACTCACGAAGGTCTTACTGGAAGCCGTCGGCGGCCGCGCTCTGCATGTGCTGGACACCAGACTCGATTTCGGGCCCACGGATATATACTACAACCCCGTCGTCCGCAAAATGACGCTACGGAACCGGGACCGCAAACCGTTACCCGTGACCTGCATCGCCTCAACGAACGAACTGAGCGTCCACTACGGGTTGCCAATCACACTGGAACCCTTCGAAGAGCGTCGGATCAGCGTATCCTTTCTCTCCGGGTTCACCGGCACGCGGCAAGAGTCCTTGGTCTTCCACGCACCCAACAGCAAACCCGTCACGCTGGAAGCCGCAGCCTTCTCCGGCCCGACGCTGTGGATGCCCGTTTACGAACGCCTGATGTTCCCCATCGCGTCGGTGTCGCAGTTCACCTCCGTGCAGTTCCCGATCGTCAATTTCGCGGATACCCCGACGCAGTTTACGGTTTTCACCCCGCCGCTTGCGCCGTTTACCGTTGAGCTTGTTCCGGTGGATGTGGCGAATAGGAAGGGCGCTAACTCGCTGCAGTTGGAATCAAGGCCTTATGAGGGTCCCGACGCCGTCGGGCTATCCGTGACCGTCGGCCCGCGGCTGACTGTCCTCGTCAAAGTCAACTTCCTGAGCGTGGTGTCGGGGTCGTTCAAGAGCACATTAGGCGTTCAGATGACCAAACCGCGGAAATGGACGGTGGGCACGTTGCAGCTGAACGCGTTCGCGGTCGACGAGCCGTTCTTGTTGAAGGAGAAGTCCCTCGACGCTGTGCGGAAATTCATCGCTAATCCGGCGGAGGAACCCGCCACGGGCGTCATGCCCAAACGCGGGCGAGCGTCAACGACCGCCGTGATCAAATCGTCCGAAGTGCTCGAACTAGACCCACCCATCCAGACCATTTTCGGCGCCCATCTCAGCGGCCGGTTTGAAGATATCTGCGAGTTCGTCACCTTATCGAACCTGGGCAGCACGGTGCAGAAGTACCGGCTGGCGCTCAGCGAGCATTTCTACACGGATGCGCCGCTGGAAGGGGAGTTGGAGGGGTCGGCGAGCGTGGATATACCCATCAGGATCAATCCGTCGTTCTTGGAAAATGGGATTGGACCCGAGACGATGCATCAGATTATTTTGGGATCCATCACGGCGTTTGAGGCGAATGATAAGAAGGGCGGGCTTGTGAGTGCCGGATTGCAGGGGATTTTGGGGGATTTGGTGTCGTTGGAAAGCAGGGAGGGGATGGATACTGTGCATTATCCCTCGCTGAAAGTCATGGAGAAGCTGTCCCGGCGATTTATCCTGCGGAACCGGGCGCCCGTCGATGTGGTTTGGGAAGCCCGTCTCGTAACCGTCGGACAGCAGGGCACAGGCCTCGGCGCTGACGGGCTCCCGATGATCGTCCCCACAACCTCCTCTAGCTCCGACTGGTGTCCCTTCTCCCTCTCCGTCCCACGCATGAACCTAAAACCCTTCGAGATCTACACGGTCGATATCACCTTCCAAGCAACCTCATCAGGCGACTACCGCGCCAAACTCTTTATGGAATACACCGACCCAATCTCCCACATGGTCAACGCCGAACACATGCGCGGCCGCGCCAAACGCAGTCTCCCCCCCCTCGTCTTCGATTGCTCGGTAGGCGTGCAGGATCTCGCCTTCATGCCCGAGTTCCTGCACCACGGGGACGTCGAGATCGGCGAGCGGGTCTCCCGCCCCCTGACGATCATCAACAACCAGCAGTCGAGCACGCACTTGGTCATCACCACCCCGCCGCCGTTCCACACGTCGGGATTGACGGGGACGATGGTGAGAAGGCAGACGAAGCTGGAGCTGCCGGTGTTGTTTGAGCCGACGAAGAGTGGGACGTTTAGTGAGTTGCTGGTTTTGTCTTTTGGGGGGTTGACGAGGCCGGTGCCGGTTATAGGAACGGGGGGAAGGTCGGGGATTGAGTCGAATCTGGCCAATCCGGTGCGTGTTACCGCTGGGCCGTTGCTTGCTGAACTTCTTGCTGGTGATGAGAAACCTGTCCGAACGACGGAGAGCACGATCGATTTCGGGTTTGTCGAGATGGGACGACCTAAAGAGAAGATGTTCCGTCTCACGAACGTGGGTACGTTTGACTACTCTGTCAAGAACATCACATTGGACGACGAGACCCACGTGCAGTGGAAATTCGAGGAGGATATCTTGCTCGAAACGCAAATTTCGTCGGAGTTTGGCAATGCGCCGCTTGACGCCGTGGAAATCGACTGGGATGAAGTTGATCATAAGATCGGTGAGCATGCAGGAGGGACTGGGTTTGGACGGCAGTCTGTCGCGGCTTCCAGTGTCAACGCACCTGTACGGAGACGGAGGTACAAGTCGATATCAACCTCTGTGGTGGGTGGGCCGTCGGCTTCGTCCAAGGCGTTTCCGTTCCGGTTGCCGGCGTCGCAGAAGTGTATTATCAAGCTGTCGCTGGCAGGATTTGATGTGGTATGTATATGAGAGCCTGCAGGAACCCGCAGTGAATGTACTAAGGGTTGTTTTCCTTTTACAGCGCCAAAAGGGAGAGCGAAACGCTGTCATGAAGGTGGACGTGGAGAGATCGAACGGCGAGGCCGAGGCATATGTTTTCTGGATACATGGGAACATACAGCCGGCATTGCAACTTTGGGAGAAGAGAGTTGACTTTGGAGTTCGGGCGGTTTATATTCGACATGTATGTTTCCAAGTTGAATGATGCATTGCATGTCCTATCATCTGACCTTCGTCGCCTTACTTAGAAAACCGACATCAAGTTCACCAACACTGGGACGGTTCCACTGCCATGGACGCTGACCCAAGATTCCATCCGGTACCACCCCATGGAGAAGTTCGACACCGCCCCACTACCCGAAGACGAGAAGTCAATCCCACTCCCAATGTCCTTCTTCCCGACCTCTGGCAAACTCCTCCCGGGCTGCACCCAATCCGTCGCGGTGGCATTCACTCCCAGTCTCGCGCAATACGAAGTCAACTCCTACTGCACGCTCCGCACGGGCGATTTCGCAGAAAGCCAGATTGTGGTTCATGGAGTGGGCGCTTCCAGCCGATTGTGGATCGACGTTGATGAGCTGGACTTTGGGACACTGAGGATCGGGACCAAGAAGCATTTCAGGGTCTCGTTGAAGAACCGCGGTATCTTGCCTTTGAGGTACTTTGTGGAGTGCAGTAATACGCAGTTTTCGGCTGATCCCGAGCAGGGGATGCTGGAAGGCGCTGGGTCGGTGGAGATTACGGTCAAGTTCGCACCGAAAGCAGTGGGCCAGCTTACCGAAACCCTGAGAGTGCTGCCGCACATGCAGGAGGGATACACAATCGAGCCTCTTCTTGTGAGCTTACGCGGGATGGGAAGTTACCCGGAACTGGTTGTCCTCACGAAGAACGTGGATTTCGGCACGGCGCTGTTCATGACACGCAATGTCCAGCCCGTAAAGGTCCAGAACAAAGGGGCTGCCGAAGCCCACGTCATCTTCAGTTGTCATCACCCGGGCATCAGTCTCGACAACGATAAGGAGAACGAGGTTGTCGTCGTGGGCCCGAACACGATCAAAGACATCAACATAGTCTATGTCCCTCAAGTCGTGGAAACATTGAAGGCGAAAGCTTTCTTGAGATCCTCTGATAGTCGCGGTGATCACTTTGTCTTGTCATTGGAAGGGTCGGTGGGTGTGCCTAAGTTGGCATTCAATCCTCCCGATGCGATGCAGTCGCTCGACTTTGGTGTATGCGCTGTCAACGGGGTGTACAAGAAGATCTTCACGATGTCGAACGAGGGCAACATCAACCTGCCATTCATTTTGAACTTGGAAAACAAGTTGACGATCGGACATGATTCAGAGGGAAGAGCGGCATTGAGACCTGTCCCGACAAAGCCACATATCATAACCGCCGAGCCCACCAGTGGCTCCTTACATGTCGGTGAGTCGGTCGAAATCTGCATCACGTTCATCCCTGACTCCTTGGCAGAGTACGAGTGTCAGATCAATCTCAACTACGAGTTCAAGAGCCTAGTAGCGCCAATCAAGGGCGTTGGCGGCCGGGCCGTGCTAAAAATTGACTCGCCATTGAGCCTGATTGATTTCGGACTGTGCAGGATTCGCCGAACGTTCAAAAAGCCTCTTACTATATCGAACGCTGGCAATCTTGGCGTGGACTATCATCTGCGACCCGAACCGGAGGATGGAGACTGGTCGGTGTATTCGGAGTTGGGCCAGAGGTTGAATGCGCCCAGAACTAGCAATGCGGACTCTGGCGATGCGGAAGAGGAAGTCCGACCGTGGGTGAAGGAACTTGCAGCAAAGGGGTTCACGTTGATGAACCCGGATGGTCATTGCAAACCATACGGCAAGACTGATTTGTTCATCGAGTTCTCGCCTCTCTCGGAGGCCCACACAGAAATCAAATTCCGGGTTTATTTCGGGGATCAGTTTGAGGACATCAATGTCTGCGGGCGGGCGGCTTTCCCAAGGCTTATGATGTATGGCCAATCCGGAGAACTGCTCGCCGGTTCGGAAGAGATGCGTACGCTCGATCTCGGCGTCCATCCCATTCAATCGGAGCATGTACATACTCTTCAGCTCAAGAACGAGGGTCCTTTCGGCATCGATTATCTGGTGCAGCCGTTCAGCATTCGCGAATTCGACGTTCAACCGTTGCGGGGTTTCATTCCTCCAGGGTCAGCAAATCCTCTACGGGTGTACTTTCGCCCCACGTCGGAAAACAAGTTCTCAACGACCATAAAAGTGTTGTGGGAGAAAGAACCTCTCAGACTTCAAATGCTCGCCAGTGGCGGTATCGGGAAACTGGAAGTTGTATATGCTGACGACAAAGATGTCTCGATGAACGGTCTGGATTTCGGCATGGTGCCCTTCAATAGTGCCTCGGAGAAGCATTTCTTCTTATTCAACGTCGGAATGGTGGAGATATCCATGGAAGCCGTGGTCGACAACGACGAGTATGTCATGGCACTCGTTGGTGATCCCATCCCGCTGGAACAGCACAAGATGGCCGGTGCTCCCAAACCCCCTCCGCCGTCCAAGCGCACCATCTGGAACTGGTTCTCCAACATTCGCTCTACGATCGCTCCTGGTGTTGGTTTGGAGGTCGTTGCGCGGTTCGTCGCGCGGTCACCAATGATTGCGGCAGGGAGTATCCAAATCAGGTCGGAAGGAGGGTCTTATGTAGTTCCTCTGCGAGGCAAAGGAGGAACGATTCAGATCACGCATCGTGGCGATCTTAACATGGGTGATATCGCCACAAACCATGTGTATCGCCGTAAGCTTACGCTCGTGAATAGCGGGTCTATTCCGGCGAGCATTACGGCTGAATGGCTAGTAGTTGGTCATTCCAGCGAGACCTCCTCCTCGTTTGTGCAGTTCGACGAGAATTACTCCGTCCTGGATCCGAGATCTGGATGGGCTCGGCAGCAACTCTGCGCGGACCGGAACGTTCAGACCATCACGTTGACGGCAAAGAATAGGTGGCAAATGATTGCCATGATGATCCGAAAAGCGGAAGATTTGGAAGAGGAAAATATGGATGCAAACGCAGACCCTTTGAGCGCTCTCTGGGGAAACACGCTTGGAAAGCTCCGGACCTTGCTTAAGCAGCAGGCGCAGGCTCCCGGCGATGCTTTGACAACCGCCGACGAAGCCCTTTCAGCAACGCCTGGTCAAACCAGTGCGACTGGCAGTGCGTCGAACCTCAGTCAGAAACCTGCTGGAGCTGTTGGAGCTTCGCTTGGGACCAGCGTGTTGTTGAACCCGAAGAAAGGATTGCCAGCGCAATACTCGGCGTTCTTCAAGCGGCGCCAGATGTTCTTCCATCTCATCTCAAGCACCCAGCTGTCGAGCCAATCGCTACCTTTTATCAAACCTTACCTGAAGGTGGACCCGCCGATCAGCACTCTGCCAAGCTATGGCGAAACCACGTTGACCGTTGAGATCGATTTGTCTACTGAAGACACTTTTTTGGCCACGTTACTGATCAAGCCAGGCGTGCCCAATGCGTCAGTTCATGAGATCGCACTGACAGCCACCCCCAAAGCGATATCTGTTCTGTGTGACGACACAAGAATGCTCGACTTCCACCGCCAGCCACTCGGGGAATCGGAGACGATTATGCGCACTTTCACGAACGTCGGCCACAAGGATTTCAACTTTCAATTCCTCAACCCGAATGCCTCCCTCCGGATACTGCCCGCAAGAGGACACATCAAAGTCGGGCAAACAATCACCGTGCGCTTTACCTTTGAGCCGGTGGACGAGTCGATCCAGAACCAGGATGTCGTATTCCAACCGGACATCTCTCAGCCCATCCGTCTCAAAATGCATGGGGCCGGCGGGTACACCAAGGTCTCGCTATCGAGGTACCGCCGATTCGACTTTGGGCATTGCATGATTGGCAAGGACACCGTGTCATTCTTGCCAATTGTGAACGAGGGAAATGCCATGCTCCATTTGACGCGCTTCGAATTGCACGAGACAGATACTTTCTTCAAGGGGGAGGACTGGCCAGTGCGTCGGGTATCGCTCTTCCCGAACGAGGTATTCAACCTTCCGATTGTGTTCAACCCACATGAAGAGAGTCCGGCACCGGGTCGACTGGTTGTCGGGACCGCCGTCGACTCCTGGGAAATCGAGCTTGTCGGCCTCGGCCGAGAAGCCGTACTGATCGTATCGAAAATCCAAATGGAGTTCTCCGAATGTCTTATTGGCAACTCATACGAGCAGAAACTCGGGTTAAAGAACGTCGGGGATGTCAACTATCCCGTTACTTTCAAGCTGGACCGCGAGTTCCCCGATGTCGAATTCCTCCCGCCGTCCGTCGTCATTCATCCCTTCAATGAGACCGACATCATTGTTGCGTATACGCCGTCGAAGGAGACCAAAGCTACAATCAATCTGACGGTCTCTTCGCCATACAGTAGTCACAAGATCCCTCTAGTCCTACACGCAGGAACAGCCGTATTGGAGTTTGACAATGAAATATTGGATTTTGGCATGTTCGAACGCACAGCTTCGCCGTGTGTCAAGCTCAACATCACAAACACCGGCACCGTCCGGACGAGCTTCAGTGTGCGGGAGATGATGAAGCCGCCAATGTTCTCCATCGGGCATGCCAAAGGCATCCTCTATCCCGGTCGAAGCACGGCGGTTTCCATCACACACATAAAGCATGAAGTCGCTCAGTTCGAGGAACAGCTGATGATCCGCACGGACCTGCTCGACAAGCTGTACTACATCCTCGTGAAAGGCCAATGCGAAGAAGCGCTCCTCAGACCAAACGAGTTCAGCCTTTGCAACATGGGCATCTGTCCGGTCATGGAGACGACCACGAAGCCGGTCAGCTTCACGAACTACGGAAAGTTCCCGCTGCACTTCACCATCAAGAGCGCTTACCCGCTGAAGGTTTCGCCAACAGCTGGGAAAGTTCTTGGCGGACAGTCCAGCACGTTCTCCGTGGCATGGAACCCATCAGGAGGGTACGAGCTGCGAACGCACATTGCGATGGTCACCAACATCGGCACATTTAACATCGCCATTCGAGGCAAGGCAGCGTTCCCAGAACTTGTCATCAAAAATATGTACCTCGACTTTGGCGTGTGTGCAGTAGGACATTCCTACAGGGAGCCATTCACGTTGACGAATAAAGGAAAGGTCCCGGTTCACTTCACCATCGCTCCTTCGAGGGAACCGAGCTACTCCGTGGGCAGAGTCTTTGGGAATCTGGAACCGAAGGAATCGATGGACATTGACGCATTTTTCAAGCCAGCGGGTCTCGGCAAATTTGCTCATACGTTCATGATTGAGTGTAAAGGCATCAACTACAAGGAACTTGCGGTGATCGGAATAGGTGGCCTTCTCAAGCTGGAGTACTCTCCGTCGACGTTGGAGTTTGGTAAGTCTTCACGCTTGTATGTGCGGACGTTGTTCTCCAATTCTCTAACATCGGCTCTGATTGCAGGCCGCTCTCCATGCAATCTACGCATCTTCCAACCTCTGCTGCTCGCCAACAAGGGGGACGTCATCCTCCAGATCAGCTTCAAAATCGTCGACGCCAACGACGACTGTGTCATTACATTACCAGATCCAGTCACCCTGCGACCCAGCCGAAGCACGCGATGCTTCTTTGGCGTCGCTGCGATGAAGGTCGGGGCATTTACCGCGAAGGTTGCTGTGTGTACAAGGGAGAAGGTGTACAGCATCAATGTTACTGGTAAGAGGCACGCCATCAATAGAGACCATGTGCAACAAGAGTGCTCATGCGCATCACAAAACAGGCAGCGGGATCAAAATCGAGCTTGATCCGAAAAGCAAAGAGGTCCTGGAGACCGAGAAATTGTCGATAGTAAGTTGCTGTTTGCTTCTAAAACAGGGATAATAGTTCGCGAGCCATCGCTCTAAGCACAGTCGACCAACAGCTCACAGCCCCTGGCCCACTGGACTCCGAACTCCGCCTAGGCGACCTCGACGAATGGATCAAAAAGTTCAAGAAGCGATACCTGCTGGACCAACTTATCGGAGAATCCCTCAGTGTCATGTACACCGCCGCACGGGGATTGTCATGCCTGGCATCTACGCCGCAGGTGCTCAAGCGCGCCCATGCGATCGTGGTCGCGAGGCATGTAGGAGGTCCGCCTAAACAGAGGCAAATCGCATCATCAGCGCATTCGCCAGCGCCGACGTCTCCAACGCCCGGCACCGTAGCAGAGGAAGCTGGTAGTACTGTGGCCACGGCGTCACCTCCCGCCACGGACCAGAGACCGCGAATCCAGTCCGAAGGCGACCCATTAACCTTCATCGAGCATCCCAATCTCGGCGACGGCGATGTGGTGCCGAAGAACGCCGTGAGGATCCCCGGTCCGCCGCCTGCGCAAGAAGAGGAGGTCGCCGCTGTGCAGGTCGTGACGCGTGAGGAGGAGAACCCTGCCCAAGAACAGAGCGTCGAACGTACATCGCGGCCACGGTCGGCGGACACGGCGGGGCAGACTGGCAGGGACGCAAACCCGTCATCACACTCGCCGTCCGGTGATCCCGCAATGGAGGCTACGCCTGAGACGGGCGGCGACTCACCGAACCCCGAATTCGAGGCGGCGCTGGATCTGCAACTGCAACGGCGGATGGAGATCGTCACCCAAATCGAGGAGACGTGGAAAGTCCGGCATTCGGTTCAGTCGCACACTGTCGGCGCCTTGGTCGACTCGGTAAGTACCTACCAGCCAGAGACAACATGCGATAACGCATGCTTACATCTTTATCTTTTAGTTCATCCAACTGAAAACGGCGGAAGTGCCTCTCCCATCCATCTTGTCGGAAGACCCCGTCATCGGCAGCGTGCTCACATACCCTCTGGTTCAGGTATGTCGCCAACTTCATCCAATACATTCATATCACGCATGTATTGACCGTATTACAAAATCCCACAGATCCACCAACTAGACCTAACCGACATCCTCGACGCCGAAGAGCCCGCGACCGACATCGACCTCGGGTTCCTCCTCACACGCCCGCCGCCGTTCAAGGAAAACAAAGAAGCTACTCCGGCCGTCGTGAAGGAGGATATAAGGACGAAGGGGAAGAATCCGTGGAAGACGTGGCAGCCGTTGGAGAGACGGATGAGGAATGCACCGACTGTGAATGCTTTTCGGTGATACTGACATGAAGTGAGGGGAGTAGAGGATGTGGCAATCATTTTGGTATCATGTGTATATATTATGTTATGTGTGTGAGATAGATATTTACTACATCTCTGGATGTACAACAAACCTAGAAGTAAAATGAGTGTCAGCAGCATACAGAGATGAAATGTGTCTCTCGGCAACGTCTAGGCCGGCAAAGTGGGATCAAATTCCCCCTGCAGGTATTAAAAACATGGTGACAACTCACAAGACCGCACGAGAACATTGGGTAAGAAAGATTCTACAGCTGGGTGGAGTTTGTGTATCTGGCAGGCCCAAAATAAGCTCAGGGCCAGGTTGCCATTACCCATGCTCAAGTGACAAGAAAGGACTTCTGCCCATGCTTTTGCAATTACAATAATGCAACAGTCAGAAAAAGTCCGACAGCTGCAATATATGAGCCCAAACACATATGATGTGTAATTGTACATAGTTGTGCATAATCTACATACCTCCGCAGTGACTACTGGGATGCACAGACAGTGTGCCGTCATCAACAAAACTACCAGGAAGCGCAGACATTGTGCAATCATCAGCGTGCTTGCCATGCTTGCTAGGAGACCACTTGCAGAGAGAACAGATGTATCGCTGCGTAACATCCAGGATTGTCATATGGTAGAATTCCCATAATGGTGTGAAGACTTGAGGGGGGAACTTGACGGAGACCTGAAAGACTGGTGTCTTGGCCGGCATAAGAAAGTTCAAACAGGCAACTCGGAGTTCGCATATCGGGCATGCCAACAATAAGCCCAGGGCTGAATTGCTGTCGCCAAGGCTTGAGCGACCAAGAAGGTTCTCCTCCACTCATTCGTCACCGATGATGATTGTGCATGACAGTCCCTCAGCATAGGTTGTATGGTGGTTTTCCTTGTCCTGTGTGGTTACGACTTCCTGCCGAGCCTCGATTTGAAGTGTATTTGATTTGTTTGAGGTGGTTGAAGTAGACACAGAGCCGTGCAAGTTGATAGTCTGCAGACGCGGTGAAATAGGGTTTGACAGCGGTAGAGGCAACGGCTCGGTTTCGTCCTCCCTACTCGAATCCTCTCGGACGGACGAAGTTGATGACACGGGTAACTCAACGTCCGGGGTGGAACAGTCGCTCTCTATCACCCCGCGCCGTGGCCTTGCTCTCTTCGCTGGTGGCGGTATGTTTGTTGGTGGAGCGGTCGAGACGTCGTCATCGTCCTCGGCCCGGGCTAGTTTCCGCTTCACACCACCTCGTTTCTTCAAGCAGGTTTCGCATGGACATGGAGCGGGTGACTCGGCGAAGGCGTTGACGCGCTCATGTTCTAGGTGCACGGCGTACTGTTTCCCGGACCGCCATACGCCCATGACACCCTTTGCGGACAATGTTAATGACACAGCGCGTAATGTCGGATGCCTCCTGATATCAGTGACATACCTTTTTCAGAAGGTAATAATCATACACCTTCCGTTTGGTTTCGACCTTGCCTCTCCGTATCTTTATTAACCGCACGTCATCAGGTAGCTCGGAGCGACCCATTGCTTTCGCCCAACACTTTTTGGTTCTGGCGTCCTTTGCATTTGTAACGAACTCCAGGCGCGGGGGTCTGTGGCCCATGTTAGAAGTCAGGAGACCGTCAACTGCACAGAAACGGTAAACCTCAACGTACATGTCTTCAAAGCCAGCGTGCTCCAGCAGTTTCGCATTCCAATACTCCCGCCCATAGTCTATTATGATCTCTTCGTCTTGGAGTATGTCCTTTGTCGCCACGACGTACACAGCCTCTTCCCTGTCTACAAACGAGGCGTTGTGTGGCTCCAGATACTCCAACTCTCCGTCCTCAGACTCGGGAAGCTTGACACTGTCGTTAATGAATCGGCCCTAAAGGTATGAAGGTGTTCCGTCAGTGCTCTGTCGGGGCTGTCAAACCGGCCTTTTCTGTCGAACCCACCGGATTGGTGTTGAAAGGAACAACGACTGTGCCATATTTCGTATAGAAGGAGTCGTCATTCTCAGGGTAATCCTTATGCGCTTTTAGAGAGGACATAGTTCTCCCGTGATAGTGGTCCAGGTATGACCCTTCCGGTATTCGCTCTTGCGCACAAAACAGCCCTTTGCCGTGATATTTCGAGTCGCCTGTCCGCACCCGCACCGTTTCGCCTGACTGCTTCCAGGTGACTACATACTCTGTGTCGTCTGTCCCAGTAATTCGAGTCTTGGTGTATTCGACCAGAGGGAGGTCTTTCGGCATGCTGTCTCTGCCTCAACCTCGACGTCGGGGCGATGTGGAGAGTGGTTTTGGCAGCTGGTTAGCGCGAGTTCAACGGCGACGTTTGCTGTTATATAAAGGAGACCTCTCGCTGGGGGTCCAACCGACTAGGGCGTAGCAAGTATGCGGAGGCTGAGAGCGGCAGTGCGGCAGAGAGCAGAAAGGGGCGACCAGGCAGTGAGGCGATTGGCAGAATGGGCAGAAACCAGCTGTCCAAAATGGGAGATGTGAACTGTGGGGGCAAGAACCGCCATGTCTGCGAAACTCGAATGGCCTTGAAATCAAGCGCCCGCGTCCCATAATCCCATGTGACCGGCGTTCAACACGTCATCTGAATGGCCCAAGATGCCGCCTTCACAGTTAACGATATACCCTGCTGTCATATCCTCACCATGGGTGTGCGTCAAGGAACTGTTTGCCGCAATGCCTCAATACGGCCTTTCTTCACATCATAGGAAACATGCGGTGGCCCAGGCGCTGTCAAATCCAGTCAATTCTTCCCCCATGAGCACACCACCTGGGGGAAATTGGTGACGACATTGCTTCCTCATCCCCCTTCATAGCGGAATACGAGGTTTCTGCGCCAATGTGGGGTACATCAAAGCGGCGAGATACGAGATAAACGGTTGTGAAGGAGAGAGATACGGATATGGTCTGTTTGAGATGATAGCGGCGGTTGGGGCAGTTGTGAACTTCGGATTTGGTTTCTTGTCTACAAAACTCTGTGGAGGCAAATGGCAAACCATACTCAAATGCGGTTATGAAACTGACGTAGACGGTCGTCATCTTAATTGAGCAGGTCAACTGACAGGACTAATGTAGAGGTTTCTGGGGCGCCGCCACGTATAAAGAGCAGACTGTTGGCTTGCACCTCCCTCCTGCCTCGTCGCTGAACCTCCATATCCTCTTCAACATCACACTGAAATTCTATCACATATCAATATAAACCAAGCCAATCGCAAAATCTTTTTCGAATCAGAACATCAATGTCAGACACAACCGACATCGAACGCCAGCGCGCCAACCGTGCCCGCGAGCTCGCCGCCGCCGTCCAGGAAGGCCGGCTCCCGACCACGCAAGAGGCCGTGCAGTCGTTGCAGCATGCGAAGGAGTCTGAGACGCTGCGGAAGGTGCAGGGGGAATTGAGTCCTGGAGGTCGGAAGGTGAGTAAGGGGTACACTGGTGGTGCTCGTCAGTGAATGGATGTTGATCTTTCTGATTGGATGTGTAGGTTGCCGCGGACGCCCAGAAGATCATGGACTCGGCCGCGAAGCTTCTTGCTGAGACTAACCCGGATGATCAGCTTCAGAAGGTGATTTACCACAGCAAGCGTAAGTGTTCTCGGTCGGCGATCATCTTTTCAAGCATCCACAAACCTACCAACCGGTTTCATCCCTCACATCAACAGAAGCCGCATCCTACCGCCCCATGACAGCCACCGAACACTCCGACGCCGCCGACCGCCTCATCAAAGCCGGCTCGCGCTCCGCCGAGCTCGCCAAAATGATCATCACCTCCCCCGAGTTCCGCAACCTCCTCGGAGACCTCACCGACATCGCCCATGAAATCGTCCGAAGCAACATCGCCTCTGCAACCGACGACGTAGCTCAGGACCCTAACGCGCCTGAGGGAATGCGTCAAGGTGCTGGTAAGGCTCATGAGGCTGCGCAAGACACGAGTGGGGAGAATGTCCAGCAGAAGGCGGGTGAGGGTTTGGATACTGCGACGTCGGCTATGGGACAGGCCGGTGAGGAAATCAAGGGGGTTGCGGGGCAGATTCAGCAGGCTGCGGGTGAAAAGCTCAATTCCAGGTCGTCGCTTACCGAGACCGCCAAGACTGCCGTTGAAACCGCCGCTCAGCAAGCTGAACAGCGTCTCCCGTCCGGCACCGTAATGGGTCAAGGTGAAGAGCAAGTTCAAGACAAGGACTCGGATGCTCGCGAGACCGGTGCCCGCGCCGGCAAGAAATTGCTGCAGATGCCTGAAGAAAAGCGTCGCGACCTTATTCGTCGTCTCAAGCAGGTCATGAAGACCGTACAGTCAAAGCCCGAGTTCCAGAGCGGTATCGATGAGCTACTCGACTTGCTTGCCCCGCTTGCTATGCAGGCCAAGACCATGGCGTCGACTGGCGTTACCAAGGCTGCTGGTACCGACCAGCAGGGCGGGGACCAGTATGACAAGATGCATCAAGACCAGGGTATGCGAGGCACCGAGCCTGCCACGGGCCTCACGCCCGCCGCTACCTCTGCCACGGGAACGACAATGCCCAGCGGTGAAGACTCAGAATATCAAGGCCTCCGCCGCGACTCCGGCATCGGCGAAACCCAAGCCACCAAAGAAGCCAAAGCCGCCTTTGAAAACGCGAAACAGCTCGTCGAAAACTTCGCCGGCGGCCGTTCCCTCGACCCGCTCATCAACGCCCTCCGGGCCATGGCGGCCGACGCCCAACACGACCAAGAACTCGCCCAGTTCTGGTCCGACGTCACCACCTTCCTGCACAAATCCATTCGCGAGCCCGGCTACATCGAGAACCCCAACTACGAAAACGAGGGCCAGGAACTCATCGACCGCGGCCGCGCCCATCTCAACAAGTACAACGACCACACCCAGACCGTCTCGTACGAAGCCTCCACCTTCGTGAACGCGTTGAAGAACAACCCGACCGCCCAGCGCTTGCAAGCCGATACTCGCGCCCTCCTCGCCGACCTCTTCCTCGACGAGCGCGGCAACCCGCAATTCAAACCCGACCTCCTCCGCGACCTCTCGCGCTGCGTGCCCATGATCGCAGACCGCCTCGCATACATCCCCATCCCGCGCATCGACACCGAGGACGAAGACTCCCACATGATCTTTGACAACATCGTGTTGCATTCCACCATCTTGCCCAACTACGTCCATGTCGTGACCGACACCACGATGGACTCCACCGCCGCTACCGGCGAGGAAGCCGCGGTCAAGCTCGCGAGCCACGTCACGCTTGACATGTCTCACATTGAGGCGAGCGCGCGCGACATTGCGTGGATGTATAAGAAGAAGCGCGGGTTGATCCGGTTCGGCGACGTCGGGTTGGCCGATTTCGACATGAAGGGGGAAGGCCTCCACGTTCGCATGACGCTCGTTCCCGGGATGCAGACGGGAATGGGCGAGCCCGGACACCTGGCGGGCCGATACCTCCACCCCGCGGAAGTCAAGTGCCGCGTGAAGGACTTGGATCTTCGCCTGCATGACTCGCACCATGATTTCTTGTACAAGATTGCCAAGCCGATGATTAACCGTACCGCGAAGAGGCAGATTGAGCTTGCGGTTGAGGAGAATTTGCGTCGTGCCGTGTTCAGGTTGGATGATCAGATGGCTGAAGGTGCCACCGCTGCCGAGGGTGGTGGTGGTGGCGAGGCTCCTGCTGCTCCTGCTGCTCCGGCGGCTCCTGCGCAGGAGGGTATGGCTCCTGCGGCTGCCTCTACTTGAGCGGTATCTCTTTCTTCGCGTGCCTGCTTTCCGTGTAGGTCACTCATTTTGGTAGTTCTGGTATGTTTTGGGCCTATTTTCCAGCGCAAATGGTCTCTATTACCTGTCTATGTAGTTGTTAGGAGTAGTTGCATCATGGTTTTGCGATGTATCCCGGTCTTTTTCTTTCTACCCTCTCTTGCCTCTTTTTTCTGAGTGCGCTTACTCTGTAAGTTTCATTCAAATGAACCAACCCGAAATTTCCTGTACATGGTTCGGGCGAAGGCCACATCGATCGGCAGAATGGCTAGAAGAACTGTCAATGAACGAAATTCGACAGCGCGTGCATGACGCACACATGAGCTGGACATGCTGGATAGAACGCCATATTTTGACCATCTCTCCCGAGTCTCAAAGGCCGATCTAAACCTCAACAGCACACAATTTGTAGCTCATGCACATCCAATAGTGTTGTCACCCTCGCACAGTCAGATAGTGAGTCCAAAAAAAAGCCATCTACATGTTGCAAGTCCCGGAAAAAGATCTTCAAAGGAAGGCAGTGTACACGAAAGGGCTGGAACGTGTCTGATATCGCAGGGTTGCAGCGGGCGTTTGTTCGACAGATGTTTATCATGGTAGGGAATGGGATGGGATGAGGGTTCAGGAGGTGGGAAGGTCTCTGTCAATCAGGCATGTGGTGGGAAGGCTGGGTCTTTTAGCAGGCCTCGACGATGCGCTTCTGTCCTTGTTCTGGGATAACGTTGGGGAGGAATGATTAATCGGATGCTGTCAGTGTCTTTTGATGTCCCACACCTTCTCGAGTCAACCGACTCACCTGATATATGGCGACAACGTATCATACGCCGCCCTCAACTCCTTCTCCGCCTTCTTCCTCTCCCCCACTTTCGCCGTGTCCCCACCCGCCCAAAGCCGCGTCGCGTCCTCAAACGCCGCATACGCACCCCTAAACCCCTTCCACGCCTTCTCCTGCCCCTCCGTATCCGCCCTCAACCTCTTAAACTCCTTCTCATCCTCCTCGCTCGCCGGAATATATTCATAATCCACCGCATCCCCTCCCAACGCCTGCGGCAACTTGGCAGAATCAATGAAATCCGGCAACTCGTCCATCTTTACAAACTGGATCTTTGACACGACCACCGGGTCGATCCACGGTTTGATGACCACCCAGCAGCCGTTGAACACCCACGGTGCGTTGACGACGAGCGCTTTGCCGAGCGATTCCGGGTAGAAATCTTGCATGCATTGAAGAAGGAATTTGAGGAACTCGTAGTCCATGTTCTTCATTCCGAAATTGGTTAGGTCGAAGACGATTGTGGCCATTTCTTGTGGGGGCTGCAGGAGTAGGCGGCCGGTTTCGAGGGTGAGGACTATTTGGTTCTTGCCGAGGTCGTGGTTCACGGTGTTTTTGTCGTGCAGGGCTACGTGGATGTAGCTGTGTAGGGAGAGATGTTCACACATGAGTGATGAGTGATGAGTGATGAGTCCGTTGAACTTGCGAAGCGAAGCGATTGATGGTTGGATGGTTGAACGATGAGGTTGGGTGAGGAGATTCTTGCGCCTTTGGCGCAATATGGTGCTCGCTTCGCTCGCAAAAGATCTGACGGTGGCTGAGGGTCGCTAAAACCCGTGCGTAGGGGGATTGCGCCTTTGGCGCAAAGGACTCGGTCCGCTCGCTCTGATCGACCTCGTTAACGCTCGGCAGACTTACGCAACAGGCCGTCCATCTCTATCCGACCCATTCCCATAATAACTCTTCCCACTCTCCAAATCGGCCACATCACAAGCGCGTTCACCCTCCTTCAACACCTCATTAACCCCAAATTCGAGGCGCCATTTTAATGTCGCCACGGTCATTGCCACCGCCTTTGTGACATCCCATTTTCGCGCTCTGAGGTAGCGAAGAACAAACGTGTCTGGCCTGTGTTCTGCGCAGGCGAGGTAGAGCTCTTCTGTGAGGGTGGTTGGGTCGGGTTGGCTGGAGAGGGAGGTTGCGAGGTCGATCCAGAAGGTGCGGAGGGTCTGCGGGCGGGAAATGAAGCGAAGGTTGGGTTCAGTGAGATGGTTTTAGATAAAACTGCTGAGTATGAGGCCTTTCAACTTACCTCCTCCTGTTCTGGTGACAGGTTATCTGCCAAGAGGAGGACCAAACGATGATTTGTGAGTTCGCGTGCGCAGACATCTTGGGTCAAGAAACCACTCGTACGCACATACCTATATGGCCCGGATCGTTAGAAGTCATCTTGACAGAGTACGTATCAAGCCTATATATGGTTGGAAAGTAGCGAGAGGCGTATGCAGGAGGGGAGCCGGGTGTTGTGGTAGTAGCGGTCGCTGATGCACGAACAAGCCCTGGACGACGCGTTCGTTCAACTTCTGGCGGAGGGCCCAAAAGCGCAGCGATCGCAGGAGGAGGGTGCGCTCTTTCCTTCCAGCTTTCCTTCCGAGCCTTCCGAGCAACAGCGCATGGGCTGAGCAACATCGCTCCCGCAGATACCCTCTCACACACTCTGACCAGAGCAAAATGCTGCGGCCCGTATGTCGCAGAACGGCCATGGCAGCAGCTCCGTTGGCCGCAAACGTGCGCACCGGGTGCTGCCGTAATGTCAGGGCTTTATGTTCCGCTCGCCATCCGCCGACGAACACCGGTAGCCCTCCCCCAATAGCGTCCTACTTGCCCTACCTCTCATCCCCACGTCGCTTCCTCAGCACTCCCGCCGCTACCCTGCAGGACTCCGCCTCACCACACCACCCACCATCGCCTCCAAAACCCGACCTCAAAGCCCTCCCCAACAAGTTCACAATCCTCGGCCGCCCCTACACCCGCCACGCCCACACCAACGTCACCCCTACAATCATCTCCAAAACCGACCGCCGCCTACACCTGCAACCCAACCACCCCATCAACATCCTCAAACGCCGCATCGAGTCCCACTTTCCCTCCTTCACCCCCATCGACTCCCTCGACCCCGTCGTCACCACCCAGCAGAACTTTGACTCCCTCCTCTTCCCTCCGGACCACATCGGCCGCGCGGCCACGGACACGTACTATGTGAATGCGAACCAGGTGCTGAGGACGCATACGAGCGCGCATCAGGCCGAGGTGCTGCGGAGGAGGGAGGATGAGGCGTTCTTGTTGACGGCGGATGTGTATCGACGGGATGAGATTGATGTGAGCCATTATCCGGTGTTTCATCAGATGGAGGGCGTGAGGACGTTCAGTAGGAGTGAGTTGGAGAGGGAGGTTATGCAGGATCCTGTAATGAAAGACTCTGGATCATCGTCATCATCATCGTCATCATCAATCCAAGGCGCCGTCCTCTCCCCCACCAACCCGATCCAACCCGCCCACACTCGCACCGACGCGCTCCTCGTCGACCTGCACCTCCGCACCTCCCTCGAATCCATGGTCCGCTCCCTCTTCCGCGAAGACCCCGACCTCCAAATCCGCTGGATCGAGGCTTACTTCCCCTTCACCTCCCCCTCGTGGGAGATGGAAGTCCTCTACCGGGGCCAATGGCTCGAACTCCTCGGCTGCGGCGTCATCCAGCAATCTATCCTTGACTCATCCAACAACGCCGACCGGGTCGGGTGGGCGTTCGGACTCGGCCTCGAACGCATCGCGATGGTGATGTTTGATATACCCGACATCCGATTGTTCTGGTCGCGCGACGAACGGTTCCTGAACCAGTTCAAGGCGGGCGACATTGTCAAGTTTCAGCCGTTTTCGAAGTTTCCGGTCTGTTATAAGGATATCTCATTTTGGTGCCCCGATGGGTTCCATGATAATGATTTTGCGGACATTGTGAGAGATGTCGCGGGGGATATGGCGGAGGATGTTAAGCTGGTATGTGTCTGGATATCAGTGGACGTCTGAAACCAATGCAACACTGACCCTGTCATCAACCCAGATCGATAAATTCCAACACCCCAAAACCAAAAAAACCAGCCGCTGCTTCCGCATCAACTACAGATCCATGGACAGGTAATCCCAGCAACCATTCTCCCTCTTATCTCTCATTCGTCACGTATCCCAACCCCGCTTTGCGTCCCCTTTCACAGAACATGCACAAACGAGGAAGTCGACCAAATCCAAGACCAGGTCCGCCGATTAGCCGAGGAGAAACTGGGCGTCGAGTTGCGCTAAAACGTGTTCCCGCGCCTCCTCTGCCCTCCGCCCCCGCCGATACCCCTTTTTCATAGACCCCGTAGAGAAAAGGGATAGCGTGTACATACAGACAGTAGAGAAGCTTGTGAGTGTATCCGCTAGAGACCCAGCAATCTGTTCTCGAATTGTCCAGGTCTTGCCACGAGACATAGATGTCACCTATGAAATCCCAGCGTAGCGAACGAGTCGCTCGTTATGAAGGGAGCACCCGACGCGGGCGGAACACGGAGATGAGATCACTGGCGAACGAAGCGGGTTGCGTTCTAAGTACATGTATTCTCTCGACTACCGAAAAGAAAAATATCTAAATAGATGGGGGGAACGGAGGAAGGGCGGTGCGTGTGTGTGTGAGGGAAGCCGGAATAATCTAGCTATGCTAAGGTCAGGGTGGTCTCGATACCCCAGAGGTGGGTTGTATTCGAGATACGGGTGGTGTTGGACCCCATCTACTGCTGAATAACAGCCTCAACAGTCGCCCCATTACTCCCCGCCAACAGCTTCGCGTTCCCAATAACCGTCAACACCTCCTTCAATTCTACCTTCCAAGCCTCCAGCTTCTGCCCCAAGCTTTTCCACTCCTGTTCGCCAAAGGACCGGTGCACAGATCGTGAAATCACGACGGAGCGGTCCAGTTGGTTCATCTTGGCGTCCACGAGCCCGGCGCGGATGGTGTTGATCACCCAGATCTCAACGTCGTCTTCGGGGATGGAGAGGGCGGTGGAGATGGTGGTGTAGGAGACGGATGAGTGCACGTGGGTGGCGGAGAGGGAGGCGAGGGTGAGGAGACGCATTTTGGTGAGGTTGTCTTCTTCGTTTAGGTCTGGGAAAGGGAAACCATGCAGGAGTTAGAGCTCTCCATTTGATGAACTATGTTCCAGGTGTAGGGTAGCTTACCAAGCTCGCTAACGATCTTGGGGTTCTTCTTGACAAACTCCTGGTACTGCTTCAAATCGCCCTCAGAGAAGATCTTCAGGAACTCCAGATGATTGGAGCCAGCGAGCGCCTTCACAGTGTCCAAGTTGGACAAGTCGTCGAACGCAAGGACGCCTGGGATCTTGATTGCGGATTTGATGGCCTGGAGAGCGTATGGCTTTGCTTCCGCGGATGCTCCGTCGAATGTCGACAGGTACTTCAAGAGGAACTGGTAGCATTCCTTATCCCTATTGAGCGCCATCGCCTGTCAGTACGCTGGAGCCCATCTTCGACGGACGAAACTTCAGTCTGTCAACTCACGCAGACCCGCTCTCCTCCAGCTTCTTGCTGATCAAAAGGTACAATGCCCTCTTCTCATCAGCACCAGTTCCCCACTCCGCCAACCATGAATCCAGAGATGCCAGATGAGGTGTGATGATCTCCAGTTCATCACTTTGTGCGGCGACGTTAACTATGGCGACGAAAACGGTGTAGCGGGCGGAGGACTTTGATTCGAGGTTGTTGTATAGGTTGGAAAGACTGCATTGGTCATGATGTGAGTGTCTGGAAACGCGTGCGCAGACCTGGGCTAGGTTCCAATCAAACTCACACTTTCAACTTCAGGTGGGCCTTTTCTATTCCGCTGCTCACAATGGGCTCAGTGATCTTCTTCACAAGTTCGGGGATAATGTCGGGTTGAGCATCTTTTATCAGGGCAAACAGGAGGTTGTATAATGGCTCAAAGTCTGGATAAGAAGGGCATTTTCGTGAGTTCTCGTTCGCTTTGGATTGTCGAGCCCTGATACTTCCCAATCGGCTATCCCGAACCCCACTGATAGCCCGCCCAGTATGTGAATGTTCGGTAGATCACAGTCTCCAGACATTCCGATTTTCCATTGTCCATCGATTCGGCCTCTCCTCCCGCGCCCCGGTCCAAAGGCGACACCCACCTTTCTCAGAAGCGCCCAAAAGCGTCTTGCTCTCACTGGCGAACTGCGTCAAGACCTCGGTGTACTTCTCCTCTGCCAACAGCTTCTTCGCCGATTCGTAGAAGGGGCCGGTGTTGTCAGCCTCGCCCTTTGCGGTAGCAATGTAGCTGGCGAGTTCGAGAGCGGACTGGTCCCCGGAAAAGAAAGCGACGCTTGCGGCTGTCATTGTGAGTGCTGCTGGCTGGTCGGTGTCGCTGTGCTGTTTCTGGAGGGGTTGCGCTCACACACAAGCTTTGCAGTTGCAGCAGTTGTTGCGGGTGGGTGGACGGACAGCAGAAATATTTTGGGCAACGCGAGAGGAGTTTATTTCGTCCACGTGATCGGGGTTCGGCGTCCCGCTGCTATAAGCGCCGTCGGAAACGTCGGAAATGGCCTCAACGTTCACGTTTATCCCAACAGCGTGCAACAAAATCAGCAATGACTTCAACAAGGAGAGCAACGCTGTGCGCCGTCGCAGGGGCGGCTCGTCCCTCACTCGTGTTCAAAGGATGTCTGTATCGTCACCCGGCGACAGTCACGTCCACCCGCTTCAGATCAACACAACAACCACCAAAACCGCAACTACCCCCGATGCCGCCCTCAACACCATCATCCTCGCCCGGCACTGAACCGCCGGCGCCTGAAAGCCCAATAGAACCACCACCGAAGCCGGACACGGGCAATCTTTTACAACGGTTCGCAGCCAAGCTGAGGAGCGAGGTGGAGGAGCTCGAGAACTCGAGGAAGCAGAAGGAAGCGGAGGCTGCGAAGGGGATACAGGACCTCGATCTGGGAGCGGCGGGACCTACTGGGGAGCAAGAGAAGAAGAAGTATGGCGAATGGCGCATGTTTGGTATAAAGCGTTGGATCACTCACAATGGGAAATTAGGCCCGGATTCTTATCCAACATCGACGAGAGGCTTACAGCCCAGCGTCGAGAGCTTGAGGAGGCCCAGCAGGCGAAACGGGCTGCGGGACAGTCTACTCGTGTTTCGCCGACGATGCAGAAGCGTATGGATACTTTCCTGGATCTGGACGCGAATTTGAAGGAAAGAGATGAGCTGTAGGTGTTGGAAGCGATGGGGAGATGGAATGTCGAGAGAAGAATAGGGCTAGAGGTGCTGATTGCGGATTTGATATTGCAGATTGAAGCAGGCGTTCAGAGAGGGATATTGGGATGATCTGAAAGGTAGGGAGAAACTATGCCTGTTTGCGAAACGAGGAAGCGGTTCCCCTCATGAATAGGTCATATTTGCAGAGGCGGCTAGGAAAGGAGCAAAGCTGTGGGAAGCCCCAAAAAGGGCGCGGGCCCCAAACGTAAGTAGAGACTCGTTGCTGTTCATGGGCATCTCTTCCGAAAGCATGCACTGACAAGCGTCATACACACAGATGAGCCCGCAAGTTCCCAACCCACTTTCGAAAACGCTGACAGGCGAGGAGACGGACGTGCTCACGCTGGTCAAGACAAAACAAGTCTCGCTGGTCACATTCATGTTTTCAGCTTTGGGAGAGGTATGTCGGTCGCTCCCTGACCTGCTTGGTTACCATGCACACAATCAACAACCCATTCTTCGATCCTGTAGGGCCACGTCAAAACCTACATAGATCCGTTCCTTGCAGCATTCGCAGATCAACCAAACTTGCAGGTGGTGCAGCTGAACGTGGAAGAGAACTGGCTGAAAGCGCCCGTCTTGAAGTTGATGACCCCGTTGGTCAGACGGAGCGTCCCCAAGGAGCGACAGGTACGCTTGTGAACCACATAAACCTGTCTTCTTGGAGACGATCTAACCGGATGTGTATCCCCCCCGTTCGTACAGTCAACCTACCTCCTCCACTACAAGCCCATCATCGCAGCCCGGCGCGCGGCCGGGATGACCAACAACGTACTGGGCTGGGCTAACCTCGTTGATAGACAGGGGCGGATACGGTGGCAGGCCCATGGACCCGCCAAGGAGCATGAGATTGAGAGCATGATTAGGATAACGAGGACGTTGGCGGGGTTGGCGGAGAGTGGGAAGGTGGGGAAGAAGGCGGCTGGTGCTGCTGAGGCTGCGATGGCGGGTGAGGCTGCGCCTAAGAGTGCTTAGCATAGGTTTCGTAACTGATGCCCGAGTCAACCACATCATCACGGCGTGAGGTTTGGGGTTAGTAGACTAGACTGTATATATTCTGCGAGAATGATAGACCTAATTAAGCGAAATCATCGAAAAATTGGACGTGATTCCATTCCTCCTTCCAAGGCTTCATCAATAACCTGGGAAGACGCGTCAAGAACGCGTCAAGGAACCGGGTGTGCATCATCTTTTGCGTTCTAGCAATACGCTTGGGGGCATTAGTTCACCAGAGCCAGGCCGGGGATCGGGCCCGCAAGAAAGGATCAAGAGGGATCCTCCTCAACGGAGGTTCCAGCTGACACGCGTTACATTAGTAGGAGAAAACGCGGCGCAACCTTCTTGTTCTCCACTTTTTGTCGACGATTCCCGTCTTGCGCCTGAGTCTGGCCCTCTGGCCTGGCCAGGCACATGCAGCACTTCAAACGCCAGCCCCTCCCCGCTGGCTATAAAAGAGCCCGCCCTGGCTCCCACCCTCCTTCCGATCTCTTTCTCATCCAAAGTTTGGGTACAACTCCTACAGTAAGGTGTGTGCTCGATAATGTAAGTGCTCTAATTAAGAAGGTAAGTGCGAGCTCCCGCTATGCTATCTGGACCCCTTGCTCCTTTCTCGACAATGCATTGCTATGGATTCGGTGAGGATGTGGCTGGAAGCACCTTGGTGCTTGCCTGCTGTATGGTTGTCGCGACCTCTTTCCCTGCCCCGACGAATCACCGACGAATGGAAACCCAGAGCAACCTCGCGTCTCTCGTCTCATTCTTGAAAATTGCCAAAATCATCCCACCCGCACTCCAAACCATCCGACCAACGTAAACGCAAAGATGTCAGACACATCCGTAACAGAAACAGTGAAGCTAGTCAGCTCCGACAACTTTGAATTCATCATCGACCGGAAATGCGCGATGGCTTCCGGCACCATCAAGAACATGCTTTCTAGTCCAGGTATGCTAGACGAAACAATCCCATAGCGACGTGGTGGTGCTCCCACAAGACACTTCGGAGGGATCGGGAAGGGAACGTAGCTTTTTCACCGTGCTGCGTGGGGAGTGTTTGTGGGCTTGGGTCAAAGCGGAACGGTGGAACAGTTCTGCGGTGACGATCATGTGGTGATGATGGGAGAGGTGGGAACATGTATACCGGCTATGATTCCAATCGGCCAAGCTCCCTCTTCTTCGTCTGAGATCCCCCCCTAACGCCAGTCTACTGCCAACCCCACCCAGGCCAATTCACCGAATCCGTCCAAAACACAGTCCATTTCCGAGACATCAAGTAAATTCCCCACCCCCTGTCCCCCCCCCCCCCCCCCCCCCTCTCCCCTTTCCCCTCCTAACCGATCTCTCACCCACAGAGCAATAATACTCGAAGAAGTGTGCAAGTACCTGTACTACAAAGTGCGCTACACCAACACGACGGCCGAGATCCCTTTATTCCCGATCGCGCCAGAGATTTCGCTGGAGTTGCTTATGGCTGCTGATTTCTTGGATTGTTAGGGTGTGAGGAGGGATGAGGGGGGTTGGGCATGGATGCGAGGTGGTGGGGTGTAGAGGAAGGGATTGGGGAAGGGATTCGTGCGAGGATGACGATGCGAGGGGACTTTTCGTGGTGGAGCGGTGGGGGCTGCTTAATAGAGCGACGGAGGTCTCCATCGAGTTGTCCGTTCTACTGCGGTTCGAGAAGTAGGATCTTCGAGAGGGGGGATGCCTGAGGATGAAAGAAAGGATGTGCAGGAATCAAGAGAAGGAATCAAAAGAGTTTTTTTTGGGGTGAGGGGGGAGGCGGGGGGCGGATGTGCGTGAGACGGTCGGTCGACCCTACAAACCGAATACCCGCTGTACCAAGCGAGGGGAGCGAGGGGATGTAGATAAGCGGATGCATAACCCAGGAATGTTTACCACCATGCGGGGCCCACCATGCGGGGCGTATATATTGACCCATACACATCACTACGATACAAAAATGGAATTCCGTAAACCACTACGCTTCTTGATGACCTATTCCTACATGTGTGCTCTTGCCGTTCCGAGAAACTTTAGACGCGGGAGATCTGATGCTTTCAGTGTCGTGTGGTGATTCTAATGGGGTGATGCTATGAATCCGCATCCGCCGCAGTGAGTCCCAATACGTTGGATCCACACTAAGGGTGGTGTTGGTGCGAGCCAAACGAACGGCCGATCCGGGTGTGTCCCTATCTCACATCAGACTACGCATTTCAGCCCCGATGCACCCATCCCACGACACACCGCGCTCCCACAATCCTCCAACTCTCCTGATTTCCACCCATGTGTGCCATGTTGTACATTCCGCTTTTGTCAGGGCCTTAAAGCTCGAGATCATCCTTCAGGAGGTTTCCAGCCAAGACGACCTTCTCGCCCGGCTTGAAAGCCGGCATGCCGAGGTATGGGCAGCTACTGCATCTGAAAGCATCACCTAGATAGCACTACAAAAAAGGCAATGTGTGAGAATCCCATATAATCCCCAATCTCTCTCTTCGTCCACTTACACTCCCACAAGAAGAAGCCGGCGCAGTCGCAGCCTTCTTCGCCGGGGTGACAACCACGACCTTCGCCTTCTCCTCATCAGCGGCCTCGGCCTCTTCCTCGTCGGCTAGGCCGCAGGTGCAGTTCTTGCAAGCCTTTTTTTTGCCGCCTGTTGATGGTGGGGCGCAGTCTTCTGGGGCTGTGGAACAACATAGAGGGGGTTGGTTCAATGGGTTCGAGATGATGAAGGGAAGGGATAGGGATACGAACCGAGTTTGGTTGGGATCTTGAGATCCTCCTCATCCAACAACGCATCCTCATCCTCCAACTCATGCTCCTCATCCTCATCGTCGTCGTTTGCGGATACCGTCCACACCGCCTGTTTCGTCGGTTGCGGTTTCACTCCATTTGCACCATTCACACCATTCACACCATTCACACCATCCGTAGCAGCAGCCTTCTTCTTCCCAAAGGATAGCACAGCAGCCGCCCCAACCTCATATCCCGGCTTGCGCGCCGTCACCTCCACCATCACCACCTTCCCCCTCAAGTACTCGCTCACACCGGGTACTTCCCCAGGCGTGACGCCCCAGCACGACATTGTATACGCCGCGACTTTCTCGTCCTCCAAAGCACTCTCGCTGACGATCTGCGTGTCGACGAACCCGGCGAGCTTGAGCGCAGAGAGGAGACCGGCTACCGTCCGCGTAGGCACCCGTAACGCCTCTGTCTTTGTCACCGTAGCCGCCGCGGCTGAATCGACCAGGACCGGTTCACGGAGGTACAGCACTCCATTCGGTTTCAAAGCACTTGACAGTTTAGCGAGTGCAGCGTCCGGGTGCGGGAATGCAGCGGGCTGGATAGCCGATGTTCCCGAGACCGCGGCGTTGAATGTGGTTTTGGGGAGGGTAATGTGTGGCAGACGGTCGAGCTGCTCAAAGACGACTTTGCCGGTTGGGGTTACGAGGGAGAGCAGGTCTTGCTGGGCTTTTTGGAGGTCGGCGGCTTGTGCGACGGGGTTGCCGACAAGGAGGACGGCGTCGCCGGGGGAGACGAGGGTTGCGGATACCATTTTTTTGCGTTTTCGCTTTGGATGAAGGAGAGAGTGGGGTAGAGAAGAGGCTGGCGATCAGAATATACTCGAAGCTTGAGCCTTTCACAGTCAACTGTGGAAGGTCAGAATGTGGAATGTGGTGGAGTGGTGGAGAGAAAGACGCAGCGTCAAAACGAGTTCTGATGAGTAATTGAGATGGCTCTTTTTGTGAATGAACTTCAATTAAATGGGGTCTGACGGTCACGTGCATTTGGGAGGGAAGCATTTAATGTGCTTGTCACGTCGCGCTTGTGAGGTCTCTAGGACTCTTGAGTCTTGTCCAGGGCAATTTGGCATTTTCCCACGCTGATCGCACAACAACTGGCTGGCAAGGAGGGCGTAAGGACCCCAGGGGACGCTTGCAGCATGCCGCCCAACGACTCTCAGGACTGGGTAGCTGTAGGAACCTTGCAAATAGCCTTCAAGGACGTGATCCTCCTGCTCGCAGACAATGACGAAGACCTATTACGACCCGGTGTCTGGGTACCCTGGAGAATACAACCAAAGCCCGCAACTTCCTTCGGCAAACACCACTCACTCGTCGATATTCTCAGTTATGTGTGCGACTGTGGTCTGGCTCGGGCAGAGTATACACCACTTTTGGTAGCGTCTTCTGATGTAGAGCCATGCCCAGAGGTCAAGATAGAAGGGGAGACGACTGTCAGCAGTGTCGTATACGAGGTCGATTCGCCACGAGATAGCGTGTTGGTGAGGTTATTCCTTTTGCCCGAGGATAAGGGTGGTCGGAGACAGTTTGGAGGTCTGTCGAAGACACAGGCGAAGACATGCCGGAAGCTGCTGAATGAGCTGCTGAACTTCGTTGACGCGAGCGAGGAGTCTTGGAAGGGAGAGACTGATGGCATTGAGAGAAAACGACTCTTCTCGCATGAGGTAGGACCAAACAGATTGAAGGAGGGAAATTTGCCGCAGCCGCCTTAACACTGGACGCTATGTAGTACAGGCAAGTGAGTCTAAGTGACATTTACGCAAACATGTCGTCCCCTGCCCCATTCACATTACAAGACACGAAAGACACCGAGGCATTAGCGTTATTGGAGGACAGTATCACAGCCGATGCGCCTAATGGCATGAAAAGCACGCTCTACGGCTACCAAAGACGAACACTCTGGAAGCTCCTTCAACGCGAGCTACTACCCCAGCACGTCCTCGATCCCGATCTTATGGAGTGCAAGTCTCCCGACAGTGGAGCGCCCTACTGGATACAGATCTCCACGGGATCAGTATTCGCGAGTCCTTTCTTCTGGGAGGAAAATCGGGGCGGTATCATTTGCGAGGATATGGGAACTGGAAAGACTTGCATTGCCATTGCCCTTATTCTTCAAACGAGACACCATATCAGCATCCCACCGGTTGACTGCGTTGATCAGAAAGTGTATGCGGATTTAGATCCGTATTGGTTGGGTATCATGGACAGCCGGGACGACAACGAGGCATCCGTCCGTCGCGCGCCATCACTAAAGAAACTAGTTGCGTCCCATATCCTCACCCACCGAATACCATTCACACACTACAAGGATATCTTCCCAAGTCACTTGTACAAACTTCTGCGCAAGTCGCCCTCCTATTTTTTCAAGTATGCGAACCAGAACAATATGTGGGCAGCGAGTAGGGGGAGGGTGGCGCCGAAGGAAAAAATCTATCTGTCGTCTTGCACTTTGGTGGTTGTGCCTGATACCTTGGTGGATCAGTGGCAGACGGAGCTGATCAAGGTATGTTTGAAATTATCCTGCGCCTGCAACCACGGGGATCTTCACGCTGACCCGCATAACACTCTCAGCACGTCCATGACCTAACCCTCGAAGTCTTAATCCTGAGCAACACCATCCCCGTCCCCGACGCCCTCACCCTCCTCAAATACGACATTGTCCTCATCTCTCACCCTCGCTTCGGCGCCGAACTAGACGGCGTCACAAAAGACGGCGAGCGGTACCGATCCCCCCTTCTCGACATCCGGTGGCTCCGCATGATCGTCGACGAGGGGCACGTGATGGCCCGCAAGGAAGCTAACCAAGTCGCGTTAGCCGCGAAGCTGGAGTGCGATAGACGGTGGGTATGCACCGGGACGCCCATGCCTAACATTTTACGGAAGAATTTCGACGCAGAGGAGCAAAAAGATCTGCAGAAACTAGGCGCCCTCCTGACCGATTTCCTCCGCGTCGAGCCGTTCGCGTCCTCGAGGGACGTGTTCAGGAACATGATCATGAAACCCTTCCTCGAGAGAGGGTTCAGGGGCTACGAGAAGCTGCAAGACCTGATGTCCCGCCTGATGGTCCGCAACAAACTCGAGGATATTGAGCGCGACGTCAAGTTGCCCCCGCTGCATGAGACCATCGTCACGCTCGAGCTCGGGTACACCCAACGCCTCCTCCACAACTGCATCATCGCCTTCATCGGCGCCAACGCGGTCCTCTCCGAACGCGAACACCAGGACTATTTCTTCCACGCCAACAACGCTAAACCCCTAAAAGACGTCATCAACAACTTACAGTTATCCTGTTTCTGGTTCGCCGACCCGGAGTTCATCTCACAATTACACACCGCCCTCAACAACGTCACACACGCCCTCATCGATGACAAGGAAAGCCCGCATTACTCCCCTGCAGACCTCGCCCAACTCACTCAAATCCAAGCCGTGCTGACAACAGCGTCCCAAAGCGACCTGCTTCGCAACATCGTGAAAGTCGTAGATGTGGTGTATGAGGTGCGACGGCCGCATGCGCAGTTGGGGGGCAAGACGACTGCGTGGACGGATGTGGGGAATGCCGTTCTTAAGGGAGCGGATTTGGAGGCTTTTCAGAAGAGGAAGCAGAAGGAGCGGGTGACGTTGGGGATTGGGACGGGGGGTGGGGAAGAGGGGGGAGAGGTTTTGGGAAGCGCGAGTGTGAAGTTGAGTTATTTGGCGGATCAGGTGGGTTTATCGCGATATGCGCGCGGTGTTTCGCTATTCGTTTCTTCTCTAGTTTCGAACCCGTAGGGCTAAACCTTCGTTCATCCACAGATCATCAAGCATTCGCCGACCGAGAAGATCATTATCTACTGCCAGGTGAGTTTTGAATAGGCAACCTCCAGTATTGTCGCCCTTTCTCATTTCCTCATTGGCCGCAGTTCATCCAAGAGATATATTATCTCCATGAAGTGTGCAGGATTGCCAAAGTCCGCTGTATCCTGTTTCACAGGCAAATGGTATGTTACAAATCCTTTCCCTCCGTTCATACGCAAATCCCACCGCCTGTTCCACATGAACCCTTACTAAACCCCTCCCGCACCCCAGCGCGTCTCCGAACGCTCCCACTCTGTAACAACCTTCAACACCTCCCCATCAACCCCCATAATAATAATGGACCTCCGCCTCGCCGCCTGGGGCATCGACCTCTCCTCCGCCTCTCGCGTTTACTTCGTCTCCCCCGTCTGGCAACACGACATGGAGCGGCAGGCTATCAAGCGTGCCCACCGTATCGGGGCCACTCACCCGGTGTATGTCGAGACGCTGGTGGCGAGGGGGACGATGGAGGAGGCGGTGTTGAGGAGACGGGGGGAAATTTTGGGTAGTGGGGATGCGGATGAGGGCAGGAGGAGGGAGCCGAGGAGTATGTTGGAGGATGGGAAGTTGAGGGGGATGTTGAGTGCGGCGAAGATGGTGGAAAGTAACAGTGGTGAGGATACGGATATGATTACGGTCACGACGGAGGAGGAGAACCATTTCACGAGGTTCGCGAAACCGATCCCGCTCATACCGGCCCCCGGACTCGCGCTGCATGCGGATGCGACGGATTATTATGTTGATGCGGCTGATGAGCGCGTCGGTGACGTTACTGATCTTGTAGTGCCGTCCACCGCCATGGGCGCGGACCCGGGGATCGGGATGAGTGGCGAGAAGAGCAGGACGGTCGATGGCACGACGCATACGGGTGCCAAACGGGAAGACATTTACGAAGATCGGGATACCGATGCAGTCATTGAGCAGCCTCGCAAGAGGGTACGCTTCGGTTAAGTTTCTCGCCCGTCGGTCATCGCCAACTATGGGGTTTTTATCAAAACCCATACACACAAAACATTTTTTGGGTTATCACTCTGCTTTCCCCTTAATGCACTACAAAATCGTAACGCCTTCCCATAGGATAGTAGTAGGGTTTCCCATGTACATGTATATTAGCAGTGTTGGCGTTATATAGTTCACAACTACCCACTGAGCTGCTTTTCAGGAGCGTGATTTCCTTCTTGCGAGGGGAGGGGTAACGACCGTCCATGTTCCAGGCATGCGAACCAGTGATCGTACATTCTACTCTGCAATACTACCCCTACTCTATTCTACTCTGCAAATGATGGTGTTTACGCCTTAACGATCACGGCTCGTCCACCTTCGGATCATTCGAGTCGTGAACGTGCGTGCCCGCCGGGACCCACGGGGCTCCTTGATCGTGTGGAGTCGAGTGCGCCGGCATGTGCGACGCATTGTCCGCCAGATCCAACTCACTTATCCGTCCCTCAGCTTCCGCCCACTTCGTCCAGCTCTTGTCGTACGACGGGGCGTGCCAATCGTTACTCGTAATGTACCTCCCGACGTCCAGTTTGCGTTGCAGTCGAACCGCTTTTCGGTATCGGCTCCTCGTTTTTGGGTTGGCGGACACTGTTGAGGGATTGGAGGAGGGTACGTGGGTGGCGTACGCATATGCCGCGAGGACGATAGCAAGGAGCAGCAACAAGATCAATGCGGCTCCGTACCGAAGATCGTACGAGAACTCGATGCGAGATTCCACGGCGGTAATGCACGACGCGCACGTCCCGATGGTCGAGCTATTAGCGTTCGTTCCGCGCAAGTTCATGAGGAAGCCGTCTGCCCATGCGTTTCGGATGGCCGTACTGAACGTGTCGAGTTCAATAACGCTCGTTGTAAGATTCAGCAGGGCCGTGATTGGCATTCGCGAATCCATCTCGATGATCGACGCGTCGTACTTGAGCGCCTGTCGCCGATGCAGCAACTTCCAGACGTGCCAAGGTGCCTGAGCGACGAGCGCTCCAAATTCCAGCCAGTCCTCAGCCGGGGCTAGGTTTCCGTAATAGTTCAAAGCCTTCCCTTTCGAGTCTTCGACAATGGTGGTATTCCGGTAGTAAATGTAATAAGAACTATTAAAAGGAAAATCGTCCCGTTCCAACCGCGTAGGGATATAATCAAGGTGGATCTTCCGGTACTTCTGGCATCGCGGGTCAGCGCAGGTCAATTTGGGTTTGGCGCGGCCCACTTCGATTCCCGGGGCACAGAGAACCGTTTTGTAGGCCGGAAAGACAAGCCCGTCGGTGAGAAGCTCGAAAGTGAACGTGTTGAGAACGCAGATCGGATCTCTTATGGGCGCTGCTCTCTCGGCCCCGGTCAGAAGCTTTTGGATACGGTTGTCGCATTCTACCCGGGCACGATTCATCGGCGCTGAGTCATTGAGAGGCGAGTTTAGGAAAGGGCTGTCCATGTCGATGGCGTTCAGAGGGGTTATCGTCGTGTTGATGAAAATTACGTCCTTATACGCAAAGCCGGGGTTTTTGTGGTTACTGCTGTTGGATATTATAGTGTGCAGAGCAGTCCGGACGTCTTCCAAGATTTGAATCACAGCTGGATCTCCGGTGGGTTGGGCGTGCCGAACGAAGCCTTCTCCGGGTCTCGTCTGTATCCTGATACCAGTTCCATCGTACTAGAAGACGGGTTAGATGTCGCTTTGATGAATTTGAAGCGCGCCTAGGCAGGATTGCTCACTTACAAATGTCATCCCGACAATGTGAGTATCTACACACGAGTACGTGGGGCGCACCACTGTCGTCGGTGCGCCATAGATGGCTTCGGTGATGTTCGTCTGGGAGCCCTCTCGGGTTTCCAATGCTGGGATACTGATGACACCCTCAGCATCGGGCAATTTCAGTAGGCCGTCGATGATAGTGCCGTCCTCATCCTTCAGAATCCTTCGCAGGGAAAGCGGCCTGGCAATGAAGTTATCCTCTCCAGGAAAGACCTGTCTTTTGAGTGCACGGTACGTAAACCCGCTGAGAGGGTGATCCCACTGCCAAGGGTTGCTCAGCTCGTCAAAAAACTGGTAGTCGCAACTGTGGTCCGTGGAATTTGCGCGACAGCTCGTGGGTGCTACAGCAGTGCCATTGTCGGTTCGCGGGTCGAACAACGAAGAGCTCCCGTAACCGTTGGAAAGGAAGACAGATCCGTCATTGCGGTCGATCTGCCGTAAACGCGTAACGGTACCAACACCAAGCTGGGCGACAGTTTGCAGGAGTGGAACGGCCGCCAACATCAAAGCCGTCACGAGCAAGAATAGGTGAATGGGGGTTCGATGGACTTCCCAGGTTATGAAAGCTCGTATGCCAACGATTGCCGGGGAGCCTTTGGTTCCACTCAGAATCGACGCCAGAGAAAGCTGTCTGGCAGAGACTCTACTATCGGCAAGGTACATAGTGAGAGCGGTCACCATTATCAAGCAGAGGGCCCATCCAATAATGGTGACGACGGCCTGAACAAGGGCTGCGCTAATGCAACAGGGGAAAAAATGGCTTTAGACTTTGTGCTCACAGACTGTGCTGAAAAACACTTGAAGTGAACAGTCGGTTCTTACCCTGTACCCGCTGAAACGTCGAGGACGAGGACGTTGGAAAAAATGGACATGGCGAAGGTAAGTTCTCGACGGACGCACCTGCTGGCAGCGGATGGAGAACGTACATACGGCCTTCGGAGCCGCCCTCATATAAACAGGGCAGGAGGGGCATTGCGGATCATTGTGATGCCGCAACGTACGCTTGGCGGTGAGCCGCCTCTAGATCTAAACAACCGTGGGGCCTGCTGCGTTGGACTAGCATTATGGTCCACGGCTAGTCTGATACTATACGCTGCTGCCAGTGTTTGGTATCCTGGAGTTCTCACCGTGGAGTTGAGGGCAAGTTGAGGGTCGTCATAGTCGTCATACAGTACGCGTTTGTGTCGCAGCTTGCACGCGTTTCTTCAAACTTTTTTGGCGGTTTGCAGCTTCAGGCTGCTCCAGAAAAAGATCTACTGTACAGTAGGTGGCCAGATATCTGGGTACGACGCGACAAGGACACATCATCCCGACCATAGCCACCAGCAAAAGTCGCCGGCCTGCCTGCCCATCTGAAGAAGTACGCAAATTGACGGCACCTTGTCGTTGACTTTTGGGTTGCACACGGAGGCTTGGCGAACCCGTCGTACCCAGATATCTGGCCACCTACTGTATAGCAGCAAAGTCCGCCCGTGACGAGTTAACCCCTTCGCGATCTGCGCAAGGGCCTTCCGGTGCAATGGATCTGGAACTCACCCGTCCCTCCCTTCACTTTGGTTGCGAAGGTGTTCGCTCCTTTCGCCCTCGCTAACGCTCGGTCTCGCAGAGCGCATCAAAGCCCGCGCGAGTAAAGGTAGGGGGAATCGGCGCTGCGACTTTTGTTTTCCCAATCAACAGCTGTCCGGAACTTTTCGGGGGCAGATGGAGAAGTTGTATTCGAACGCTCCGCCCACTGTCTCTCCACCACGCAAAACCTCTCTGAAATATGTACATGTGCAAAAGGAGTGTTCTTCATCCACTCTCGAGCGGCGTAGGATCAGTCCCTCCATGAGCCCAAAAGGGCTCCTCCCCCTTCGTCCCTCTACGTCTCATCATAAGCCTCCCGTACACATTTGGACACCGTATGGAAGAATTTCGATATCCCGATGCTCCTGTCCGTGTCCAGTCCTCTCGAATGTCTGCCTTTCATCACTTGTTGGTAGAACTCGTCGATGTTGAGGTATCTAACAATGCAAGGAGTGGTATTGGTGATTCGGACCGTATATTGTTCTCTGATAAGCCATCACCTACCCATCATGGTTGAAATCGAACATTTCAAAGATGACGTCGACTTGTCCTGTGAACGGTGTGCATCGTTGTGAGGATGGAGATCTTCTCCTTCGATAAACTTGACTGGTTTCTTACCAGCAGTCAAGTCGGTGGTCGTGACGGCCTTGACGACGCGACGGAAGTCTGTCCGATCCAGTCCGTGCTCCATGGATGTATACAGCTTGTAGGCCAGTCCCAGATCATGCAATCGCGTTCTAACCATTTGATCGAATGCTATAAGACGCGCATCAGCTCCTATTTGAGATAGACTGCAAGACGACAGTTTGTTATCCCCCATACCATAAAACTCGTCAAACGTCACCCGCTCCGCATAGTTCGGCAGTTGGGCGGCTTTGTCAATCAATTTCGGTAGTTGCGATGGCGGTGCGTAGCTGATGCATGAAAGCGCAAAGTCCCTCATGCTGATGCTGTTCGTCTTCTCCTCCACGTCGAACTGGGCGAATTCCAACTTCAAGGTCTCCAGGTGAAGTCTTCTCATGAAGTCTTTGGGGAGGGCAATACGGATGAGACGCAAATCATGATGATGGTACTCTCATGAGATGGGACTCACCTATGAATTCGTCGTAGACCATGTTCTTCTCGCCTTGGTTTCCAAAGAACAGTTTGTAGATGCCGCTGTGCGTAACATCAACTTTTTGTCTTTCTTGGTTGCTGCGGGAAGGTTCTACATATCATTTTCACAGCTCGTATCATTCGGCAACCCGAAGCTTGATACGCACCCCAACCGACTGCCAAAGCCAAGCCCCGTCGCATGATGAAGCATGATCTTCTCAAACTCATCTTTCGACACTGTCCCGTCGCCGTTAATGTCGAAGAGTTTGAAGCTGATCTTCCAGTGGAACTCGGGTGTGCCAAGAAGACACAAGAAGATCATATACTCCGAGAAGCTAATCAGGCCGTCCCCATCTGTGTCGGCCAACGCGAAGAAGGCTTCTGCTGATGGCACCCGCTTGAGCTTGCCCTGCATCCGACCAGGTTACATTCGTCCGTTCTCCCACTATCACTCTGGGCGCTTCCCACTTACAGACGCGCGATAGCTTCGATATGGCATTAATGACCGAATAAAGTCCTCGGTGGTCATGTATGGTTGTCCATGTTTATGCTGAGTTTGAGTACGAGTCAGATACTGTCCTTCACTTTCCTCCCAGTCTATGTAGAACAACTTACTGCTGTTGCAAAGTATTGGAACACTTTCCACGGATGTGAGAAGCTTCTGATACGATTCTCATACGCGCCGATCTTGTCGTCTTTCCACCTATCATACACCTGAGCCAATTGCCCCCTTGAGTTATACTTCAAAAGAAGGCCGTACGGTATGCATTTACATACCCCTTGTTTAGCGCCGTCATCACAGAGGATGGGTGCCTTGCTTTGAGTATACAGCCCAAAGGCCCCCGCCCCTATCAATAGTCCTACAGAAACCCGCATCCCAAGTCCATATGAAGCGTTCGACATGCGTTCGGTCGCCGTTTGGAGGAAGCGCTGGTGCCGAGACCCATTATGAACTATCCCTCGTAGCCGGGTGGCCAAAAGCCGTGATGACGCTTGACACTGTTGCAACCGCATCGTCCGCGGCAGCTGCGATATCTCGTACTTGTGTTTTTATAAACGACGAGAGTCTCCAGAGTTCAAGCAGTTCGCCGTCCCACGCGACTGTGACTGTGACGAGAGCACGAGAGGCACGAGGGTCTGAACGGGCGTGGAGACCTGGCAGGACACTGGAGACTGGGGTGGAGAGCCTGCTCGCTGAAAGCTGAAGACCTATTATACATACACAGATAGCTCCACTGGAGAAACGGCTTCCTTCCGCGCCTGAAAGTCCATATGCAGCTCAAAGCAGCTTTTGGACGAGCCGAAGTCGACTCACCTGCCCCGCGTTCAGAAAGCCACTTTGAACCGATAGGCAATGGAATCACCGCCGTTGTGCGGATGCAATCTTCCAGCGAAACTAGTCCCGGTACATAAAACTAAATGTGAGTTTTCTTTCATGCCTTCTTACCATCTAGTCCTCCCCACTTATAAGCCTCATCGATAGCAACTTATTGGGGTTGTCCAAACCAGTTTGAGAGGGGCAAGCGCAAGTGCCACTTCTATCAGGAAATGCAACCCCCATCCGATCGTCGGCTGCAAAGACAAGTAGGACGGCAAAACGAAAGCACACCGCCTCCTCAATCAGGAGGAAGCAGTTATAATATGCCCAGCAACCCACCACCTGCGCCGCGAAAGGCGCAACCGTCGCGATATATTGATCCAGCTTTATGTGGGGGGAATACGTCTTCATCGTATGCGACAGCGATGGGCTTCGGCTATTCAGATTCTCCAACGGCCTGGTATAGCACACAGCGAGGGATTCAGGCTGGAATTGGCTCCAGTTGGAATGATAGCGAGGGAACAGAATGGGGCGGATATTCAAGCGCCGACGACGATTTCGGCGGCGATGAGGATACGATATTGTCACAGGCGCCCTCGCAAGCCGAGGAGTTCTATGGAGTGGGGGCTGAGGCGGGGAACCCAGGCCGAGCAGGATCACAGGTCCAAGCTGGAACGAGTGGTCCACAGGGCAAATCAACCTCGATGGGACGCAGCGCGTATGATAATGGGCGGGTTAAGAAACGGACGAGAGATTCCCCGGGCACAACATCACCGTCGTCGCAACTTCCACCGTCACATCCCGACAATAACCCGTTTGCGCCCGCAGCACCAAAGTCCCATACCTCGGGGTCGACCCAAAAACATCCTCTCCCAACGCCGACGCCGCACGAAGCCCGTCCCAACGCGTTCACTCCCCAAGGCCCGCCGCCTCGCTTCCCTCAGTTCCACGAGCTTGATACCCCACCCGCGACGGTCGACCGCAAAGCACCCCAGAAAACGTCCTCCCTGCTCTCATCTCCGCCCTCCCCGACCCCCTTCCATTGCTCGCAGCAGACCATCTTCGACTCCACAGACGCGACGCCCTCCAGTTCAGCTACGACAACCATGTCGGCGGATAACATCCACGAATATATCACCCATCTCGAGGCGGAGAATAAGAGGAAGGATAGGCTGATTTTGGCTTTGGGCAAAAGCAAAGAGTTTTTGCAAGGGCAGTTGAAGATAGTGAGGGAAGAAGCGGATAGGAAGGCGAAGTTTTGTGATTCGTGTCGGAAGGGGATGTGAGGGGAAGATGATGGATACGTTTTGGAAGGGCATCGGCGGGGCCCGATCTTTATCACGGCGTTCTTCTGTACCCGTCTTTGTATTGATCGTTAGCGCAAATAACGCTTATTCATTGCTGCTCCAAATCCCGATGCTACATCGAAGTGCTGTGAGTCGATTGCTCAGACTGAACAATAAATGTCGGCAATGCACGAACCTATCTTCCGAGGAAGTTCCTCAGTCAGTGCGAATATTTGGAGACGGAGACGCGGGTAGGGCCAAACTTCCCCACGGCATACGACAGAAGGTGCTTCACCATCAGTGTTTCCTCAGGTCCCGTCGCTTCTTGGCACGCAATGCCTTTGCGTACATAGTATGTAAGTATGCTGGACCCATCTTACATGCATCTTGGGCATACGCGTCGAAAGCGTCGAAGGAATAAAGTGTGGAATTCAAACCTTGTTCAGAAACCGGGGAGTCGTAGGGTGGGAACCAAGTTTCTTGTTTCTCCGTCGTCCTCGTGTCAGTTTCAAAATTGGTGTAGAGCTTCAAGCATACCCTGGCATATCGTAGGTTGGGTAGTAGCACATTCACCACCGAGTGAAAGGGAGCATTGGCAAAAGCAGGGCGGTTCCATAACAGCGAGTGTAGCAACTGAAGTTTTGGGGAAGCATACCACAACGAGCGAGAGCGCAGACTCGGAACCTGGGAAGACGCCCAGAATCCAGAACGAGAAAGAAGACTGAAACCCATGGGAAATTAGCTCTGACCTGAGCCTCAAACTCATAGAGTAGGTGCGGATACCTCACCTCAGCTGGCTGTGCTTCCCCACCGAGTTCTGCGAAACTTCCCGGAATTGCCTTCGAGTTGCAACATGTCGCTTATGCATTGTATTCAATCCCAGATATACCAAGATGGCTATGAACCCGACACATGTATCCGCCAAGGCAGAGGGCCGAAACCCGTTCACCAGGTAAAATCTGGTAAATCCTGGTGTGCTTATCCTGTTGTGCTAATCCTAGTGTGCTACTTCTCGTGTGCTCGCAAACCAGGATGTGCTACATCTGTGGTATGTGATGGCTGTGCTGTGTTGTTGGGTCACAAACTAGCCTTGCTGATTCTGTCGATTATTCAGGAAGAGAGTTTGGTATGTAAAGGCGAAGTTACACAACATCCATGCCAGCCGCCAAATCCTCCATCACACCACATACATCCGACTGAACCCTGCTTGGTGTGTGCGCACAGGTTCGAAATCAATACAGATCCACGAGAAAAACTGCATCGAAAAGTGGGATAAGCAGAACGCGGCGCTGCCCCGGGATCAGCGGCGCACGCGGCCGAAACCACCGCAGCTCGTTGGCAACGATGGCACGCCCGTGGGTGGAAAGATGACGGCCGGCGAGTATAACGAGGCGGCGTTTCAGACGTTTATGAACGAGGGGAGGGAAGAGTGTCCGAATTGTGGCAGAGGGGTAAGATACTGATTGGCGGACGACTGACTTGTGTGAAGTTTGAGGATGGTTCACTAAGCGTTGTCATTCCCGTCTTTTAGTTCCTACGGGATAGGCTAGAGATTCATCTTCGGTAGGTGGCCACATGCTTCTGGACGACATATGAATCTCATGACTGAAAGAGACACTACGCCGTAGATCATGCAAACCAGGCGGACATTTCGCCAAAGAACGTGAAAAACGTATGGCAGCCGCCGCAGCCGCCAGCGGGAAAGACCCAGAACCCTCCACACTGTCCGCCACACCCACCAAATCCAGAGCCGTCGAATCTCTTGGCGGCGGTAAAGTCCAAGTCATGGCCAGCCGATCCCTGAAGCCTAAAACACGGCCCACCACAGCCGCGCGTCCAGCTTCACCCATCCAGCCGAACTCAGCCGCGAAAGCATCCGAAATGACCGCCCCGAGAGCCACATTGGCCACAGCTGCTGCTCTTCCGGTGGTTGTGCGGCCTATCACGGCGGCTGGGCCAGGGACGCTGGCAAAGTTTTGCGGGGATTGTGGGCATCAGTTCGGGACGGAGGAGAAGTTTTGTTCGTCGTGTGGCCTGAAGCGGGCGGTCATCGCTTGAGAAGTTTCACATAGATCTGTCCCGCATAGGCAGGGTTGCCTATCAGTATATATGCAATGCCTTTTGGAATAGCAGCAAAGGAGTGGAAACAAAGTTACATTGTATCTGTGATGCATCATGTCTCAAGGTTCACCGCGAAAGTTACAGTAGAAGACTTGCCTTGGGAAAAAGTCAGTCGATCCATTCAGTCAGTCGAATGGATCGGAACGCGTCAAATACGCGTGAGGTGATCGCGTCTCCAACGTTTTGCTGTCCATCAGAAAGTGAATTGGGGCTTCGCAGTGCAAATGGACGAAGTCAGCTACGTTCATACAGTACATACCAGCGGAGGTCACGAAATACACGAGCCTTTGGATCAACATTGATTTTGGTTCTAGCGATTGGTGGTCCTCCATCCCCGAATCCCTGTGGATGCGAAGCTCAAGCACCTCCAGGCCCGTCCACTTGCGTGAGATCAGCATAAACGAAGTAGTTAACGATCTGGAATAAACGGATCGTCGGAGCAAATTTGAAAGAGACGATCCCGCTTATGCATCCAGTCCTTAATTCTCTCACCGGAAATCCGCCATGTCTATCGCATCTGTCGGCCACGGGTATGGATGAAACCAACGTAGATTACCTCCCTTTCGCTCACGTACCGATCTTTCCCGCAGCTATGCCTTCGGGTCTAATGCCAAGGTCAACAAAAATGTGCTCTACATTGATCAACATACCACTATGTACTCTGCAGGATGCAACATCATAGGTTCGGCCGGACGCTGTTTCTTATTTCCAAGGAATGCTATCTCATCACTTCTCTACCCACATGTTTCGTCTCTCAGCGGCAAATGTGGAACAAGACACCCAGAAGAATGTAGCATCATGTTCTCGCGGGATAACAGCCATGGCCATTGCATCAGATCGACGCCTGTACGCGGTCGCCGAAAAGGCGAAACCTGGAGCTACGGGCGCTGCGGGGCGACCATCTGTGACTGTCTATGAGGTGCATACGTGGAAGAAGCGACGGGGATTGACTGCAGCGGAAAGCTGTCTTTCGCAAGTATGTACGTTTTGCATGTTAATTTTTGGGAGCGTGGGGTTCTCGGATGTTGCGAACTGATGCATTGTGCATGCTTCGCGAATATCAGGAGTTCGTCTCCCTATGCTTCTCCTATGATTCGAGATACCTCGCCGCCCAATCCGGTGGACCGGATTGGATGTTGCACTACTACTCGTGGGAAAAAGGGAAAACCTTGGCCACCTTGAAGCTGGTGCCCAACGCAACAGACGAGCCTGCCGATGTGACAGACCTGACGATCAACCCCATTGACGAGACAGAGATGTGCATTATAATGCGCAAAACGGCGAATGTATATCGATACAAGGAGGGAGCGTTAACCGGGGAGCCGCTATATGGCATACATGGACATGTAAGATGCCCTTGATTCCTTTATTCCCCGTGTTTGAAATTGCTGATGGCATTCATGCGCAGAGTATAACCTGCGGCGCATGGCTGCCGCCTCCCGCATCGCGACTAGCACTAGGCACTGAGAGTGGGCAGATCCTGATAGTTGACAGAGGCGTCATCATGCAAACGATTACAGATCTTCCTCCCATATCCGCCATCTTGGGCCTGACGCCAGGGTTCGCAGTGGCCGCGAAAGGCGGTGCGTTGAGGGTTTTCGACAAATTCAACGCTGATCGGGAGGGAAAAGATGTATACAAGTTGACGAGACAGTTGACGGTCCCTGAGGAGTCGGACGTGAGGAGTCTGACGGGAAATGCGGCTGAGGGCGTGCTTGTGATCGAAACTGTGTATTCGCAAATGTTCCGGTTCATCTTGACCGAGCAAAGAGGGCTGAAGGTGCGGCCCTCGTGCCATTTGAAAAGAGCATTTACTCATCTCGCTGACATCGATCCTGCCCATCAGAGTGAGCTCCCAAAGTTTGTGCCCTTGACAGAACCATTTCACTTCGGCAGCATCACGAGCATGGATGTGTGTGTGCGGCGCACCATCGTTGCCACCTGCGCCGAAGACAGCTCTATCCGAGTGTGGGACTACGAACAGAAAGAATGCTTGTTTGCCAAGTTCTGCAACGAGGAACCGTTGTCGGTGGCGCTGCATCCAAGTGGACAGCATATGCTTGTCGGGTTCAGCGATAAGCTGCGAATGATGAACGTTCTGGTGGACGATCTGCATCCATTCAGAGAATTTGGGCTAAGAGGTTGTCGCGAGGTAAGATGCTCAAGGTGATGGCGAGCAATGCAAACATTCTCTCATGTGCGATATAGTGCAAGTTCTCGTCTGGCGGGCAATTCTTCGCCGCAGCCCACGGCAACATGATCCACATCTTCTCCACCTGGACGTGCGACAACATCGCCAGCCTCAAAGGGCACAATGGGCGCGTGCGCTCACTCAACTGGACCCCCGATGACGCATATCTAGTCTCCGCCGGTGCCGATGGGGCGGTGTACGCGTGGAACATGATCGATTTCAAGCGTGAAAACGAATACATCTTGAAGAACACGAGCTACTCTTCAGCGATCATCTCGAGCGATGGCAAGACGATGTGGGTCGTTGGCAATGATAAGAAAATCAAGGTAAGGGAAAGCTCGGGAGTGTTGGAGGGAGAGTGTGGGATGTTATTGACATGCTAGCGCTGATAACTCATCAGGAAATCAACGAATCTTCTGTAGTGATGGATGTGGAGACGGACGAAGTTTTGACGCAATTAGCCATGTCGCGTTCGGGGCGGATGCTTTTTGCAGGTAAGTTCAATGCGCGGTGATTGCTATGTACTTGCATACCTTCTGAAAACCATGGACCCCTCTTCAGGAACCGCATCCGGCACCATCCGCGCCATCAAGTTTCCGCTTACAGGCGAACCTGGAGACTTCCAGGAGCACCGTGCACATTGTGCATCAATCACAAAGCTCGCGGTTTCCTATGACGATCAGTATCTCTTTTCGGTCTCAGAGGATGGAGTTCTTCTGTGCTTCAGAATCGATGAGAAGGCAGAGAAAGGCGTCCGCAAGGAACGCAGCAACTTCTTCTCGGACGAGGTTACTATGGAAACGGCTCTTGATGTCTACGAACTTCGCATCTAAACAACCTTGCACTATAGGTCTTGGTAAACAAATCTGATCTAGAAGACAGCAACATACAAATCGCCGAACTGCGCCGATCCCTTGAAGAGCTCGCTGTCGAGCACGAATATCAGCTTCGATTGAAAGATATGACTTTTACGGAAAAGATGAAAGACCTCACTGATAGGTTCTCGGATGAGCTTGATCAGTTGAAAGGCAGCGCGAGCACCCTCCGGACGGAAAAGGAGGGAGTGGAAGTGAAAAACGAAATGGCTGTGGCGGAACTCATGAATGCGCACGCTGCCGCTCTACATGTAAGGGATCTATTCACAGGCTCAATCTGAGCAACTGACTGACAGAACGTCTTAGGAACGTGAAGCTCAGTACAACCAAGAACTGATGGCCGAGTACGACAAGTATCAAGAAGCCCAGAAACAATCGAACACGCTTCAAGCCGGATGGCAGGATGCGTTGAGACAGATGCAGGCGCAATGCAACGGGGATTTACTAAATGCCCAGCGCGAATGGGAAGCACGTTTGGAGGGTCAGAGTACACACATCGACAAGGTATGGCATGAAAACGCAGTGGTCGGGGTTATTCACCTGCTAACGCTGCATACCGTCTCAAAGGTGCAAGCAGAAATACGCCGCCAATACAATGAGCACGAAGAGGAGCACAAGCAGGTCAGTGAAGATCTAGATACGGAATTGGACCGGCTACAACAACGCTACCAGAAGAGGCTCCAAATGGAACGGGAAGAATGCGCTCGGCTCAAAGGCGAGAACGGCATCATGCGCAAGAAGTTCAACACCCTTACGAAGGACATTGAGGCTTCACGAGCGGAGAGCACGAGAATGCAGAGTGAGGAGAAGAGATTGAAAACAGCATTGGGGCATTTGACGAGAGAGATCAATATGCTGAAGAGCGATGTGAGTTGAACTTCCGCGACAGAATTCCGAATGTCCAACGTTAACTGATCCATCTCAGATGGCCGAGCGCGATGCCCACATCCAAGAAAAGGAGCGGCGTGTCTACGAGCTAAAGAAAAAGAATCAAGAACTCGAGAAGTTCAAGTTCGTCCTTGACTACCGCATCAAAGAGCTGAAAGAGCAAGTGGAACCACGCGAGACGCATATCAAAGACATGAGCACGCACATCCAGTCCATCAACACGGCCCTCGAGCATCTATCCAATGACAAAGAGAAGTTCCAACATCGCATCGACAAATTATCGGCGAAACTGACAACCGAGAAAGAAAATTACGCAACGGAGCATAGTATGGCGCACCATTACGAGACGAAGATCAAGACGTTCCGGACCGAGCTGTATGATCTTGCCAATCACTTGCAGGATCCATCGGTCCTAGCGGCCGCAGTTAGACGTTTGGCGCAAACATATTCGGCCCCAGTATCGACAGAGGCGGCCAGTGGATCGACACTAGATATGACAGCGGGATCGGGGTCAAGCGCCCCACGGAGGACCAAGGATGCGGTATCGCCAGAAGTCGCCAGCGAGTTCAGGTCGCAACAGACCATACTCCGAAGCAAGGTTGCTCGTCTGAAGAATCTGATCGATGCCAACCAAGTCAAGTTTAGGATCGACTCGGCTGGAAACGTCAACGTCAACCGACAATTGCTTGGGTATGTGTTCTGCTCGCTGAAAGATTCATATATGACCTGATTTCTTACTACGATGCGTTCGTTATACAGCGAAATCAAACACTTGCGCAAACTTAAACAATCCAGCAAGCCACTCACCGCCGCGGACACAGCCCGCCTGGCCCAACTCAATCCACAAGCCCTTCCCACATCGTCAGCAACAACATCAGTAGCTGGAACATATTCAATTCAAGACGAGCCCGCCGATCTCGACCTCGGCATGGGACTGAACTTGCGAAACGTGAAAATCACCAGATTACCACGGCAGATCACTCTCAATGCATCGGGGATGATTGTAGCTGCATCTGGGGATCAACTCACTGCAAATGCTGACGATGCGACAGGGAGACCGTCATCGGCTACGACAAGCGTGGACCCGATGCCGCCCATAGGGATCGAAAGAACCGTGGAAGCTGCGCCATGATTGAAACGTTAGTAAATACTGAGATCGGCCTATTTTTTTGGACACCTTCCCTTGCCTTCCCGTTGAATGCCCGCTCGACCATTTTTCGACCTATTCATCCACATAACTTCACTTTTTTTTTTTCGTATTTCGGCTCCTCGTACACTACGCCGACAGTACCCTCCGCCACCCGAGCTTTCTCAAGGGACATTTGTAAAACATCATTCAATACATACGCACATACACACTCACATAGTCACAAATGCACATCCACCCATAACAATGCACGAATTGTCGTTGTGAAGAAAGAAGCAAGGAATATCAGAATTTGATGATGCCGACAGCTCGATATCACGACAACTTGAGTCGCCTTCTATTGGTCCAAACACATATGTACATGTGTACAGGAGGAAGTGAAGGGGGCTTCCGAGCAGTGCGAACATCCTCTCCAGAAAAGACTGACGTTGCTTATGTACGCAATCAATAGAATGGAAAGCCAGCGACTCTGACATGGGACAGGGCGGGGATATCCTCTACGCTACCAGAAATCTAACGGCACAACATCGCGAGAATACAGACTAGCTACAAAAACGATTTCTTCTCCACCTCTCTCCAGTCGTCTCTATCTTCTCTACGCCGCGGGGGCAACAGTCCCCGCCACAATCGAGAACCCCCTCGTATACGCCGCAGAGGACGGCTCCATGCTATCGTCATCATCATAGAAGTCATCATCATCGTACTCCTCGTATTCTTCATACTCTTCATAGTCGTCGTCGTCATCGTCTTCAGCGCCGTCGTCCTCGATGTAGGACTCGGCTCCTAATTCGTCGTCATCTGCGGCGGAATCGGCCTCCGCGGGCGTGGAGGGAGGGGTGAGAGGCATGGCGGGGATGGTGATGGAAAGCCCGGATGGCCCGGTGAGGTGCAGGGATGAGGACAGGGGCGATGTCGTTGAAGGAGAGGACGAGAGGACGATGACGGAATCGCCGTCCGCCTGGCCCGGGATGGTGGCAGCGGATTGTCTGATACGTCGTCTTCTGCGTCTTGAAGGTCTCAGTGCCAATAAAGGGGCCAGATATCGAGCGGCGTCGGCGTCGCCAAGCGCAGCGGCCTTGGCGAACCAGTCCACTGCTGAGTCAACGTCACGCTCGCAGCCGATGCCTCCTTCGAGGCAGTTGCCCAGTTTTGTCATTGCGGTGATGTTTCCGCCCATCGCGGAGAGCTCGTACCACATCACAGCTTCGCTGTAGTCTCTGGGTAGGTTCAGCCGCGGGTTGCCCATGAAGAGGAGGTCGCCGAGACGTTCTTGTGCGCGCGGTTGACCCTCGTTGGCCGCCAGGCGTACAAGATGGAGCACCTGTTGTGGGGTTGGACGGAATAGAGGCGTGCTCGGCAAGGTGGTCGGTTGTTCATTAGATTCATTGGCAGTCTCCGTCGAATTCGGCGGGTCTTCAGTGGTTATATCGCAATTCGTGTCTTGCGGAGCTTGTGGTCTATGGTTTCGGCGCGTCGTAGTTGCATAGGTTAATGGATTGCCACCATCGTCTGACGCTGTAGTGGCGGGTATCAATGTTGAAGGCAGATCCATAGCAGTGCCAGCTGCGGAAGTCGAAGGCGTAGGAAATAGGTGCAGATTCTCTAGATACATAAAAGACAGGTTCGCTAGAGCGCACGAGTTGCCCATTCTTGCCGAATTCCAGTAATGTGTGATAGCTTTGCGGAAAGAAGCACGGACACCGATCCCAGCCTCATAGAGATGTGCTAATGTGTTCATGGCAAGGTCGTTGCCGCCAGCGAGGGCGGCCCGTCGTATCCACTTGAATGCGCGTCGATTATTCTGAGCCACCGTATCTGGTTCGTCGTCCTCACCGGTTGACACGCCGACACCATCAAGATAGCATCTTCCTAATGAGAGTTGGGCTGGCGGGTGACCGAGCTTCGCTGCACGTCTGTACAGTGCTAATGCACGTCGCTCGTCGGTGGGAACGGCGATTCCGTGGTGAAAGCAGTAGCCAAGTGAATGCAGGGCGAAAGGGTTGTTGGCTCGTGCAGCTCGTAGGAACCATTCGACGGCCCGGTGTTCGTCACGGCGAACGCCGATGCCATAAAGGTATGCGTGTCCGAGGTTGTGCTGAGCTCGTGAATGGCCTTGTCGTGCGGCAGCGTGATACCTGAGGGAAGACGAGGGAACATAGGTCGATTCAAAACGAAGCACGGTGATTCCATGACGGACGGCGCGCGAGAACGCTTACCAGTATGCGCCCCTGACTTCGTCCCGGGCAGCGACACCGATGCCGCTAACCAAGCAAAACCCCAAATTGCATTGGGCCCAGGGGTACCCCTGATGAGCTGCTAGCGCGTACCACCGCACGGCCGCAACCTCGTCTCTCGGCAAACCGGCGAATCCTTCTTCGAATAAATATCCCAAAGCATTTTGGGCGAAACAGTTTCCAAGGGCTGCCGCCCTACGGTACCAATTTACAGCTTCGGCGAGATTGCGCTCAGTGCCGACACCTTCTTCCAGAGCGTGGGCGACGTTATACATCGAGACCGATTCCCCAACTTGAGCCGCGCGTAGGTAGTACCCGAAGGCCAAAGTTTCGTCTTTCTCGACACCGTAGCCGTCTCCGTAACAGTATCCCAAAATACCAAGTCCTCTTGGGTGCTCCGCGGCAGCGGCCTTACGGTAGAAATGCACGGCCATTTCCGGGCTCCTAGGCATCCCTACACCATCGTGATAGCAAAGTCCCAGCGCATAGTTGGCAGAAGGTATCTCGTACGTCTGCGCGGCTTCGACAAGCCATTGTATGGCCGACGGACCGATTTCGTTGACTCTTCGACTCCAACCCTCGGCCTCTACTCTGTCGATTCTAACGCTTGGCCGACCATACCGACGCAAGAAGGACAACCGGGTGCAGGCCAGCCCACTCCCGTGAAGAGCAGCCTTCTTATACAAGTCCTCGCATAGAGGATAGTCAGGTTGACAACCCATGCTGAACTCGTAACAAAATGCCAATATCGCCTGCGCATGTCCAAACGCTGCCGACAACTCGGGCCGGACCGTGAATGAATATGGTTTTGGCGCCTCCGCGAACTCCTCCCGCATGGCTTCGTTCCCGCCTCCACTCTTGTGCGCCGATGACGCTGCATTCTCGGATGCCGTCGACATGGCCGACAGTGTCGCTTGTGAAAGCGCTCTGTGCGTTTTCTCCTCGAATACAATCAGCTTCAGGATTCTGACGGCTTCCTCCCAATCTTGATCCACCCCGTCCGCACCGAACAGAAGCCTCTCCGCCTCTGCTACGGCGTCGGTGATGCGTCGCTCATCGTCGTCTTCGGATTGTTGGCTCTGTGCAATGCTCTTCAAACGGCCGATGAGCGGCAGCGCTAGCGTCTCCTCCGCTGGTTGACCGTATCGCCTAGCGAACTTGGACGCGGGTGATCCTTCGAATGAACAAGCCGGGGTCGATGGCGGCGTAGGGGCCAGTGGAGTTGCGATGGGCGTGGGAAAGCTGGCAAAGTAGTTTTCGTAGGATGGGCCAAACACGACAGCTCCCATGCGCCCTCGACGGGCGAGGATGCTGCTCTCGTCTGATTGCCGATCTGCTGGCCGGGACGAATGTAATAATGATGGTCGAGAGTCCATGTTGGAATGTTGAGCCAGAGTCCCGGTGGACGATGATTCACCTTGACCGTCGAGTGGATCCGGAGGAGCGAGCTGACTGTAGCCAGATCTCGAGTTCTTGTCCATTTGTACATAGCTTCGATTGCCTGATTGTTGGTCCATATCGTCATCACATGCTCCGATTATTGGTGCCACGTCGAGCACTGGTTGTGTGCACAAAGGAGAGGGCATAGATATGTCCATCGACGTTTCCGCCGGGGAAATTTCGAACTCCAGAGGCGACGAAAAATCCGGGTCGAGGCTGGAGAGACCGGTTTCGTGAACCTCTATATGCTCTTCAGCGTTTTGAGCGTACAGGTGTTGGTCGGTGGACTTGCGTGGGCCCTCCAATTCTTCCTCAACCGAAACCGAACACGAAGGCGAGTAGCCCAAGCCTGAGAACGAGCGGGTATGCAGTAGCCGTCTTACGCCGCCAAAATTGGCTCGGGAATTTGTCGCCTGCGTCGTGGGCGCGAAGGATTCTGTTGACGGCGACGAGCTGCCTTGGGAATTCGGATAGTTCAAAGGAACATCTTTACCGGCCATGCTGCAGCAGGGAAGGCAACGTTGACTCTTGCGACCGCAACCCCCGCGGGACGACCCTACCTCGTGACGGCTCGGTTTTGTCAGTTTATCTTGGTACGCCGTGGTCGTTGTCGTCGTTGCCGCCGTTGCTCGACCCAGCGGATATCGCGCTTCACGTCGCTTTCCTCCTGACTCCTCACTGCACACAGACAGGACGAATAATAATTGGAAGACTGATGACCTGAACTGGGATTTGAGCTTTGGGCGAAAGTTTGAGAGACACCTCACGAATGCCTTGTGTCAGGGTGGGGCTTTGGGAGTGCCTTTTGGACACACCTTGACATGGCACTGACAGCAGGAGCGCTGATGAAAATCATCCTCCAACTTGAAGTTGCACGCAATTGCAATAACTTGTGCAAATCGTATGGGCGTACCAGCGTACCAATGCTTGACAGTAGTAGCGGTAGTTAAAAGGCGTCCGGTAAGGGAAATTTCGTACGTATGGTGGACTTCCCACGGTATTAGCCCGCCCTCCATTGGCAGGTGAGCACAAAAAGAAATCGGGGTCAAAATGTGGACGAAAAACATGGAATGGGACGCCTCCGCTTCTCACTCTTCAACCGCCAAGTGGCAGGGACCATGGGAGAGGAGGATCGTCGATACCTTGCGTCGCTGTTGTAAATTGTCGTTGTATTACTGTACCATATACCAGCTATTGCGAGTTTCATGGTATGGATCCCGTACCTGGTACGCCCATCGCATACCTTTGACAGTAACGCGCGATAAGATCTTGGAAAAAGTAAGAATTTCCGAGTCCAACATGCCAGAGAGTCATCCGAGACTTTGCTCCAGCCGCTGCTTCTGATTACCTAGCCCATCCCACTTGTAGCAGGTTTGATTAGCCCGCCTAAATCAAAGCGATATCTGCATGCGACGTCGCTTCGATCCACAGAAGCCCCCGTTGGGAGAAAAATTTCGGATATTGTAAATTTCGCGTGCTTTCTGTGATCATGGCAAATTGTATATATACCTTTGACCACCAACCACGCGTTATATGTGTACAGTAGTAACAGTATTTACTGATGACAAAGCAATTCAACGCGTTGGATGCCACCGTGACCGGCCCATTATGTATCAAGCGGAAGCGGCCTCAAAATATCACTACAGGACACAAAAAAAAGCATGGCAAAAGGAAAACAGAAAAGAGAGGCGGCGTTCGAAAGCTGATGAGAGCTCCACGGCGATGACCGGATTCTGCTGAAATACCCGCGACACTGACCTGTCATCACTGGGTCAAGTGCCCTCTGAAAGTGGTGGGCTAGGTTTGCCTTGAGGGACTGACGCAGGAAACCAACCAACTTGCGGAGTGGAAACCAACGCATCCCACTCGGCAGCACACTTGAAACTTGATCAGCAGCAGTGGAGCGTACTCTCGCCACGGTTGAATTGAAATTCAGGTCCGGATACACAGCGCACCCTCAAGAGAGTGCCGGGCAGTTCGCGCAAACGACGATCCCAAGAGATATGTATGTAGCACCTTCCCCTGAAGAAAAGCAAGTCTGGCCAGAGAACCTGCGACATATGAACGTGAATGGCAACTGGTTCGGTATATTTTGTATCACACATGACACTGGGTATGGTACGCCATGACTCGGTCTGTTAAGGTGCTCTCAGGAAGGGGATGCTCATTCGCCACAGGTTGGGCTCCCAAGTCCTCTCCATACGCCGCCTTCTTTCAGATACCCAGGTAAGCTCCAGCCACTACGCCGCACCCCATCTTCTCCCGTTTCGCCTCCAGCGCCTTCAGCAGCAACCCCCAGCTCCCCTCCTTATCTGCTTCATCGACCTGAATCTCGCTACAAAACGCGTCGAACTGTTCTTTGACGATTTTCTCGTCCAGCGACTTCACGCGGAAAACGTTCTCTTTCGGTATCTGGCGTGAGAGGTCGCTGGGGTCTGGGGTGGTGGTGGTGAGGCGGAATCGGATGAGGGATTTATGTTTGGTGGGTTTTGAGGAGTGGGTGGCGGCATCTGGGGCGACAGGTGCTGAACGTGAGATGGAGGAGACTGTGGCGGGATCGCATGCGGAGAGTGATGCTTGTGCGTCTCCTTCTGCCGCGGACGCCGTCGCTTGCATGCCTATCGAGTCGTTTGTCGCGATTTTTGCTGGTTCGTCCGTTCCTGCCGCTTCTTTCTCCTCGTTGATTTGAACGGCTGAGGATTTCTCGCCTTGTTGCTCGCCTGACTTCCGCTCCTCTAACTTCTCATCTTTTGCGGACATTTTGGCGGTGGGTTTCGAAGGATTTTCTGCCATCTTGGAAGTGTTCCCCACAGCGCCAGGCTCCCTTTCCCCCTCTTCTCCTTCCATTTTCGCAACAGCCTCGTCGACCCCTACATCGGCCTCCTCGACCTTCGCTTTGGGGGCCGCGGCTCTTACCCGCCTTCGAACCTCAAACCCACCAGGATCCTCCTCATAGAACTCGTTTCCCACTCGAATAATCTCCCCATCGAAAGAAGGCTTCACAGGCGCGGTTGGCACAGGCTGGGTCGGCACACGCTGCTCCACAACTTCTGTTTTCGGCTCATTATCGATCGCGTGCCAGTCTTGATCCCAGTCTTCTTCGATATAGACCACTTCTGGCATTGGTTGCTTCTTGGGGGTTGGTATTGCTGGTGCCGCGCTGGCCGTAGGTTGGGCGGTCACCGTCGGGGTATCGAGCTTGGCTTTTGAGCTGTTCCCGCTTTGTTGAGGAAGGGTATCAGCTTTTGTTTCCGTCACCGGTACAAGTTTGACTGGCACCTCGTTGTCCACGGGTGTAATTTTGACAGGTTCCCTTGGTTTGGGAGTGACCGTAGGGTTTATGGGTGCGGCCGCATGGAAGTCGTTGGGTCCCCAAGCTTCGTCCAAGCGTCTCGAAGATGCATTGACATCGGCAGTGCTGGAAGACTTCGTCGCTGGCTGCAGAGAGGCACCGTTGGACACGGGCTTTGTCGAGGAAGTTGCTGATGTTTTGATCTCGGTGGCAATGGTCTGCCTTGTCGTCGGTTGCGGAGACGGGGGCTTGGGTGGCCGATCGTTGGGAGACGGCGAGGCCTTCCTTGCTGGAGCGTTCGGTAACGGAGAGGAATTCCTTGATCCAGTAGCGGGCTGTTGGGAAGCACCACTGGTAGCCGCTTTCCCATTGATTGCAACATTGCCGTTAACAATCCGAGAAACCGCCGTCGTATTCGGTCGAAGGGCACGAGCGGTGACGGGCGGGAACGGGACCGAAGTGGTCTTTGGCCTGAAGTCTCCGATTTCGAACGTTCCAGTTTTGCCATTTGTCCCGCCCTTCGTCGGCAATCCTCCACTGCCAGGGACAACCTTTCCATGCGCGCCAAGCACAGGTTCCGGTTGAGCTACAGCTTCTTCCCAGAGAGTTTTGATGCTGGGGACGACATGATCTTTCGGCAAGGGAGGCCACGCTGCCATCACCGGTTTTTCATGAGTGACGGCTCCCCATCCGAGGGCCTCACGCACTTCCTTCGCCATCGGTGGCACAGCACCAATATCGACCTTGGCGCGAGGTGCTCGGGCTGTGGCCGGAGGTCGCTTGAAAAATGTTTGGCTCTTCATGCCGGCGGGGTGGGGACCGAGACCTGTGGGTCTCTGTTGCCTTGAACCGCTAGAAGACTGGGCGTTGGGCTTTGAGACTGGCGCACGGGATTCGAATATAGGTCTGTTGGCTGTTGTTGGCGAATAGGGTCGAGTGCTCATGTCGCCTGGGAAAGGTTCTGCTGGATAGCTTGTTTGAGCGGCGGCTTGAGCGGCTTTCCCCCAGGTCAAAGGCTCCGCTGGAGGTTGTTGTGCACTCATGTTCCTGTTTGATTTGACTGTCGAAGTGTTATTCTCACGGGTCTCAGGGAGGAGGAATTTCCTGACTTCAAATTCAGAGCCTACTGCTGATGACAAAGGACAGGCAGGTTTTGTTAGTGATCTGAGAGTATTCTTTGCAATAGCCAGAATCCTATTCGCAAAACGTTTCCTCTCGAAGTAAGGGACCGTCACACCGGAACTGTACCTGTCAAAATCCAGACGGCACCAGCGGTTGACTTCCGTGCCGAGGACGTAATAGAGGAGGGTTCTCTTTGCGACTTCTCTTGCCGGAACGCCTTTGGGGTTTGCTGTGCGTCGTGAGTTGGCTCCACTTCCAGCGTTGTCCTCTTGTTGGGGGGGGGGGGGTGGGGGGGGGGGGGGGGGGGGATATTTGCGAGGGAATATTGGGCAGCTCATTGCCGCGTGAGCAAACCCATTGAAGGGGTGTCAAAAATCGGGCCTTGCCAAAAGAGAACAATAAGATTCTCTGCAAGTCACATGACGGGTGAGATAAAAGCGGAGAGGCGCGCTTGTTTTGGATCCTCTCTCTTTTTTTCCCATCCAGCCTTCTTCCCAGAGTCGAAATTTTCCAACCCCCAGCGGACTTTGATTTTCTCACAAACTACACTCAACGAGAAAAACAGTCTGGCAAACATGTCGGTGCTCACTCTGCCGTCTCCGCCAAAGTCCTGGGACTCCAACAAGGAAGCCGTTGTCCACACGGCCTTCTCGCCTTTCTACGAGCAGGCTATCGAGCCCGTTGGTCGCCAATTCCTCGCTGTTGCTCGTCGTCACAGGCACAAGAGGACGCTGTCGGAAGACGAAAACATCGAGCAGGCTTTGGAGGATGCCAATGATGGAGACGTCTCTATGGAGGAGGACGAGCCTGAGACTCCTAGGTTGTTGAAGAGCGACCCGTTGAAGTGGAAGGTATGATTTGCACGTTCGTCAGTTCGGAAGACTTTAAAGACATTTGCTTATGCCGATGTCCCTTCGCAAAATCTAATAGGAACAAGACCACTACGCTGTCTTGGGATTGTCGAAGCACCGATATGCGGCGTCTGAGGATGACATAAAGAAGGCTTACCGCCGAAAGGTCCTGAAGCACCACCCCGACAAGAACCCTGACGGTTCGGACTCTTTCTTCAAATGTATCCAGAAGGCTTGGGAAGTTATGAGCGACGTAACAAAGAGGAAGCAGTGGGACTCTGTAGACCCCAAGTTCGATGACTCCATTCCCAGCGCAAAAGCAAAGGGTGATTTCTTCAAGCTCTACGCCCCTGTCTTCGAGAAGGAGGCCCGATTCTCGAAAACACAACCTGTGCCAGGCGTTGGCACCATGGAGTCTGACAGAGACGAAACCGAAGCCTTCTACAACTTCTGGTTCAACTTCGATTCGTGGAGGACGTTCGAGAACCTGGACGAGGAGGACACGGATGGCGTAGAAAGTCGTGAGGAGAAGCGGTGGTTGGACAGGAAAAATAAGGCGGAGCGTACAAAGAGGAAAAAGGCTGACAACTCCAGGGTCAACAAGATGGTGGAGAATGCCTTCGCTGCGGATCCTCGTATCAAGAAGTTCAGAGAGGATGACAAGCACGCGAAGGACGCTAAGAAGAGGGAGAGAGAGGCTGCCGCAAAGGCTGCCGAGGAGCAAGCGAAACGCAAGGCCGAGGAGGAGGCTGCTGCCAAGGAGAAGGAGGAGACCGAATTCAAAGCGAGGCGGGAGGCCGAGAAGAAGGAGAAGGAGGCCGCGAAGAACGCTATCCGCAAAGAGAAGAAGACCATCAAGCGGATTATGCGTGACCACAACAACTTCTTGTCCGAGAGTGCCAGCGCCGAAGCCGTTGCATTCCAGCTTCAGAAGTTGGATGAGGTATTGGAGCATCTGGACACCGCTGCTCTTGAGCAGTTCCGTATTAAGTTGGAGGCGGCCGTGCCAGGTGGTGCGGAAGACCTTGAGCTCGTTTTGGATGAGGAGGTATTGACAGCTCATCTGGTACCATTGGAAAGAAGAAAACGGTTCTAACCTTCTTTATGTTTTCAGCACCTGCACGTCGTTGAGGCAAAAGAGAACCAACAAGGCGAGGCAAAGTCTGCCCAAGCCGATGTGAAGAAGGAGGACGAGAGCAAAGTCGCCAAGGTCCCATGGGCCGTGAAGGAAACTGCCACTCTAATCAAGGCCGTGAAAATGTTCCCTGGAGGAACGATCGACCGATGGGAGAAAATTGCCGAGTACATCAACGAGCACGGTGGTGACGAAAACGAGGACGCCGAGGCGAAAGCCAAGCGTGCACGTACACCCAAGGAAGCCATTGGCCAATCCAAGGTGGTTCAAACAGGTTAGTGGCATATGGATTTACGTCGGTTCGCAAATATGCGCTCACACACTCTACCCCTCTAGCCCAAGCCGCTGACCGTCAAAAATTGCAACAGGCCGTAAAGAAGCCCGTCGCAAAGGTCGAGATTAAGGAGCAGCCCTCCGAGAAGGTCGACGAGACTCCCGCCAAGCCAGCAGCCAAGCCCGCCGCCGCGAAGCCCGCCGTCAACGGAACCGCCGCCGCCGCGCCCGCTTCTCCCACCATGATGGCCCCCGCCAACGCCTCCTGGAGCACTGACCAACAGATCGCTCTCGAGCAGGCTATGCGCAAGTACCCCGCTGCCCAGTTCAGGGAAACGCCTAACGAGCGATGGGAGCGGATCGCTGAGGAGATTCCTGGAAAGACCAAGAAGGACATTAAGCAGAGAGTTAAGGTACGCAGCTGGGCTTTGTGATTTTCCTCATTTTCCACATCCTCGTCTCAGTAAGCTGACATTTATACACTTTCATAGGAACTCGCTGACATGGTCAAGAAGAAGAAGACCACCCGCTAAACGGGGAAAAGGAGAGTTACCACACTTTGGCGTAACTCCCTCGCGAGACTCGAGCACCACACCCATGGAGGTGAAACTTGTCTTCTCTTCCTGCTCCATCCCGTACACAGAAGAACACACACGCACATAGATAGGTAGAATTTCCCCCACAGGAGTAGCTTCCACTAGGCATACTTCCCCGGAGCACGTCTCTGGCCGACCCCACCCCATCATATTTTTATAACGCAGTATGTAATGAAGCTTTCTTATGCTTGTTCTTGTTTCGTCGTCCACGTTCTCGTCCTCGTCTTGGTCCATTCCTTGTCCCGTTTCAACGCTTAAGTAAGCTGTTGCCACGCGTTTTTACGCGTAACCTTGTTGTTTTTCCCCTCGGGTTTCAGGGCTCCACCTGCGAGTGTAAAGGTTTACCTTATTGTTGTGGACTGGTCCAGTAGGTAAGCTTCCACACTTTGCCTACAACACCATACAGCAGTCAGTCCCACTTGGGCCCGCCTCGCCCCGTCCGAGTAGAGCTCTTCCGAGCATGCGGATGGCGCTGGAGGCCACAATGCACCGACTAGCGGGGCGATGTCCGATAGTGCACTTCTTGCATTTCGCCATCCGACCAGTCGCTATCATGTAGGAAAGTTTCAAAACCCATATGTCGCTCCCGCGTGGCTGAATCTGGCCCGCCATTCGGCAACTGGCAGATGCCCAGCTCTTACCAATCAGAGCAAAGTTGGTGCCAACACGTGCTTACCTCCGATGGGCGTCGCCCTTACGCGCTTCGGATTCTTGAAATGTTCGGATATGCTTATCCATGAAGCCGAGAAAAGGGAGTCTGAACCTGCTGCGAACTCGGTTACGTTATTTCGCTTCGGCGGTCGGAGTTTGAACTTTGTTATATCTCCGCGGCTTGGGTAATCTCTACTCAAGGCGCGTATAAAAACAATCCTCCTACCTCCCTCATCCAAATTATGCTGACCGCAAGTTGCAGGTGTTAAGCTCCTGACGGGAGTATCACGCCACTTCCCTTCCTAAGACTTAATATGATAGCCCCATGCTGTAGAGCAATAGTTGACCCACCACCTGAACTGGAAGCCCATAGCGAACGCGCAGGTTCCTCTCCTTGTGCAGACCTCTGATTACGAAGTTACCTCCCGCCTATACAGCGACTATTGTACAATCAAGAGGCTGGTCCATACCTTCTCTAATACCTCTGTGGTTGCGGCGAGTAGTTTTGGTTGCAGGGGGAGCACAAATGTTGCTGGCTATGGGACACGCGCGTCGGAGTTCAAACGCTGGCTAAACGTAATGACGCATTTTGGCCCCGTTTCGAGTGGCTGGCTAGTCCATATGTGCTGTAATTCGAAATTCAGATCTTCCGCCGTGCAGTCAGAGCAAGTATCGATGGTAAGCCACACCAGCCGGATGCTCTTCCGAGTGAGCAAAGGCGTCATCCGTAGACTGCATTGACTTGTATCAGAGTGAATGGATGTCAGCGTGCCAATTTTCCCCTTCGAAATGGGTCGAATGGGACCTTTGGTTGCAAAGGGAAAGACCAAAACACTTCGCGTAACTTCGCGTGGTGGGAAGTTGTGGAGAGGCGTCATTTCGGTTTGACGTCGCTTTACGAGCATTGCGCACTCCACAATTGTCAACTCCACAAAGGTCTTTCCAGCAACTCGCACTTCAAGCTGTTGCAGAGGCTGGACACTGTAGTTCGAAAAGGCTCTCGACTGTCACGGAGAACCACATTTCAGACGGTCGTTCAGTGAACCTTCTTTCCCCCGGTCTGCGCAAAGGCACACGGTTGCGCACCCTCTGATGAGCAAGAGAGTCATCGAAGAACGACTGCCAGGCGAGGAGCCCCAAAAGAAACGAACAGCTTTCACGGCGGTCCCTTCTGATGCCGCCAGTTCGGCGCTCGCCGGCGGTAGAGTCGGAGGACTTGGTGCGCGCCAAGCCGAGACGGAGACGGCGACATCGGTGAGTGAACTTGTAAAGTGCAGATAAATAGGGTAGATTGGCCCGGCATGGGTATGGTGGGAAGGAAGGACGGCGACGGTTCTGTTGCGAGGCAGGTGGACAAGCTCGGGATTAGAAATAGGACGGGAAGTGACGCCGCTTCCATGCCAGGAGTTTCCCTGGCCCGTGAGTTGAAGCCTTGTGAGACGGCAAACGTCTTTCACGTTGCGGTTAGCTGTAAAGAAGAGGGATGGTTGGTCTGGTTTGTCAGGCAAGCAGGAGGCTGGGCAGTTCATAAGTGGGCGCATAATGAGGCGCTTTCGGACGGGCGATCTGTTCCGCGCGTCGCCCGTCGCTCGCAAGGGGAACGGGACTTCGGACAGACAGACAGACATTCGAAGCTCAGCGCCTTCCAAAGGCTTTCGCTGTTCGGACCGCCTTTCGGACGTGCGCTTCTCGCTCGCTGCGTATAAATACCCGAGACCTGTCCTACTCAGCCGGTGCCCAAATCGCTCTCAGTCTATCGCACTTCTCACCCCGATCTGCCGTCTCATCCTCCTCTCTCCCCATCCTATCCCTCTTCTACTACCACCTTCGCTCTGCTCTAGAGTTCCGCCAGCGATACCACCGCCGATACCTCAACTTCTTTCTCCACAAACACCGACCGCCCTGCCGGCATGTTCGTTTTCAAGAGAGGTATGTCGACGTTGCCGAGCTTCTTACGCACTCCCCGCTTGTAGTGTGCTGACCTTTGCTTTGCTCTCCGTCCTCTCTCCGTTACCCAGATGGTCGCCCCGAACGCGTGGCCTTCGACAAGATCACGGCGAGGTTACAGAAGCTGTGCTATGGATTGGACATGAACTTCGTCGACCCTGTGGAAGTCTCGCAAAAGGTACGTCTCAGCTCTCAGATCCCATCGGCTTCGTTCATCTCCCTTCGCACATTGCACTCATGTCTTTCCGTTCTCGCTATGCTCAGGTCGTCACCGGTGTGTATCAAGGAGTGACCACAGTAGAGCTGGACAACCTGGCTGCGGAAACGGCCGCATACCTCACGGTGAGTTCTGTGGGAGCTTGGTTTGCTTGGCCTACAGACCAGCTTTGCTGAGCATCTCATTCCATTACAGACAAAACACCCAGACTATGCTATTCTCGCCGCCCGTATTGCCGTTTCCAACCTTCACAAGGAAACCAAGAAACAGTTCACCGACGTTATGGAAGACCTGTACAAGTACGTCAACCCGAAAACCGGCAAGAACGCTTCCATGATCTCCGAAAACACATACAAGGCCATCATGAAAAATGCCGACCGGTTGAACTCGGCTATCATCTACGACCGTGATTTCAATTACAACTTTTTTGGTTTCAAGACACTGGAGCGCTCTTACTTGTTGCGCATCGACGGCAAGGTTGCTGAGCGCCCACAACACATGCTCATGCGTGTCGCTGTTGGAATACATGGCGAAGACCTCGACGCTGTCATCGAAACTTACGACTACATGTCCGAAAAGTACTTCACACATGCCTCCCCAACGCTGTTCAACGCTGGTACACCGCGGCCGCAGCTCTCCAGTTGCTTCTTGCTCACCATGAAAGACGATTCCATTGAAGGAATCTACGATACCCTCAAGACGTGCGCTATGATCTCCAAGACGGCCGGCGGGATTGGTCTCAACATTCACAAGATTCGTGCGCTCGGTTCCTACATTGCGGGTACCAACGGACACTCGAACGGAATTGTACCCATGCTTCGTGTTTTTAGTAAGTTCATAAGATTCTAGTTCATTGTTCAGCAAGGAATGTTTTGACTGACTTCCGTTCCATTGCAGACAACACGGCACGGTATGTCGATCAAGGCGGTAACAAAAGGCCTGGAGCTTTCGCCATCTACCTGGAACCATGGCACTCGGACGTGTTCGAGTTTTTGGATTTGAAAAAGAACACTGGCAAGGAGGAGAACCGCGCACGTGAGCTCTTCTACGCGCTGTGGATCTCGGACCTGTTCATGCAACGTGTCGAGCAGAACGGCGACTGGAGCTTGTTCTGTCCTGCTGAGGCACCTGGTCTGGAGGAAGTTTATGGCGAGGAGTTCACCAAGCTGTATGAAAAGTACGAAAAGGAAGGTCGCGCCCGCAAGACGATCAAGGCTCAGAAGCTTTGGTACGCGATCCTCGAGTCTCAAATCGAGACCGGCACACCTTTCATGCTCTACAAGGACGCGTGCAACCAGAAGTCCAACCAGAAGAACCTGGGAACGATCAAGTGCAGTAACCTCTGTACCGAGATCGTCCAATACTCCTCGCCCGAGGAAGTCGCCGTGTGTAACCTCGCCTCCGTTTCGCTGCCCAACTTTGTCATCAAGCAAGATGGCGTACCCATGTTCGATTTCAAGAAGCTACACGAGGTCATCAAGGTCATGACAAAGAACCTGAACGTCATCATCGACATCAACTACTACCCAGTCGAAGAAGCCCGTCGCTCCAACTTCCGCCACAGGCCCATCGGCCTCGGTGTACAAGGTCTTGCCGACGCGTTCATCAAGATGCGCTTTGCATTCGACTCACGGGAGGCTGGACAGCTGAACAAGGACATCTTTGAAACCATCTACTTTGCCGCTCTTGAGGCGTCATGCGAGTTGGCAGAAAAGCTTGGCGCATATGAGACCTACGAGGGCTCACCTGTCAGCAAAGGACAGCTGCAACCCGACATGTGGGGTGTTAAGCCCTCAGATCGATGGGACTGGGCAGAACTCCGCGCGAAGATTGCCAAGCACGGTGTCCGCAACAGCTTGCTCGTCGCGCCCATGCCCACTGCCTCCACATCGCAGATCCTCGGCAACAACGAGTGGTGAGTCCGAGCTGTGCACACAAATCTACGTGGAACCTTCCTGACAACCCCAACATGATCTTTCCAACCATAGCTTCGAGCCATACACCAGCAACATCTACACCCGGCGAGTTCTGAGTGGTGAATTCCAGATTGTGAACCACCACTTGCTGAAGGACCTGACCGAGCTGAATCTGTGGAACGATGACATGAAGAACCGCATCATTGGGGACAATGGCTCAATCCAAAAAATCCAGCAGATTCCTCAGGAGTTGAAGGACATCTACAAGACTGTGTGGGAGCTGTCGCAGGTGCGTGTTCCGCTTGCAGTGTGTTGCCATGCAGTATCCACAATCTGATTGGTACTTGTCTCACGCGGTTACAGAAAGTGATCATCGACATGGCCGCCGACCGTGGCGCGTTCATCGATCAATCCCAGTCCCTCAATATCCACCTCGCCGCACCCAACTTTGCCAAGCTGACAAGCATGCACTTCTACGGCTGGAAGAAGGGTCTCAAGACCGGTGCGTCTGATTCTTCACTCTCTTTTTTGGACATGGAATAATGATCTCATTTACCTCTTCCTTCCCCCAACAGGTCTGTACTACCTCCGCACCCGCCCAGCAGCCGACGCGATCCAGTTCACCGTCGACCAGCAAAAGCTCGCAAAATCCAAAGCCAACGGCGCCAAGCTCTCCGTCGCATCATCGTCGGCAGAAGACGAGGAGCTGAGGAGACTGCAGCAGGAGGAAGAGGATAATCTCGCCGCTATGGCGTGCTCGCTGGATAACAAGGATGCGTGTGTTATGTGTTCAGGATAGCGGGGTTTCATGTGGGTCTTTTGTATAGTGGGAGTCTTCTTGTAGTGAGGAAGGATTAGCAAGGCGCTGCATTCTTTTTTGTGTGAGTGTGTTGGTGGTTTTATTGCATTGTTCGTTTATACATATTACGTACACGTCTCTTCATCTTTCGAAGCCTGGCATGTTCAGTGGGATCTGTCAATATGGGTGCAGTATGGTGGATCGTATTTGGTATATGTGTGTAGATGGAGTAATGAGTTGAAGGTATGATTGAACTCGGTGGAGCAACAGAAGACATGATGGAAACCGGTGGGAAGTACCACTGACACCCTATTACATCATTGGGTATCCATAGCGGACCTAGCCGGTAGCGAAGAAGGTAAACCGCCCATCGATTGCGGGCGGGCTTTGCCAGCGGACGACGGGCTAGCTGACCCAGCTTCGTCGTCCCTCAATTTCCCTCGTGGTGTCTTCATAGAAGACTTCAGAGGTATGACCGGTGCGTCTGGACCCGCAGCGCCCAGAAACTCGCTACTCCCCATCGACTTCCCCAGCGTCGAGCTTTTCGCCAACCCACGGCGAAGCGTCCCTCTCAATGACCGCGACGCCTCAGTCGAAGAGGACGCAACATAGTTTTCCCTATCCGCATCCCCTGTGCGCAACCCATTCTTGCCAATCGGCATCGCCTCAACCTCCGAATGCAGCAAATCCGGGTTCGACTGCCCCTTCCCAAACAACCCCGACACAGACCCGAGCCCCGCGAACGACTTGCTAGTGATCGAACCCCCGTGGTCTTTCCCGCCCAGCATGCTTTTCAGCTGCGCGCCGACCTTCGCGGAACGGGTGAAGAGGGTGTTTGATATGGCTTTTGTTGCTGAGGAGGATGTTTTTTGGCGAGGGGTGGCGGGGGAGGAGCTGGTGGGTGTTGAGGAGGAGGAGGGGAGGTAAGAGGTGGTGGCACCGTCTTTGGGTGGGAGGGATGGGCGTTCGGCTTCGCTGTCTCGCCCACGGATGCTGGAATACTCTGCTGTGTCCACTGCGTAAGCGCTGGTGTTGCCTGAGCGCTCGCTGGCACTGTTCGCACGGGCCCGTCTGCTCATCGTGCTTCTATAGCTGGGTGAGCGCTGGATGACGCGATTAAGTGAGGGCGTCGTGCTCGGGCCTCCGGGCGGGGCCGCAGATGGTGTGGAAGCGGGCGAATCGGTCGGGCTAGGCCCAAACGCGTCGTTGGCATCAGCGTCGTCGATAGCTGCAAGGACGCCGGCAAAGACGCCTTCCTGGAAACTGGACGTGTAGCCGCCCTCTCCTGGCAGCGGGGAGCCGAGAATGAAGCCGCTGCTGGAGGATTTGCTTTTCATGGGTATCAGGCTTCGGGAGATGGGAGTGCGTGGGCGAGTTAGGCTTTGTGGTTGAGTTGGCGAGTCGGTGCCCCCGCTTACAGGCATCATCGCTGATTGCTGAGCGGGCGACTCGAGCGGGGACGAGTATTCGGCGATGTTGTTGTGCACTTCCATATCTTCATGATTGAGGGTGTCAATAATTCAATGAAGTCTGAACGAAAGTACATCACTGAGAAGTCGGGAACTCGCATGGGCACTCACCCTCTTCACCATCACCAATGTCATCTGCATACGCATATTCTTCGCCGCGTCCATGATCTTCGAAATTGGGTAGTGCCGAAAAGGTTGTCAGCACACCCGATTGCCTCAGATGATCCTCCGTCCTACCCAGCTCGAAAGCGGACTGCTCCTCCGTCGCGGCGTTGAGTTTCTCCACGATTGGTATCAGGCGTATCAAGGGATTGTCGGAAGTCGCCGCCGCGTCTGTAGCCTCCGTTGTCGCGGAATCACTATGGTTCGACTCATCGGATGACTGTGGCTGCAAAGCGCGAATAGCGGGAAGGATAACTTCCCAAGCATCGTTAATGCACTGGTGGAGTAACGCCCCTTCTCGCCGCAAGTTGATGCGAGGTTTAGATGTTGGCGGACGCGGGGCGCCGGTAACAAAGCCGGAAATATGCTCGATGTAATGTTTCATCCCATCCAGTCGCGTCGTAATCCAGCTATTGCACGGGGCCATGTGCGGTTCCTTGCCTTCAAATTCGGAAAGGTTGGCGAGATTCTGCAGTATCTTCGCAATCAATGTCAGAGTGCGAGCAATTGCCGGATCTGGTGGATGATCGGCCGTGATGCCAAACAACTTCGGTGACAAAATCGCAGGACAGAAGAACCGCAGGAAAATGAACCCGCTTACGGCAGAATACTTGACATTCGTTTTCGGAAAGCGAGTTTCGGCAGAGTACATCATGTCGTGGAATATGTCCACCAGTTCAGCGGGACATTTGATCGCGGAATTGTGGATGGCTTCCCAGAAAATTGTAACGTGGTTGAGCAAACGCTTCCAATTTCGTTTGACGGTTTCCGATTCCCTGCCCGATGGCAACCGAGACGGATCTACTTCGCAACTTTCTTTTGCAGCGTAGACGCCTTTGATTAGCGATTGCAGCGTTCCACGCAAGTATGGCTGCCCGACCATCTTCATATACTGATCCAAAATCTTGGTGGTAATCGAATTCCCACGGAACATAATATTAGGATCAGCTGATAAAAAATGACGGTATCGTAAGCACACGTAGTATCCACAGCTAACTCCCAGACACCTACCAGTCTTGGCGATCTCCATCCTCGTCAGCGTCTGCAACCCCTGCACATCTCGATTAAAAGCCACTAGGATGTTCAGGACCGTAATCGCAAGCTCTTCCCTCGGCTGCGGCTTCGTTATCCGCTCCCCGATGAACTGCACGCACGTCATGGTAGGCTCCGTCACTGTAGACAACAGCTCCTCATAGAGACCCATGGGCAAACTCTGCTCATTCGTGAGCTTGTACGCTATTCGTACGGAGCCTACCGTCGCCGGCCGATCCTTCGCCGCATCCTTGTCCCCGCCGAATGGCCGGATGTGGTACCATTCTTCGACTCGTTTATTGGGAGGCATTCGAGAGAGATTGATGCTCACATAGCCGACTTCCATGTTTTTCTGCAGTTTTGTTGGGGAGCTGCCAAAGAACAACAGTCTTAGGCGTGTCCGACATGGAGAGATGTCGCTCAGTCTAAACTCCTCGCCCCAGAACGGGGAATCATCGCTTTTCACCGACGTTCTTGCCTGCTTCACGTCGTTGAGTAAAACGATGCAGTATGGGTTTATGGACTTTCCGACAGGGCCAAGTGCTGATGTGGACGGTGCTTTCATTTCTTTCGCTTCCATTACCCACAACTGCAGCGATCGCTGTTGCATTGGGGCAACACCTTCCGCATCACCGTCGTCGGCTGCCGATGCACATGTTTCGCAACAATACCCGAATTTCCGCAATGCATGGATCCATTCATGCTTGTCGTTCGCAGACTCCGCAATAAAGTTGTAGGTCATGCGCGATGGACCTTTGCTATTGGAGTTGTTCAAAGTACCCATCTTGCTGTTGTTGCCGGTTGAGACATCGTCTTGGTCGAACATGAGTTGGAAGCAGTTTGCTCGCCCAAAATAGCTATCGTCCACCGAGTAAACCTGGGACCATCCCAAGGTGATCACCTCGCGTGGCTGTTCGGAGTCTTCACTGTCGAAGCAGTACAGAAGCTCGTCTTCCGCCATTAGCACCAGATAAGCATTGTTCCATCCCGAACTTGTGTCCCCGCGTTTGATGGAGACTCTCCCGCCCTTAAGAGCGCCTACCAAAGATCGAACTGAGACCTCGCCAAAGGCCTTTTCGGCCAACTCAAGCAGTTTGTCGAACTCAGCGATGTCTTCCTGAACGTCGATACCTTGGATCACTTCGAGGGTCTCGGAGGTCGTTGTCAGCCGAACTGCGTTTTCTTCATCGTCTAGGTCGGCGACGTCTTTCAGTGCTTGGCTAATGATATTCAGCCGTTTCTCTTCGTATCGGCGGATTTCCTATCGACCCACCAAAAGTAACGTCAGCCCCAACCTTCGACTCATCGTTCCCATGAAATCCCTCGACCTTCCGCCACTCACAGAATAAAATTGCGGAAGCTTCTCCTCAAAATACTCCTGCTGTGCCGTCCTTTTCTTCTCCTCCAGCGTCCGAAGCGCATCAGCGGCGACCGAAACCCGGTCTATAGCAGCAGTAGCCTTCGCCTGCAATCGTTCCAGCTCCTTCTTCTTCTCCGCCCTCAGTTGAGCCTTCGAGAACGCGTCCACCGCCTCATTCGCCGTCTCCTGCGACTTATCATACTCCTGCTTTGCCCTCCTGCACTCGGTATACACCTCCTGGAGCTGACGGTTGAGCATACGCGAGCGCTCGAGGTGGAGCAGTCGCATCGTCTTCATGTCGCGGATCCGCATTTGCAAGGGGTCGATGACATTGGCTTGCAGTTTCGCTGCCGTCTGGGTATGTGCATCCGCCACCGCCTTCAGACCCGTCGCGGCGCAGAATGCTGCCCCCCACACTGTCGACTCCAGTATTTGCACCCCATCGTCTGCTGCTCGGCGACCTTCCCCTTTCGCTGCCGCGGGACTCTCGTCTATGGACGTTCTCCTGTAAGTCTTGCATAGGTTGGCTACGATGACAGCGAGCAATTACGTGAGTGAACTACGCGTGGGAAAACGAACCCGTTCTCCGGCTCCCGCGCGGAAACTGCCATCTCTGCCATCCCGTTTGCCTCACGTACGAACCTAGCGCGATGCCATACCCAGCCTCGATTTCCTGACGCTTCTTGTAGAAACTCAGCAGCTCACGGCTTTGCCGAATCGCCTCATCCGTGTAGCCGGTGACGGTACGGAGTGGCATGCGTACGAGCAGTTTACTTCTGTCTATGGGAAGATGTAGGGACTGGAGCCTTTTCGGAAAGGTGCCGCCTGGAAACAGTCGTTCTCAAAACACCATGGCAGCACCGTTAAGGGCTTCCAGCGCTGGGCTATCCTGGGTCAGCGCCACAACCCTAAAAGTTGTGAAACCGATATTATGTGCGGGCGGAGCACCTCACGAGGGTTTCGGTCGGCGAAGGTTGAGCTTATTCTGCTAGTCCCGTCGGTGGGTTTTCTCGTTCAGAACGGTCAACGAATCGGGTTCACTCCTCCACATTCGGCCATACCTTCGCCGGGTTCAAGGCCGTGCAGCTAGCATTACAAGTCAATGCCACCGATGACGACGCCGCAAGGTTTTACTCCGAGAATTCCCGTGGTTTTGCTCAGCAGACAGGCGAAGCTGTCGCAGCCGCTTTCTCTGGTCCTTCTTTCATTGTGGGAGCCTGTTTTCCCATTGTCTTTACGAGGTTACTGACCTCCGTCGCACGGATACGGCGAATCCAGAAGGATGGCGCGAGCGTCGTCTTTGTAGCGGAGGTCGCATATGTCGTCTATTGCTTCGCAATTACCGCTGTCTTAGCAAACGTGCATGTCGATGCCAAAAGGATGGATCAATTGGGAATGGGCTCCTTCCTTATCACATTGGTAGGCGAAGAGCACGGACAGTCTTGGATGGCAAATACCTACTAGCCGACCGTTTACAGCACCTGCGAGAGAGTAAAGTCATTGCGAACGACAAACACGTCCGGGTCGGATCCACCACTGCGCTCTGTTGCTTCGGCATCCCATTCACATATGTTCTTCAAGGATATTGCCGACGGTCCATCGCATTCAACTATATATTCGCCGACATTCTTCGGGCTCGCAATCGGTTTACCTGTGGTTTACGTTGTCGGGGGTCTTGTCGCGTTTTCGTGGAACCTTCCACAGAAGATGTTCACCGGTGGTCTTCAGCAGGACTGACGATTTGGACATGGCCAAACACTTAAGGAGGCTGAACGACGTCATGGCGGTCGTGGCTGTACTGATAGCGCTCAATCGAATCGTTATGTCGATACCCCTACGCGGTATGCTTACGTCCTCGTTCTTTCCTCTCCAGTTTCCTGCTTGAGCGTCTCCCACATCTTCCTTATAGAAAATCTGTTCGAAACGGAGTTCCGGGTTTTGAAAACTCTGGGACCAGCGCAGCCGGCGCGCCACGCTCTTCCTGAGCAATGGATCGGAGTCTTGCACTGGGCAGGAAGTCCGAAACGGGGGATGCCAAACCGCGAGCATCAGAGAGGAAGGGCGAGGCAAAAGAAGGCACCGTTTAGGTACCCCATAGATAGTAATAAAAATCGGGACTAGAACGGCATGTCGTCGATCCAATTGATCCTTCCCTTGCCAAACTTTCGCATCAGGCGCGCGGGGTATACCCGACGCGCTTGAGCAGGAGACCAAAGGGAGAGACCGCATTTGCCAGAGAGAAATAGCCGTTGAACATGCACCTTGAATTCTGGAGCATGGTCGCGGAGAGTTCAACTGATACATCATCACATCGACATGTGCCAACCAGTCATCTTGCTAGGCAAACAAACATCTGTCACGGGCGAGGACGGAGTTGCTGACAAATCACCTGTCGCGTCCAGCTGTCACTGCTTTGAGGCCTGTCACTTTTGTGGGCCAATCACTGGGGAAGAATGGTTAAACGTAGTGAGGGTGATGAGAAGTGAGCGGCCGCCTCTGCGAGAGATTGAGGAGGGGATTGGCAGCAATCGCGTCACAAATGGAATTGGGGTCATAAGACATCATCATCAACCCAAGCAGATACGTAAACGAAAGCCCCAGTCCATTTACTCCGTCCTATCCCAATTTCCCAAACCTTCTTTGCGAGGTCCACTCAAAACCGCTCGCCGCCAGACGTTTTCCCACGTTCCCCAACTTCCCCACACGTTTTTCCCACGACACTCTCTCATCGTCAACACACCATCTGGCTCTCTTCGCTGAGGAGGAACGAAGCCTGACCCTTCAGTATCCAGCGCCTTACGTCGTTGCTCTTCTCCGCAGTTCCCGTAGCTTTATGTATGAGAGTTGGTCAGGAGGAAATCTACTCCTCTTCTGATTGTTGCAACATCTGTGGAAATTTAGTGGGAACGCACAATAAACAGGGCCTTGGTGGAAAACTCTTCTACTTCCCATAGAAAACGAATTCAAACAGTACATCCGCTACATCATCGTTTTCAGTTCATCCCTGATAGCACTTTCGGTTTCAATCTGTGACAGGTAAATTCGGTGAATCCCATGGCACACAGCGGCCCTTTGATGCACAAACAAAACCAAGCTGTCCACCTGGTGGCAACTGTAGCGCAAAGGTGTTGGCTTGTTTCTGTGTTGGCATGTTACATCCTGCATTTTGTTTTGTGTCTTTCGTTCGAATATTAACCGATTTTCTCACGCAGTAGCCTTCTTAATTTCTCTGGCGACTGCGGTCGACTACGAGGTGCCACTCCAACCCACTTCTTGCATGATTGCCGTGGCCAGCACAGATAGGCCGCGGCGCTCTAAGAGTTATCGTCTCATGCCTGCAGGTCGGGCTGGGACGCAAAGTATTGATATCGACGAGGATAATGAAGTGCGTCCGACAACACAGAAGAATATACTCGCCACAACACCTCCGCGATCGTACCCAGTTTCCTCCCCAAATTTCCGCAGCGGAAACAAATCAATCGAGCCACACATGTTGCATGCGCCAGAACTCGACGGTGTGGCAGGCCTTGGCATTAGCCTACGAAAACCTTCCGTATTACATTCCATCCCAGGCAAAGAGCGGCGTTCGTCTTCTACCGCGGCAGAGGAGTCCCTCTCAAAATCTTTCGATCTCACATCACCTGCCGTCGTCGAGATGATCCGAACCGATGGTGAGTCCCACTTCCACCCCCCGTATGTCCCTTGTAGGAGAATATTCTGACATTCTTAATTTTTAGGGCATCTATCTTCGCGCCGAGCATCAATCTCCACTGCCACACTGTCTACAGTTCTTGCCGCGTCTCTGTCTCTGACGGATAAGGCGAATGCGCTGGGTATGAACACAACTTCGTCTCATGCGGGGCGCATGGGCAAGAGAGGGCCTGCGGAATCTGAGACGATTGTCAACATACAGGATCAGGATCAGCGCGTCGACCAGCAGTTGAATCCTTTGCTAGAATCCGCATCATCGGCGTTGGCTGCGTCACTCGCAAAATCCCCCATTCCTTTGTCATTTGCAAAGCCATCGGCCGGCCACCCTTTCGGGTCAATCGTACATACCAAGAAAGACGTATCTGGCACCTCACCAAAAAGTTCCCACAAAAACATTCAATTTGCGGAGGACTTGGTGAGAGAGGCCAGAGATGGCACGTCTGCTATGTCAATTCCCCATGATAGCGAACGTCGTTCCTACTCCCGCCGCAACTCGGGCGCCTCTGCTTCGCAGGTATCTCCATCCGCCAGCCATGGCAGTCTGGCATGCCATCGGAGTGACACAAACATGAGCCGGAGCCTTGAACCTGCTCGTGGGCCATGGCGTAAATCACGGCATGCCAGGTCTCTCTCGTTCGGGGACAGTGAGGAGGAGGAGGATGATTCCGAATGGCGAGAATTCCGAAATTCGCCGCCATCTCTACCACTCGTACCGTACAGAAATCAGGTCGGCGGACATGCATCATTCCTGCGATTTTCGGACAAGGCACTTTGCAAGCCTTTGAACTCACGGGAAAAAGAGTTTTACGAGGTAGTCGAGACGATGCACCCGGAAATCAAACGCTTCATGGCAACCTATCTCGGGATCGTGAATGTGACTTACAGCACGGCGCGGGAAGATGCAGATGCGTTTGGAGTAGCGGAGGGGACGCCCTTGGTCATTCTCGAAGAGAACAAGCACATGCTGTCGAGCGACTTCGGGATTGAGAGCGATGAGGTCAACAACGATGACCCATTGAGCAATTGCTTGAACCGGAAATTGCAGCAGCAGGTTTTCAGGGATGCTTTGTCACCGCAAAGTTTGCGGGCACGGTTTGCACAGCTGAGGACAGCCCTTGGGGCTATGCAACGGCGATATTCGTTTAGTTCGAGCGACCCAACATCGCCGACACTGCATCCGATGTCGGACCCACTCGCCGAAGCCGGAGCGGAACTTGGTCCTTCGACGCCATCTCCGACCGCAAAGCTTGGGAAATCACGGGATAAACGTCCATCGAAGGCAGACCCTACCGGATCAGCAGAGGCTGCGTCCTCCGTCTTCCATATGTCTGACGATGAAGAAGATGCTGGTGGTTCTAGCAGATCTCCAGTGTCCACTCCTAAGCGGTTACAAGACCTCAAATTGCCTACTCGCCTCATCCGGTCCCCATCAACGCCAGTTGCCGCCAGCGTCTCGTCGAACCATTTCCAGTCGGACACAGATCCTCGTACCCCGGTTAAAGGCGCCGCACTCGGCAAAACGGCCAGCTCACCGACCGTCGCCTACAACCCATGGTCGTTGCACCTCTACAACAACACCATCTCCAAATTGGCCGAGAGCGAAAAGGGGAAGAGACGTACCGATCAGTTCCTGCTGTTGGAGGATTTGACGCAAGGGTTCCAGTATCCTTGCATATTGGATCTGAAGATGGGAAGCCGTCAGCATGGCGTGTATGCTACCAATGAGAAGCGGATTTCGCAGGAGCGCAAGTGTGAGAAGAGCACGAGCAAGAAGATGGGCGTGCGGATTTGTGGGATGCAGGTATGCTTGTGCTCATTGTTATTTTTTATCGAGGATGGCAGATGCTGATATCTTTCTCACATCCCAGGTTTACAAACCACCCACCGGAACGTTCACGTATCTGGATAAATACGTCGGCCGTCAAATAAACGGCGCCAACTTCAAGCAGTCGCTACTCACCTTTTTGGACGCGGGCGAGAAATATCTCATCGGTTACATCCCGCAACTGCTGCAAAAGCTGCGGAATCTGCACGAGGCCGTCTCCAAAATGACTACCTTCCGCTTCTACGCCAGTAGTCTTCTGATTCTGTACGACGGCGCGTGGGCAGACGACGACGGGACTGGCGCCAAGCTCTCGATATCGGTCGTCGGCGAGAACGGCGAACCTGTAGCCCCACCACCGCGCGAGATGGACATGAAGATGATCGATTTCGCAAACTGTGTGTCGAACGTCACGTCGCTGCGCGGGCTGAACGAGGTGGACTCGGTGTCTTCGGATGATACCAATTCGGAGAACGATAGCGATGCCAAGCAGAACGCGAAGATTCCCGTACCCTTCCCACCAACCACTGTGGGACCCGATAATGGATATTTGCTGGGTTTGCGGACGCTGATCAAAAGCTTCGATGAGTTGTTCCGGGAACTCGGTGGTAACAACAGTCAGCTCCTGGACTGCCACGGACACGTGTGGAAGAAGAATCTGACGCATGCTCAGAGACTGTACGCTGAGCCGACGAATGTGATGGGCAATAACAACATTCCCGGTGGTGGGGCTGCCGAAGCAATCACGTCAGGAGAGCCCTTGATGTTCGGAGGCTCGTCGTCCTCTGCAGCATCGGCGGCTGGGTTTTCGGGCCCACCCTCCACTCCTGCTACCGCAACGCCGTCATCGTCGCTTCCGTCCAGTCTTCCGTGGCAAAGATCCCAGGCCGGAGGTACCTCTGGGCCACCAACCTCCGCGGCCGAGAACGAGAGAAGACGTCGTGCGTCGGCCTTTGTCGTCGTCCGGCGCAATTCGGAGAAGGTACCTGTATCCGGCGCGAAAGACGCGAAGCAGCCACCCCGAGTGAATGAACCACTGTCTTCACTCTCGAGCATGATCAAGTCGCCGCCGACCTCTTCGCCGTCCAGCCCCGACCAAGCCACCCCGCCGGCACACGCGAAACAACAGGCCGGGGTACGAACGCTATCGAGCACCGCGATGCAGGAGGAGCAACAGGGCCCGGAAGACTTTGTTTCGCCGTATACAGGGGTTCCGCCTAGCGTTGATCGACGGATGCCTTAAAACGCGTCCTCGGGCTTGTGTATGCAGGCTGGTGGAGACGGTAATTTTTTTGGATCAGATTCCACCGGCTTCTTCATCGGTGTGGCCATCCCCGACTGGGTGCAAGGGCTGGATGCCTCTGACGATTCTTCGTACGTTCGGCACCCTCGCAGTCTTGGCAAGCAAACATTCACCGCGGCTCCCATCAACCTGCTTTTTGGTGTTGCCTTTCTTCTTCCCCCCGCTTCCTCGGATACCTACCACACTTACATTTTGGATACGCGTGATCGCGCTCGTCTTCCCATCACCTTTGACATTGCGTTCCGAGGATCGCGGATCTGGCCGCGCTCTCTCTGCCACTCCCTCCTTCTTTTTCCCCTATCCCCACTTGCGTCCCGCCTGTACGTCTATGTATAAATCATGGGAGTGCAAGCTGTGTTCCTTTTTTTGTTGTCTTTTGTCTCCATTTTGAATCGTGTTTACTTGTGTTTTCCGGAATGTAATATGTTATTCACACAGCTTTTGCTGTTTCCGGATGCATATTTGAGCCTTTGAGGAATGAAAGTGAATATGCTAAATAAAAACTACGGCCGACCCGTTAACGCCTAATCTATAGTATCTGATCTATATTTACATGGGAATGAACACTCCGCTACCGCCGCATCATCTCTGAAACTAAATCATTGCACTTTCCTAATGCTCGACTCCAACTCCGCCCACGTCCTTTCTTTGAACCACTGCCCATCCTCATCCCCAGCTAGCGGTGCTGCCGGTTGGCCAGGTCCGGCGGTCGCGGCGCGTACATGACATGTCGCAATGGGATGCAATGCGTCCAGGTACGACAACGTGAGGAGACATTCCGGCTTCTCCTCGCCGTCAACACTCAATGTGATTTCCCGCTCGACATGCCCAGGATCCAGCGAAATCACATGCCCTTCAGGCACGCTAAACTCAATATGCCTCAAATTGGCATCCAACCCGCGTCCAATCGCCTTGATATAACTCTCCTTCAACGCCCACATCTGATGAAACCGATGCAACTGCTGCACCTGCGACTCTGGCAAGATCGCCAAATCCACATGAAAAGCGCCCGTGGGTAATTCCTCAGCACATCCCTCCTCGTCGTCGGTTTTCCGGTACCCCCGGATATACTCCCACTCGCGGTCGGTGAACACGTGCGGGAAGTAGCTGAAGTAGCTGGAAAGCTTTTGGGCGGCTGTCATCTCGGTGCGGGCGACGTCGACGCCGAGGAGTTGTGCGTGCCCGGCGAGGAGGACGACCCAGTCGCCTTGGTGGGAGACGTTAAAGAGGAGGTTGGGAACCGCCGGAGAGACCTGGGGTTTGTGCGACAATTTAGATGGTAGTTGCAGTTTTCCCACTGAAGTACTTCCCAACGTACGAGATATGGCTTCCACTCATCGTTCCTCTGTATCTCCACCTCGGCCCATCTCGTTCCTGCCGGAAGGAAAGACAAGATAGCTAGCCGAGCCAGCAGCTGCCCGACGAGGCTTCGGAGGGCATCTACCGTGTGTACGAATTTACGTATCCGCGTTTGTTCCGCTGGCGGGAGCAGGGCGGTGAAAGCTAGACAGGCCTGCCGGGACGAGGTGCTCAGTGGAGTTCAGGGACGGGGAGAAATATGAAGCCATTCTGCGTGCCGTACACGTCAACGCCTCTGCATTTTACGCGGCTTATAGCGTCGCGGAATGCTAAACGCACCTGCTGCTGTTCCTGCGTCAGAGAGGTGACGCTGAGAGCCCACCTTATCAATCTGTCTTGCGCCATTTTGCTAGGACAGGGGCGTCAGGGTAGTCTGCACTTTCAGACCTGCATGTCCTGAACTCTCTGAACTTGTTGTCGAAGTCGGTTCAAGTCACGCGTAAGCAGCGTGAAGAAGCCTCTCACTCACGGGCATGAAAACAAGCTCACGCAGTGCACGATCTTATGGCCCACGGTCAAGTGCGCCGTGTCGGAGGAGAGGAGATGACAGGATGAGATACGTACGGAATCAAAAACGGTCTTATGGCCCAATGGTCCCAATGAACGGCAACCGCTTAGTTCAATGAGATGGACACACCAACCTTGCAGACGCCTCCTGGGGTTTTGGTGACTTCACCCACACCGTTTCTTTGACCTGGTTTTGATACCCCCCTGGTTCTATGGTACTATTTGATGTTTGGCAGTCGCATCGCATCGCTCTCGGCAGAATAATGAGACGAAAGTCGCACATGCGTGATTTTTGCGTATATATATACATAGGCGACATGCTATAGTGCGTCCCGTCAAGTCTCCACGTCGCATCAATAATCAAATAAGCCGTGTTCATTTCACCGTTACCGAAGGGTAACCACGCCGGCAACGTTCGTTACGTTCCCGTTCCCACCCCCAGCAGGACCCCTACCGATATGCTCCCCAGTGTCCAACTCGCACGCTCTCACAAAACCCACCTTTGCCAGCTTTCGCATCATATCCTGGCGATCCCCTTCCCATTTCACCCCTACTGCCCTCCCTAACCATCCAATCCCAGCCCTCAGTTCCCGATTTTCCGTTTTCAGCGTCTCCACCTCCTTGGTCAACCGCATCACATTCTCCTCCAACTGTCCTATCCGTTCGTTGTACCCTTCATGCCTTTCTAACATTTCCTCGATACTGTCGTCCACATCACGCCGCCGTTTTGTGGATGCTCGGCTGGAGCGGTATGTTTCTGCCACTGTTCTAATTTAGAAGCGAGAGATGCAAAAATGCCAATCCTGCTCTCAATTCTTACATATTGTTGCGACGGCGACGGAGAAAATTATAGACTCTGACATGAAATTTGCCCCTGCTTCTACGGCTCGGGTGTCATTCAGCGGCCGGATGCTTTCTTTTGGGTAACCCAAGAACCTGTTTCATCAGATCATGGCATTGAGTACACGTGTTGAGATCTTTGTTCTGAGCAATTGCCAATCATACCGAGTCTTGAGAGTGTGCTCCCATTGATGCGTTTTCTGTTGGTCGTGAGAGTTACTATCACGTTCATTCCAGAGCCAACGGTCGGACATGGAATATGATCGGTTTTCACCTGTGCTACTCCTATACAAAAATCCTTGAATGCTGGGTGGTTCTAGACGTTCCAAGGTTGAGTATCCTCCATTCCGCTACAACGTCTCGCCACACTGTCGGGACATCGTTATCGGGCATACCTTAGCCTGGAAGGACAGCCAAATGAGTGCTCACGCGGAGATATGCAACTGTCAAACGGCATTTACGTACCTGCTGTTTTATTGAGTTTGCAAGAGGCTTCGAGAGGGTCTTTATCAGCAGGGAGCCCAGTTTAATCGTCGCCTGGAGGAGTGCGAAAACGAAAATGTTAGAGGGTCTTCTGTAGACAGGGTTGCACGGTTCGCAAAGTCAGAACGCGAGTAGTAGCGAGATTGCAAGGTATACCATTGTGAGTTACTTGGTTTGAGGGTCCTGTTTCGAGGAGGACCTGTCTATTCTACGGGTTCACGTTCAGGGGCATGTCTAATATCGGAGGATGCAGGTGTGCAGTTTCCAAGATCGGTTGGTTGGTCAGGGTTGGAGGGGTTGGTGCCAACTTGGTGGACACGTTGAACAATCCTGAACAGTCCTGAACGGCAGGCCGCAACATTCCGACGCCCCTGACGCTTCCGACATCCGTCCGTTTTCCCACACGCTCGCTCGACAAGACCTCGTGTTGGACAGTGGGGGGTTCCGCATCAGGTTGAGAGGAATGGTGCAGCAACCCGCTCGACGGTCGAAGTTCACGTAGCTAGCTACCCAGCGGAAAGTCCACAAGGTTAAGCTTGTAATCGCGGTGGGAGCCGGCTAATTTTAGGATGTGAGCCAACATTGCGGACGGACAGTTAGCGCACCGTTGCGCTTCACGTATCCATATTGGAAGAGTCTCAACCGCTCACCGCTTTTCGAAGACAATAATCTCCAGCCGTAACGCAACATTTGTGAATCAATGAGTGCCCATGAACGAGAAAAGCCGGGTATTCCTATACCTTCGCAGAATGCGAAGCCTAGTGTAGCCACCGCGACTCCATTTTCACCTTTTCAGATGAAGGGTATCTTCTCCGACGAGGTTCCAACGGTCGCGAATGCCGAAACCGAAGTCGCAGCGCGTAGTCCTACGGGCGATGGGGATGACGACAAACCGCTGACTACCATGCAATATGAAGAGCGGGGCGTTGGCGACATGGGGCGAGGGGTGGATGGACGCGGCATCAATGGATCATCTGAGCCAGCGCTCAAAACGGGGCATACCATTGGTAACGATGCCTCGAATATGGCGCACGCCCCGTCAGATGAGTCTAATGGAAAGGTTGGCGGCGGAGATGGGGTCGATGCGAAGCCATCTGTGCCAGCAGCAATTGGCGACAAGGCCGACGACGATGATGATGACCTTCCGCTTACACACCACTTAGCGCAACATACGGCCGCGTCAAAGAAGGCAGCGGCGGCCGACCCTGACAGCGACGATGATGCACCACTACATCAACACGCAGGTCTGTTCATGCCGACGCCAAAGTCGAGTGCTGTTGCGCAGGATATCGATGACGATGATGTACCACTGCATCAGCACGCGGGTCCCACCATGTCGGCGCCAAAGTCGAGTGGTGTTGCGGCGAACGTTGATGACGATGACGTACCGCTCGTTGTTCATCGCTTGTCGGTTATGCATCTAGCTTCCGGAACCGATAGCAGTGATCCGTCCTCCGCACGCGAAGACGATGATGATATTCCCCTTGACAAACACCCCAAGGTAGGCTATCAGGCCTACCGGCAGTCGACCCCCTCCATCCACTCGCTATCAACAAACGCCACCGGCCACACTGGCAGCACGAACCGGACCGGCTCGACGTTCTATTCTCACGATACCCAGCAACATGGATACCCTTCCTTCGAAATCGTCGAATCTATAGTAGCAGCACGACTGGAACCTCTGAAGCATCACATACACTACCTCGAGACCCAACTGAGCAACCTGTTCTCGGAAGTACACTATATGCGAGAGCACATGCGCTCTCTCGGCCCCAATGTGCAGTTGGGCCCTGGCAGGTTCCTCTCATCCCAGGAGGATCCCGCTGCTATGCTGTCGAAGAAGATCAACAAAGTGGTAGCGGAGTTGGGTGAAAGCACGAATCCTCAGGCACATGCTAGGAGAACCGAGTTGTCCTCTGGGCTGCTTGCCGAGATGCCGATGAAGATCACGTATCTTGACAACCAGAGAGATAAAACGCGGAAGAATCTGATGGTGTCGTACGACCTGGCAAGTGAGAGGGTGCAGTGCTGGAAATGTGAAGGTAAAGATTTCGTCACGTTTACCGTCCGCCCCTTCTGGTTGACCGCGGAATGTGAAAATCGTTTACTCAAACATCGCTGTTGATTCTCTCACCAGGCAAAGGGTGGAGGCACGAGAATACAGAGATAAGGCACAGAACCGAGCCAGGCATCCGGTGCAAGAAATGCTCAGATTGTTCAGGTGAGCAATCGCAATGGGTTTCACTCTATGCGCATCAAGCAAATTTTCAATATTCTGGGGAATCAGTGCTTACGACATGTCATTTGTATTGCAGAATGCGGCGGGTCGGGCATGCTGGACGACAAGTACACCTGCCGAGACTGCGACGCCCGTGGCTTCATTCACCCTCGGCCGAGTACTGCTCCACCACCTCCACCAACCACCTTCTCCTCCACCTCGACCACCACATCAATGCCCTCGTCCTTATCCACCACGCCACCGTCCATCAGTTCCTTCTTCGTGTCCTCCTCCACCACCAACCCACCAACACCCCACATCGGCCCGGAAGGCGAACGTTGCTCCAACTGCATAACGTGTCCAACATGCGAGGGCAGAGGCATCACCGACACGCCACCGAAAGCGTCGGATATCTCGACCACGAATAAGCGACGGACGATCCTGAACGAGAATAAACGGAGGGGGGTAGCGTTTGCCAATGGGGCGGGCGTCGGTGGTGGGGGATCACGGGAGTCGCAGCCGGTCTTTCCACCGTTTGATTATGTGGAGGGGAAGGACGAAATCGACTCGGTCGTGCCGGATTTTGAAGCAGGGCATATCCCGCCATTACCAGATGAGGAAAAGGTGAAGGGGCTGCCTGCGTTGAGCACCGTAGTCACCCCACCGAGTACCTCTGCTCCTTCAATACCCGTCGCAGGAACCTCCACAGTAGCCATTATTGCAGCCGAGGTACCGTCGGTACAGGGGACCCAAGCAGCGCAAGGTTGAAAGCAACTAATTATGTAGCAGTGAGAGTGTTGGTATACAGGAGGATGCAGAGCGGGGATCCCATTTTGCGTGGATGGGCATCATTGTACATAAGGAGAGACGGTTTTTTGGAAATACATATAATGGTCTTATTTCATACTCCCCCTTTTGATATCCCTTGCAGGAGGGTTTGCACCATTGTTTCGTTCTGTTGGAGTTGGAGAACGGAGAAGATGAGCACAAAGTTATGGGAAAGCCCACCCGAGACGACGCAAGGGGGCATACCTGTATTATGGACGCTTTTGTTGTGCTGATTACGTCGAGCTGTAAGAATCAATGGCGTAAGATGCGACTCCCCTGGGGCTAATAGGTTAGCATCGTTGGCGGTACATTACCTGCTCCTCAATCGCGGCCTCGACGGCCTTCAACTGGCTTTCCAACGGGGCAAGTTCCTCTGCACTTATCCTGTCGCCAGATGTAAAAAATCAGAGACCGCGGAAACATCCAATACACCCCGCGGACGCCCGACAACATACCGCAGTTCCTCCTCATACACTTTCAAATACTTCAGATGTTCCGACCGCCACATCTCCAACTCCCTGTTCATGCTGTCCACGTCTTCCTGCATGTAATCCATTGTTTTGCCAAGGGGATTCGTGCTGCGTGTCAGGGCTTGGATGGATTCGCGGAGGGCTTCGATCTATGTGTCGAGATGGGATTCCGAATGAAGATCAATATGTGTGCTCAGACAGCTAAAGGAAGATGTCCGTATTTAAAGTCATACTTCTTTTATACCCCCCGCACGATCCTTAGGCCCTGACTTTGCGCGCATGTCGGCTCCCGCATCTGCACCATTGCCGTCTTTCGACCCTTCGAGGTCTTGTTTCGTTTGCAGGATGGTGCGGACGAGACCACCTGCACATGTCCAAGGTTGGTGAGGGGTTCCAAGGCATAGCCCATCAGAATGGGATCTTACCGTGGTGCTCATCAGCAAGCGGCCCACCAGTCGTCTCGGCGGATGCCTACAATGAGTACATGGAGTAGCATGATGAGTGCGTGCCGAACATGCTTGCATTCACGATGTCCACTCACAAATGTCGGGATATCGTCCGCATCATGTGCTATTACCACGAAATCGTCCGGATCGTCCTGTTTCGTGTCGGTGTAGATTGTTGGGACATTTCTGTAGACGGGCATGTGAGAATATCCTAGGACAACTTTGACCGTTGTACATCGAGAGTAGATGCTTACTTGGGAACCTCTTCCAGTGCGACTTCCGGCGCTCTCTGTCTTGGCGGCGCTGGCCGTGCACTTGCTGGTCGCATTCGTCGTGTCGTCGCAGCCATCCGTGCTTGCCGGTCCTCGCTGTCAATCGCAACGGCTGCTGCTGCTGCTCGGACGGATTCATCCGGCACTAAGGTCGCGGAATGGTTGAGACACCTCTCCCTGATTACCTACGCAGGACAGCCTTGAAGCATACCTAAGTCGTCTGATGGCGCTGATGGAGCGGAACTGGGTATCGCTGGCGGTTTATCTGCTGCCTCACGGTCTTCTCGTCTCGCCGAAGGTGGCGGGGACACATCCTGTCGTGGCTGCTCAATCTGCTCTGGTTCCGCAGGAATCGAACGCGAATCTAACCCCTTATCTTTCATCGCTGCTGGGGGCGCCGAAGATGGGGTAGGTTTACTCTCTTCCCCTTCTTTCCTTGTCGCCGATTTCCCTCGTGCAGCGGCAGCGGCGGACTCTTTATCCCGTTCTCGCTTCTCCCGTAGGTTTGACTGTGATGTCGACGCCAGTGCGTCTTTCGATTTTCTTATATCGCTCTTATCTGACTCTCGATGGGCGAGATTATCCCTCGACTTCCGCGGCGAGGTCTGCGGTTTCGCTTCATCTTTGTCTTTCGATAGATTACTCTGCGATGCCCCTTTGGCCAGGTTCTCTTTCGACTTTTTGCTGGATGACGCTACCGCTGCTGATGAGGCCTGCTTTTCCAGCGATGCATCCGACTTCCCGCCTCGTAAATTCGTCGTGCTCTTCCCCACTCTCGTCGCTTGCAGCTTCTCCCCAGCAGGTTTCTCTCCCACCGACGCATCTCTCGACTTCCGTCGTTTCGGCGCAGCCCCTTGATGCTCCCCAGCCAGAACTCTCTTCACTGCATCCGAGCTCTCCACTTTCTGCACCGCCGCCCTCCCCAATGCCTGCAAAAACGCATTCGTCTCCTCCGCCTCCAGCCCCGCCACGATCTTCAACGGGTTGGCCTTGACGTCCGCCTCGGTTGCGATGCCCACGCAATCGATGATTTTCGTCAAGTAGGCTACTTTGGCCTCCTTATCTTTCACATTCTCTGATTTGCTTTCGTCCTCGGTGAATAGACCGCTTCCGAAATCTGAAGTCGATATGACTTCGCTGATCAGATCATGGAGGTATCTGAATGGTGGCTTTGACAGCAGTTTCGGCGTCAGTGGAGTCTTTTTAACTACTTTGGTCAAGATCTCGATCGATTGGGCTACCGTTTCTTCTAGTGAAGAGGCCATGGCTGCCAGTCAGAGTGATTATAATGGGTGTTGGTATAGGTTGACGGGAGAGCTGGTAAAGCAAGAGCCAGGCGTTTGCACGAAATCGAAGATCCAACTGTTGACGTCGGATTCACCAAAAACTTGCGGGCGCGTATTACCTCAGCTAACGCGTCGTTTCTGAGCCGTACTGTATGCATGTACGGTCTGTACTGTACATGTGCTGCAAAGCGATCACACGAAGACATGTTCAGGAGAACAACTTGAAGCCTTGTGTGAGAGCTCTGTGAGTAAGAGAGCGCATGGCGAAGTAAGATCCCAGCATCACTCGAATCTTTTCCTTGGTTGTCAGCCAGAAAATGAGGGCTGACTGAGAGAAGAAGAGCGGATGCTAGGACGGAAGTCCATGAGCTATCTGCAGATGCTTATAGGAGTGGGTTTCATTTCGGCAAGTATGAGATAGGGCTCAGGAAAGGAGCTTAAATGTAATTTATAAAATGTCTAAGGTTGGTCATGTCTAAGGTTGGTCATTAGGTATATTTACAAAACTAAAGCGCGGCATTCCCATCGACTAAGAAGCAATGAAGGGAGCGTCGTAAAAAGGTATCATGAAGTCCTCGTACTGGAAGTCGGTACATTGACCTCCGCCGGTCTTGCCGATGTGGGGGCAGTGCACCTCGGGAGCCAAAGGGACCATCTGTTGGTGCACAGTGCGGCACCACAGGGTGTTCTGACCTCCCTCGTACGCGGTACCGAACCGGATCTGGGTGGTGAGGAAGTTGAAGCACTCAGCGTAAGACGAGTACTGCGAGAGGGCGCCGGTGCAGGAAGTGGCGGCCGTGTTGCAGATACTGTCGGCTTGCAGCACGACGAGAGCCTTTTGCACGTTCTCGGCGGTGGGAGCCGGAGGAGCCGCCTTGGTGAACTTGGCGTACTCGGTGAGGATGTAGGGCGCCATGCGCTGGACGACGGCGGTGAGCTGCAGACTGATGCGACGGAAGATGGCGTCGTATTGGGCTAACTTTCCATCTTTGTCGTAGCGAGTGAACGAGTCGATTTGGATAGGGGTCGTAACACCCGAAGCAAGGTGCTTGAGGTTGACGATGACGGATGTCGACGCAACGTTGTCAGCGGTAACGAACTCGGAGAACGTGTAGTTGACGGGGACGGGGATGAGGGTGAACTGCGTGCTCGTGGTGGGTCCGACAAAGAGACCGAACAGGTACTCAATGTTGAGTTCCTTGCCATCGAAGTTGCGCGTGATGTCAACGCGGCCCTTCATGTTCTCGGCGAAGATGCCCTCGGGGTCCTTTCCCTTGACCACCTCGACGTTCCTGGGGTAGATGAAGCTGTCCCAGAACTTTTTCACGGCCTGGAAGTTCTTGTTCTTCGAGGCTTTCTTGAGAGCTGCGGCTTCCATGACCTTGTACTTGACAACATCGACGGTAGGCGCGGCTGGGGCGGCTGTGACGACCTTGGTCGTGGTGGCTGCGGGCGTGGTGGTGGTAATGACCGCGGCGTTGACAGTCCATGCGGACGCGAAGACCAGCGCGGTGACGGAAGAGAACTTCATGTTGACGGTAGACGAGGAACAAATGAAGTAGGAAGGTTATGAAGTTGTGTTGTTCGAGAGAGGGATCTGTTGGGCGGGCCTCTCTTTATAGGCGCGCGGGCAAGGCTCAAGCCATTCTCTCAGACCCCGCGGCGGGCCTTTCGCGCAGACCAAACATTCCAGACCACTACAAGTCTGTTCGTAGCAGTCTTGCGTCCATTCTCGCTTTCCCACCCATTGAAGCCAGTTTGCGGAAGCCCGAGGCCCGCTTTTGGGCACATAGGCGCTGTTTTACAGCGGCTTCATCCACTTCGTCTCCGTCTCCCAGAAAAAAATGCAGTAGATCATAGCCTAGATGCACCATCGCAGCCATCGAGCGCCAATGCACGGTTTTGAATGTATATAGGCACTCACGGGGACAGGGGAAGGGTTTGCACAAATTTCGAGTAATGCGGAAATGCAGGTTTGAGGCGTCGAGACAGGCCCAAAATACGCTTTTTATGTCCCCCACGTAGAAAATTATCCATTTCAGAGTCGGGAGGCAAAGACGGAGTTAGATACGGAAACCCAGCTTGAGCCTGGATCGACAGATACGGATATCCATATGGCGATTCTACTGTTTTGAGCCACCCGAGTCCCGACTACTGCGACTACTAGGCCCTGGCCCCGCCTCTAATCTCGTTATTTTTGGGCTTCCGACACCAACTTTTCTGCCGTTACTCTCGTACAACGCCAACCGGACGCAGATAACGTTTCTTGTTGCTACTTCCCCGGTGTTTCGGTATTGACAGCCTGAGATTCGTTCTTTCGCAGAGAAGAAAAGAAGCTGGACGCGTTTCAAGTAAGCCGTATATACTGTATACAGAAGCCGACGCGTTCTCTCCTCGTCGACGATAACTTCGAGTCGGGTTTCCCCCCAATATGACTTGTATTAAGGAAAAGCCCACGAACATCCCCAGCCCCAGTATACTACGGAAGGTATAGGACAGCCACTCTGACATTTACGACACGTGATGGAATCGTCCTGAGCAGGCGTGAGAACGAGCGGGAGCAAGATAAGAGACACAATTCGCCAAGCAGAGACATTATAGTCCAGACCGCTGTAAATAGCGGTGAATACGAGAGCAAGATCTTATAGCACAGCACTACTCCAATGAACGGAGATAGGTCATGCCTCCCCTTTGACGAGGTTAAGAATGATGAACCCGAACAGGAAGAATATCCCAGCCTGCATCAGGGGTAGGGAGTCCTTTACGGCGCATAGCACAACAATACCCACTTCAACTAAACGGGTGTATCTTACACCTCCTTTTGACAAAATCAAGAATGATAAACCCCAACAGCTAGTCAGAACCCAGCCTCAGCAGGGAGTACGATTCCTCTCCAGCCTGCTGAAGCTGGATTCCGGCAACTTTGCACCACGTCGAGTTAGGTGAACTGCAACGCTCAGACCCGTTGGCGATCGGTGTCAAGTCGCAGAGTTCTCCTGTTCCAGTGCAATTAGCAAATCTTCAGAGTTCCGGATTGCTGGAAGTAGACTCCCCTTTCCCCGCACTTAGCGATGGGATGTACATCGCACGTGGCGTCTGGGGGAAATCGGTAGCTCTTGAGCATCACAGCTTTGCCTCTATGAGCAAATTACTCGCACTTCGCGGAAACGGAAGGTGGAAATGAGTGAAGTGTGATGTCGTCCTGCTCGCGAACATTATGATGTGCGCATTTCTCAATGTTAGGAATGGTGGAAAATCCGAGCGCAACACAAACTGACTTGAGTAATCGCCCTCATCTTCGAGTTTAGCGAACAAATCCTTGCGATATAGATGCAGTGGCGGAACAGTGGTGTCAATCTCTTCGCAGTTTTTGCGTAGGCGGAAGAGAGCGGTAGGTGCTGTTTCCAGCCGAAGCTTTGCCTGCACCTTCTCGCAACCTTATTAGCGTTGTCTTCTGAGACATTAAGGCTCGAGACACGCCTAGACCCGTCATAGATGCGAATAGTCTTTTGCTGAGACATTCTTTGTGGGTGAGTAGAGAGCAGCCAAACCTCAGGTGCACCCGAAAGGAATATGGGAACTTCCACGCGCTAACCTAGTGAAATTTCCCTTGAGTACAAATGAAAACCGGACAAAACAAGAGGGGCAGATACTTGCGGGCTAAGAGGGCGATACTCACAACGCAGAGCTCTTATATGTTCACCGTTAAGTCCGTTTCGCTTCGCCTTTTTTCGGCATCAAGTATTTTCTGAAAGAGCAGTGAAGCCGGAGTTTGTGACATCAACAGCGCGAGTTCAATTGTAAGTCATGTGACGGACAATGCTGTGTCACGTGCTGCGGAAAGAAAGAGCGGTCTGGCAGTTTTCTTCGAGCGCCCTCACCCAAATACGTTTTCTCCTCCTATCGCTATTGACGAATCTCGCTGCAACCCTCGGGGAGATCATAACCATGCCTTTCGTCAAGCAAGTTAAGAACAAGGCCTACTACAAGCGGTACCAGACCAAGTACCGTCGTAGGAGAGAGGTACGAATTAGACACTCCCGCGTCGGAATTAGGGCTTGGGAAAATCGAGAAGCGGGTGGAATGGAATTGCGTCCTGGAACCTACGCCTGACATCGACTTTGTTGCATGGGAATTGTAGGGAAAGACGGACTACTATGCGCGTAAGCGTTTGGTAACCCAGGCGAAGAACAAGTACAACTCGCCCAAGTACCGTCTCGTTGTCCGTATCACCAACAAGGACATTATCACCCAAATTGTCTACGCCAAGCTCCAGGGTGATGTTGTTCTCGCTGCTGCTTACGCTCACGAGCTTCCCCGCTTCGGCATCAAGCACGGTTTGACCAACTGGGCTGCTGGTGAGTTTTCGGGAGTTGTGTGCGAAAAGGGTTGGAATGGCAGAAGTGGGAACTGATGGGTTATGTTTTTCGCTGTTGATAGCCTACGCCACCGGTCTGTTGCTTGCCCGTCGTGTGCTCAACAAGCTCGGCCTCGACAGCAAGTACGAGGGTCAGACCGAGCCCGATGGTGAGAAGTACGAGGTTGAGGACATCGACGATGGACCCAGGCCCTTCACCGCCTTCCTTGACACCGGTCTCCGTCGCTCCACCACCGGTTCCCGTATCTTCGGTGTCCTCAAGGGTGCCGCCGACGGAGGTCTCCGTGTTCCTCACAGCGAGTCCCGTTTCCCCGGATGGGACGGCAAAGAGCTGGACGCCGAGCTTGTCCGCAACTACATCTTCGGTCGTCACGTCGCCGACTACATGGAGTACCTCCAGGAGGAAGATGACGAGGCCTACAAGCGTCAGTTCGCCTCTTTCATCGAGGACGAGATCGAGGGTGATGACCTCGAGGACATCTACTCTGGTGCCCACGCCAAGATCCGCGAGGACCCGTCCCCCGAGAAGAAGGAGCGCAAGCCCATGACTGCCGAGGACAAGAAGAAGCAGCACGGCAAGTACTTCAAGACGCGCCTCAACCTCAAGCAGCGTCGGGACCGCGTCAAGCAGAAGAAAGACGCTTTCTTGCGCAAGCTTGGCCAGGAGGCCGACGAATAAGCGTCTCTTTCTGGGGATTTCATTATACAGAAGAGTCTCTTTCGTTCCGTTGCGCAATATATACTCTAGGGAACCAACATATTCCCGCACTTCATCACACTGTCCCCATAACCTTTTTGATTACTGTCTTTTGACATCGTGATTTCACATTTACACCTTCGCATTGTTCGTTCAAGCCTCTCCGCAGAATCAGTGAGCTGGTTACTGAGTAGTTGCATCAGAGACTTCCATTCAAAAATGGGCACTTCATTTGAGCAGCCTCTCTCCCATCTAGCAGCTCCCCATACGGCAATCTACCCTCCGCCTTCCATTCATCCAGTATCTTATGCGCCGACGGCGCCAGCAAATCCGAATGCATCCTCTCCCTATCCCCAAAAACCTGCCACCCCACCAACCCGTCCGTAATATGCTGCTGCACGATCCCGACAACCTCCTCCTCACTCAGCTTCGGCGAGCAGTAGTATACCCCCTCCCCTTCCTTCTCCGTCCCCGTCGCAGCTAAGAAGTATTGGACGAACATGTTGTCGCGGGCGGGCATGTGTTCGCCCTGGACTACGATATGCAGTTTCTTGCCATGTAGTGTTTCTACGTGCTCGGAGAGAATGGAGCGGAGGGCGGCGTCCATGGCCAGTAGACAATCTTGCGTAGCGTCCCACATGTTGCGCGAGAAGGTCTGCCGGAGCGACCGGATGTACGTGCTTACATCGTCTTTCGTCAGCACACCCTTTCCTTCAAATTCACTCCCATCCTTCTCAACAATTACAACCCGCTCTTCCCTCGTCTCCCCACCAACAACCCCCTCCAACAACACCACAGTCCTCCGCACCAACTCCAAATTCCTCTCCCTCTGCTCCTCACTCAAACAATACCCCCCACCGTCCCGCATCGTCCTCTCAACATCCCTCGCCCCCTCCCAAACCCTCCTCAACGCCGCCCTTGCCTGACGGTGGTCAATGTCCCCCGCGATGGCGGCGAGGATTGCCAACGGGATGTGGCAGAGGGATTTGAGCTCGTGGAAGAGGGGGATGTGGAGGGTGTGTGTTGTGCGTGTTAGGTGCGGGTGGGGGGTGAGGGAGGGATGTTGTCTTTGTTGGGATGCGCAACCATTTGTTGAACGGCGGGTGGGACTTGTGGGGAGGCAAAAAGATCCCCTCCTCCCCTGTGTTGTCATCCCCGCCGTGTCATCCTCAACCAGTCCAACAGACGCAGGCCGCGGGCTAGGCAACGACAACAGGATAAACTCATTCCCTTTGAGGATCAGCACGGATTCTTTTGACCAGTTCAGGGCGCGGGATTTGAGGGCGGCGTATTGGGTGAGGAATTCGGCGTCGAGCTTGGAGAGGGGTGTTTGCTGGGAGGAGGTTGGTGTGCTGTTTGTTGTGCCCATTTCTGAAGGGGGTTTTGGGTGGAATGCTATATGATCTTGCGGTTTTTGCGTGGGATCCTGAAAGCAAGTGGGTTGGAAAAAGTGGGAGGAAAGGCGTGAGGAGGGACGCAAGGAGCGCAAGGGGACTCTCCAGGTTCAACTGGCCTCCTTGAACATTTCACCACCGTCCGACCCTGCACAACTTCAGCCTTCACCTGGCGCGCGCACGCCGGTGTCAGAATCACTTTAACGAGGACCTGAAACGTGCGCAAGAGCTTTAGCTTGAGGGACGATCCCGAGATCGAGGACCCGCGGCTCGAAGAAGACCTGGCCGAGCAACATCTCTTTTGCTGACGATCTGAGACGGCCGGAAGAGCTCTGGCGCCAAACGGACCCCGACAGTTGAAGGAGAAACAACCGAAAGAGCGTCCGTCGGAAGGAGGGGCAGCGGGTCAACGAAGAACTGGCTGAACAGCTCCGAATCGTTGGATAGACGCTGGGTTGGAAGAACGCCTCGCCAAGAATCGCTGGATAGCCGAAGCTAGCGCAAGAGCGGCAGCCTAAGGAGCACGTCGGGGACTGATGCCAGGGACATCACACACAATGCAAACCGAAGCTAATCCCCCAGAGGCCGACTTCAACAACCACTTACGAACCGCCGAGTCCCGAAACAGGGAAGCGGCAGCCGCATCCCCTCCAATCCCAATCCTCTTCCTCCGCCAAAAAGGCTCACCGCTAAGCGCCTCAACAGACGACATCTCCCCAACAGTACACTCCCCTCCAGCGCCGGACAAATACGCTGCAGCATTCAGCCTACCCATTTTCGATTCCCACTTCCTTCCGGTTCTATCACATGACGATACCATCAACCTAGATGCGCTGACGACGATCTTACGGACACGTTCGTCCGAATTCTGCGCCGTCATTGCGACGAGTCAGCGGGCTGTTGGCGCGCTGATCAGGGCTTTGGAGAGGTGCTCAAACCAGGGAGGGACTGAGGACAAAGTGATAGCGACATGGCGCACCAAGCCGGTTTATGTTGTGGGAAAGGCAACAGCGTCTGCTGCTCTCGACGCCGGGCTTTTCACAATAGGTGGGGACGCCGGGACGGCTGCTACGCTTGCTGAAATGATCATCAAACATGGATGTCATGGGACGATACAGGCCGGGAACCATGTGCAACCCAAGCATCTGTTCTTGGCCGGTGACAAGGCCAGGGACGTCTTACCCATCCGGCTAAGCGAAGCAGGTGTCGCGTATGAGCAGATAGTGGTGTACGAGACCAAACCCTCCGCCACATTCCATGCCGATCTGGACAATATCCGCTTGGAGACTGGCGCAGGACAAAGACCATGGGTTGTCTTTTTCAGTCCGTCAGGGGTGGATGTTGCATTGGAGGCGATACGGAAGTCTCCGGTTTGGGGCGAGGCGAGGGTAGCGTCGATTGGACCGACAACGAGTCGACGGCTTTGGGAGGTGGGGCTAGTGGTTGATGCGGAGGCGGGGAGGCCGGGGCCTGAGGGGTTGATGGAGGTCGTTCGATGTGCTCTGGGGGGGCGGAATAGAGATGATTTACCCTAACGTTTCTACCCAAGTTGCGAGTAGAAGCTCCCGTGATGTGGCCGGTGGGTGGGATAACTTACACACGGCGGCGAACCTATTAGTTTTAGCGCATGTCATGGCGGCTCATTTGAGATTTCACTCCCACGGTCTTCCTTTGCTGCGGCCATATCAGAGTAGAATCTGGGTTTGAGCAACGCCGACATAAAAGACGTACTGTATCTTATGAAAGGGATTGGGGTTTGCAAGAATGAAGGCTTATCGCGCGCGTCGGTGACATCATCATCAGGACGCGCTGCCATTCATTGTTCCCTTCCAAGTTCACACTGCTGGCTCCATTCCTCCCCCCAACGTCGCCATCTTCCCTGGCAATCGTGCGCAAACAAGTAAGTCTCGAAAGCAGAGGAGAACGGACCCAGAGTGCGAGAGACGGCCAGCTCTCACTGCTGCTCAGTGTGCCTTCCCACCACTCACACGTTCATTCCATCGCGAATCACCTCATTGCAGCTTTCTAGTTCCCAGTTTTCTTCTCCCTCAATCACGGCAGACATTGCGTCAACGCCGACAACCAAGTTTGCGTTTGCCCGCCAAAGAATAGATTAGAGCTAGCACACCAGGCCAACCGCTCCCCTCGCCACTCCCCTTCGCCACACCATGTCCAAATCTACAACTTTCCGCCCAATCCTCCGCGCGTGGAAACGCTACCTCGAGCTCCTCGAAGAAAAGCCTCTCCAAACCAAGGCCCTCTCCGCGGGCGCCATCGCCGTAGCAGGCGATGTCATCGCTCAAAAAATTGACACCTCCCCCGACCACCCCAACTGGGACCCCAAACGCACAGCACGGCTCGGCCTCTACGGCATGGCGCTGAGCGCGCCGCTGACCCATGGGTGGTATAAGGTCCTCGACAAACGGTTGGGCGTCGGGATGGATCTGACGACGAGTCTGAAGAAGGTTGCGGCGGATCAGGTTCTTGCTGCAGCGCCCTTCACGGCTTTGTTCTTTGTGTGCAACTCAGCTATGGAAGGCGCGTCGGGGAAGGAGATCAAGCATCGGTTGGAGACCAATCTGTGGCCTACGCTCAAGGCGAATTGGGCGGTGTGGCCGGCGGCGCTGGCGATTAATTTCAGATATGTGCCGTTTAAGTTGAGGGTGTTGGTGGTCAATATCTTGGGATTGGGTATGTGTGTTTGGTTGATCATCCCCGTTTTGGTGCTACTCTTCTCCTATTGAACTCCATCCCTCCACCAGGCTGGGGAACTTACCTCTCGGTTGTGCAACACCGCCAGCATGCCCATACCAACGTCCATCCCAAGCTTCCAGACCCATACCCGAAAGACTCTCTCCCCGTTCCGCTCTACCCACCTGGGAACATCAAGGAGGTTTGAACACTTTGTCATAGACAGCTTAGCACCTCATATTTGTACATCATACATGCCGGCTCGGTTTCTTGGCCCCCGTAGCTCTTATGATATGAGACTCATCCCTTTTTTGTTTTCGGAACCTTGCTGGTAACCGAGTTAGCCCCCACCTTTTGTGCGCTGTCCTTTCGTCCATTACATTTCCAGCGGTTTCAGTGCAGAAGGTACGAATGTCAGGCCCGCTCTTATGTCGTCTTTGCTGCACTTATATATACCTTATTTCGGTGGAGAAAAGAAGGATGGGTCGCGTGGAAGGGGAGAAACGCGAGTCGTGACGTGGGATTTCTGGACTTGTGCAAGCGCCCAGTCTGGACGACTCTTCGGTGGAATCACGCCGACCGAAAAGAGTTACATTCCACGTCAAACTGCAAACATGGACCCTTACCTCTATGCGGTCACCGCAAGAAGGGCAGACTCCGTGTCTCATGTCCTGAAGGGCAACATCACCGGTCCAACCGACGTGAACGTTGTCGTGAGGTGGGTGATCTCCGAACGTTCGAAAGGTCCCTCCCTACTGAGAGGCGAGCTGACCATCCTCTTCCTCGTCACAGCAAGTTCACCCATATTGAGATATACATTCTGGAGCCGGTCGGGGATGAGAATGAGAATGAGAGGGACTTGCGCTTGGTTTTGGATGCGCCCATCTATGGGCGGGTGACGACGGTCAATAAGTGCCGGCTGCCGGTAGGCCTCATGCCCGAGAACCTCATAGTTCGCAAAGGAGACAGTGGACTCATCCCCAAATCCCCCAGGGCGCGACCATCGATTCACTAGTCATATCCACCGAACGCCACCAATTCATCGTCGTCACCTACGACCCACAAACCAACTCACTAAAAACAGAGATAGTAGACGACGTGAAAGACCCCAGCGCCCGCGACAACGATTACGAGCACATGTGCATCATCCACCAGGGGATGCATCTGGCGGCCTTGCACGCCTACCAGGGGCTGTTGAAGATTATCGGCATCGGCGGCAACCCGAAGAAATATCCGAATGCGCGGAAGAAAAGGAGGCTGGTGGAGGCTGTCGGAGTGAATCTGAGGTGGGCGCCCAATCAGTTTGTGCTCTATAAACGACACGTGAAGGGACTAAAAGGGACGTGTAGATTAGAGGAATTGTCGATCCTGTCCATACAGTTCCTGCTCACGGATGCAGAGGACAGCGGAAAACCTGTGCTGGGTGTTTTGTACCAGGACGCGAAGGCGAATAGGCATTTCAAGACTTATGTTGTGGATCTGGGACGGGCGGAGCTGAAAGAGTATACCCTGATGGCACGGAATGTGGAGGCTAATGCGAAGATGATGATACCTGTCCCGAAAGCCAGCGGTTGGTGCGGCCGATAACTGAGTGACCTAGTCGGAGGAAGCTGATTGAAATTGCGACTAGGCGGAGGTGTGATGATCGTCGGAGAGCAAACCTTAACCTTCGTCAACCCGGGGGGAACTATGAGCGTACCGATACGACCGACAGTCATGCAATGGTCAGTGTCTTCACTTTGTGCATGGCTCGCGTGTCACTTTGCCTGAATACTCGGAAGCATAGTTGGGATATGCTCGACGCGGAAGGCACCCGCTATCTTCTAGGCGACTACACTGGCCAAATATGGGTCGTGGCACTCACGGTAGAGAACGGGCAGATGAAAGACGTCGCCATCGACCCTTTAGGGGAGGTTCGTGCCAGTCATCCCATACCCTCAATCGACTAGAAGCCCGCCGCTAACAGGAGCCTGATCTACCAGACGTCAATCCCGTCCGCAATAGCATACCTATCCCACAGCTACACGTTCGTCGGGTCACACTTCGGAGACTCGCAGCTGGTGCAACTGTCGCAGCAGCCCAACGGCAGGGGGAATTTCGTGGAGGTTGTCCGGGATTTTCAGAACTTGGCACCAATTACGGATTTCTGTGTTGTGGATGTTGAGAAGCAAGGGCAGGTAACAAATGTTCTTGGTGTTTAGGTAAATGTAGGAGGGACGGCTGATTTTAAGTTGACAGGGCCAAGTCGTGGCATGCTGTGGCGGGTACAAGGATGGATCACTACGCGTGGTCCGAAACGGGGTGGGGATCGAAGTCCTGGGATCGTTGAACGATGTACCGGATTTGACGGGGATATGGTCGTTGCGATCGTCGTTTGACTCAAAGTGAGTGAGCAGATGCCCACATGGACTGCTTGCCGGACGATTTGTGTTGACTTGGTCTTCGTAGAGTCGACGACGCATTAGTGCTTTCATTCGTGGGCGAAACGCGGCTGCAGGCGAAAGACGAGGAAGGCGATCTTGGGCCCGTTGAGGGGGCTGATTGTGGGGGATTTCGGGTTGGGGAGAGTACCCTGGCGTGTGGGAATATTGTGGGGGACCGGATTGTACAGGTGAGGCGTTCGCAGGGTCGAAGAATATGGAGTGCACGCGAAACTGGATACTGAGACAATGTGATCGCAGGTGACATCAACCACAGTCCTTGTGTTGGCCTGCAAGACATGGCAGCTTCTCTTCACTTGGTCGCCACCGAACGGCATGCGCATTCATCATGCCTCAATCAATCCAACACAAGTACTACTGGGTTTGTCAGAGGGCCATTTGGCGTACCTGGAACCCGACGGTACGGGATTGCAACTCAAGAGGTCGGTAAAAAGTTAACCGTCCCGCAAAAAAGACTATGATTCACCCTTTATTCCACAGCCAAACTAAACTGGAATACGAAATCTCATGCCTCAACATTAACCCCCTGGAATCTAAATCGGGCCACCGGGCGGATGTTGCGATTGTGGGGCTTTGGACGGATATGAGTATACGCACTTTGGAGCTTCCTAGTCTCAATGTCATCGAGAAGCAGATATTGGAGTCTGGTGAGCAAGCATGCGTTAAATCATGGAGATTGCTGCATAATGGTCTGATATGTTTTTGCCAGGCATGATTCCGCGATCCGTGCTTTCTGTAACCATGGGAGCTGCCGACTTCATCATGGCGGCGTTAGGTCAGTTGCTGAACGATGGAGTCTAATCCCCCGCCCTTTGGCTCATCTATTCCTGGCAGGCGACGGACATCTGTACATATTCCAATTCGACGCCACGAACCGAAGACTAGGTCAAAAGAAGAAAGTCTCCCTGGCCAGCCACCCGATCTCCCTGTGCGCTTTCAAATCGAACGGCAACACTTGCGTCTTTGCTGCGTCTGATCGCCCGACTGTGATTCATTTGAGTAATGAGAAGTTGTTGTACTCGCCTGTTAACCTCAAGGTGACTTTCGATCCCGTCCATTCTACTGTCAGAAACTTGATCTAACAACCCCTCCATCAATCCACAGGAAGTAACCCACATGTGCGCCTTCTCATTCGACGCCGAAGCCCTCGCTCTCGTCACAGAAGGCTCCCTAAAAGTTGGCACAGTAGAAGCGATCCAGAAATTACACATCAAGAAGATCCCACTCGGGGAAGTCGCCCGTAGGATTACTCATCAGGAGCAGTCCGGCACGTTTGGGATCTTGACCATGAAGACTGTGCAGGATGAGAGCGGGCTGGATGAGGAGGAACGCTCGTTTGTGAAGGTTTTGGATGATCGGACTTTTGAAGGTATCAAGTTTGTTCCGTTCCATGGTTGATGTGGAGAACGTTCCTCTGATACACCTTTTTTCTCCAGAACTGGATGCACACCGATTCGACACCTTCGAATCCGTCGAGTCCATCATCTCCATAACATTCAACGACGACGATAAAGAGTTCTACTGTGTAGGCACCGCCCTTGTCTTACCGGAGGAGGACGAACCTACGAAAGGCCGCATTACCGTCTTTGAGGTCACTCCGGAGCGAAAGCTGAGGATAGTGGCGCAGGTTGAGACCAAGGGCTGCGTGTACTGCCTTGCGACGGTTTCTGGGCGGTTGTTGGCGGGTGTGAATAGTCAGGTTTGTGTTCTGAATTACACACAATCGTGGATGTGGGCAAGTCGACCAGCCTGCTAATTTTCCGGGTTGACTCCACAGGTCCAACTCTACAAATGGGAAAGCTCCACCGACACCACACCCCCCACCCTCACCCTCAAATCCACACACCACGGCAACACTCTCGTCTACGCCCTCGCCGTCCGCGGCGACTTCATCCTCGTCGGCGACCTCATGAAATCCATGAACGTGCTCTCCTTCACCCGTGACGAAGAATCCATCGACCTGATCGCCCGCGACGCCGCGACGAACTGGATGACCGCCGTCGCGGCGCTCGATGATGATTTGTATATCGGGAGCGACCATAATTATAATTTGTTTATGGTTAGAAAGCAGAGCGATGCGGCGTTGGAGCATGAGAGGAGGCGGTTGGTCGGGTGTGGGTGGTTTCATGTGGGGGAGCAGATTAATCGGTTGAGGCATGGTGGGTTGTTGTGCTGACCTGTTAAATCGATCGCGTCGTTCACTCATCCTCGTCTTTGGCGCATTGCACAGGATCCCTGGTGATGAACATCGTAGACCACGAACCCATCGCCAAGCCGCTGCTAGTCTACTGCACCGCGGCCGGCGGGCTGGGCATCCTCGCTGCAGTAGACAAAAAGACACACGCCTTGCTTGAAGGCGTCCAGGAGAACATGAGCGCTATTGTGAGGCGGGTGGGCGATTTACCGCATGAGAAGTACGTGTTCCGCGTTTTCCATCCTCTCCTTATCAGATTCCCCACCATTCAGCGCGCCGCTTGTCTCGAGAGCGGCTTGACTAACGCTCCTCATGTCTCCCGATTCAGATGGCGCCGCTTCGACGACCACCGCGGCCACATCCGCTCCAGCTCCAACTTCCTCGACGGCGACCTCATCGAGCAGTACCTCGACCTGCCGCGCGAGCTCAAGGAGGCCGTCGTCAAGGGCACGCGAACGAATTCCGCGGGCTCTGTGGCGGCGACGAATATGGTTGATGATGAGATGCTGTCCCCGAGGGAGGGGGGTGCGTTGAGGAGGCTGGATGTGGGTGTGGAGGAGCTGGTGAGGATTGTGGAGGAGTTGAGTAGGGTCCATTAGGGGTAACTAGCGTGCCCCGTGCGGGCAGCGACGAGGGGATAGGTATGAGGTTTTGTGAGTAGTTTTTGCAGTATCAGGGTAGGCTTGCGCACGAACGAATTAGCCGGCGTATTTCCCTCCGTTGCCATTCATCGGGAGAGTTTTGATCGTGAGAAAAAATATGAATAAATCAAAACTGTAGCATACAACATGTGGGGATAAATATGATATCTACGTGAAACGGCAAATCAGCTCGCCGAGGGCTATTACGAGCACCTATCTGCTACATACAACCAACGCCGCACGGATAGTTTACTTTCTCCGCTTCTTGCCCGCCTTCGCGGCCCTCTTCTCCGCCCTCATCTCCTTTTTCATCCTCGGATCAACCATCTTATACCGTCCCTTAACCCCCTTCGGCCGCCCCTGTTTCCCGCGGTTCAATCCACGGGCAACAACAAGCGTCGGTTTCTTCTTAACATCCGCCTTCGCCTTCGCCCTCCGTTTCAGTTTGGACACCTCCAGCAACTTAGACTTCTCCGTCAACTCCCCACCCTCATCATCCATCACATTACTCGCCTTCTTCTGCATCTTCTCCAACCTCCGTGCAGTCCGCATCTGTTTCCTAAACTTTGCCTCAGCAACCTTCTTAATTGGTCGGGCATCCAGGGCACGTTGCTTCTGTTTGATGATGGCGACGGCTTCCTTTGTGATGGGGAGAGATGGTTTGTTGTGGCGGTTTTCTTCCTCGACGAACCAGGCGGGGAGGTTGTCTGGATCGTTGTGGGCGAAGCGGTTGTAGGCTTCGTCGATGACGTCGCGTTTGCCGGATTTGCGGAGCATGCGCTGGGCGAGGGTGTAGGCTTCGGCGGTTGTGATGGCGAAGTCGTCTGTTGATTGGAAAGATAATGACCGTTTAGAATTCACACATATTGAAGCCGGATTGTAAGTTGTGATTTGAGATGCTTACCAGTCGGCTGCCCATTCGCGTCCAACCCAGCCGGCACAACCTCAAACCCAGCCCCACCAGCCTCCTGTTCGCTATCACTCTCATCACCAGTGAACCCCGAGTTCTTCTTGCCCTTTGCTTTCCGCTTAGGCACAGAATCCTCATCGTCAGTGCTATCATCATCAGCGGCCGTCATCTCCTTGGCGAAGAGGCCTGCCTTTTCAGGCTTGCCGTTCGCCTTCTGTGGTTTCTTCACGGGCTCCTCGAGGGATTTGAAGAGTGGGTTGTCGAAGAAGGTTCTGGCGCGCTTCGACAGCGATTTTGTCTCGATGACGGCTTCTTCTTCCTCCTCTGGCTCTATTGCTGCTGAGGCTTTCCGCTTCTTTCCCTTCGCGACAGCAGGCTTGGGTGCTGGCTCGTCAATTTCCATCGCATCCTCGTCCTCGTAGTCTTCACTGTCATCAGTGCTATCGGAATCCGCCGTACCAGGCACCGCATCCGGGTTACTCTGCTTGCTATCAAACTCAATCCCGTACCACTCCTCGAACGCCTTGGCGCCTTCTTTCGCTTTTCGCACTTTCGCGCTCGGGTCCCTCTCTAACCGCTGCTCGCAGAACTTCTCGTAGAGATCGTCGAGCTGCGACTCCATTGCGTTGACTTTCCGCTTGACGTCTTCGTCGGAATCGTATTCCTCGTCGTCGTCTTGCGCATCGTCTTCCGAATCATCATAGTCTCCCTCGGATTCGTCGTCCGTGAGCATGAGATCCGCGGCAGCCTGTTCAGCGGCGACCATCGCTCTTGATTTCTTCATCTCGTCCGCTGGCAGCCCGTTCAAGTGGAACAGGGAGCCGTCGTCGTTGATGTTGTCCGTGCCCAGACCGCCAGCCTCGGCACTGGCGTCAAGACCGATATCGCTCGGTGTGCCCATTCCGAGACGGAACTTGAGGAGCTGCTTGGCTTTGCGCTCGCGGGCTTTGCGCTTCTCACGCTTCAGCCGGGCTGCAACGACCTTTGACTCCTCGTTCAGGCGCTCTGCTAGTGTCTCGGGGTCGTCGGGCTGCTCGTTTTCCTCTGGAGCCTTCTCTGCATCTTCCTCCTTCTTCTTTGCGAGCCCCAGATCCAGCCGGAGAGCATCGCGCCACTTCAGTAGATCTTTGAAGTCTTTCTTGCCCAACACCTTCAGATCCTTACAGCATTGCTTGATTTCTTCTGTCGTGATCGGGTGTTCCCCTATCGACCTGCTGAAATCGTCGGTGTCGAATCTCAACTCGTTCGAGCTCGTCAAAGCCGTCAAGAAGTCGGGACCTTTGATGAAGTCTCCGATGCTGTTGGCGATGTGGAGAGTGTAGTCCCCGTCCGCGTAACCACTACGATGTCTACGACGTTTTTCCGGGTGGAACAAATCGTTCAGCAACGCTCCCTGGCGTTCCTTCTTCTTCTTCTCGTCCATATCCTCCTCAGCTACATCGTCAACTTCCTTGAAGACGTACTTCGGGTCCAGCAAACGAGGGTCGATCTTCTTCGGTGCCTTGAACTCTCGGCACACGACGAAGATTTCGGCGGAGACATTACGAGACGAAGCGGGCTTCGTGGCCTCGACTTTCTCGAAGAACTGGTTGAACACCCAGATCAACTTGTTGTAATCTTTCGACCTGAAGACTTTGCTGACAAAGACACCGCCAGGCATCAAGAACTCGGTGGCGAGTTTCAGCGATGCTAATACTAGCTCGGATTGCGTGAAGGCATCCTGAAGCCATGAAGTACCGACATTGGGAGCTCCATCGTGCAAGAAGCTGGAAAAGAGACATGAGAGTCAGTCCACAAGAACGAACATCGCCACAATTCCGTCGCATGGCGTCCCAATACTCACACATCAGCCTTCCATGTTTTCAGCTCCTTCTTCAGCGTTGCTCTACACTTCTGCGTTGTGATATCCTCTACATGGGTGATAACTCCCGGAATGGGCTTTATAGCCGCCAAATCGAGACCAACGATAATGTTCGGCTTGGGCATATACTTTGAGGCGACCTGCAGCCAACCACCGGGGGCGGCACAAAGATCAACCAAGCATTTCGATTTCTCCAAGAAGTTGTACTTTTTGTTCAGCTGAATGAGCTTGAAGGCGGAACGGGCACGGTAACCCTGTTCCTTTGCCATATAGTAGTACTTGTCCAAACGCCCTTTGGCGAACTTCTTTTTCGTACCCATGGCTGCCGAAAGGTATCAGTAGAACGGTGGGAAAAAGGTGTAGCGGAGAGAAAACTGAAAACGGGGGAATGGTGGGCCCCAGAAGCGCCGCAATGTCGTACAGGTGGCAAAAGAAGAGCCTGTTCGTCCGTAGCTCCTCCGGAACAGTAGCTCACAATGAACCGCTTGTCCCTCCTGGCAGTCTGCAACCAGAGTACTTTGAGAAACCGCAAAAAGTACGACTTGACCAGCACAACTGTGAGAAGGGAGGAGCGTGGGAAGAGCAACTTTTGGGATCTGCGACCGAGAATCACAGTCACGTGATTAACGATAAGTCTCTGATGCGGGCTGGAAAAAATTAAGCGACGCGAGCAGGATTTGAACCTGCGCCCGCAGAGCGGAGTAGATTTCTAGTCTACCGCCTTAGACCACTCGGCCATCGCGTCTTGATGGAATCCGGGTCGTTCAGAGTACCTGTGTCCCTTAATGTACCGTTACGCGAACTCCCGTCACCGCCTTCTCGAAAAACGTAACGCGTCAAACAACAATCCCCGACCCCAATCCTATATTTTTGGCAACCCACACAATTGAGGAAGAAGCTTCTTCGTTTTCTAGAAACCCCACGTGGGCAATCCCCCTCTGAGGGTTCTCCGTCGATGAATAAGGCGCCTTGTCCATGTACACAACCAAATGCTGGTTGGAGAGACCGCTATTGTTGAGGAGGTAGCAACTGGAAAACGATAAAAGGGACCTGCCAGTGGACACTTCGCACCCCAATCAACTCACTTTTCCTTCTACTCTTCACGGTTCCGAGTTTGCCAAACCACAGACGGAACTTCGTTATACCCACTAATCATCATCTCAACACCCTCAACCATGGCACATCAATATCAGGACGTTGCGTTGTCTCCTGTCGCGAATCAGAAGGAAGGCATGGAGAGGGAAATCGATGCGTATGCTGAACATATTCGAAACATGCTAGCAGACGTCGAGGCGCTCAGGCCGAAGGTAGGTCTAAAAGATCTTGTGAAGCGCAAGCGTGAATTGTACGAGCCACTAACGCCGAACATCGTATAGTACATCCCAATCACAAAGGACAACTTCTTCGAGAATCTTCAAGACGGGGCCGTGCTCGCATACATTGTGAACACTATCAAGCCCAAAACCATCAACATCGCAAAGATCAACACCTCTATCGACCCGGCGCATTTGAACTCCTCCGCTGCAACCAAGGGCAACACGAGCGCGACACCGGAGCAGACAAAGGGGCTCTTTGAAGCTACCAACAACCTGAACATAGTGATTGAAGCCGCCAAAAACGTCGCGGTGGTGGTGAACGTCGCCGCGGAAGATTTCCTGCGCAAAAAGCCTGATCTTGTCCTCGGAATCATCTGGCAGCTTATTCGCGCACATCTCCTCAGCGATATCAATGTGCCTTCCCATCCGGAACTGATCAGGCTGCTGCAGCCAGGTGAGAGTCTGACGCAGCTGATGGCGTTCACGAACGAGCAGCTGTTGTTGAGGTGGTTCAACTACCACCTCGAAAGGGCCGGGACGGATAAACGAGTCGCGAACTTTGGGAAGGATGTTTCGGATAGTCATGCGTACATGCTGCTTCTCCAGCAAGTCGCCCCGACAAACAAGCGCAATACCATCGTGGACGCCCTGAACGCCGCGTTCGCGCTGCCTGCAGATGACAAGGAGGCCCGCGCACGAGCCCTGCTGGACGCCGCGGAGACACTAGGTTGCCGTCGCTTCGTAACCGCCTCCGACGTCGCGCACGGCCACGCACGTCTTAACCTCGCCTTCGCCGCAACCATCTTCGACCGGCACATCGGCATCCACCTCCCGAGCGAAGAAGAAGCCCGAGCCCTCCTCGACCGCAACATGACCCTCGAAGCCGACAACGCCATCCTCCGCTCCAAAGTCATCGAGCTGGAAAAATCCGTGTTTGCGCTCTCCCAGGAAGTCGACGTGCAGAAGAACTTGTACGAGGATACGGTCCGCTCCTTTGAATCAAAACTGGCCACCGACACCACCACCTTCCAGCACTCGATGGAGGAGCTGCGGGCGACACAGTCGAAGGAATCGGAGAGCCACGCGTCGACTATTTCCCAGCTGCAGAACCGGTTCGAGGCGCTCAAGCAGGACCAGGCGCGGGCGGAGACGAGCCAGAACGTGTATCGCCAGCTCGTGTCGGATCGGTTGGGGGCTGTGCGGTCGATGCTACAGGATCATATCGTTGCCGTGCGTCAGGAAGGCAGTCTGGCGGCGAAATTGGGGTCGCAGTTGGGTGTTGTGGCGAGCCCAACACGTCATGATGCGCCGCCGTTGCCGCTGGCCGTTAAGGAGGCGAAGACGATGGAGGATGAGCTGGAGTTTTTGTCGGAGGATTTAAAGTCGTTTGTTAAGGAGGTGTTGGATGAAAATAAGGAGCAGAAGAAGATTATTACGGTGCTTGCGACCAGGGCTGAGCAGCATGAGAAGGTGAGGGCAATGGATCGTCGCTTGTGCATTCATGGGACCCCTTCGGACCGCTAACTCCCACTTCTTTCACCCAGATCAACTCCCTAATGGGCGAAAAGATCAAATCCTACACCGAGCACGTCATTGCGCTCAACCCGGTAAAGGAAAAGAAGCATCACCACCACCACAAGGAGGAGAAGCATAAGGAGGAGAAAGGCAAAAAGGAGGACCGGGAATTCGTGAAGCTCAAGTCATAAACGCTTCGGTTCCCTGATGGCCACTATTTACGAACACTGGGCCTATTCCGTTTTCATGACAGACTGCCACGTTGTCTTTTCCGTTTCGGTTTCATTTTTTGGTCGGAGCACGTTAGTTGCACTTTTTTGGTTACTATATGGATTGGCATTTTGCGTGTCGCGCGAAATATAATACCCACTGTTACCGCGGATGTCGGATTGAACGTTGTTACAATGACCCGCTCGAACAGAACTACGATGCTGAATCAGTAGCCAAAGTTTGTGCGAATCTATGGACCGTTGATGAATAGGGTATGTATAAGCTAGCGATGGTTAAGTAAATGCAAATAAGGTAGGTGACAATGTTACAGGGGTCAAGTGCTATGCACAAGGGTCGAATGTGAAGGTGTTTATCAAAATTGGGAGGATTATGGCACAGACAATGTTGTGCATTCCACGATGCGTGTAGACGTGGGCTAATATGACGAATGTTATGCTGGAGCTGGTGCCGGTGGCGGTATAGGGAACGGACCATCCACCCACACTCGGACCTATGATTCGTTGAATTGGGTTAGATCTCGGGAAGGTCGCGCAGGAGCGGGAAGACAAGTGCCTTACCGTCAGGTCACCATCTATCGCGCCAGACGCGATCATGTTGACTGTTGGGTGACACGCAACGCATAGGACTACGTCTGTACATGTACGGCGAGAACTCTTCAATGCTCTGCTATGCCCACCATCTCGCACATGCCACATACGCGCAAGGATCGCCTACCAGTATGCCCCGCCAACCTCTGCACAATCTCCTTTGTCTGCAAGTTCCAAATATAGATCATCTTGTCCTCGGACCCACTAACGATCCATTTCCCGCCAGTCACGGAAAACGTGCTGAACACGCAGTATTTCGAGTTTTCGTGGCCTGTATATGTTTTCAGGCATTTGCCGTTCGAGTAACTCCATAGCCGGAGTGTGCTGTCGAGCGTTGAGGCGAGGATGTACTTTCCGTTAGGGGAGAATTTGACGAAGGAGCTACGGGGACGTCGGGGGTTAGGCCACTATGCAATCGGACACCAAATTGGGGACTCGATACACTTACACTGGCGGATTTCCGTCATCGATGAAGGTCTTGAGACAGTCTCCCGTTGCGGTATCCCAGATACGGCTGCATAGGGGCGCGATGAGCAAGGCTTCCCAGACGTTTCTTTACACTACAATCGGGTGGGACTCACATCAATCCATCATAGCTACACGACACGATAACCGTGCCGTCGCGATTGAAGCACACTGCCGATACAGGATCGGAATGCGCAGGTAGCACTTTCAGGCATTTGCCTGCGTTTGAAGGACACACACGTAAGCATCGTCGCGAGATGCGAGTGACCGGCAAACGCACCCCAACGCACCCTTTTGCACATCCCATATCCGTACTGATTCGTCAAAGGATCCAGAAACGATCATATTGTTCAAAGGGTGAAAGTTGACGCAGAAGACGTAATTTGAATGCCCTTTCAGAATACGTATTGACTCTGGCTGCAGTCGAATGTTCATCATTGTCAGTTCCCATCTCGACATCAGCGACCGAGATTTGTCGTGGCTTACCGAATCGACCTTCCATATTCTTATGGTCTTGTCGTCTGATGCAGAGCAAATTAAGCTCGAATCTGATGCCCATGCAATATCCGATATTCCTTGCTTATGCCCCAAATAAGTCATCTTAAACTCGCCGGTAAGGGCGTCATATAACCGGACATCGTTATCCGCCGCTGTTCATGATGCAAGTACGGAGTCAGCCAACTCGCGTCAGTAGACAAACCGGCAGATTGCGCACGCATTCGAAAGCGTACCTGATGTGGCGAGCCATTTGCCGTCTGGCGAGAACTTTACAGAGGAGACCGACTTTGTGTGCCCAGTTAGAGTATAAGCGAGTCGGTAGTTTGGGACTTTTTGCCCGTTGGATGGAGCTGGAGTCGGACCAGAGCTGGCGGGGTTTCCATTTGTGCCGTTCGATGCGCCGTTGGCTGCGTCTGCCCCCGTTGAGGCCATTTTCCACAAGAGCTTCTGGGGAGAACGGCCTCGACTAAGGCTTCTTCAAAACCTCTCTGACTGCCCCAAACGGGAGGGTTTATGTTTCGAGGATAGGCTGCTTAAGTCGCAGACAAACCCGCTAATGAACAGCTCACTGAGCTTGCGAACTTCCAAAGAGCTCTCAGTTTCGTCGTCCGCGAAGCGCTGCGACCGAGCCCGGACTGGAAGCTGTCAGAACTTCTGCGGACCCTAACGCGATGCCCAGACACAGTATCGCAAAACCGTTGAACCCGCTTTCAAACTTTTGCCGACGTCTAACAGGGGTTGGCCTACGATTGCACACGACAGCCAGACGTGATCGCAGTAATGGCTCTTTTATCAAAGGCAGAGTTTGCGAAAACAAGGGTCAGAAATTGTGACAGTGACATACCTCTTCGCGTCGCACGTGACTTCCGCTCTAAGTTATTTAAACTGACTCGCTGATTTCGTCAGCAACGTCGCGTCGGCACTCCCCAGCATATAAACTCGGTCCTTCCTTCAACCCTCGTTCACTTTTTCTCCACCACAAAATGCACGTCCACATTCAAGTGATTGACTCCCACTATAAGGAAGTGATACATATTTTTGAAAACATGGCTGAGATGTTCTTGGGCTTGCTCAATGCCTCGGCTACGGTGTCTCCGGTATTGCACTACCTCCGGAAGGCGCTCGTTATTGAATAAAGGAAGAAACTAATGATGGTCGCTTGTGAATACTGGATAGCTAAAACGAAGTGCTTATGAAAAAAAGTCATCACCTGCTTCGGATCGGCAAGTCTTCCAGAGACGGAATGGATGGAATTGGCTTAGGCCCTAACTCCACGCTGCCTTGCCGTAATCATCATGGCCGTCAACATTAAAAACTCGCCGAAAGTCGTGTCACCCGCCTGATTCTCATGGGAACTACATGAAGCTGCTTCATCGGTCGAAGCATCATGCTGAACACTTTCGTCCGTCCCGAATGCAATCCGAGCTGTCGGGCATCTATGTCGCGAATCAAGAAGGCATATCTGATACGTATATCTCGCACATTCCAGCCACCGAGCTAACAACAGATGTCCGATCGTACCTTCAAAAAATATGATATCCTCTCCCGGGCCCTCGATTTTCATGTCCTCCTCAGATCCTTCCTCAGATTCTTTCTTCCTTTTTTCGGCGAAAAACCGAAACCCTAACCCTAACCCTTTCGGCGAAACCGAATACCTTTGCCGGCTGCTTGAGTTACATTTAATTTAGTAGGAAGAACGCTCGAGGAGGTTCGCCATCAAAAATTTCCCATTGATTAGGGTCGTTGTTTTTGGGTTTCTGTTTATCCGATGTCTGCCAGGGCCGGAACGAATGCAAAAGCATTTCCATGTGTAGCGACATCGCTAATTGAACATCTCGCTGACTCCAATTTGCGCAGATATTTGGCCAGTGGTAAATTCGCAATCCGCAGTGCTTCTGACCGCCCGCCAGGTTCAAAACAAAATTCAACAGCGCGATCCTGTCAAAAAATTCAATGTCGTGAGTGCGTATCTAAGGACATATAGCGGACTGTCAGTGTCATGGCCCCCGGCTCTCCGCCAGAAGACTTTCAAAACCAGGAGCTCTTGGCAAGCAGACGTTCTCAGACCCTCCAAGCTCGCCTTGCTGTCTCTTGCTCTCCCAGGTTCCAGTAAAAGATCGACAGGAAATATGGCCACGCAACACCAGGACCCGGGCCGATACATCCTAAACCGGTTCACGGAGATCGAGAGCACCACTGATATTGACTGCATCAAAGCCGAGGCAAGGAACCTACAGAGCTTCATCAACGATGGTGTGAGACTCCTCACCGAGAAGCTGCCTCCCTCCGCGGACTTTTTTGACGGAGTAGACTTGTACACTGGTAAGCCGTCAGCCTAAAAAACTGGCACGGTTTTCGAATGACGCATACCTGACTCGCCCATGTATTCAATATGTTTTGCCCTGCCATCAGGGGCCGCCGGTATATCCGCCCTGTTTCTGCACCTACACCAGCTCACAAAAGCGCAAGCACTTCCACCCACCAAATATCACCATCTCACGCCCTTGGAGCTGTCTCGCGCATACATGGACATTGCGGTCTCGGCAATCGTTTCGGAGCTGCAGCAGGATGCACCGGGCCATGTTGGTCATCGCTGTGGAATTGCTTCGAACGCGGGAGTTTGGGCCGTAGCAGCTGCAGGTATGTATTTCACTCGTTTCCGAAGGCAAGACCAAGTGTTCTGAAGAGCACTCCGTTCATCCTAAAACCTTTCTGGTTCTCATCGTTTCCCAGTGTACTACGAGGAGAGTGGAGAGTTGGAGCTCACGGACGAATCTCTGATGCACTTCAAAAAGCTTGAAAAAGCTTGCTACGGCTCCAAAACATCCGACGAACTACTCTATGGCCGGATCGGGTTCGGCTCACTTCGTCTACTTGAACCATCTTCAACGATATTCTCATATTGACTCTCCTCACTCCTTCGGTAGATACTTGGCCGCATACAACTTCCTCCTCTCCCACCTACCCTCCAGGGTCCTCAGCTTCCACTTCCCAGAACCCCCAACCAACCGGCTCATCGATAAAATCGTAACCTCCGGAGCTAACGGCGAAAACCTTCCTACCAGCGCTCCTCTCCGCTGGGCATGGCACGACCGCTACTACCTCGGCGCCGCCTACGGTACCGCAGGGATACTCGCCGGACTGTTGAAAACTCCGTATGCGATGCAGACATATCGCCCGGAGCTGGAAGCTACTGCAAGGCATTTGAGGGACCTGCAGACGCCTACTGGGAACTGGTTGTCGGCGGACCATGGTCGGCAGAGGGATGAGAAGGATGAGTTGGTGCAGTGGTGTCATGGGGCGCCTGGTAAGCAGTGAATGCCTACCGCTATCGATTCCTTATTGAATGAAGGACGCTTGATTTATAGGCGTCATTCACACGATGATCCTATCCCACCAACGCTTCCACGACGCATCATACCTCGACGCTGCGCTCAAGGCAGGCGAGCTGGTCTGGAAGAAAGGGCTTCTCAGGAAAGGCGTCGGTAGGTTGCTGTCATGGAGTAGTCATTTCCTAGCAAGCGAACTTCATCACTGATGCCCAAGCGACCGAAAGGACTCTGCCACGGCATCAGCGGCAACGCCTACGCATTCATCGATCTCTACCACGCCACGGGCGACCCGGAGTGGATGAGGCGAGCATTGCAGTGGGTATCTCTTGCCCTTCAATATCCATATCACATTTCCCAATCGGAAACCCCATTCATCGATTTGCACATCGACAGCTTCGCCTGCGTAATCGAGCAATGGCAAACCCTCACCTACGCCCAGCACGAGCTCAACGAGCCAGACCACCCGTACTCGCTGTTCGAAGGTCTTGCGGGCGCGTTGTACTTTGCGGCGGATTTGGTTGCTTGGGGAAGCGGGGTAGAGGTATGTCCTGATCTCCCCGTAATTCTGCATTGTCTGGTTGATGCGCTAAGGGGCAGCGTTCGCGATAGGATGCTGGTGGCTTTTTGTTCTACTCGAACGCGCGTGCGGATAGGGATACCACTGGCGGGAGGGAGGAGTGAAGAGTGGCTATGTCGCTGCATCACGGGAGTCGATCGGGAAACATCGTGGGCAGGGCATGGAACGTGTTGTTCATGGAATCTATTATTCATGTGATGCAAATCGAGGCCGTAGTAAGACGAACATCCTATGATTCGTAGTTTCGTGTTTAGCTACTGTTGTCTCGTAAGCTCTTTTGATGAGGTTGTACAATAGCTGGTGTTTACTTCACATGCAACGGTACATTGTAGCTTTGTTGTTGTGCGTCCCGCTCGGTTTTATTCGTTCGATCATATAACAATATGTACGAAGCAAGAATTCAATCTACCCAAGCAGCGTCGGGTGGTTTCAAGCTTATCATAGATAGGCCAGTACGCCGTATCCTAGAGAGCGTCAACGTGACACCCATGCCGAAAAAAGTTACGCCAATGGTCCCATTCGGCAAACCCCTAGACCACAACAGCATATCGCTTCGTCTCTCCCGGCCTCGCATTGACCGGCTTCAGTCTTTGCAGCTGCACCATAGCCATTATGACCGCCATGCAACGTGCCGCATCTAGCAAACGATTGTGAATGAGACACACCGGCGATGAGAACGATATACGGGAAGAGGCACGCATACCCATCATTGCAGCGTTGCAGAGCTCTTCGGCGGTTATTTCGTTGGCCATGTCGCCTGAGAATCGTTTGTCTAAAGTTGAAGAACATATAAACACCGGCGAAGACACAGAAGAGTCGTATCGCGCATGAGTATGTGTTGGGAAGTACCTTTGATTGCTTCGTTGATTTCTTCGAGAAGTGAGAAATGCGCGATCGATCAGACTGAACTTATGCCTACATGTCCATCGAAGACTGCTTACTTACCACTGATCATTTCGTTCAAAAACTATTGTAAAATTTATAGCATGTCATGAAAATACTGTCTTACTGTCTCCTCCATACCAACGCATCAGAGCGTTCCCTAATCCACGTACCTCGCAATGCATCGATCCCCGAATGTCAATTGGCAACTTCGCATACTCCTCCTCACTGATATTCGCAATGAGATTGTCTTTGAACATCGATTGCGGGTCGGTTCTTCGCGCTTCCGGTGGCGATTCAAAGTCATCGCGCCCGGTACGGAACGTTGGTGGTGCAGGCGAGTCCATCATCCTAAATCCAAAACATCAACATGTGACTATCAGTCAGCTATTCGCGCCAATGCAGATTTGATCGAAAATGTCACACGGTAAACATACGCAGAAGCCAGCGGTCTCCTCATAGGCGTTCGCGCTGGAGCATAAGGTGTATCAGGCGCCGTTCCCGTCAGCAATCCCATACTTAGTGACGACAAGCCAAGATCTTCCAGAGACGCCAATGGGCTGTCGGACGGGGATATGTTGGCTGTAGTGGTACCGTGTGAACCTCGTGGTGGGGTTTTGGCTGGCGGGGTCATTGGCGCGGCGTTTGCAGAGCTTGATGACCCGGTTTGATGCGGAATGGATGAAGGCGAGGATGGGGCTGGCGCTGCTGTTGGTCGGCTTGACGGCTCTGCGGCTTTCGGGTCGGGGATGTTTTCGGCATCGACAGGTGCTGGTTGACGGGTTTTTTTCTTCTTCTGCCAAGCTATATTGACGGTCGCAAGCCGAGTGTAAGGCTCGCAATCGTGCGAAATCATCATCTCCAACACAAAACCGCGAAATAAGACTGCCCACCTGGCGGCTGATACCCATACTGCTCCAAATACCCCATCGCGGCCTCACACTGTCGTTCGATCTGCACCACAGCATCGCCGGCGGCATCAATTAGCTCCTCAGACGATGCTTTGCGGGCTCCTCCAAATAACGTCCCTAGCTCGACCTCCTCGATAACGCGAAGGATACTTTCGCAGCGGGCGTCCGTTGCGTTCAGGAAGTCGGTGCGCAGCGCCGCGCTCGGGGTCGCTGAGGGCAAGGAAAGAAGGGACCTGGATGCAATATGCAAAAAAATTCGTTTAGAAAAGGGGGGTTGAAGAGGTTTGGACGTATGAAGCTCTGTACGCACACTAGTTCTTGCAAGTCCTTGTCCAGTTTCTTGGTGGTCAGAAGGAGGTCATCCAGGTACGTGAAGTCCATCTTGACTCGAGTCGATAGCTCTTTGAACCGTTCGAAAGCGACGAACTGGCTGGGTAGGCCCTGAGAATTGTTCCAAGAGATTCCTACTCTTCCCGACACTTCAATTCGGTTCAGCGAAAAACGTCGCGGGAAAAGGGAGGGGAAAGTTTCGGTCTGATTGGCACAATTGGCACACAAGCAAGCTGTTTTCACACTCCTGGACGACTTCACTTCGAAAGCTTGGCAACCCGTGAGACATGGACGAATCACTCTCATCCCGAGCAGCACTCCTTCTGCAACGAGAGCTCTACCGGTTACAAAAGGCCGATAGCCCGGAAGTAAGTCAAAGTACTGTACACCCCCGCCGTCACCAATCCCCACCATCCCCCGTATCGAAGAGGCCTAACGCACATAGTCGGGGATTTCGCAGGGCGTGCAGGCGGAACCGGTCGGGAATGACATCTTCCACTGGCAGGCGGTGCTGCACGGGGTGCCTGAGACGCCCTGGGAAGGTACTACTGGGCGAGTGAGGTGGTGTCATTTACGCAAAACCCGTCAACTCATTTCACATCCATCGCGAATAGGCGGGATATTCCGGCTCGAGCTGCGGTTCGACGAAGACTACAATGAGCGCCCGCCAGAAGTGCAGTTCCTCACCGTGCCGTTTCATCCCAATGGTGCGGGGTACCCTTTTCGCACTGTGTGAGTTATACCGCAGGGGGGGCAATCGGAGCTCACACATTTTACTTTCCCACCTCCCTCAGTCGACATGCACACAGGAACACCCTGCATCCCCCTCCTCCAGGACCCCATGGAATGGGACCCGGATATGTCCCTGTGCGATCTCCTGTCTTCCCTCCGGGTACGTCTATTCCCACGTTTCCAATCGCATTCGCATTTCCGTAGAGGAATTATAGTGGAACTGATACACCCGCCGCCCCAGACCCTCCTCGCATCCCCGTCCCTCAGCCACCCGGCCAACCTCGCCGCCGCGGAGATCTACACGGCTTCCCCGCGGCTGTACGGGCAGCTGGTGCGCGATTGCGTCGTGGCCAGTCGGCGGGTGGACTGTACGTGTGCACATCCCGCTCCCCAATCTGATTCAAAAAAACACAGGCATTGACATGGCGATGGTGATCTAGCCGGTCTCACCGCATTTGACCCAGACGACCCGGCCCTCACCGACCGCACACCATCCCTGGAGCCCTACCTCCCGATCCCCGCGGAGCCGGACACCCCCACCCGCCCGCCGGCGGCAGTGCAGACGGTCAGTTTTGATGAGTACCATGCGGGATGGAGGATGATCGCGACGTCGGTTCCGAAGACGCGGTCGGGTGGTATGTCACTCATCGGCTGGGTTTTCCGTGTGCGAATGGGGATCTCCATCTCATCCCCCCCCCCTTTTTTTAATTTATTCCCCGGAAAGAAAAAGGCCAGGACCTGCACCTGCTCCCCCCCACGGCAAGCGCACTGACCCCCGCGGAATCCAAGGACCTAATGGCGCGGCAACGCGAGCTCGTGTTTGGCCGCTTCCCGCCGCGGAAACCCAAAGCTGCGGTCAAACCCGTGGTGAAGGACGGGCGGGTTGAGGCGATGCGGCAGCTTTATTTGCGGTCGGCGGCGGCGCCGGCGGGGGGTGGGGATGCGAAAGGGGCTGTCGTACCCACGGCGGGGACTGGGGCGGGGGATGTGGGGACGCGTGGGGTGGTGGGGGGTGGGGAGGTGGAGAATTCTCACGGACGTGCGGCGCATGAGCACTCCGAGGAGGATTGGGAGGACGAAGCGGAGAGTTTGTTGAACTGGACGGCGAGGTTGGATCATCGGGCGATGGTCGTTTCGTGACTCATATTCCGACATCTTCCATATATTGTCTATCGATATGTGGCATATGTTTTTTTACATGTGGTATGGGTGCGAATTCTATGGTATGGGCGGGGGGTTGGACCACCTCAACGCGCTAGTCCTGTTTCTTCTGCGATGGGTTTCCATTCGCGCCGGGGTCATCGGCCTTTGTCCCGGCACTCCCATCACCTGTCTTCCCACCACCCCCCTTATGCAACCCCTGAAGCCACCAAAACCTCCCGGCCTCCTTCCTCCTCAACTGCTTGACCAGCCGCGCGGCCTCATCCCCCAGATGCTCGTCGGCTACCTCCTTCTCTACGACACAGCGGACGACTTTGGCCGGGATGTATTGATTCTGATCAACCGCCCACGTCCCTAAACACCCGTCAATCCTCTCATCGGGCACATACACCACGTTCCCACCCTCCTTCCCCCCGCCCAAAACAACATCAAGCGTCCTAACCCCCTGCAAAGCCCTCCAATTGGAATACAGGCGAAACAGATTCCAGGCCAGGGGGACATTGGGACCGGGCAGGACGGCGAAACAGGCGGAGAGCGGGAGGCAGAGGATGCTGAGGGTGAGGTTGCGGGAGTGTTTTGTGCGCGCGGTGCTGATGAGTGTGGTGAGGTGGGTGGTTATGTAGGGGGTGAGGATTTGGGTTGGGTGATGGATGGTCAGGGGGGCGGTTGTTGTTGTCGTCGGGGATTGCGATGAGGGATGTGACGATGGGGAGGACTCGCTGTCGTCGCTCGCAGAAGTGAGGGGATTGACATCAGCGTCGGGCAGTAATCTATCCCAATGGATCTCTGCATAGGAGGGGACGCTCTTCAAGAACCATTCATCGGCGGGGGCGACATCCTTCAATTTTTCGCCAAAGATGTGCAATTTCTTTGTGAAGGAGGTGTCTGGTTTTGCGCCCATGTCTTTCCATTTTGTTGTTGACCATGCGACGCCTTTTGCCGTCCACTGGACGAGGAGGGGTTTGCCGTCGAGGGATTGGGCGGGGGCGGGGTTTGAGGTGGTGGGAGATTGGGGGGATGGAGAGGGAGGTTGGGAGTTTTTGTCCAGGGATATTGTTGTTCCACCTTGCGTTGTTGTTGTTGGGGTGATATTTCTCTCTGGGTGAAAGAGGGAGGAGGAGGGTACGTTGACGTGGTGCAGGAGGTGTGCCGGGTTTGGGTTTTGCGAGCGGAGAGCGGCCCTGGTGACGGGTAATATAACGATGCGCATCGCTTTCTGGTGGGGACGGCAGTTATAATATAGAGTGGGTGGGTGGGGTATGAAGGAAACACTTGCGACGACCTTTTGCGAGGGGTGCAAGATAAAAGAGGGAGGAGCAAGCAGCGGGAGAGCGGGAGGGGAGACTCCTAGAGACTCCTACTACGTATGTACTGTACCTATCGGGTCAGTGACGCGTTCCCGTTACTGAGAACTTGACCAGTAACGCAAGTCACGTGACCCCCCAGGTACAGAGAAACACGGTACAAGGAATATGCATAGGGGAACTGGCAAATGGCAAGACAATCTCCAAAGGCCGGCTATGTCGCACTCAACTGACGAGTAATCCACTCCTGGCATAGATTCAGACGGCATTCTACTCGTCGTACGAACGCTGTATGAGTAAGTTTGAAGTTTATTGACGTTGGATTTCTTCTTGAGGGACCATCGGATCTACTGTACTTTGGCAAACGTCTTCCGAAGAAAGGAAGGGTCAAGACGAGCGAGAGCATTCAGCTAACCCTAACCTAGAGTACCTATGGGATATAAAAACGGACACTTGTTCATAGTGTGGTTCGCCGCACCGGTAGCTTGTGGATGCTGGTTCTCCTTTATCCGAAGCATGATCAGGGCCCCTTTCTCGCTTGTCGTATGTAACAGAAATCTAGTTCAAACGAAGCCGCTTCGAGGGAGAAAGGGGAAAAGCGGCATCTGGAACCCGTCTCCAAGATAAGTCGTGGCAAGCCTATCATAGGCTGCCGCATCGTATTTGAGATGTTCACAGCAGGCTTCTTGGACGGCTTCATTCTGAATTTGGGATACGTCTTCTTCGGATACATTGTCAGCGACTTTGAGGATCAAGTGAGCCATTTGATTCCAGAATTGCCGCTGCTCCAAAAGCCTTTCATGAAGTACAGTCCTGTAGGTCAGTGAATCTGTCTCAGCGACCCGGGATGGATGTATGTATTTGACTTGGCGGTGATGTAAATCGTGTCCAGAACGGCGATTCGAGTCGGGATGCAATCGTAGGCCACCAACCAGCTGAGACGGCTTTTAGGCATTGGATACCGAATCGCTTCGCATCTACGAAGCCTTTCTCAAGAAGAACTTGGACGCTACGGAAAGCGTCCTCAGGAAAGTCCCGGTTGGCTGCGAGATTCAGTAGGCGTCCATTGTTCCGGCATTCCGTTCTAACGGACTTGGGAGTAAGACTCAGTAGCTCCTCCGTCACTGCACTGTCGTACTGTACACGGAAAACGTGAACAAACGAAAGACCCATTCGGGCCCGTGTCCAAGATTTGGATTGAACGGCGATGATTCCAATATGAGCCATACACGCAGTTGTATGTACGCTCAGTTGTGGCTTTGTTTTACGCACTATATCCGAGATCAAAATTGTGGGTTGGGACTTTCTGCAAATCATATAAATAGGCGACATCCCGCGTACCCTCTTTCCTCCTCTTCAATGGGCTCGTCTTCAACAATCTTCAACAACATTCCAATCATGGCTAGCACCGACCCAGCTCCTGCGTCCAGAGACCCTCGTCAAGCGCTCTCACCTTCCTCTCCAGTATTGATCAGCAAGATCGAACGAGATGTCGAGTTCGCCCAACCGCATCAGCTGGTGCATCGGGTGCCGCACTTAGGAGCCCAAGGCCAAGTCGTACTTGTTGTGTCTAAAAGTGGCAGCTCGAAAGGCGAAAAGGCCGCGCGAAAGAATATCCATCCGCATCTCCAACACGCCTTGGTGACCGCCGAATACAATCTTCTCAAGGCAGTGAGTGGTCTGCCGCACATGCCGAAATCCTCGGTGCCGCCCAAGAAGATCTGGAAGAAGATAAATTGACCCTGTATATGTTCTATCAGCCATGGTGCCAGTTCACCCTCCGACAGTGGCTCAACTCGCCAACGGTGGTGCTTACCGCTATGAGAAAGCCGGCTCCGACGAAGTCTGATGTGTGCAAGATGGAACCCAATGGATGCTATGCATGGCGTCCGCCATTCACTCACTGCACACTCTCGTCCCCCCTGTCATTCATCGCGACATCAAGCCGGATAACATCTGCATTGATGATGATGGCGCGTTAGTGTTTGTCGACTTCGGCGCTAGCCGCCAGTGCGAGGACGGCACCACTTGCCGAACAGACGTCGGAACCGAACAGTATATGGCGCCGGAGGTCCGCCAAGGACGAAACTACAATCGAACCTCGGAGGTTTTCTCCCTCGGGGCAGTATTTGCCGAACTTTTCACAACAATGAGCGGCTACGACGTCCGCACCGGCTTACATGCGGTACTTCGCAATCAACCTTTCTCCAACTGCGTTCCAAGAACCCTGAAATGGCTGAAGAAAATCAAACCGACCGACGGTTCGCTAGACGCTCACTTGGACCTGATCGCAAAGATGTTTGAAACGAAACCTTTGGATCGGCCGGCGTTGTGGGAGGTTCACCGGGACCTTCTTAGACTCCAATCCGTCTTCGCCTCCGAATTCGCCTGCTGTGCGGGAGAGCTGAGCTTCGAGGACGACAACGTATCCGATCTGTCCACCCCACCATCAGAAGACCTGGACGACATCGTCGCCTATGCCAGACGCCTTTCGTTCCGGGAGTAATGTGCCGGATATCTACAACTTGCGCCTCTTGTCTCTGTCTGTTTCAGCCTGTCTTCTCATATTCTCTCCGCTGGGTGAGACCCTTGACTGGTCATTACCCATTTTGTTTGGCCTTGGGTCGCGCATTAACAAATTTTGATGCCGGTTCGCCGGTCCGCATACCTACAGTCTGTTGCCATAAAGCAGGTCGCCCCGAAAGTAAGTTAGTGTCCTCGCCGCTGATCATTGCACCCATCATCCTTATTCACGGTATTAGGACCCCTAATCTAAACTAGATCTGTCATTCTCCGAGGCAACAACCCGCTGGGGCCGACTGCGCACGGCCGGGTGCGACCTGCTTTATGGCAACAGACTGTACAGTACAACTTGTAACTGTCTGTACAGTATGTGAACATAAAGCTGGATACACGCGTCCGAGCTTGGCCAGCTGCAACAGTATTCGTCCTCAACTCCCGTATGTATTCATAAAAGGCAACTCCGAAAAAGACCCTTTTATACCACAGGGATTTAAACTACCTAGCCCGTCACGTGGAGTCCTGTGAGCGCCACCCCAACCCTAACCCTGACTCAGCATGTCTCCTGTTACACCCCCCACAAAGTCAGAGCACGATGATCTCGACTTTCCTCAGATGGCCAGATGCAGCGTGTACGCAAGGTACGCAAGGCTATCTATGATCTTGTCCTTCGTCACCCATTCCGCCGTGTGTGGTGGCAGTCCCGACCGCCGCGCTAAGAACTCGATCTGGTTTCGCTTCTTGCGCTCTCATAGGATCTGCGCATAAGCGTGGCCGTCGATGGAAGTGCTGTACGTTGGTAGTCGCACGTTGTAGTACTTGAGAACGTCGACATGGAATAGCGGATGGGTTCTCCCCAACTCGGCCGGTAGTTGGACGGTGAAGTTGTTCGGGTGCTCGCCGGTTCCCACGACTGGAAACGGTCCAACCCAGGTGGGCAGTATTTTGGCGGCGCCTGGGGGGAGGTTTCGATCCTCGGGGAGGTTCAGCGCTTCCTTATGGACGAGTACGTGGGCGCCGGGCTTGATGCGGTGGTCGTACGGGAGTCGGCGCTTGTCGGCGTAGCGGGCAAACCAATCCTGCGATTCCAGCAACCTCTCCATAATGGTCGCGGTGAGATCGCTGACGTGTCGGGCCCAGGTGGGTCCTGGTGTCAGCGTCGGGTCGGATGAAGCGTTTGGACGTCTTGGATGGTATCCCAAATCCGCGAAGAATGGGGTCATTCCGGTGCTTTCGTTGACGGTGTTGTTGAACGCAAATTCGAAGGCCGCCAGGTTGGAGGTCCAGTTGGTGCCCGTCAGGTCAGGCTTCGTGGCGAACATCGTCTTGATGGTGCGAATCATCCTTTCTGCTTGCCCGACAGTTTGATGGTGACCGCTGGACGCAATGTTGGTGATGTATCCCAACTGGTCCTGGATACTCGCCCACATTTCCGATGCAAATCTGGAGTCTCGATCGCATATTGGATCAGTGCATAGCATAAACCATTGGTTTATGCTATGCACTGATCCACTATACTATTACACTGTGCATTAACCGTACCTGGCTCTACTTTACACTGTGCATTAACCGTAGCGGCTGCTGAAAGTGTTATGCATTAACCGTATTCCTGATGTAGGGTGTAATGTATTAACCGTGTATCCTACACCTTTGGTATTATGCATTAACCGTACCAGCCTATGAGCCATTAACCCGGAGTCGGGTAAGACCGTGTTCTTCAGTTCCCACGACGCGCTGTCAAATTCTGTTACTTTCCCTTCACAATCTAAGCCACCGGGACATTCGGATGTCCCCTTGCGCCGCAAGAACCATGCGTTATATGAGTACGATGTGTACAATGAGTATCAATTTGACACCTCCCATACCCATCCCTCACCGACTCTCACCATTTGTCTTTCTCTAACAAAAAGGTCTTTTCCGCCATGATTTCAACCACTTTCTCAAAACTACCCTATCTGTCGCGCGAGTACGATGAGTTATATGAATATGATGAGTATCGATTTGACACCTCCAATACCCAGCCCTCCCCGATGTACAAATGCCCAAACAATCACAAAAAGGTCGCTTTTGCCATTATTTCAGCCGCTTTCTCAAAACTACTCTATCTGTTGGGCAAGGAGTTATGTGAGTACGATGAGTATCATGAGTATCAATTTGACACCTCCAATACCCAGCCCTCCCCGACGCATAAATGCTTCAGAATCATAAATCGGCCCTTTTGACCGTGATTTCTCAAATCCGTATGTTCAGAAGCGTGAGTATAATGAGTACGATGAGTAGAATGAGTATCACTTTGACATCCCCGCTTCCTGATCCCGCACGAAAAAATGCGATATTTTGAAATGTCATTTTTGTCGTAAATTTCGGTTTTTTCGGCCCAAATTTGCAACTTTTTCCCCAGATTTCGCCGTTTTCTCCCTTTATTTTCTCACTTTTCTTTCATATTCTCATTTCCATTTTTAAAAACTTACTCTCAATTTCATTCCGTTGCCATCCATATTGGTTCGCCTCCATCCCCATCTACATATCCTCTTCTCTTCGCGTTTCTACCTCACTCCATACATCACTTTTTAACCGTTGCCTAACCTTGTGTGCCACCGATTCAACCACTTTCACTACAGTCCCTTTTCTCACCACTTTCCCCGTTCCCTCCATGTCTCAAGCCATTCCCGTCACTTTTCCAATTTTTACCCTCCATCTTTTATCGAAATGCCATCTGTAGTATTGTAGTTCTTTTTTTCAGAAAAACTATATTATAAACAGGCACCCTTAAAAAAAAACTCTCTCCGTCGCAAACTCTTTTCTTACCCCCACCCTATTATACAGAGGTTTCTACCCATTTTCACCACTACAATGCTACAAATCCGCCATATACTACCTTTACACTTTTCACTTTCTCCGTGCCCGTCACATTTACACCCTGTCATTTTGATACTCATCATACTCATTTTACTCTCCTTACTCTCCTTACTCATCCTGTTCTAAGATCCGCATCCTCTCTGCGTGTCGCAACCAATTAAGGATTTGAATGGTATACATCAGACAATAGCCATGCCAAACGTTTTTGAAATTAACTCACATATCAAGTGTATCGAGGGAGTTGTTGTAATTCATTTTTTCGTAGCAGACCTCGATAGTCTGGAACGAATATGTCGGTCTATGTTAAACAAACCCGGTTACATGGCATATATCAAAGTAAATGACGAGAATCGGGAAATCTTTAAGCAGATTTACACTATTTTTACCAAGAAGAATAATCGTCTCCGTAAAGATTTCATTTTTCAGAGCGGGTATCTAGGGATCACAGACGATAAGGGACAACTGAGAATGCTATGTGGAACAGACAAAGACCATCGAGCGTGCGTTCTTGATATTGATACTTAGTAGCATTGCGTCCAAAAATTCAAGTAACTGTTCGAGAGGGTGATACTTGTCGGTATAATTATCCGAGCGGAAAGTTGCGTATTCGTCGAAGAAAAGAGCAACGGCACTTGAAAACTGAATGGGTAGCGAGTCTGATAATTGTTTATATCACAGTAGTACGAGACTGCTCTAGAGGCGACTACGGTAGAGGATTGATCCAATATTTGAACAGTTATTGTTACCCGGGTGTTATTCGAATTCATATACCCCATAAAACTTGCATGACAAACGACCGCGGACATCCCGACTTTCCATCCAATGGGACCGAACCCGCCCGTATAACCATTTGTATTTGTCAATAACACATCATTCACGCCATCTTTGATGCAAACGGCAGATTGAATGATTTGTGAAGCATAGATGTTTGTACTACAAGTCAAATCTGATTTAACTAGTGCGGTTGTGTTGCATGTCAAGGAATTTACTGTTGCTGCACCACTTGCTGCGAACGTGCCCGTAGTTAACGCACCGGAAATATCTATATTGTTTGCAGAAGCGCTAACAAGGGTCGCTTTGGGAACGGCTTGATTATACTGAATCTGTCTTATCGCCACTCCACCCGCTGTCGTCTGATTTGCGTATGCCCATGCGCAACCCCATACTACATAAGGCGTGGTATTTGCAAAACTAAATGAATTACCATCTATTACCCAACTCGAAGCAGGTATATTCGAAAATGTTGCGATTGTTACCATAGTAGACTCGACTGTTCCTGCAATGACAGAGAATGTTGTCGGCATTAACACTCCATCGGGTAGATATGCTGTAAGTTTGATTGAACTCATAGCCACAGATGATGGAAGCCGTAAAAGTGAGTAATGAAGACTTTGTGTTGTTCCATCGAGTCCTAAATTGGCTGTACTTGTGGAACTGGTTTGCCATCGCAGTCTGGATGCAATGGAGGCGTTCATGTACGCATCGAATGGATGACCAGTGTATCCATCTACACCGTTTCCATTCGCATACGTGTATTCGCTGGAGGCTGTAACTGTATAGCCGTTCCATGAGGAACCTGTTGCTGGCGTTGTGGGATATGGAATTAGAGTTGTAACAGAATTTAATGCAGGACTTTTCAAATCGCCGGATATGTTCAGATTTGACCCCACATATAGAGATTTCGCTACAGATGCGCCTCCATTCACTTGAAGAGCGCCCGATGTGTTAGAAGTTGCATCAGAAGTGTTCAAGACCGATACATTACCTCCAACATATACGTTTTTCGCAACAGAAGCGCCTCCATTCACTTGAAGAGCGCCTGATCCAACTCCTGTGGAATCGGTTGTGGTAAAGACAGATGCAACACCATTATTCGTAAAAACTTTGAACCAAGTAGTGGTCTCTGCTGAATTCCATACGGAAAAATCTCCTACAGTTCTCAAGTCGTCCCATACTCGGACGTAAGGGTTCGTGCTGTTGTTTGGGTCTATCGAAAATGGCCCTTGTCCTGTTGAAGTAATCGTAGACAGATTTCCGGTGAAATTCATGTTTCCTGAAACTGTCAAACTGCCGATAGAACCATTAGGAATAAAAACCTTTCCCGTTCCATCAACTGTAAGACCTTGAGGGCTGTTCCACAATCCTAAACCCAATGTATTGGTTGCAAGACCCGCTCCAGCATAGTTAAAGTACAATCTGGCCATGTTATTTGTAGCCGCTCCTACTCCAATTTGAAGTGTTGAGAAACTCCCCGCTGCCAAGTTCGGTGTCCCAAGATGGCTGCTAACAATAGGTCCGGTTGAAGCAATATTGGAGTAGATTGTGCCATTAACAGTCAAATCTTTACCAATATTGACATTCCCTGCGATACCCGCTCCACCTCTCACCTGAAGGGAACCTGATGTTGTCGTAGTAGAATCTATAGTGGAAAGAATCTGTACAGATGGCAGATTAGAGTTGATTATGAAATTGGCATTCGAACCGGAATAGAGAAAAAAGTTCCCAGCATTTGGAGCGGTCGTATTGACTCCTGCGTAACCAAAAGCCCCCACTACCGTTCCTGTGTTGTTAAGGAAACCGATAGTAGAAAACCCCGACGCGGAAAGACTCTGAAGTTTTAAAATATCAACAGATGTCGAGTTTACTTGCAATGTATGACTTCCCGTGGCGGCTGAACCAGCAAATAGAGATTTTCCCACACCTAGACCTCCAGCAACTGTTAGAGCGCCAGTTGTTGTAGAAGAGGAGTCGGTTGTTGTATTGATTAGAACATTTCCATTTGTCAATATATCAAGGTTTGATACGCCGGGTGAGTTAGCGAATCGTAAGTTTGTCGGTGAATTATTGTACTGTGCCCGAATTACCATATCGCCAATAGCCGAATTTGAGGAAAAATACCCTGCTGCTGAAACGTTGCCCGTTATGCTGCTTCCGAATGTTGGTGTGGAGACTGAACCGTTGTACCAGAAGAGACTCTGATTCGACCCGACAAAACTCGCATCACTCCCTACGGTCAATTTCTTGGCGATTCCGACGCCTCCGGCGACCTGTAACGCCCCAGTATTTGTAGCGTTGGAGTCAGATACCGAATTGATAGTTAGTGCATTCGTTGTCACATTCACCGATAACGCAAGATTTGCGGCAGTATTGTTGTATAAGCCGAAATTATTAGTTCCAAGGCCACTAGTTTGGCCTATATGCCACAAAGTCCAACCTCCACCGTTTGAGTTTATAAGACCTACAGAAGGTCCATTTCCGGCTGTAGATTCTTTTATGATTCCATATCCACCGACGTATAATGATTTAGCAATTCCAACGCCGCCTGCAACTTGGAGAGAACCAGCATTTATAGCGTTGGAGTCAAGAGTAGAAGTAACTACAGTCGATGCAGCGTTATTTATATTCAAAGTCTGTCCTGTTGTGGTATTCAGGTTCGCTGTTGTTCCTCCTAGGAATACGGTGCCGCCAACCACCACACTTTTCCCCACACCAACTCCTCCAACAACTTGGAGCGCACCTGATGTGGTCGAGGTAGAATCAGTCGTTCCGGCAATTTGAACATTGGATAAGTTCGCATTCCCACCGACGCTCAATGATGATAGGGTCCCAAGAGATGTTATACCTGTTTGACTAGCATTCACGCTGAAAATGTTTCCTGTTTTTGTCAATCCCGTTCCAGCAGTTGAGACTAAACCATCTACATAGGATTTCAAGGCGACGGTTCCGTCAATGTTGGCATATGGAAGGACAGTTGTTCCAACATCGTTTGCTAAATCTATAAAATTCTTCAATGCAATCGAGCCTAAACCCAAAGCTGTCCTAGATGCTGATGGAGTGGTACTGATATAATTCGTTCCATCTCCTACAAGGAAATTGTTGAGAGTGGCGGTGCTCGAAGAAATAGCAGTCAATTTTCCATTTAGCGGTTGCGCTCCCGTTTGCGTTGTAGAAATCAATCCATCCACATATGATTTTGTCACAGCATGCGAAGCCGTGGTTGGAGTAGGTACGGTTATTGACCCTGTAAATGTGCTAGAACCAGAAACGGTGAGACCCGTCAAAGTCCCAACACTTGTAATTTGTGTTTGTACTGGATTGACACTCAAAGTCTGAGCAGTTTTAGTTAAACCCGTTCCAGCAAGCACAATGTTTGGGTCAATATTTGCAACAGAAAGAATTCCGGTCACATCCGCACTTCCAAGATTGATAACAGATTTAGCCGCCAAACTGCCAAGTGTAGGCTTGTTTGTAAGTAAAGCCGAAGCATAGTCAATGCTGCTGAGTGCTGCGAGTGAACCAAGCGTAGGCTTGTTTGTAAGTAAAGCCGAAGTGTAATCTACACTACTCAGTGCTGCAAGGGAACCAAGCGAAGGCTTGTTTGTAAGTAAAGCCGAAGTGTAATCTATACTACTCAGTGCTGCAAGAGAACCAAGAGTTGGCTTTCCAGTAATGTACGTCGAAGCATAGTCAATACTGCTAAGTGCTGCAAGCGAACCAAGCGTAGGTTTGTTCACCAACGCCGAACTAGTATAGTCTAACGTATCGAGCAAACTCAGATTTTTTAATGAGAGATTCGCACGAACATCTGCAGGACTATATTGAATGAAATTGCCTCCGCTTGCGATAAGCATGTACGTGTTTGTTGGCGCAATGTTCCCAAAATTTGTAAGACGCGCATTCAAAGGTTGATAAGTTGTTGAAGCAACACTGGATAACAGATAATTGTTCAGAGTCGGACTGCTTATCGAGCCGGCGGTCAAAGCGCCTGTTACGTTAAGAGATGTGAGTGTCCCAAGACTCGTAATCAGGTTACTGTTGAGAGAAATTACAGAATTCGCAATCGATAAAGGACTTGTAGCAGAAAGGATCTTTTGGTAAACAGACAAGTCAGGAGTATTCGAGAGTTGAGAGTAAGGCAGAATTCCAGTTTTATTAAACTTGGTGTCGAGTGCTGTCTGAAGCAGACTAGTATTGTTTGCGATTACTGACATATACGCTGGAGCATTGATTTCATCATTCCATTCATTTAGAATATCCAAATTAACACTTTGTTGACCGAACTCTTTTGCCACACCTCTCCACGAACATGGAGGGGGTTTATCAAACATCAATCGGGTCACATCACAATCCGTGTCGTTGATTTTTGGAAAAGTTGCTATGATAACCTCACTACCGTCTACCAAAACCGGGTTCCCGTCTGCCCCGATAATATTCGTTCCGTCCGAATTCGTCTTGTTTTGCCTGCGTCTGCCTGACTCTTGAAGCAGACCCCCGAGAACCGCCACTCCACCTGCCGCTCCAGCAAGTGCTCCGATAGCACCAAATGCCGAACTGGCAGAAGCCACCGCTCCAGCCGCGGGTGCAGCACCGATAAGAGAACTTGCTGCCCCAAGAGCCGCCCCAAGGGGTCCAACAAGTGATACTGTACTTGGGGCAGATGAAGCAGTCAATGGGTCCGATTCACCAGATGGCTCCGAGTCCTCATTTTTCTCTTCCGGGTCATCGTCTTCCTTTTTCTTTTTGTATGGCTGGATAGATGAAATAGTATAACCTGTTAATGGGCTTCCAACACAGATAATGCCTTCACCACCACTGATCTCAGTACCTTGAGCGCTGATTACATAGCCGCTCTTTGAACTTCCAGAAACAGTCACGCCGCTACCAGAAGACACTTTGACATCCGGAATGTTTGCAGAAATCGTATTTCCTGTGATACTGATGTTCTGTCCAGCCTGGTAATTACCTTTCAGCGTGGAGCCTTGCTTGACAATTGTGGAGCCATCTGCTGTAATTTTAGAAGAGATGGTAGCGGTGGATTGATTCCAAGATAAATCTTCATCCGTTTTGAGATCTAGATTGACCGTCGCCGAACCGATCTGTGAGTCTGTATGAAAACCGTTACCGAAATGGTAATTCGTTCCGGTCAATTTCCCGTTGTTCACAGTAATTGTGTCTCCATCAACCAGAGCGGCTTTGTCTATATCCAGTACATTTTCATTCATCAGAAGTCCGGAATCCGCCTTTACTTCGATATTACCTTCAATGCCTCCCGTCTCATTATCGACAAGAATTTGCGCATTCTTACTCGTGATATTCAAATTGACTTTGTTCAGTCCCACCTTTTCCAACCCGGGTCCAACATCGAGTGCAAGTTGTACATCGTTATTTGTTCCTTCCCTCAGTTTCAATCCATTTTGGCTCTGGAAATTCAACCCCGAGGCAATCTTTCCATCAACGACCCTGACTGATGAGCCGTTTACGATAGCGGATGGATTCACATAGAGATTTTGATTACTGTCCACTGCTAAACTTGCGTCCGTTCTCACGTCAACAATACGCCTTCCGTTACTCACGCCAGAGATGTCTATACCAGAACCCGCTTGGTACAACTGTTCTACATACGCAGTTGAAGGTACTTGGTTATTATCAGGGTCGAAGTCAGTGTTTATATAAACGTGTGGCACATGTAATTCATTGAGTGTTTCATTATACGTAAAACTACTGTCTCCATTCAACCCCGATAATGCAGAATAGAATGGTACTTGCCCCATACCCTTCGAGCGGATAGCCAGTTTTCCTCCTGTTTGTTGGAAATCATCAGTCGTCTTCAAACGCACAACAGTTGTATCAACATCCGTATCTGATCCCAGAAAGTCCGCTAGAGAATCGAAACCGGTCTCTAGAAGGTCATCGAGTGCAAGACTTCCTGCTTTATCATTCGAAATAGCCCCTCGTCCAACAATCACTGTATCAACGTCGGTTTCTAATTTATTGTCTTCAAGTTTTAAACCTTTCCCATAATCGAGGCGGATGGCCTTATCTGCATCTTTCGAAAGCGGAACTTCTACTCGAACAGCCTCGTCAACAATCGCTTCAATGTTCTCTGGAACAACTGACAACTGACCGTTTTCAACTGTCAATGTGGAGTCAATATCCAAAGAGATTCCTTGTACGTTACGCGTCAAAGGACTGATCAAAGATTCTTTCACAACTGTCAATTTACCATTATTGACCTCTAATGAATCATCAAAATTCAATTTAAGTCCTTCATCGTCTCTTGACAAGGGTTCTTGAAGATTTTCCAGTTCAGGCGGGGGAAAATTTACAGTCAAACCTTCATCGCCTACTGAAAGGGTCTGATCGTGGAACAAATTGAGACCGTTTTCATTGACTCCGAGAGGCAGGTTTGTTGAAAGGGAAATAGTTCGGCTTTCGTCATCCCTTTGGAGGGGAAATTCCATATTGTCATGGACTACTTCAATTGAAGCCACTCCTTCGGTTTTGTGAATAATCGCATCTTCGCTCTCAACGATGTCATTCACAAGGATCGGTCCATTTTCGTTAGATACCTTTTGAAAGCCTGCTGAATGAAAATTATCAATTGATACGTTCTCTCCATTAGCACGAAGACTATTGGTCACTAAAGGAGAAACGAGATTTGTTCGTTCAAGCACTCTGATTCCGCTTGAGGTTCGGGAATTTAGACCGCTCATTTACTAATTGTTAAAGAAAATTATCCGATTGGAGTTTGCTGTAAATGTTCTAAGAATTGATCACCGCCTTTATGGAAATCTTCAACCCTCTTTATTCCCAGATCTGCAAACTGTTGCCCTTTTCGCGCAGTTTCCTTGATTTTATCGTGGAAGACATCATTCTCTTGAATCCCTTTGTTTACATGGCTTGCTATCGCATATCCCTTTCGAGTAACGGAAACCGCTTTGTCTAGAAAATTCCTCGCCTTTCCGATATTTTGTGGCAGTTCGTTAAAAAATGTGCGCGCTTTTCCTCTCGCTTTTTGAAAGAATCCCATTGAATATTCTTTTTCTTAACATGTATCAAAGAATATATATTCCATTCTATGTTGGTTCTTGACGACAAGTTTGCTCGATTGCCAAACAATACTTTTCCCTCCCCTCCAGTGTTGAATATCCATTCAAATCAGTTCGGTTACATACAGGGAAAGCCGGAAGAGACCTTTGACCGTTTATTCAAAACTCCCTTCTTCGTTCCAGGCAAAGGGAAAATATCGGATGCATTCTCTATAAAAAAAGACTGTAGATCAACCGCTCAAACTCCGTGAAGGAGAGTACCAGTCTCAGATTGGAAAACAGGCTGTGGAAGCGCTCCATGCTATCGATAAGGAACGTGCAAGACAAGCATACTTTGATGAACTGGATAAAGACAATCTTTTCCCTCGACAAGGTCGAACGGTTTCTTTGACCAAAACCACAGCGTCGAAAGGCGATACAATTTATCATCAGCCGAATTACATTCGCGCTCAACAGAATCAATTCATTGGAGATGCATCATCCAATGTGCAACGAACCGGTGATGATCACCTTCCGGAAAAAGCAAACATGAGCGAAGCAAATACAATACTTGGTAACAACAAGGTGGTAACAAAAATGAACGATCGTGAAACAATGACGGACGAAATTGGTCGAATCGGTTCTGCTGAAAAGATAAGCATGTCAAATAGCCGCACACAGACAGATATTCCTCTCCATCGGGTTCGAGATCTTAGAACAGTCGAAACGCAGAGTACAACACCGGATCTAGACAGCGATACGTTAGATCTTATTTTCTCGTCTGGAGGAAAATTTCAACATTTTATGGATGGAGTAACTCACGCGAATCAAACCTTGCAAACACAACTCCGATCTCAAGAGGAGCAACTTGGAAGAATGACAACAGCCACAATGTCTACGTTCAGAAGAATGTTAGAATCGGTAGGTTTTAAAAATGTTCCTTCGACAATGACTCCGGACGAGATGGAACGACTCCTCAGCCAAGTGCAAAGCGTCACACCTATCGCATTAAGTGAAGTAGGAGCGATGCAAAGATTGATAGAAACTTTAAGAAAGGAAAAGATTACAGAAAGCAAAGATGTAGGGACACAATATTCTCTTGGAGATGTGCCGCGGGTTGCTAGACAACGCCCACCACCCATAATTACGAATTTCTCACCAACAATAAGTTATCCATCTGCCAGTTCAGCAGTCACTCAAAGCGACATTTTCCCGAATAGGAGTCCAAAATCTACCCTTTCAACTGGAACGGTAGGATCCCCTATGGATCTCTCCACACCAATTGAACAGTTTGTTACCGCCGAACCGATTACTCAAGTTCTTTCCCAAAATGAGGATTCTGCAACACCAACACAGAGAGACATCTTCACCGATTCCCCAGCAGTGAGGGCTCCAGAAAATACACCCATTGCGCCAATAAGGAAAAACAAAAGTACACGAACATCTTTACCTCCCAAGAGATTATCTTATGAACACGGCTGGGAACAATCTTCAAAACGGGCACGAAAGGTATAAGATAAAAAGATCATAATTGTATAGAAGGTTATAATTGTAATATTTGAGAATCATAGGATTCTGAAATGTACAAAAGCGCATAAGTTTCAAACGATCTTCTTCCCGGCTCGTCGAGCAAGGATAAATGGAAGCAGTTGTGGAGGTATTACACCTTTTTTAGGTTTTCCCGATTTAGTTCTAGCAGGGATGCGAACTGGTTTCAAAACCTTTTGTTTTCTCGGCATTGGTTTCTACTATATGATTAGAAGATTTTTATACGATATCGACGGTTGCCCCAACAAGGATGGTGCGTTGTGCATAGACGGTTGTTTGCAATGAAACACTGGTACTCGGGGCCGGGAGACTGTGATTTGTGATTAGATGTACGTTTCCAGAGCCTCCGAGTAGGTTCAAAGCGCTACTGGAATCTTCATCTGCGCTTTGCCACGAATAACGCATTACGAACTGTTTGTTGTAAAAGTTATCAATGTCCAGGTCTTCAGAGGCGTATGATGTGTTGTCGTTCATGGAGAGGTTTCCTATCATAATGGCATCGCTTGCCTCGAAGTCTTCTGTGAGCGGTAATCTATATTGGCCTATCTGGTATCTCCATGACTTCAAGTTGGCTGTATCATAAATCAGAGATTTGTCTCCTGATGTGGTGGCGTATTTATTATCGTCTCTAAACCTATGTGTTAATCCGACAATCCGGCCGTTTGTGAGTGGGAGGATGAAGTTGTTCTGAGAAGCGCCACTACATACATTGGACAACTGCGAAACTGAAACGACATCCATTTCCAGATACTTACCTGCTCGAATCCCTGACCACAATGCGGACATATAAGCGGCACTCGGTGTTACAAGTTGTGCGATGTACCTCAAATTTGAAACTTCAAAGTACACTCCGGAACCAACATTGATAAAGGATTGCTGCGGTGTGTTTAAAGTAAATGTCAATTCCACCGATTGATTTGGCAAAATCGCTAGTGGAATCGGGTTTCCGTTTAACGGCCTCATGGACCCGAGCAACAAATGGTGTTTGAATGTGAAAGTTCCGTTCGGATTTTTGAAAGCATCCGGGTTACCTGCACCTTCGTTATATTTTAGGTATTTTCGTTTCTCAGCCTCCACAAACTGGAGAGTGTCTGCAACAAAACTTGGTACATCTTCAATCTCATCCACTGATTTTCCACCAAATTTTACGCCCATCGTTCGGAAGCAAGCCATTGCACCGATTTGAGAAATCTGCGCATCCGTGACGGGGCTTCCATCCGCATTTTTCACAGTAATTGTTCCCGATAGATACGAACGTTGAGGTCTCAAAAAGGAACTATTGGAATCAACTACGATTTTTATAGCATTTCCAGGTGATTTTGAACTAAACGTCTCCTTGATTGGGCGATAAATGGCAATATTTTCGCTGAGAGCGTCTGAATGCATCGAAAATTGTCTGCTACTATAGATCCAGTTTGAAGGAACAACGGGATTTGTTGACATTATTTTAAGTTATAATGGTTTAACATATCTCTAAGAAAAAAATAATCAACGTCCATCAACGTCCGCCAAAGATTCCCATATACGGATCATCATCTGCTTCGGGAGGATCGAATTCTACAAACGTGTTTTCCTCCACAGAGTCGTCTTTGTACGCAGCAGGTTGAAGCGCTTTCGGCATTCAATTGATTTTCGCTATACGCTCTTGTCGCTTTTGTTCAGCAATTTTCCTTTTTTCCGCTTCATATTTCTCAATTATCTTTCTTGCTTCGTCTTTTTTAGATTCTTTTGCCCTTTTCTCTTGCTCCTTTTCCTGCTGTTTATCTGCTTTCTCTTTGAGTTCCTTCATCTTCTTCAAGTTCTCGGTACGTTTCTCTTGCGCTCGACGCATTGCTTCGATCTGCTTTTCAGATCGCGGTTTTTTGACCTTCACCTTTTCAATAACAGCCTCGGTGATCGGGTCGTCAACAATTGGTTTTTCTTCCTGTACAGAAAGGTTTTCAGTAGATGCGCTTTCGTTTTCTGACATTTTGTTCAATGTTTTACTGTACAGAAGAGAAAAAAAATTCGTTATACAACGAGATCACTAGGGTCGTCTAAAATTCCCAGATGGATTGTTATTGGAGCGGATGTTTTCACAACTTGCAACGATGCGCTATCGACAATCTGGAAGTCAATTTGATTGAGTGTTAGATCTTCGGCTCGATGAAAGTTGTCACTCGGGTTGACCCATGTCAAGATATCTCCATACGAATCAGGATTTATCGCTGCTAAACAATTGATGTCCGAGTCAATACCAGCCGGATAAAGAATCGCTCCATTTGTCTGTAGAGTCCTTGAAGTTATTAGGATTGGTTGTGACGCTGATAGATTGAGTGTGTTTGGAAATGTTATACTTGATCCATATCCGGTTTCATTCACCTTATCGATACCAAGTTGCAGAAAAGCGCTTGAACCACGGGATCCTCCAAGAATCTTGAAAGGTTTACTTCCAGAGGTTGAAACAGTTAGTCTTCGAGTCACTCCATCGTAAGACACACTGTACGGTTGCGACCCCGCTGCAGTCATTGCGCTTCCAAGAGCACTCAAAATGTTTGTCGAGTCATAGGTCCCTTCGGGCAAAGTCGCTTTTCTTAAAGTCGTAGATCCTGACTCGGCAAAAACAACCGCGTTGTTAAAATCGGATGTCGCACTCCATGACTGCAGTAGAGATACCGAAATGAGTCTCCATGCATAGCACGGGACTGTATTTTGAAGACGAAATGTACAATTATTCATATCTGGTAACGTACCAGAATTGAGGATAATCTCTCGAAACATCGATTTCTTATCTTTTGTATAATGTAAAGAGATTAATTTTACGAGTGCGCTAAATATGAGAATTGCTAAACCAAAAATTCCGTCTGAATATCAGATACACATAAAGGACAAGACGCCCGATGACTATCCGAAGAAATTCTTCACTTTGACTCTAGTCGGGAGTTCAAGAGCAGGGAAAACTACCTGTATTACCAATCTCATCCAGAATTGTGCAAAAGCGTATGAAACGGTGGTGGTTTTCAGTCCAAGCGCGGATAGTCCGGAATGGACAAGTTTGAAGAAATGCGATAACGTGTACATGTCCAGCATAGTATCGAATCACATACTCAACAACCTTTTCGAGAAGCAGAAAAGTCTTTACAAAGGAGATAAATGCAAAAATCATATGCTGTTAATTCTGGATGATTTTGGTATCCTTGCAAAAGAAAACGGCCCCGCAATTGGAAAGGAACCTAAAGAACCCGAACTCGTATCGAGCGGTATAAGACAGATGTTAGACTTATTGTACTCCCGCTTTCGACACGCAGGGGGGAGTCTTTTATGCAGCCTGCATGACACGAAACAACTCACTCCTTTACAACGAGTGAATTCCACCCATTGGATTTTGTATCGACTTAATCAGAAACAGTACGAGAAGATTGCGGGTGAGATTCGCTGTCATTTGTCAGAATCGGAGTTTGTAAATTTAGCAGAGAAATATACTGTCAAACCTTATCATGCGCTCTACGTCGATTTGAAAAGCCCGACAAACGAAGGAGTCTTTAAAGAATTGCAACCAGAAACGGATTAAAGAAAAATTTCGTGTACTTACAGTATAGAATGGTTGATAACATTTTCTATTTGCCAAATTCGCTGACCAAAGAATCTTTTGACAAACTTCTTGAAGACCTATCACAGGATAGGCTTTGGTTAGACATGCCAGGAGGACGTAAGGACGAGAACTTTACAGCAATGTAAGGAAGAAATAGTTGTGAATATCGTTCAGTCGCATTTGGACAAGCAGGTTCCAGTTAAAACTCCAAGAAGAAAAAAGGCCGCTTGAAAGTTTCCAAGATTTCCGTCCTAAATATGACGTAAAACTGTTTTCCTGCAAGTTAAGCAACAAAGACATCTTCCGCGCGACCAAACTCCTGAACAATTAGTGCCATTTTACTATTTGGGTTGTGCTTTTTCAGGTTGATTCGGGCTTTACCTATACAGTTTGACTTCTTAATTGACTGCATCAAGCCCAAGAAACAGGCCCAGGTGTTTTATCAATTTCACCCAAAAATGACAAAAATTGGCCACAACATTAATTTGTGGTCAATTGATAAACAAAGATGGACTCCGACAACACAGGAACCTCCTCTCTTCGATATGACCCCATCACTGCCGAGGATCTCCGGAACCTCACTACGTTTTATTATCAGAATCAAAACTTTCTAGGACGAGACAAATTGTGGTATGCATATAGAAAAGCGTTTCCAAATAGTAGGATTTCGCAAAGAACCCTTCTTAACGACTTTCTCAAGAAGCAAGAGATTTGGCAGAGGAGCACAAAAGTTATGGGATCCCGAGGCTCGATAAAACCGATTTTGGCCAGAAAAGAAGGAAACTACCAGATCGATTGTATAAACTTGCTGTCCGTAGCATACAATGGATATAAGTATTCTGTCAACGCTTCAGACATTCTCACCAAAAAAGTGTACAGTATGGCAATGAAGACACAAGATCAAGCCACTGTTGTCAAGTTTCTAGAAACAATGAAACGGGATGGCGCTGTATTAGTAAGTTTCACATCCGATGTAGGTACGGAATTTCAAGGTCTGGTGCAAGAGTGGGCTGACTCGAATAACGTGGAGTGGAAGTTCGGACAACCCGGTGTCCCGCAAGGACAAGGACAGATAGAATCCGTTAACAAAAATATAAAAAATCTGATCTATTCCTCGATCCGATTCGGAAAACGGGATTGGCCAAATTATCTTCAAAAACTCATAGATAATTTAAACAACACGAAAACGTATGCGACAGGGAAGGCTTCAAACGAAATCTTACAAGATGAACATGAAGCCATATTTGATCGCATACGGAACAAGAAATTGAAAGGAGAGAAATCAACAGTTTTGAACGAATTTAAAGTGGGAGATGTTGTAAGAAAGATAATACCGTTACCGAGTGGTATCAAAAGGCGCTGCAAAGGTGGGATATTTCTCGTCACAAACTTATAGAATTGATGGGAAAGTGCAAAGTAACTATGCAGGTTATGTTTCATCGTATAGATTAAACCGAATGGATGGAACAAGACTTCCCGGTTTAACATCTGCTAACGATCTTCGCTTGGTTCCTGATGGAACTGTCACCGTACCAAACATCGCTTCCCAGCCAGATCCAAATGAAAACGACGAATACGAAATTGATTCAATACTTGATTCAAGAGTAGTACGTAGAGGCAACAGAAGGATAAAGCAGTACAAGGTTCTATGGAGTGGTTATGATGCGTCCCAATCAACTTGGGAAGATGAAGGGAATCTCGAAAATGCACGGGAGGCCATAGCCGAGTATGAAGAGCAAAATGGATAATAGGTTTTCAAAACTTGTCATCTAGATTTAAATCGTCATTAAGATCGTCGATATCCATCGCATCATCATTAGATGAGCCTTCGTTCTCCCTGTGAAGGTTATAATACACTTGTCGTGTTGCATAGGAATGACCATGCTTTTTTGCAAACTCTTTTTGGACCCGAGGATCTCCGTTATCCAATCTGATCGAGTCAATGACTACAATTTTTCGAATTTCATTGACTCCAAGTTCTTTTCCGATATGTTGTTTACAAGCGATCTTCATAGCCCTTCCCAAACCTCCGCCTTCATAGGGTTTACCTGCGTTTCGCGCTTTTTCAAACAATTTACTCTGTCCTTTGGCCTTACGAATATCAACCAGATTATCAATGTGCCTTTTGACAACGTCATCGATAACCGTAATAAGAACATCGGTGTCCCCCTTATTCTTGTTACATATTTTTATCAGAAAGGTATGGGTTTCCGTATTAAATGTAACATTATCCGCTTCGGAAATGTCCATAAACTTTGCTTCGCCAATGTCTGCTCTTCGAATAACATCTGAACCAACAAAACAAGCCGCTGCAAGCAACAAACCATACTTATATGGATCTTTAACGGCCTTTTCTTTAAGTTGATCCAATTTCTCGTAAAGAGCGTTGATTAAAGGGTCTTTTTCAATGAAGCGCTTCGTTTCATATTCTTTATCCATTACGAGATCGCGGGCTTGTATCTCTTTACAACGATCGCTATTGATCTTGAGATAGAAACCTCCCATTTCGTCAATATGCGTAAGTTTGTCCATTGTGCACGCATCTAGGAATCGTTTCTTTGCAGTTTGACCGTAGAGGCTAGACGAAAACCAATCATACAATCCTATTTTTTCCTCGTTTGTCATAATTTTGAACATAGCGGACAACACCTTTGTACAATTCGCTCCATTGTCTGTAGAGTATTTTTTCGTCAAGATATTCATGACATCGGTCGGAGATGATAGAACTTTAGGATCAAGGATTCCGTACGCTTCAAGTGAATTGCAGGCAGAGAGGTACGTTTTTCGACTACTCGCAGCCAATCCTATCGTTCCATTCTTTTGATGGACGGTATCGGCATATCGGTTGATAAGTTTCTTGGCTATTTCAATGTTCATTGCTGTGTCGTTCTTTGGTTGTGCATAAACCATTACTCGTTTTTACTCTTTAAATAACAATTTAAAAAAAGAATCGAATTTTATCGATATTACATCACTACATCGAAGTTCATGATCAAGCATATTCCAATTCCTCCTCCACAATTTGCTCCTCCTCCTCTCCAACGTCTTCGTTTTCCTCTTCCTGCTCCTCTTCCTCGTCGTTCTGCAAATCTTGTTCCTGTCTCGCCTGCGCGTGCCCAACCTCCCGCATTTTCTCCTTGACAGTTTTGAGACGAACTTGCTTGGGGGTTATATCAAGGCGTTCATCTTTTCCCGGTTCCAATAGGCGAAAACGTTTTTCCACATATTTCTGGACGTCTTCATCGTACATCGTTGAAACTTGCCGCGCGCCTTGTTTTACAAAACGCTTCAAGACTCGATTGATGATAGCCTCGGTAAGATTTTCAATCGCTTTCCCTTTCGACGAGCGAAGTAGGGCAGGACATGTAAGAATGCCCCAACCAAATTCGTCGATAGCGATATGCATATTCGTGCATAAGCGGTTGAACGATTTGATTTGTCGCTTTGACGACCCGCCCGCAAGAATCCCCTTCTCTTTCTCAAGTTTGGCTTTGAATATTTGTGTTCGCAACTGCTGTTTTGCTTCTTCGCTTTGCTCGTTATCGTTCGCGGGATCATTTCTTCGCTGATCGACGAGCCACTTGTAGTAGTAACCGACATAGTAATAATTAACAAATCGATCGAAATTTTCCGCGAGACCAGAGGTTTTTGACGAAATGAATAATTTGAACACATCGAGTTCAATGTCGGGAACATTATTTCGACTCGCTTCTTGACGAGGAGCGATTGGGTCGATGTTCACATGTGCGCCTTGCAATGTTGTTTCGATGTGGTAATCTTTCCACACCAGAAAAGGATCTTCGGGTTCAATCGGAACGCCGGCTGCGTTCTTTCGGTGAAGTAATCCAATCTGTTGTGCAAAACGTCGGGCATGTGTGTCTTGAAGGGTTTTCTGTCTTTGCAGAACTTCCTCTTCGCTCAATGGAGCGCGCTTCCTTCGTCTGCTGTTGTTCTCCTGGACATCCGGATGTCCAGGGCGTTGTTGTCGTTCGGCAGGCATTTTTGATAGTAGGATTATTGATGACTGGGGTTCTTCATACGACACCCGACCTTATATATTCAGCGCACCTCCGGATACATTATAGGTGCGTCAACAGCGGTGGATACACTCCATTGTTTTCAAACTTAACTCTATTTCGCGATAAGGAGTTACTAAAAGAGGAAACTGTCAAATTTCCTGAAGGTTGCGGCATTGTTGAACTCCACCAACGAGCGCGGTTCACTAATTTAAAGTTATCTGCAGAAATAAAGTAAACAATGCCTGAAGAGACTTTCAAACCATACACAAAGAAATTCAACCGATATGGACAAATCATCATTCCTTCGCAGTGTCGAAAGTGTCAAGATTGTGACGAAATTATTCCAATTATCCCAAGACGAGTCCTTTGTGGTAAATGTTGGTGGGACAAACGTACAGGACCAAAAGGTTGGAGTCTAAATTTCGATAGCGATTGAGTTCGATGATAAATGACCAATACGATGATCTCACAGAAGAGGAACCGATGAAAGGGCGCTTTGCATATAAGCAAAATTATGAGAGACGTGAGCAAGAAGAGCATCGTTTCAACAATGGCTTCACCGCACGAGATCCAAACAAAATTGGAAAATATAGTAGATAGAATGTCTGAGCAGATGGAAGCCTACAAAAAAACCGGCCATTACGAGACTTTGTTTCATGTGAAAAAGATGTTCCTATTGAAAAAGCCTCTTGAATACTTGCCCCGGAAGTTTAACGACGCAAAACTTTGGAAGCAGTTCCAAGCAACGATGTTCAAACATAGATTTGTTGCAAAGCATGCTTATATTTGCAATTTTTGCAACAAATATCACAAGACTTCGTCAGATTGCCTAGAGTGCAGGTGCTGTGAAGACTCCAATCCATTTGATAGACGGAGAGTTTGGATCATTTTGAATTGCAGCCTTGGAGAGCAAATCCACAACCACGAAAATTATGGTAAAAACTCACCACGAGGTGGAATGATTCCCCAGGAGTATAGTCACTACCGTGAGTGCAAAGAGCGCCTTGAGCGCCTTGAGCATCAGGAATACCCCACGTCTACCCAGACCTCCTAAACTATAAATCTAAAATTGTCGATTTGATCCGTTTCCAATGGACATCTTTGTCATAAATTTTAGAGTATAATGAGTGCCGTAAGTACTCTGAGTATCTTGAGCATCAGAATAGCCCCCCATCTTCCCGAGCCTCCTAAACTTTAAATCTCCAATTGTCGCTTTTGCGTCGCTCTCAATGGACATATTTGTCATACTTTTTTGAGTATAATGAGTACCGTGAGTACCGTGAGTACCGTGAGCATCAGAATTACCCCCATTTTCCCGGGCCTCCTAAACTATAAATCTCCAATTGTCGGATTTGGGCCATTTTCAGTTGGACTTATTTGAGATTCCTTTGTCGACATAATGTTGTCTGGAATCGTAATCTTCTGAACCGTTATTGGTAAAATTTGTCTTGATTGTTTCCCCCCGGGGCATTTTGATATCGAAGTAATGGTATTTCGGTTTACCCCCATCTGTTTCGCTAGATCCCGCACTGTCTTCGAAATGAATTCGTGTTTCATTCCATATTTTTCGTACGTTCCAATATATTGATATGCCATTTGTTCACCTTAGTTCAATTGTATACTATTAGGCCATTATTTCTTTAATTGCTGCATGCGTAGACGCATCTGTGACATCGTCCAAAATGCGTTTAGAAACCTGAGAAAACAATTGTGTGCCTAACAGTTAAGCACACACAAATTGAAAATGGCTGAACAGATCATTGAATCCACACGCTTTAGAAAAACGGCCGTTAAACAGAGAAGAAAAGCATGAAGTTGCACATGTCAACAGACTCATTCAATTGAAGAATTGTAAATTGCTCGATGTTGCCACTCGTGATCAAATCAAGAGGTATATGGATTTGAGATTGAACGATACAAACAAATTCTATGTTCAGTATGTGTACTCCGAAACGTCTCCAAAGTGCAGATTGTATGCGCGCCACCTTGTCGGCGGTCAAGGATTTGAGAGGAATCTACGTTGTTACAGTATGGAGGACTTGTACATTGATCTCGACATCGAAAACGCATTTCCAAGCATTACCTCACAATTGAGCAAGAAACTGAAATTACCCAAATGCAAGAATTTGACCGAGTACGTTAGAAAGCGTGATACGATCCTTCAGAAATACGGGTTGAATAAGAAGTCCGTTTTGGAAGCGCTCAACAAATCATATGAAGTTCCCAGTCACCCGTTCATCAAAAGCATTCATAAATTTATATACGAAACTTTCCTCCCACCTTTCAAGGAAATGCCCGAATTCCAGGAACTTTGGGCAATTACCAAGAAAAACAAAAACGACGGAAATAGGGATGGTTCGTTCTACAGCAAAGTTCTTCAATATCATGAAAACATCATTCTTGGCGAAATGGAGACGTTCCTGGAGAGCAGTGGTTATGAAGTACCTGTTCTCGTATTCGACGGCGTTCAAGTTCTCCGAAACGAAAAGAACTTACCGGTTGACCAGACTCTTATTAATAACTTGCAGCAACATGTCAACAAAACAACTGGCCTTCTCCATCGTCATCAAAGAAAAGCCAATGAACTACGAGGTCAGTTACCTGGAGAAGTTAGGACTTGAAGTCATACCAATTGTAGCACAGAGCGATAGTGTGGAGGAGACAGCGCCTCTCATTAGATTACCGCTTTTTGACGATCCTTTGTTAGATCAACTTGCCAAAAACGCTATTCTCCACAGAAGTCATGATGCGGTCGCTCGCTTTCTTATTGTTTTGTGGAGAGATGATTTCTACTACAAGAATAAGGTCTGGTGGTACTTTTCATCCCATCGGTGGACTTGCGATTCCGGCGAGTTCTTTCAACATCGCCTTTTGACAGAATTGATGCCTCTATTGGAAGAAAAGACAAAATGGAAAAGTCATCAAAGCGACGAGCGCTTAATTGGTATGCTAAAGAAACTGTCGTCCTGTGTCGAAACATATCAGTTTTACCTCAACGTTTGTAAAACCTCGGCCCTTTACTTTTCACAGGAAGATTTCCTTCAGTTTGAGCGTAAATTAGAGACATGTACAAATATTGTCTGCTTTCGAAACGGGGTCTATGATTTAGACAAATTGGAGTTTCGGAATGGAAAGCCAAACGATTACTGTCTCCTGCAAATTGGCTATGACTATATCGAGTATGATCCGCATGATGAGACAACGGTTCGTTTGGAAAGTCAAATTGACAAAGTTCTACCGATTCCGGAAAAAAAGGAATATGTTATGAAAACCTTCGCTTCATCTCTGGGGTGTAATCACAACGATAAGTTCAATATTATGGTCGGCCCGGGCGCACAAGGAAAATCGTTCCTTGTAGGATTAATGACCGAAAGTATGGATGTTTACGCAACGAGTTGGAACTCATCCATTTTGGTGAACGACTTTAACGGGGACAAAGCGAACCCGGAGTTGGCAGATGGTAAATATAAACGTTTCATTGAGATCCAAGAAAACAAGAAAGAAAAAGCCCTCAATATGGAGAACGTTAAAAAACTAACCGGCTACGATCCAGTCCGTGCGAGAAATCTCTATGAGAACGGTTCCAACTTTGTCATCAAAGCATTGCTGTTTTTGTCCGTGAATGATCTACCTGTCATCTTAGAAGTCGATAATGGTACGTGGAGACGGATCAACATAATTGCGCTTACAAGCACTTTCGTTACAGATCCGGCATTATGCGATCCTGACAAGCATATCTATCTTGCGGACGAGGGAGCCAAACGAAACCGAGGGTTTCAAGCACCGTACTTCATGTCCATTCTAATCAAATATTACAAATTGTATAAGGAAGAAGGAATCCGGACGCCGCAATCCATTCTCGATGATACGATCAAGTACAAGAGAAATAACGACATCTATCAGACGTTTTTTGATGAGTGCTGTCTCCATGCACCTGAAAACAAGATTCTAGTGGAGGATATCCACAAAGAATGTATCGAGTGGGCCAAACGGCAACAAAATAAGAACATACGCATTAACCGAAACGATATGTTGAAATGGTTACAAAACTATGCTAGATCACAAGATGATATAACTTACAACAAGTGTCTTCGAGTTACAAAATATGTAGACGGTAAAGGGATGTCGAAAGTTTCCACCGGATTCCAAGGTATCAAATTGAACCGATATGAGATGCTTCCGCAACAATCGTATTCAGTATGTGAAGACTCGGCGGATGAGTAAGGAGAGTAAGGAGAGTAAAATGAGTATGATGAGTATCAAAATGACAGGGTGTAAATGTGACGGGCACGGAGAAAGTGAAAAGTGTAAAGGTAGTATATGGCGGATTTGTAGCATTGTAGTGGTGAAAATGGGTAGAAACCTCTGTATAATAGGGGGGGGGTAAGAAAAGAGTTTGCGACGGAGAGAGTTTTTTTTTAAGGGTGCCTGTTTATAATATAGTTTTTCTGAAAAAAAGAACTACAATACTACAGATGGCATTTCGATAAAAGATGGAGGGTAAAAATTGGAAAAGTGACGGGATTGGCTTGAGACATGGAGGGAACGGGGAAAGTGGTGAGAAAAAGGACTGTAGTGAAAGTGGTTGAATCGGTGGAGCACAAAGTTAGGCAACGGTTAAAAAGTGATGTATGAAGTGAGGTAGAAACGCGAGGAGAAGAGGATATGTAGATGGGGATGGAGGCGGACCAATATGGATGGCAACGGAATGAAATTGAGGGTAAGTTTTTAAAAATGGAAATGAGAATATGAAAGGAAAGTGAGAAAATAAAGGGAGAAAACGGCGAAATCTGGGGAAAAAGTTGCAAATTTGGGTCGAAAAAACCGAAATTTACGACAAAAATGACATTTCAAAATATCGCATTTTTTCGTGGGGGATCAGGAAGCGGAGATGTCAAAGTGATACTCATTCTACTCATCGTACTCATTATACTCACGCTTCTGAACATACGGATTTGAGAAATCACGGTGAAAAGGGCCGATTTATGATTCTGAAGCATTTGTGCGTCGGGGAGGGCTGGGTTCTGGAGGTGTCAAATTGATACTCATCGTACTCACATAACTCATTGTACTCGCCCAACAGATAGAGTAGTTTTGAGAAAGTGGCTGAAATAATGGCGAAAGCGACCTTTTTGTGATAGTTTGGGCATTTGTACATCGGGGAGGCCTGGGTATTGGAGGTGTCAAATTGATGCTCATCATATTCATATACCTCATCGTACTTGCGCGACAGATAGGGTAGTTTTGAGAAAGTGGTTGAAATCATGGCGGAAAGGACCTTTTTGTATGAGATAGACAAATGGTGAGAGTCGGTGAGGGATGGGTATGGGAGGTGTCAAATTGATACTCATTGTACACATCGTACTCATATAACGCATGGTTCTTGGGACATCCGAATGTCCCGGTGGCTTAGATTGTGAAGGGAAAGTAACAGAATTTGACAGCGCGTCGTGGGAACTGAAGAACACGGTCTTACCCGACTCCTGGTTAATGGCTCATAGGCTGGTACGGTTAATGCATAATACCAGAGGTGTAGGATACATGGTTAATACATTACACCCTACATCAGGAATACGGTTAATGCATAACACTTTCAGCAGCCGCTACGGTTAATGCACAGTGTAAAGTAGAGCCCGGTACGGTTAATGCACAGTGTAATAGTATAGTGGATCAGTGCATAGCATAAACCATTGGTTTATGCTATGCACTGATCCACCCGTCTCCGTCTCCATCGCCGTCTCCGTCTCCGTCGCCGTCTCCATCCCTGTCTCCATGTACTTACGTCGCGAAAAAGGCCCTGAGAGTCACAAACCGCCTGGCAGATAATCTACTGTGTGCCCTTACGGTTGGTGTACGCATTATGAATCTCATCCCCGGGAGGTTTTTGCAGTCTGAAGTGGGTGCCGTCTATCGCTCCTCCACAAGGGTATATGCCACGGCGAGACGCAAAACCAGAGGCAATATGACCCCATGCAGCCAGATCTGACGGGGGAGGCATCCTAATAACCTTGTCTCAAAGCACATCCTTGATTGCAACTGCCACATCCTTGCATGTGACACGCACGGCAGTGCGGGAGACCTGAAAGACATGGGATACGACTGGCTCGGAAGTCCCATGAGCCCACCGATATAGAGCTATTGCGAGGCGCTTGGGCACAGGGAGACCTCCCCGAGCCAGATCTTTATACAAGACACGGGAAAGCTGTGCAGCAATCCACTCGAAAAGGCCGCAAGCCACACGGAAGTGCTTGATAAACGGGTCCCCATCTCCGGCGTTGGGAGGTTGATGGAGCTTCTCCCGCTCCCAGAGGCTGATCCGGAGGCTCCGACGATTGCCAGGAAGGCATCTCTTCCGCACTGGCTGAGTGGCGGCAAGGTAGAGTGCGCAGATGAAGGCAGGTTCAGTCCAGAGGTTGTTCATGAGGGCAGACACGACTGGAGACAGGCTGGAGACAGGCTTGGCGACTGGAGACAGGCTCGGGACAGAGACTCCCCTAGCTCTGGATCTGGAGACGGGTCTGGACTCTGGAGACAGGCCTGGTGGATCTCGCACACATGAATTTACTCCCATTTGAGATCGACTCTGGACACCAATCCCGCACTGTGCCAAGTTTAGCTTGACAAGACCCTGGTCTCCGGTACGCAGCTGAGTAAATTGGCATATTGAGAAGTAGGTCCCCTTAAAAAAGGGCTGGAGATCAGCTATCGATAATGTGCCCACAACTCGAGCCAGATGTCGAGCCCAACTCGATTTACTAATTGTCGATCCCAGTAAATTGGGCGCCTAAGCTTCTTCCCAAGGAAGGCCGGTAACCTTAGGCCGCGCGTCTAAGTACTATACAGTTGTACTCTGGACGAGGAACGTAGTCCTCTAGAGTCTATGGATGAGAGCGGCGTCGCGACGTGCCGTCAGAGCCCGTTGTTCTGCCTCAAGAGGCGGTGTTTGGGGATGGGGATGGGCGCATTCGATGTGGACATGTCGTCGTGCGTACGCTTCCAGCGTGGTGGCGTTCTGCAAGCCTTTCCCACTTTCTTTCGAGGGCGGCGATGAGGGCAGCCTGGTTGTCTCGCTCAATAGAGGCGACGACCTGCTCGGCGTGAGAGAGATTCTCTTCCCATTCCGCAATTTCATCGGCTGTGGGGTTTGCGGGAAGGCTCGGGATGCGGCGAAGGATGGGCGCTCAGGCCACCGCACTCATCACAGACAAGCGCACTCAACAGCCACACTACCAGCATCACTCGGCGGCAAACTCCGTTCATTTGCTTGTCGGGGAAAACTCCGACCGGCGTACCGTTCTCAAAACGCACATACTTTATATATGTAAAGTTTATGGTATTCGATACAAATCAGAATGGGTCAGCGCAAATGTTCTAAAGTCTGCAATCGATCTAAAGTCTCAGCAAGCCCAAGGATGCGCCCAGCAGCAATGACACCCTCCTCCCGCAACAACCGTTCGACTCGTTTTGCCAGCTTCTCGTTGATTTGAACGGAGGTCCCGAGGCGATTCGAGTCTTGGCCTCTGACGGACGACGTGGTTGCGTGTGCATCCTCAGGCCCTTGCCAAACGATTTCGACAACGCCATCGCACGCATCAAAGTCCACGTATACACGATAGTCTGCATTCACAAAGACTCCACCATGACAGGCGAATCCATCCGCCTTGCTTTTCAGCTTGCCCGTTGTGTTCGAGACAGGGAACCAGATTCCATATGTGAGTTTCGATGTGTCGTTATCGCGGGGGAATTTATTGGCAAAATCATCCCATGTGGCGGTGATATTGCTGGCGAAGGGGTCGTCTGCAACGAGGTTGCCGAATTCCGCTTGTGAAATGCTTGGCACGCGTAGTTCCTTTGCCCGCTTTTTGATGCGAGACAAGAGGTAAGGCAAAAGCTTATTGAGAAAGTAGATGTAATGCGCCTCACTTTTTGGTAACTCAGCTTGTAAGGCGCGCCACTTCTGCACACTGACGGAATCCTTTTTTCGTGGTTGGTAGATCCCCATGCTTTTCCCACCATCCATACCCGCACGCCACCCAACACCGATCATGGTGCCGGATGTCTGTGCACCGTTTATCGTCACCAGGTAAACGAGCTCTCGCTGGTGGTTGAGGTGGAGCGCGATCTCCTCGAAACGGGTTCTGTCATCCGTGGACATATCCGCAAATGGACAAAACCTTGCCGCAAATACAATCTCATCTGTTTGCCTGTCGGCTACGACAACGATGTCCTTGTAGAGACGGGTGTACGGGTGATCGTGATCAACTTCCCTAGTATATTGCTTGAGGAAGTCTTCGTGCGTAAGGTGCTTTCCAAACGGATGCGGGTTGGTTTGCTGCTCAGTCCCATCTTGCAAAGGTGCAAAAGACACGGTGTGCACCAGGGTGGTGTAAAAGCAAGGAAATTCAAATCGGATGTAAATTTAAATTCAAATCAAATTTAAATCAAATTTAAAAACTGAAGAACACCCTGAGGAGAGCCGATATTCGCGCACTCCAGAGCCAATGTTCCACAAGGTGTAGATGACGTGGAATGGGGGAATGACTCATTGACTCACCACATTGTTCCGGGAACTCGGTATTACAGCGCTTCCGGGACTCTGGTACCGGCTATGGCCAAGCCTACCCTGGCTCAGACACAAGTACGTATTCAAAAGATGCCACTTATCACAGCCGCGGTCACGGCTCACAACGCCCCGGTTCGGTCTTTGAATAGAAGATGGAACCCGGAAACCAGGGTTCAGATTTCATTAGTTGATTTGGAATGCGACGCGTGTATGAGTCATAAATTCTCCATCACGAATGGTATGACTCATGACTCACAATAGAATTCTTCATAAAGCGTCATGTGATACCACGTTACTTAATTTGAGCTCATATTGCAACCAGGTCGTCGGGTCAGTAACCAAACACGTGACTCCCCAGGGATGAGCCTAAATAATGCTTTCCAGGGCCCCGGTACGCGTACGCCCGGCAACGTGGATCGCGTCAATCAACGCTTCCACCAGAAAGCTGGTAGCTATCCCCGGCAGTGTACCGGCGAACGAGGTTGCGTAATTAATGGGGACCTACTATGATGGTACCGGCTATGTGGTAAGTGGCGCCGGCCGCCATCAAATCGACAGTATTGGCCGCACGTGGCGCAGTCCCCCATTCCACGTCATCCCCCGCAGCGCACCCTAAGCCCACTAGTGCGGGGTCACGTGATATGCTGCTGAGATTCAGCAGCACCTGGGTGTGCACGCCGCGTAATTTGACAGAATCTGTCCGGAGCATGCGGACAAGGCTGATTCAGCGCCCCATTCAGAACCGGAACCAGGGTTTCCTGAGGTTTTCAAGTTTTCCACAGCCCGTTCCCCCAAGACCAATATGCATGCTTGAAGTTTGGGGCATGCTGACTGATGGAGAGTGGGTGAGTGACCAGCTGCTGTCTTACTGCGCCGGCTGAGCTTCTGCCGACTCGGGCAACCCTTGATCTTCTCAAGGTCTAGTCGCAAGTTGTTGCAATGTCGACACGGATTACGTCGTATTTTGGAAAGAAGACTACCCTGAATTTCGCCGGAAATGGACCTCCTCCAAAACCGCAACGTGGGTTGGAGATGTCGCCAAAGGATGCTACTTTAATAGCGACTCTCAAGAAAGGTCAGTGCCATCGTTCTACACAACTCACAGAGCGGAGGGCTTGCGACCGTCCCGGTTTTTCTTACTAAGAGCATGTCTATGTTGCGCGTTGCAACAGTTTTCGGATTGGAGGAGTTTCGAGGAACGCAGCTCGATGTTATCAAAACAACGCTGGCGGGTAAGGTTTCTGCGGGAGTGTGTACGCGTCATCGAGAGAGTTCTGCTGACGCCCCTTCCAACCACAGGCCGTGATTGCCTCGTCATCATGCCGACGGGTGGTGGGAAAAGTCTGACATATCAACTGCCAGGGGTCATAGATGAAGGGGTCACGCTCGTCGTCTCGCCGCTTCTAGGTAGGCTGGATAGTTCATCCGTTTTCGCGTCGGTTTTCCTGAAGGCCGAAGCTTAATCATACAGCGCCGTTTGCAGCCTTGATCGTGAGTGCACTCCGGTATATGCCACATTGATAGCGCTATGAATACTGAACAAGCCAAACAGCAAAACCAGGTGGATGCCTTGAAGAAGCTTGGAGTGAAAGCGGCGACATTGAACTCCACTTTGAAAGTCAAGGAACGAAAGGAGGTCAATATATCGCCGCGGCTCTCCGTCAGCGGTGCATCGCTGCTTAACGCTTAACTACAGATAATGGCAGATTTGGACTTTGCAAAGCCCAATATAAAGTTACTTTACGGTGAGCTATCATAGTCGCAGAAAACACCAAACACTATCAGTATGATGCTCACAACAATCAAGTTGTAAGGATCATCCCTTCAGTGTCCAGAGCGTCGCACAACATACTGATGAGCTGGACAGACACCCGAGTTGATGGCCACGGATAACTTTCGAACAATCATGACCAAGCTTCACGGGCGGGGCATGCTGGCGCGCCTTGTAGTGGATGAAGCTCACTGTATATCTGACTGGGGTCAGGACTTCAGGTTTGAGTCTGGCAGGAAGCGCTTTTCGACAATCCGGCTTGCTGAGTTTTGACTTGTAGATCGGACTACCGCCGCTTGATGTGGTTTAAAGACAGCTTTCCACAGATCCCAGTCATGGCGCTTACCGCAACAGCGACAGACGTGTAGGTTCAGTGTGCCAATTGAGATAATATTATTTTCGTGTGTGCTGATGTCGCGGATTCGCCGACAGAGTGCGAGCCGACATTATAAAACAGCTGCATTTGCGAGAGCCGCCGGAGCTAGACGTCTTTCTGAGCTCCTTCAATCGACCGAATCTTCATTACGAGATCCGATTCAAATCTAAAGATCTCAGCAACGATCCGTATCCAGACCTCCTCCAGTTCCTCAGGAAGATATATTCGAATCGAGCGAGACGTCTAGGGACAGCCAAGACAGCGGAAAGGATCGAAGGGATATGTGGGATCATATACTGCTCTACCCGAGCGATGTGCGATGAGGTGGCGGCGAGACTTAGGATAAACGGGGTTCATGCAAGGAGTTATCATGCCGGATTGAAGGACTCGGAGAGGAGAGCTTTGTTGGCTGCGTGGAGTGGGACCTCGGCGCAGAGTGTAGTCCCAGAAAAGCCCGACAAAGACATGGAAGAGAAACCTGCGCCAACAGACACGGACGTGGTCGATGTAGTTGTTGCCACGATATCATTTGGAATGGGAATCGACAAGAAGGATGTGCGATATGTCATTCACTGGGACATGTCGAAGTCTGTGGAAGGTAAACTTCCGACTTTCAGTTTGCCAAATGGACAGCCGCTGATCACAGCGTACCACAGCGTATTATCAGGAAAGTGGGAGGGCAGGGCGAGATGGAAAGATCTCGCGTTGTATCCTGTACTACAGTCACCAGGACCGTGACCGACAAACATACCTCCTCCAAACAGCTCAGTCGGAAGGTAGCGGGTCTCCCAATGCAATCAAGAGCTTCAGCCAGGTGCGTTTGATGTCTCGGACTATGAATAGAGTGACCCGCCCCAAATAGAGCGACCCGCCGTGCACATCAATGACGCCATCTCGATTACAGCTTGTGGAATATTGTGAAAACGTCAAGACGTGTAGACACGTATTCTTTGAGCAATACTTTGGAACCGTAAATCCCAAAGCAGAAGAGCTATGTCCTGGCAAACGGTGCGATGTGTGCAAGGATCCTGACAAAGTGAAGAAAGCGAAGGAAGAGGCACTTGGCGGGGCTAAGCAGGAGTTGGGTGGGATCATCTCTGGAAAGCAGTTCGAGGCTGGCGGGTAAGACTTATGTCTTCGGCCACTTTATGTGAGTTAGTTCTCTGGCGTTCTCATGCCCTAATACATCGTTGGCGAAAAGGAACTATCGCCTAAAAGACGGGAGCTGGGTAGCCCCACCAAACAAACGCTCATCAGGCGAATCCACTCTGAATTACGGCATAACCGGGTCCGATGATCAGTCATCGTTCAGGAAGCGACGACGATTCAACGAGGAGGCCATTCTGGACGAAGATGGGTTTGAGGGAGATATGGGGTTCGGGTTCCGAACGGGTTTGGGAAGAGCTTTACATCAGGCTCCGCCAACGACTTTGGATCTGTTGGGCAGAGGGCGGAGACGCGAGGCTGTTTTTGGTACGTTTCGGATATTCTCGGCTCTTTCCACTCTCATGTTTATTCGACCTCGTCGCAGTGAGCGCCAAGGAAATGGCCCGAACCCAGTATCCTTTAATTATCTCTGAAAGGCATTCAGTCGCTGATTTAACGTTGGCGGACCGGGAGCGCGCGTTTACCCAATTACGACAGGCGGTTGCTTTGCGCTGCGAGGAGGAGGCGATGGTCGGCAGGTTGGGTGACCAGATGAATGCGGACCAGAGAAAGTGCGTTCTACATCACCGGGAGACACAATGTTGAAGCACACGGTACTCGCGCAACCCTGATAATTGCAACCCTCGTAGGTCATTGTTAGATGCTGTGGCGGCTCTCCTGGAAAATCAATGCTTCCTATTTGGGAAGATCTCGCTCAACTACAAAACGGCCTGGATGCAGCGCATCAAGGAAATCAAGCAGGGATCGGACAAGTATGACCAGATCATTAGCGATGAGACGCGGCGTCTGTGTGGTGATCCACGATAGTTTTCCACTTCCTTGGTGGAGAATCTCGAATAGACTATTTCTAGATTGCCGAAACCTGTCTGTCTGATTCTATGAAGACATGTCTGGGCTTCGCAAGTATAGATTTGATAAGCTACGCCGGGGCTCATTCTACATAGTGGGTGCCTTCAAAACAGTAAGAAGTCCGCCGATGAGATACAAACTGCCTGTCACGAGCACATTTTGCTTCGCATTCGTATCCGTGACAATCGACCGCACGGCGTCGTCGATGCTGGGCTGGATTTCGATCGGAACCTCCTTTGCCGCGCCACCTTCGCTGCCGCTCAGCGTGCGCCAGGCGGCTGCGAGCTCCTTCTGAATCAAGAGCTCTTCGTCTCGGAATACTGTGTTGTTGATTTGATCTACCCCTGTGTCGCCGGAAGAGAAACGGGTCAGTGTTATTCCGGTATTCCAAAACCCGTAGTGGAGGCCACCGCAAACTCACGTTGAGGCCCGAAGTCTGGCCGGTACGCATCGTTGGAGCAAAAGATTACGCGGGAGAACGGGAGCGAGGATCGGTGCAAGTCCACTAAGGATTTGAGTAAGACGATACCGTCACGACCTTTTGTGCAGTTGAATATGAGGACCCTGCTTTGTCCACTATGAACAGACGTGAATGCGTATAGTTACTCTCAAGGCCTGATCGCGTGAATCCGGCAAGAGTGTAACTTACTCTGTAGATGGAACTGATCCTTGTTGCTCCTGTTCGAACCAATCTGCGCAGACCTATTGCACGTGCAACAGCCCACGTGAGAAACATGATGGCACTTCGAGCGCACTGAACACCGCCGTCTCACCTGCATGCTCTCCTTGGTATGCGCTCCATCCAGATACCAAGTCACGCCAGGATGATCCGGTGTCACATATTTCTGCGCTCTGCCAGGCCACTTGGCATTCTCCAACCCCGAATCAATCGCTGCCTGTTCGTTGACAAACTGTACGCCCTTGATCTTCTGGTCCTCGATCCAGGCCTGGCATAATCGGACGGCTAGCGCGCCGTTCGCTTGCTGGTATGCTCCTGGCAGACCTGAATCGCGATGATGTTATTGAGGGAATATACTTTGAGGACGGGTTTCGTCACTCCTTACCAAGCTTTCGCTTTTGTACATATTCAAAGTCTTTTGAGTCAATGACTGCATATCGTGCTACCTAACCGGACGTTTGTCAGCCTGAATCCGACGCGATAAAGATGAAGATAGACTTACTTGTCGTTCCTCAGCGCGTTTCTCCAACACTGGGATCGTTTCCGCGGGTTGCGGAGCAGAAATCACTGGAACCCCAGTCTAGTCCCACGTTAAGACCACGCTACTTCGCAGATAATAGGCCACTCTGGTTTCCGAGACTAACCTTCATGATGCCCGCTTTATGCCATGCGATTTCGGCAAGTGTCGTTCCCAGTAGTGGTGTGTGGTCGTACCCGAGCGCGGTTATTCCGCACACGATTGGCTTTTCGACTACGTTTGTAGAATCGTATTCGCCTCCCATGCCGACCTCAAGGACCACTGCATCAACCTTGGTGAAGGATATTGTCAGCTCCTGGTTGATCTCTGTGCGAGAGAGAGAAACAAGTTATACGGCAGCCTACTTGTTCCTGCAGGAATGTATGAATGGCCATCAAAGTCAAGTATCTGAAGTATTGTGGTCGCTGTGGGGTATTCTCAAAACCAGGTGCTGTCTATCTGCCCTTCTTCAGTATTCCATCCGGAGACGGCGCGCAGGGCCAGATAAGCATTGATTACCGCGCGAGACGCTCCCAGAGCATCCCAAACTTCGAAGAAGTATTTGGCGAAAAGCTGCTTTTCAATCGGATCTCCATTGATTCGTATCCGCTCGCGTGCTTCAATTAAGTGCGGTGATGTGAAGAGTCCTGTGCGAAGGGTCGCATGTCAGCGACGACGTGAATCTCCCGACTAAAAGGTCAAACAGTAGCGCTGCATGCCTGTTTTGATATTTCGTTCCACCCCTCCGTTGTCGACTCGTCGTAATCTTCGCAGTATTGAATCGCTAATGGCAGAAGTAGAGCCTTTCCCTTTCGTTCCCGCTACGTGCACCACATTCAGTTTGTTTAAATCCGAAACCTTCGCGTATAGTATTCCCAACCGTCAGCCAAGATCCCCTCAATCTGCGCTTCAGCTGAGAACGTATCCACCTTATATCCAATCCGCTCCACGTATTGTATCATCTCAGGCATGCTCCGCTGGTTCATGGCATTCCCCGCCTTTCGGAGCTGCTCCAGCACTGCCGCATTTGTCTGGAGGCTGTTCAGGGCTTGAACTGCATCCTATATGGCAGCAAATATCTCATTCAGCTACCCTTCCGCTTAATCGCACCCGAGCTTAACCGGTACCATCTAACCTCATATGTACGCTGCATGGTGACGAAAGGCTTCGCGTTCATATGACGACTATGGACGCAAGATGATCGAAATGGGCCGAGATGCAGGGCTGAGCGGCGAATGACCTGAGACAACAAGCTTTGTTGAGGTAACCTCATGTACGTGAGAGTGAACGCTCAACCTTTCTGAGAGCGACGTTCCCAGACAAGTGGGTCGAAAATGCTGTTCAATTCCCGGCAACATCGGTGCCCCATTTTGTGTGTGTCGCTTTGCGCGTGTATGGATGCACTTTAAATGTTTTTATTTTTGTGACACGTGATGCCCAACGGAAGCCTTATGCTCCGTGCAACTCACTGTGTTGTAACAGTGGTGAAACACGCACGCTCATCTGATGAGGCGTCAAACAATCGAACTGCATTCAGCTTCCCCGCCGCTAATTCGAGACCGTCCAGAAGAAACAAACAGAACTCAAAAACCAGTAGCGTCAGAAGACTCTTGCACCAACCTTGTTGCCAACCAGCTTCAGCAGAGCACAGCTCCCCCTCCTTCGTTAACTGGCCGCAGTGTTGTGCGAGCGCATATCCATAGCAGGTGCAGCTTCCAGTTTCCCACCTTCACATCTTAAGTAACCCGCCAAGATGAGCAAAGACGACGAGTACGACTACCTGTTCAAAGGTATGCTTGGTGCTACACTACACTCCTACCTGGAATATTGCGACTTGGTGGACGTCAACGGAGGTGGATTTGGGAGATTTCCGGCTCGTTCACGCCGCCCAAGACCGACGGACGCAGAGGACGGCGTTGAACAAACTGAGAGTGGGAATATCCGCCACCACAGGCTCCTGGATGCATACAGGCACCCGTAATCTTCTCTAACTCCGTTTCTCGCGCTTCTACAGTTGTTCTTATCGGAGATTCCGGAGTCGGTAAATCCAATCTGTTGGGGCGGTTCACGCGAAACGAGTTCAACTTGGAGTCCAAGTCTACTATCGGAGTCGAGTTTGCGACCAGGAGCATAAATGTGGATGGAAAGGTCATCAAGGCGCAGATTTGGGATACCGCGGGGCAGGAGCGGTACAGGGCGATTACTAGCGCGTAAGTTGAGTTGAACCCACACACGGAGTTTGGTTTTCGGAAGGAATTCCCTTTACTGAAAAGGAATGCATCGCGAAAATAGCTATTATCGTGGAGCAGTCGGCGCTCTTCTGGTCTACGACATTGCAAAGCAGCAAACATATGAGAACGTCAACCGTTGGTTAAAGGAACTGAGGGATCACGCGGACACCAACATCGTCATCATGTTGGTCGGAAACAAGAGCGATTTGAAGTACGCAAGGGCCGTGCCTACGGATGAGGCCAAGCAGTTTGCCAGTACGTTTTGCTTTTCATGAGATTGGCTAAAATTTGGAGCTTCAACTGACATTCTCGATCAGCTGAGAACGGCCTATCGTTTATCGAGACGTCCGCATTGGACGCGACTAATGTAGAGCTGGCATTCCAAAAGATCTTGACTGGTGAGAACGATTTCTCCTATTGAATCATACCTGGAAAGTCTCCTTTTACTGAAATGAGCCGTGTTCCGTTTTCCAGAGATCTACAGGATTGTTTCCAACAAGGCTTTGGAGTCTGAAAACAACGAACGCGGGGCGGGTCCTGGCGCCGGCCAGTCGATCACGGTCGCACCAACGGACACGAATGCGCCGGTAAGTGAAGATGAGGATCAAAACATTGTCGAAAAGCGGAGCTAGTTCCAGATCCTTAATTTGCCGCATTTTCCTTACAGAAAAAGGCAGGAGGTTGCTGTTAGACTCACAAGTACCGACCTCGATTTCTTTCAATGATGCATTTTGTTATGTACTTTTTGTTAACGTTCAAAAAATATCTGTGAACCCCCATAGAGGTCGCATCACATGAAGGAGTGCCGGGCAGTTAATTTCATCTGGATTGGATCTCAGCGGCGCATGAGTTTGCCTCCGAGAGAGTAACACGCTCACTCCATGCATGCAGATCCAGTTCCTTCGCTAGACTACTAATGACGGCAAACTGGGTGAAGGGAAGCGGAGGACAAGGCCTTCACATGCAGTTTGAGAGGCTGTCGCCGCAACCCACAGCGCACGCAACGAGGCTTACGTGAGTGGACCTTTCTGCAATTTGGCCGCTGGTTGTGGTTGTAATTGCAGTCCAGCCTAAGTGTCAGACAACGCGCTGAATGGAACGCGCGGGCGCGTTGATTAAACCGGAAATCGGAGAATGCCGACCATTTTGATTAAGATCGCGCGTTTTCTGCTTTAGCAAGCTTTGCGATCCAACTCTTGTGGTGATAACGCCAGCTGATGCTTCGCTGATTGAGTGCGTGCCTCCCCAATTTTCGCTCTTCCCCTTGCCGCACGCGCTGGACTCCTCCAACGGCCTCGATATACCCCCCTTGCAGCGGCCGCAAAGACGGGCAACTATAGCTCGACGATTGCACCGCAGCTGTTGTGTGCAAGATCTTGAAAGCTATCTGCCGTCTCTATCCTGGGCAGTCAACGAAGGCGTTTAGGCCCCCGCGATACCTCTATAGACGTCATTTTCGCGCCAATTGCCCTGGAAGGTTCAAGCCGGCGATCGACACTCTCATCGGAGGCTTTACCCAATAACAACCTGCATCCCGCCTTCATATCCACATGAAGGGTCTTTGCAGTATCCTGGTAAGTCTCCAGTCGCGTTGCTCAAATGTCACAGGCCTCCAATCGGTCGATGCCGACAGGTGTGAGGATCAGCGTGCTGCCAGCGGTTTCTCGCAGAGAGGCTTGCTCTTGCTTTTGCATTCGCTGCTATCTCCAAGTCGTTCTCTCGACTGTTCTCTCGACAAGGCTTATCTCCACCATTTCCGTTTTTGCTTTCCTGACATTCTTCCTCTTCATTTTAGTACACTCACTAAGCTGCTTCATACTGTATTTCGGTTCTTCTATGAGACTTTCTGCTGTTGATACCCTGTCCTTGCGTATTATTCGAAGGTGCGAAAGGCGCCGCCGAAAGACGGAAGCTTCTTTGCTCATGGACAGCTCAGAGTTCTAACGGAAGCCACTCCTATCCAACAGCTTCTGGAGAATCGTAGCTTACCCGATTACTTCGCTATATATCGTAAGTGTCGAAGCCTGAGATTCCGGCAGATCTCATCCCATAGCAGAGCTGACGATTCGCTCCAAAATTCTTCATTTGCAGCTGCCGAAGAATACCTTACTTCCGAATCGAACGCGCCAACTTTCAGTTGTCGCACCTATTAGAAAGGGTGAGTGCGTACGAGATTATCCGAGTGTACCGATTTTCAGTGATTCCTAATCCGAGTTTGACTATCAGCAAACTGCCGGCGTTCCTCCCTCCCACAATTGCCGCTATGAAGCGCAGCAACGACTATGGCCCTCAGCCGCCCGTTGATAATTACAAAAAACCGAGATTTAGCCCTCAGCCACCGTACGGTTACCCTCTCGCCGCGAGCCCGCCAGCCGGTTACAACCAGAACAATGCCGACTTATATCAACAGTTTGGTTCGATGGGCCGATACATGAGCGTGTTGAGCGGCATGGGTGGCATGGGTGGGATGGCCGGTATGGCAGGGATGTCTCCTCAGCAGCACAATCAAAATGGCGCTCAAGGCATGCCGACCTACCAGGGCATGGCGCCAAATCAGTTCCAACACGCTGTGCAATTCCCCCAGAATGGATACACGTCTCAGTATCCAGCCGTGCACTATGCTGCGAACCAAACATTCGCCGGAAACCAGGCTTTCAATCACACGATGCGCACAGTGTATCTCGGGAATCTGCCATCACTGACGACGTACGAGGACGTAATCAACCTTGTCAGGGGCGGGGCCCTTGAACAAGTGAAGATCTTGGAAGAGAAGAACTGCGCGTTCATCACATTCGTCGAATCGTCCGCTGCCCATGCATTCCATCTGGAGTGCCAAAACAAACGACCTCATCTGCAGACATCGGAACTGAAAGTTGGATGGGGAAAGCACACCCCGATACCTCCCGCTATCCTCGCGGCAGTACAAGGTGGCGCATCTCGGAATGTTTTCCTGGGGAACATCGATGAGAGCGTTACAGATACGGTGCTGCATCAAGAGTTCGGGAAGTTTGGGCCGATCGACCAAGTCAAGATCCTCCCCGATAAACGCATCGCGTTCGTACACATGGCATCCATTGTCGCTGCCATGAAGGCCGTGCAGAACCTGCCGAATGAGCCACGGTGGGCTACCCGGAGAGTGAACTACGGAAAGGACCGATGCGCGTATCAGCCGAAGGGCCCCGGAAGCACACGCCCATCGCCGCCTACGACCCCAGGAGGCCTTGTGTATGCAGGAGCAACGAGTTTCGGACACGGGATGGGTGTTGGGTATGGAATGGGATACAATGACCCATTCAGCGGTCTGAGCGGAGGCGCTACCAACCGAACGGTGTACCTGGGTAGCATACACCCTGATGTAACAACGAAAGACCTGTGTGATGTGAGTGGCGTGAGGTTTCAACACAGCCAGTAAGTTGAGGCAGTGACTAATATATCATGTTTCGTTTCTTAGGTCATCCGTGGCGGAATCCTCCAAAATATTAAGTACATGCCGGACAAGAACATTGCTTTCGTGACGTTCATCGACCCCTCCGCTGCGGTGAACTTCTACAACCGCGGCAACTACGAAGGCCTCGTTCTGAAAGGCAAGCGATTGAAGGTTGGATGGGGCAAGCCGAGCGCTCTGCCACCTGGAGTGGCAACAGCGGTCCAGTCGGGAGCTTCGCGCAACGTGTACATAGGGGCAATCGACGAATCCATCTCTGAAGACCGCCTGCGGAAGGACTTTTCCGAGTTTGGCGACATCGAACTGATCAACATCATAGCCGACAAGAACATTGGTTTCGTCAACTTTGTCGACCTCACCAGCGCCGTCAAAGCCGTCGAAGCATTAAAATCGGACGACTCCAAAGGCTACGGCCAATACCGAATCAACTTTGGCAAGGACCGCTGCGGAAACCCTCCTCGACCACCAAGAGAGAGCGCAGCGCAACGCGCCGCTGCGGTCGCTGCTGCTGCCGCGGCCGGAGACAATGTCCCCATGAATGGCCCCATGGGCGTTGACGCCTTTGGAGCCGGGGGAATGGTGCAACACGTCGACAGTATGAGTTCGATGGATGAGTCCGAGCATTTGGCTGGCCTGCTCGGTAACAACACCAACTACCTCTGAAGCGATCAACCAACCCTAACCCCCACATGATTCGAGAGGCGACCACCTACGAATTTCCTAGATGTAGATTCTCGGCCTTGTGATTGCCATATCCCCTCTTCCCTCATGGGCAACCTTCCTATCCATCATCCCCTCATTGTATAGCGTTTACTTTCATATAATAATCTTCTCCCTGTAATTTTGTCATGGTTTTGTCATCGCGTCAAGTGAGGCGTCGCATACAGTTCTCGGCCTTTCCGTTTCGCAAGACAGGCCGCAAAAGGCAGCGAAGCACCAGCACGGACTAGAATACGCAGAGTGAAGCACTGAACATCTCAACGACGGCGAAAGGAAGAAGTCATTATGGAGCTCCCGAACCTTGGAAAGCACTGCACCGTTCCTCACTGCAATCAGAATGGTAAATCTCATTGTCCCTCGAAGTCCGAACAAGAATCCATACTCATTCGTCTCCGGGAAAACTATAGACTTCCTACCATTGAAATGCTTACATTGTGAGGAGGTAAGAGGACCTCAATATGTTTTTCATTTCCGCTGGCCTGCGGTTATGCTGACTTACGGAAAACCTTGGACAGGTGTTTTGCCAACCACACTTCAACCCCATCCCCGTCGACCCATCAAAGTCCTCCACCCCAGAACGCGGGCACGTCTGCCCAGACCTTCCCCCCCATCTCGCCGATGCCCGGGCAGTGACCTGTCCAGTCTGCAACCGCATAGTACCGACGAAACGAGGGGAAGATCCAAATACACGCGTCGAGGCGCATATCAATGCAGGATGTCCAGAGGAAGCGACTTCGACGGCTCCGGCGTATTCGAATGTCTGTTCGTTTAGAAGATGTGGGAAAAAGGAGCTATTACCAATCATGTGCTCGAGATGCGGCAAAAAGTACTGCATAAGTCATCGATCTGAGCTGTCGCATGATTGCAAAGGAAGTGCCCCGTCTTCCAGGGGCTCGTCGGCGTCAGGGAAACAACCGCAGCGGTCGGCGGCTGCCATTAAGGCTGGGAATGCAGCGCTAAACAGGTCGCAGCCGGCGAGGCGTAGTTCGAAGGTGTGTTGACCGCCGTCGTGAAACCGGAGCGAGATGTTCTCCAAAAGCTGATCGCATGTAACCTTTTCAGAATAGCGGCGACTGCGCGATACAATAGTTAATGGCTCGAACGTGTGGCTAGACTGTTGCAAAATCTCGATTGGTAATGGAAGTTTTATGTACATCGTAGACATCGTAGCACAATCAATATAGCTCTATTACGCCGTTTTCTCAAGATATGCCGGGCATTATGGATTCGGGTGATCTACCGGCTGCCTGCATTTGTTGCTCCACTGCCTTGACGTGATCCTTCAGCTCCTGAATCTCTGCCTGCATGGCGTCGAACTTCCGGACAAGGTCAGCATAAACGCGCATCGGAACTACATCCAATCGCCCAATGATTGGGCCGTAGTCGACCTGTTCGTCGTCCGTACTGCGTGCGTCAGTCTGAGCACGCAGGGTGGTGGTGGGCAGTGGCTTCGTAGGGACCTGAGCTCCCCTCGGTTCGTTCGAGACGCGATTTGCCTCCGGCTGCTGCTGTTGCTGCGAGCAAGCGCCTGGATTCACCAAAGCGCTCAGATTGCGAGAGTACTCAGGGTCCAGCGTTCCCAGGTTACTCTTAACACGTCTCAGTACTCGGTTATGCCGGATGGGTCTGGGTGGTGTTTTGCAAAACGACGCATAACTGCTGCTGTCGCTATCCAGATAAGGCGGTGGGAATGACCTTCGACTGAGTTTTCGCGTGGCCGTGCTCCAACTAGTCCCTGACCGAAAACTAACTTCACCGATTGAAGGCTTGGTCGCGAGTTCGGGCGCTTGCGCTACTAGGAGGGATTCTCTGCGTGTTGGATGCTCTGCAGGATTTTTATCCATGGGCGTTGGTGCGTGATGATCGACAGGGACAGGCGCAACAGGTTTGGGAAAGTCTGCCAGCACCGTTGATGCCTCTCCGCCGCCCATGTCCTTCGGAGACACCTCTGCCGAAGTGGATGGATCTCCCTTGCGTTCGGATACAAGAAAATCTCGCTGCGTGCGCACCGGCCCTGACTTGTACGACCAGGTTCCATGTTCAGTGACCACGTACTCGTTCTCAACTCCGCCACTCGTTCGTCCTGTCAACCCGTACACGCCGCTATCCAAATATCCCCTTGGTCCATCCTGAGGAGCCTCTCCGCCGACGATTGATCTCTGTTGTTCCACACTCTCCTGAACGGTACTGCCGGCAGGGGGGGTTGGTATTCTAGAGGCGGTACTAGACTGCACCGGCCATTCTCGAGCGAGCGAGGGTAGCGACCTGCTGGTGCGAGGCGATCGATTCTCGGTGTCCTTTGAAGGGCGAGGGTCACGTGCTGCGCTGTTTGCGGAACTTTTCGGTGGCGAAGATTCGACCACGGGCGTGAGAGCTCTGCGAGGAAGCGTCGCCGCGGGATATCGTAGGCCGTGCCGGTCAACCGACAGCGTGCTTTGATTAGCTTGCAAGATGGTGTCCTTCCCTTTGCCCTTACTGAAGAGTTGCCGCAAATCAGCAAAACTAGACTTCCGGGTCTTTGAATTGAGATAGGGTCCAGATTGGGATGTATTGTGCACGACGGAAGGAAGAACGACGGGTTCTGCCGGTTCCGTTTTGAACAGCGATCGGATGGACCCTCTGACTTTTGTTACCAAATTGGCAATCGACGATTTGCGCTGGAACCCCGACTTTCCCATCGAGTTGAGTGTCGATGTTGAGGGCGACGTACTCAGGCTGTACGGGAACTGACGCGACCCTCCTTGCGAATACGGGGCTAGGGAAGGACGAGACTTTGGAGCGATGGACTCGGCATAGGTGTGGGAAGACCTTGAGCGCACGTGAAGTGTCGGAACTTGGGATGTACAGAGAACGGGATATTCACGAACAGAGGAGGAATCCCGTCGTAGCGGGAAATCGTCCGTGTGCTCAATCGTCTCCCCTGCGCTGCTCACGGTTCCAAGGTCCGTCGGCATCGGTAACGTGACTACGGAGGGCACTTGAACGGATGATTCGCTCTGACTTATCGGAGAAGGCTGGCGCTGCGACGTTGAAAAGGTGCCTGAAGATTTCTTCGAGTTCCTGTTCTGGTTGTTCTCCGCCTCTGGCAGATGACGGCCCATCGACTTCATCAACTCCTCATACGCTCGATCCCTCTCAGCCGCAGCAGGGAAGTCGCGCGGCAACGAGCGACGTATGCTGCGCTCCCGCTTTAGCGCGACATCGTCCAGCGGTCGCTCATGGTCTAGTCGGACCATCGGCTGACTTTCGTGCCGTCGATGTCGTTTGTGTGTTCGGCTCTTTGGTAACGGGCTTGCTGCGGCCTTTTCTTCAAGAGTCTGAACGACGCTGGTTCGCATCGGCTTCGCGATAGGCGCCAGAACCTCGGGCGGCTCCTGCGCGCCATCGGGAATTGGTGTGTCAGGCGGAGAGGAAACGAATGTTCCGCTCGTGGACCTGGTCGGGATCGCAGGCTGGGAAGGAAAGGAGGACGAAGTATTCGCAGACTGCATCCACAAAAAGCTGGCAGGGCTGCTACTTTGGGAGGATGCGGCAGTAACTTGTTCGGAGGAATGGGAGTTCAGGCGTTCTCTGACGATCATCGACGCCTTATCGTCACCAACCGAGTTGTGCGCGCTATTGCGTAGTGTCGATGCGGTCGATGAGCTCGTTGCATTGCGGCGATGCAAGCGAGTGTGGATTGAGGGTTTCTCGGATTCGTCCGATGCCAAACGCCTCCTTTTTCCGATGCTACCCCAAACTCCTTCGATTGAGGGACCTTGAATTTCCATTACAGGCCTGGTTGAATCCGATGTGCGATGAATGGACGCACTTCGCTTAAGGGCTTTGTGGGACGGGCCATCTTCCTGATCCGCATGTGGAAGGGACGATTTTCTTTCCGATTTCTCAGTCTCATGCGCCAAGTCGCTTGCCAGAGGGGGTTTCGTCCGCAACCCACCACCTCGTTCGGAAACTAGATCCTCACGATCATGGGCACCAAGATGAGCCATGGAGATCGACTTGTAGTCTCCTTTCGGGCGCTTCAAGCGATGTGACTCTGGACGTCCGTACTCCCTCAGGTTCGGCATGCTGGGCCGCTTTCGTCGGATCTTGTCACTCCAAGAGGACAGCCATCTCAAGTTCCGGATAGGTTTGTTTTCCAGTTTCAAGTCGGAAACGACTGTGGAGGTTTCCATGTCGCGAGAGCCCTTCGGATGTGCGTTCTTGTGTATCAAGTCAGTGATCGCTTTCACCCATTGGGTCTTCTGTTCGGGGTTCAAAGCTGTACACAAAAGGGTTCTGACGCGACCATCTTCGCTCTGATGGGCCAAGTGGAAGGAGAGGTTGGATGCTGAACGAGTTGCGGGATGTCAATGGTTGGGCAGCATTCTCAACTTGTGAAGATTTTGCTCTCTTACCATCTCCTTCCGAGCTATCCCCCAGGTTGATGAGTACGCTCTTCTCGATCAAAACCTTCTCAATGAGCTTCAGGCTGGTCGTCATGTTACCATGATCCTCTGGCTTGACGATGATAAGAAGCTTCTCGAAAAGATAGAATCGACGCTCCCTCTTCCGTGCTCCTTCTAGCAACTTGAGGTTACTGTATAGGAGGAGATCTCCATATGACGCCAAACTGGGACCCTGTAGAATTGAGTTTCAGTATAGTCGCTGAAGTGGGAACGGCGGTAACTGCGGAAGGTCGAGTACGTACCTCCCAGTCATGAATCTGCTTCTCGATGATTCGTATCATCTCTCTCGTCTCAGCGATGCGTTTTACATCGCCAATGTGTTGCAAGATAGCCCCCAGCTTCTCGCATGCGTCCTCGAGTAGTTCATATTCCTTATGATCTCTACTCGTCGCTTCCAGCAGCTGGCGCATGAGGACCTGAAGTCGGTTCTTCCAGTGCGCGGGTTTGTGGAGGCTCGACACCAAGTGCAGAACGGGAGGACTGGTGTCGGCGCTCGTGGTCTGATTGGCGCAACGAGTTAGCTCCTTAGAATTTTCATCGAAAAGTAACATGTCGAACAGAAGTTACCTGCAGGAACTCTAGGAGCTGCGTGTGGGTCACGTATTGAGTCGTCATTGAGACGGCCTGTGAAAGATCCACGCAGTACTCCGTGTACACATCCCGAAAGCGGTCCGCCTAGTTGAGGCCTCTTGTTAACTCGAGCACATGCAGGAATCTGTACATATCAACCTACCATGTGGAGAAACGCCCTGGCAACGCCCGCTTCAGAAGTTCCGACGGTTGAAGAGAACGAAATCTCGTATTCAAGGACATCATGGATGTTCCCGAACATGGCTCTGTGGTGTTCTGGCGGAAACCAACTCGCTTCGCGAAGAGGTTGAACAAATTCCTGCATTTCGAAAAGCGATTAATTGGATATGCCGCGGATGCTGGTTAAGTGTCCTCCCGTACATCTATAAATTTTCTTAGACCATCGGCATAGAGCTTTTCCGCAGCGACGAATGTGTCGAAGATCCTGCTTCGCTCCACTTCCCGCGTCTCCAGGCCCGCCTGGATCTTTCGTCTCTCTTCCTGCTCATTGTTGTGCATGATTGTTTGCAGTCTCAGCTTGTCCACCTGCTCCCGCGTCACCTCAAGTCCGTGCATCTGCGAGACGAAGCCCAAGTCATTTGGTCAGTCCGTCTTCTCGTAAACTCCATGCTCGATGTACACACCTGCTCGTCACGATCCTCGGCTGTGACGAGATGGTCAACAACATGGTTGGCAGGAAACCACCCAATGCGCTCACCCAGTAGGCCCTCCCACCAGCCTCCCTCCACTTGACGCACGACGCGTATGACCTGTCCCTCATCGAATGACAGTTCATCGTTCATGTCGGCCGTGTATGGATATATCGATGTGCAAAGCTTCATATTTGCATGTCTCAACAGATGCTCCTCGTCGGCAATTTCCGACCGCGGTAAAGAAGCCATACTTCGGGCGGAGAGTGGTGGCGAAGGTGTGCGGATGTCGCTCATTCTCGACCTTCCTGGCGGAACCCGACTCCTGTCGACCCTGTCGACCCGACGTGCCGGCTTGACACGCCGAATGTCTTCACTCCCCAGCATGCCGAAGGGAAGTTGCTTCCTTTTCGCAAGTCTATTCGGTATATAGTAATCGGCCCACGAATTTCTGCCTTTGAATGCTGTAGTGTTTCAACGCGTTGCGAGGACAGGGGAGCAGTGCAAAGGACGTCAATCCTGCTCTATCAGATCCCAACGTTCAAGACCGCAAATGTTGATACGAATGCCTTGTACAGTATATAATATAGTAGGGCGTTCAGGCGAGCAGGCGACGACGCGTATCGTAGAATCTTGAGGATTTCCTCACACCTCACACTTGCCAAACGTTGGAGGCCTGAATGGAATAGGAAAGACGTCCTCCTACACGGACACTTTACAGGACTCGGCGCAATCGAAACACACGGAATGGGGATCGTTCCGTTCTTGCTAAACGGTTGACATACAGCACACAAACCGAAAACAGGGACCAGCTCAAGCAGCCTGATGAGAGTGACATTTCCCTGTTCTCCAGCGGTGGCGTGTCTCTGCGTGTCTCTTGTGGCAGCAACACATGCGGGCGCCCAAGGATTGTTATATGTATGAATCGTGTGGAGGGACAATTTCCACTGGTGGACGTCCATGTCAATGGAACACCGCATCGCGCACAAATGACAAACATTTGACACAAGCTGGGTGGGCGACACACCCGGAACCAGACCCGTGGTGCCGCCGGAATCCCAACCCACTATAACCACGGACTCGGATACGGCAAAGTCCCTGTCAAATTATTTCTTTCTGTGTGGCCGGAACAGATCGGAGCGGGACTTCGTCAAAAATGACGTTCTGCAACGCACCAGTTCTCAAGTGCATTCCCTTTGCACGTCGCCGAATCCCAAACAGCCGCCTCAAAACGGGGCTTGGTGCTTCATGAACCATCTCGAAGAACCCGATTGCTCGCGTCGCTCGAACTGCATGGGCGATCCCATCCTACATACCAACAGGCAACGAGTTGTCTGGACGGGGAGCATAGCGATGTTACGTGTTGCTGTGGGCTCAACGCTCCAAATTGCGCTACGTCCCGTACCAACAACGGTAAACCTAACCAACCGCAGACAGAACAACGGTTTCAACAACGAACTCCCTGGGCGCTGATGCAGAATTGAAAGGCTTTCTGCAAGACCCTGTGTTGAGGCACTATCAAATGCAGCATCTGTTAGGGAAGAAAAATGGACTCCATGCCTAAACGTTGATTGGGAAACTTATGAAATGACCAGCACAAATCGTTCAACCTGATCTGATGAGCACTGGCACAGAAACCTTCCAATCATCCCTCCTTGGGGTCGTTGCAGATGCTGGGCAAAGTGTATGTCTGCTCCGGTCGCATTCAAATATCATCGGAGGCCGCGGAGAAAAAACACGCGCTTTCCACGTTCTTGCTGTGTGACCGCGAGGACGTTGACAGGCGCATTCGACAGTGCACGTGGTCTTTTCCCGACATCAACCAGTTCCTCATGTTCCAGTTCCCCGCTCCCGCACCGCTCCCGTAGTGGTCTCCGGCACGAGTCCCACCACGAGGAGCACTTGTCCTTCATCTATGGCTCTCACCAGCGTTACTCAGGCTGCGTTCTGTGCGCCAGAGGGTCGTCAGTTCGATCAAGATGGTGATGCGTTCGAAAGCGTCTACTGAGATTTGGAAGAGGAAACGAACAGGTCCTTTGGCTTGTCCGCGTATAAAAAGCGAATGTGCAAAGTTCCCTCCCCTACAATCCACGAGTCTGGCATCCCGGGCATTAGGTAGTACTCATCGCGATGCAATTGATCACCGCAGCAAGCCTCTGGGCGATTGTTCTCTCCCTCGGCGATGCTTCGGCGAAGGAGGCCGCTGCGCCGTCTGCGACAAAGCCGAGCCTGGCCCCGGTCGTGAGCAATCTTGCCTACAGTCAGCCCATCATCAACATCCCGGCGCTCGGGCGAACTCATCCCAAGTTCGTCCCAACGTCATCCCTGGTTGCGAACGCCTCGGTGCCAGTCACTTTTGAGCATTCTGTCGCTTCCGGAGATCCTACAGCGAATGCAGTGATGTAGGTTTGAGGCCCTTCCCTTTGTGTGTGCGTGTTCACGTATTCCAACAGAGAATGTTCCTAACTTTTCATTGATCCATTCGCATCAATTCAAGCATCTGGACCAAGATCACCACGAAAGACACGAACCCTGTGCCGGTCCAGTACCAGGTCGCTTCGACAGCGGACTTCTCCCAGATCGTCTCCACCGGTGTTCTCCTAACCGACGCCAGCGTCGACCACACAGTCAAACTCGACATCACGGGGCTTCAGCCTGGTACCACCTACTACTACCGGTTCACCACATCTTCGGGCAGCGTTACTTCACCGGTCGGAAAGACCCACACTCTGCCCGCCGCCGATGCATCCGTTGCGAGCTACAAGCTAGCCGTCGTCAGCTGCTCCTCCCTTCCTCATGGCTTCTTCAACGCTTATGCCGGCATCGGGAACAGGAAGGATGTCGATGTGGTTCTCCATCTCGGTGATTACATCTACGAGTACAAAAACGGCGGCTACGGCGATGGGAGTAAGATTGGCCGCATCCCACAGCCTGATAAAGACATTACTAGGTATGGACTGTCTTGTAACCGGCTGGTTATCGAGAGCAGGTGCTGACCCTCTATGCAAATCCATCCTTTTTCAAAATCAGTTTGGATGATTATCGCCAGCGCCACGCTCAATACAAGAGGGATGTTGACCTTCAGGCCGCTCATCTTAACGTCCCTTGGGTCACCGGTATGTGTTGCGGTCCGTGCTCCTAAGATGACATTCTTCTGCGGAGACTAACGGGTTGTTCTAGTATGGGACGATCACGAATTTGCAAATGACGTAAGAAGTCTTCGATTGCCCATACGTGCCGCTCTGTGGGGTAAGCTGAACTCCTTCTTTTTGCACATGTAGGCATGGCATGACGGTGCCCAGCACCATGACCCCAAAACCGAAGGGCCGTGGGAGACCAGGAAAGCCAACGCGATTCGAGCGTACTTTGAATACATGCCGATAAGGCCCGTCACGATCGACCAGACAGGGCACATATACCGCTCATTCCAAGTCGGGAAGCTTCTGGATTTGATCATGCTCGACACTCGTATCAATGGACGCAATGAGACTGATATCTTTTGGCCTTGGATTAAGAACGACCCCAAGCGGACGGTAGGGACATGCGACCGTGTTCCTGAATGTGAGGCTTCCGCTAATGCTTTCTTCATCAATGTTTCAATATAGATCCTCGGCTACGACCAGGAAGCATGGCTCGACCAACAACTCGTGCAATCCAAGAACCGTGGCGCGAAATGGCGCGTGCTCGGCAACCAGGTTGTGTTCACCCCGCTCAAGGTCGTCGGAGCGTCCATCCTTCTTGACTCTTGGGACGACTACCCTGCCGCGAGGGATAGATTGCTTACTTCTATGGCGTCCAACGGGATTAAGGATACGGTAAGTGTTTGCCTTCCAAGTGTTTGCCTTCCATTTCGCTTCTCATCTGTTCGTCATCTGAACCATCCCACTCGCTGCTACTAAGGTCATCCTTACCGGCGACATTCACACCGCCTTCGCCATCAACGCGCCCGGCAAAGCAGGCGCCTCCGGCCTGGTCGAACTTGTCACGACCTCCGTTACCTCTCCCGGCGCCGGAGCCATCGGGGCAGGCGCGCTGAAATTGGCCAACAAGAGCATCAAGTACGCAAACGGCGCAGATCACGGCTATCTCGTTACCACAATCACCCCTGAGAAGGTCACCGGGGAGTTTGTGATGGTGTCAACCATCGGCAGCCGAACGGCGACAGAAAAGGTGGATGCCACCGTAGTGACGAATGCGGGTGCTGGGACTATCAGCGATCTTCAGCGACATTGAACAGGCGGCGTAGTAGGTCATTGACTGGCCACATCTTCACATATACCCCATTAAGCTAGATTTTTTTCTGTTGCGATATTCTCAAATCCTACCCCTTTTCATCCTGATGCGGCTCGTACCCCACGTTCTGACAGCCCTACCTTCTGACCCCGTTGTACTCTGCCGTTTCCTCAATACATTCAATACTTGATAAACGATAGTCTATCGATTTTACATAACCGAATTAGGAAACTTCTAGATCTCGTTCGTTGCTATAGTATTGTGACCTTCAATGTATGGTCGCATGTTTTATGCAGGCTAGCAATGCAGTCGATTTGGCGAACCCTTTTATATGACTTTTTATGGGGTCGAGAGGCACATCTGTAAAAAAGCCCTATCTACTCTAAGGCTTAACATCAAACTCGAAAGGCAATGTTATGTCTTTCAAGAAAGTCGTTTTCTCTAACCCTACAGGGATGGTGGAGTTCACTACACCGCAGAAAGTCTGGAAAGGACCAGCCTCCTCCAGCCGCTTTCTCAAAAGTGCCTGGTAGTCCGATAACTTGCAGCTCCTGTCGGGCCCGTTCTGGCACTTGGCGATGGGGTACACGGCGTCGTTGAGCTTCGCTCGGACGAACAAGCCTCGTTTGCCGCAGTTGAGACGCTCGAAGGTGATGGTGCCCCGCATGGATGTGTATCGGGTCGCGCGGAAGATCCGGTTGCGAGGGATGGCATCACCGGGTAAAGGGGCTTGGTCGTCGAAGATCCCGGAGGCGGCCACGATTTGATTGACGTTCCCGTCGTTGGTGAATGTCGCAATCAGCTTGTTTGGCTTGAAGGTGCTTCCATCCGAGTTTGTATACGTCGCGTCGGGCCCGTCGACAAAACGGTCGATGACGGCCGACAAGAACGGCAGCATCACTTTGCCAGCTAGCCGGTTGCCGGGTCCGTGGCCGAAATAGTAGCGCAAGTCCTGCGCGTACTCGTAAGCTTCGAACTCATGAGGCGCAAAAAGACCACACCAAGGGGATCTTTTGCCCGTAATCTGTGTTTCGAAGCCGCAGAGGTACGGCATAATGTATACATCGGCTGTGGTGAAGTTGAACCCACCCCGGATCTTGGAGTTGAGCCGCGCTGTCATTTGCGGCAAGTACGTGGCGGCAAAGGTATTGAAAGCTTCGCCGCCTCCATTGTCCACGTATTTGAGGCACAGGTCGGAAGCCGCCAGACTATTGGCAATCGAGCGGGGATCACGGCTCGCTACGGGATGCACATGACCGACGGCTGTGGCATTTGGGCCAAGGTATCCCTGCGCAAACAAACGAGCGGAGTCGATCACGCGAGGCGATGCGGGATATTGGTTCGCCCACAGATGGAATTCCATTCCATTGTCATCGAAGAATGACGGATCGTATCTAAAGCGATACTGGGTTCCCATTTGATGGAGCTCCTTCCAGCCCGTGATGGACAGTTTTTGGTTGTTGGATGAGGGAGTTCGAACCACCGGCTTCCAGGTGTGCAAGAAATTCAAGCCCCCAGCAGTGACAGTGAAATTCGCCGCTTGGATCTGAGAGTTGATTATGATTAGTGTTGTATGTGAGATTAATGCAACTGTTCAACAACATACCTTGTTACGAAGAGCATTCCATTGGTCCCAAGCTCCAGGGTCTGGATATCTGCTGCCGTGGCGAGACGTAAAAGCGGCCTGGTCGACTACGCAATTCGCGGGCGGTTCTGGATCAATACCGAATACATTGGGACCCGCAAAAAATGGGCTGTTCCCACCAAGGTGCTCGAGGGGGTTGAAGTGGGCGTCCCTGACCTCGACACCGGGTGCAGCAGGGGCGGCAGCGACGAGGGACGATACTGCCGCCGTTGCGAGAAGGAAAAAGCGATGCATCTGAAGCTCGTTACTTGTTGGGAGAGGGGCGTGAAGCACAGAGCATCTTATAAATAGCCGCTTGGGCGGATGCTGTCCTGGCCCTCAGCTTGTGGACGAAACGAAGACCATGCACGTTTTCCGACACGTTTTCGCAAGTTTTCTCACGCGTCGCGTTGTCCATTACGTTACGCAACAAGTACTAATAACGACCGCAGTTTTACGACCATATACTGTACAGTACTCCAGGACCTGTCTTCTCGTGCAGTTTTGTTCGTAGAATGGCTGCCAAATGACTGCCCAGTCTCCCAGTTGTTGGCTCCAAGTCGTTCTGCTGGGCACAGGCTATGCGGTTAGGGAGACTTCAAACTTCCAGGCGTTGGTAGATACTAGATATAGAGACGAACGACTCGGAATGCGAGAGAATTGCGAAAATGTGCCGAACGCACCTTTGTGCAGCAAAAGCATTGAAACAAAAGCAAAGACGATGCTTGTCGGCGTGTCCCTTTGCTCACACAAGCCCAACAATGAGCAGTACTACTGTACCGTACTTGTTGGGGCCCGTGGTTGTGCTGTCTCTGAGATGGAATCAAATGGATCCCCTCCGAGTTCGCAAGCCATAGCAGTGTCATATCTGTGGCACTCTGATCGAGCAATACCGCGAGGTGAACGAACATAATGCGGCCGTGGGAAGTTGGGAAATCAAATCAATTGAGTTCATCTGCTGGATCAATCAAGGCAACGATCAGCGGCCGCAAACACCGACCACGAACTGAGCACGGCTTCCTCATATCAACACTATCAACAGGCCACCGGCAAAAGACGGAGATTATAGCCACATAACGTTGGACTCCTGAACAGCAACTGGAATCCCGTCCCAGTCGCAGTAAGTAGGAGCTATCACCCTTGCATCGCCTTCCAATCGACATTGCATCACAACGCGAGGCGTGCCCTCTCGAAGGTTTTCCACATCAGTCCGTTCGATTCTCCATCGGACGAATCTGTCCTGCAAGCTGAAGAGGCAGCTGGTTTGAGCGGACTCAGCCATTCAACGACCACACTCCTCGTCATATAGTCTCAGCGTTCTCTCCGAATCACACATTTTCCGACCTGTCAGGATTTGTAGGCTTCCCTTGAAGTTGCGATTACGCCACACAATCAACTCGCACGCTCTTGACCTGACTGCCTTTCGGAAGGAGGATTATGATGGCCACTGTTGAGCCTGACGTAGTGGGTGGGCAACAACGTGTCCTCGAGAGCGATAGGCCCGTACCGGTGAAGAAGCCGCTGGAGGCGCAGCATGAGGATGGGATTCTCGAAAGGGAGGCATACGGGGCCCAAGTGGCGGCCCCCGGTTCCGTTGCGGATGCTGTCAATCACTCGGCTGTAAAGTACGATGAGGCTATCCCAGAGAACGATGGCAGCGCACAAAAACCCGCAGATTCTGGCGACGACCTCCCGCCTCTGAGCACACACACGCCGGTTTTCCCAGACTCCAATGACGATGTCTCCATCAGTACCATCGTTACACCCCTACCAAATGCACCACGGTGTCCCGTCACAGTCGCATTCGGCCCGCGCAATGGCTGGTACGTCCGCTGGTCAGATGGAACAAGCGGGTGGGAATCTCTTCCACCGTCTCTACACGCCAAACTCAACAAGCGCCTACCATCCCTACCCGGTGTCCGGCAATTGAGTATATCGGATAACAGCGAATGGTTCGTGTCCTTCGACGATGGCTCCATCGCAACATCTGGGTTCCCACCTCGTGGAAAGCTGTGGGATGCGCTTCATAGCGACGCAGACGCCGATATCACCAACCTAGTGTTTGCGCCCGGCGGCGGCTTCTTGTTGACAAGAGAGGATGGAACGTACGTGTTTGAGAGGCTGCCAACGACTTTAAACGATCTGCTGAATAAGAGGGGCCGTGGAGATCCGCGGATAGACTACGTCGCCATTTCAAAGTTGGGTGGCTGGTTTGTCATGTTCGAAGACCGAGAGTGCATCTGGGAAGGTCTCCCTCCGCGCTTGGAAAAGGTCCTCATCCAAACCGTAAGAAAGAACCCACCTTTACTTTTGGTTGGATTATCCTCTTCGGAAATGATGCACTACTTTGTCGCCGTGGGAACTGCCACCGATACCAACATCGATTACCCTGGCCTCAAAGCGGCCCTGTCCTGGGCCAAACGCGAAACCGACGTGCAACCCGAGATGAACGTCAACTACACCGGCCCGATGCCTGTCCCGCCGGTAGATTCTGCCATCTACGAAGACCTATTTCGGCATGCCGCTGCAGGGGACTTCAGTGACGGCCTCTCTCCTGACGCCGGTGATGCATTTGATCTCGATGATGATGTAAAGTCTTCCATCGGCGGTGGCGGGTCCGTCGTCGAGGTCAAGCTGGGAGGTGCGGCAAACAAAGGGTCTGGGTATATCTACGGCGCTCCCATCGATGGAAACGTCGAGGCAGAGGAAGGCGGGCGTCTTTTACTGCGCGCAGCCTCTTCAGCTCAACTCGAAACGAAAGATCCCAAACGAGGCTGGAGCCTGATGGGCGCCAGTCTCCCATCTCCCACGATTCAACCCCCAGCCGCTGCCATCCTGCCATCCGCTTCTACCGCGGCCGGTTCGCCCTCTTCATCGGCTGGCATAGGTTCTTTCTTTTCCTCCGTTTTTGGATTATCCAAAACTCCTGACCAAAATGCTCAGTCCACGCGAACGACGTCACGGAATCGGTCCAGGACAAGGCAAGATTCCAGGGGAGCAAAACAGTCGCAACAGCAGCAGCAAGGTGGCCAGCAACAGAAAGCCATGGAAAGTCCGCAAGATGTCGATGAGTATGATAGTGCGAGCGACATGATGCTCGATCGAGTTGCGCAATTGAAGGGTCAATTGCAGGAGCGGTAAGACATCTTCCTTTTCAATTGTTCAATAACTTTCGGCCGAGTCTGAACCATATACCATATTGCACTTTCTAGACTATCGGAACTTCCTACATCTTCCCGCTTCTACCCACCACTGACTCGCCTCTCCAAGAAGCTCGATGAGCACGCCTACCACCTTACAACCCTCCGCTCCCAGCACACAACCCCCGAACAGCTAGCCGACACGGAATACTACGTCCTGTACTGCGAGGGCTGGCTTGAGGCGTCTGAGATTGTGCCATTGGACAACCCGTGGCTGAATGGATGGGTCGAAGGAAAGTTTGGCTGTTCGGTAGATGAGGTTGCGAAGGCTGTTCAGGCCTACAATAAGACGGAGGAGGCCGCGATCACGGGGGCGCACGCGGTTGTGAAGGGAAGTGGGGTGTTTTCCGAAGAACCGGAAGATATCTTGGCGTCGGACACGGATGCTGTGGATGTCGAGAACGGCAAGCAGGTCGACGCAGACGTTACTACTTCCGCAGGGAAGACGGAACAACAGACGATCGACGAACATCTGCGTTTGAGCTATGTGTATGAGGCAGAGTTCACAAAGACAGTGGGCTTGGGCCTTGCACCGTCCGCAAGTCTCACAGATACAGCCGGCCAGAATGAGTAGACAGATATACCCCCGTTTCAGCCCACAACACATCCTTTACAATTTCCTCTGTTCCCCCTTGTATTTTACATATAGCTTATATGATGTCGTTTTCCAAGTTGGGCACGGTTTGTACGTCTCTTCCGGGCCAAATCATTCTTGTCGCGACCCGCCCTGAGTGCGTCGCGCCAAGTGTTACTGACAGTACGTACAGTCAGGGGACAGAAAGCCGTCTCTCCCCGACGATCGAGTTTAAGTCAGTGTCCTCCCGACGCGCCTCTCTGCCACGTTAGGTCTAAACGTCACCGGCGTGCCCACCATATTGCTCGCGCTGTACCCAAAGCATATAAAGCATCGATTGGGCATCTTCGCCAGCACACAAACTAGGTTACCGTGTTATCCCGTACCGGAATCACACATCGCTCTGCCATACTGCTGCTATTCTGGGGACGAAGTCAACCCGTTTATGTACTTCGCCGGTCTTGGCTCTTCCACGGAACCTTGGCATATATCTCTGAGAAAATCGGTGAATTCCAGAGTTTTGCCGAATTGGACTTTCCCGACGTTTCCGGTGGTCACTCGCCCCAGCTCGGCTTCCCGGGCTACGGGTGGAGCGTTTCATTTCATAAAACGCCATGTTCAACAATCTTTTCAGGAAGTCTGAGCCGGTAGATGCCTCCAAAGCCGCGCCGGAGCCCGCGAATCCACCGCTGCCATCCGCCGCAGCCCCGCCTAGACCTTCCTACTCCTCTGGAACACCTCCACCGACGGGGCAACCGCAGTCCAGTGATGTATTTATCAAACTGGCCTTGGAGCAGTTGCAAGCCGCGAAGGAGGCCAAGAAGTTGACGCCTCTTAGAAATGCCTCACAATCGGCGCTGGGTAAGCGAATCTATACGATTATGGGTATGGGGAAATCCTCTGATGCACCTTCTCAAACCTTCCAGAGGCACTGGAATCCCACACGATCATGGACTCGCAATCAATACAGACCATCTTCTCCCCGTTCCAAATCGCGTGTCGGACCCGCCAACCCGTTCTCGCCACTATTGCGATCGATTGTCTTGGGAAGCTTTTCACGTACAACTACTGGGGAAAGCATGAGGTCATATTGGAGGGAGGCGCCGCCGTTGGCGGATCCGTGGCGGATCTGGATATGGAACCGCCGATGAAGGAGTCGGGTCGGCTATCGGGGGATGATGACCGTAGTAGCATGGAGAGTGAGCCGGATGGGAGCGGCGGGATGGTTGCATTGGTGGTAGATACCATATGCGATACGTTTGGTGGTGGAGAGAATACAGACGAGAAAGTCCAATTGCAGATTGTGAAGGTAAGGTGTGGCACTTCCCACGCAATGCGCAAAACATCCGGAAGGGCTGACCTCTCGATTACAGGCTTTATTGGCAGCAGTCTCCGCTACCGATCCCAACGCCGCCATCCACGGCGGAGTGCTCTTGAAAGCAGTCCGCACAACGTACAACATCTTTTTGCTTTCGAAATCTGCAAACACGCAGATTGTCGCGCAAGCGACTTTGACTCAGATGGTACAGGCCGTTTTTGGTCGCGTGCCGAAAGTTCACAAGATCGAGGCGAATCCAGGGACCCCAGTGCCTGAAGACGCGCAGTCAAACCCTGCGGAGGATGGAAACAAAATATCCAATATGGCTGGAGAAGGAAAAGGCACACCTACGTCAGAATCCGAGCCGAAACTTCCAGCGACGGAGGGAAGCGTAGACGATGCTCGGTCAGCACGGTCAGAGCCGCATATGAAGGGTTCGCGCAGCATTGATAGCATGTGAGTTGCGGCGGTCTCCCGAATGACTGCGGGTGTCATGTGCTGAAATTAATATTTTATGACCAGGAGTTACGATGGTGACCAGACTGGTGCAACACAGGCTTTGAAGGATCTAACGCGTGGCGCGGCAGTTCGGGCATCTCAGGACATTCTGAACGAGTCGTCCAAGCAAGTCAAAGGGTCGCCGGCTGACCAATACTTGAAAGACGCGTATCTTGTCTTCAGGGCTTTGTGCAAGTTGAGCATGAAGCCAATCCCAGCTCCAGAGGGGTAGGTCTAATTTTCGAAGTGACACTTTTTCACTTTCGTTGCAATACCGCTCACCTGGCACATTCATCAGGGCAACTGATCTCAAATCTCATGCGATGCGGTCCAAGCTCCTGTCGCTCCACCTCGTCTTCACAATCCTCTCCACTCATATGTACATATTTACTATTCCTGCGCCAGTTCTATTTTCCTCCGGCACTGCAACGAAAGGCGATCCTAGCGCGGTCTTTTTCGTCCACGCTGTGAAGCAGTATTTATGTTTGAGTTTGAGTCGCAATGCTGTGAGCGTGGTTCCACAAGTGTTCGACATCTCGCTGGAGATTTTCGGGAAGGTTTTAACGGGATTGCGGACTGTATTGAAGGTAAGCCACCGGCTCTGCCCACTGACGCCAGTCTTATTTTTGCTGATCGTAAACTGGGAGTAGAAAGAGCTTTCCGTCATATTCACCGAGATCGTGATCCCGATTGTGGAAGCACGGTCGTCTATAACCTTTCACCAGCGCATGTCGTTGCTGAAATCGCTGGAACGTATTCTTTCCGATCCACAAGGAGATGGGGGGAGGATCCTCGTCGAGATCTATCTCAACTATGATTGCGATGTCGAAGCAGGAGCCCGAGAAAACATTTGGGAACGTCTGATAAACGCATTGGCGAAAGTGATGACGCAACACTACGAGCCGAGTGCCACACCCACCGCGCAAGCAGCGCAGCAGACGCAAAAAATCGGCCTTGGAGGTCCACCCGCAATCACCACCGCGAATATGACCAGTTTCACGAAAGACCAAGTGCGCGAGCTCTATTCTTCTACCGGCGATTACATGGAGTTGAAGAAGCGCGGGCTGGAGCTGATGGTCAGAGGCGTGCTGCGACCTCTGATTGCCTGGTGCAGTACAAGAAGTCCTGTGGCGGCCCAGGCGCTAGACGAGGAGAAGGCTCGTAAAAGCGAGGAAGGGGACACATCAGGGAAACTGGGTCTGCTAACCGAGGAGGATGGGAAGAAGGCTTCAGCGGTGAAGCGAACCGCCGACGATCCGACCGCGTTCGAGAACCTCAAACAGCGGAAACAGGTGTTGAGTGAAGGCATCAAGCAATTCAACTTCAAACCCAAAAAGGGCATGCAGTACCTTCTGAATTCTGGTTGCATCGCTTCTCGAACGCCGCGCGATATCGCTCGATTCTTGCTCACGAACGACGGACTCAACAAGTCGATGATTGGAGAATTCTTGGGCGAAGGCGAAGAGGAGAATATCGCGATCATGCATGCTTTTGTTGATGAGATGGATTTCACAGGCCTCACATTCACCGACGCCTTGCGACTCTTTCTACAATCGTTCCGATTGCCTGGAGAAGCCCAGAAGATCGATCGATTCATGTTGAAATACGCGGAGCGTTACGTTAAAGGCAACCCTCAAAGTTTTAGTAGTGCTGACACAGCCTATGTATTAGCTTACTCCGTGATTATGCTCAACACCGATCAACACAATGCGCAAGTAAAAAAGCGCATGACGAAGCCGGAGTTCATCAAGAACAACCGCGCCATTGACAATGGTCAAGACATCCCACCGGAAGTTCTTGAAGCCATCTACGATGAGATCAACAAGAACGAAATTGTGATGAAGGATGAACAATCGGCCGCCGGTCTTGTTAGTCCTGGCGGACCAAACTCGGCCTCCGGTGCTGGCGCCGCAGGTGCCAAGCGTGAAGTCGCGCAATTCGCGTTGGCGAGCGAAACAATGGCTTTGAAAACGGAAGCTATGTTCAATACCATGCTGAAAGGGAAGAGCAAGCGCAGCACTCTCATTGCGTCGAATAAGGAAAGCACGGCCTCGGGCGAATTCTACGTTGCAAGACACTATGAGCACGTAAAGGGAATGTTCCAAATCATCTGGATGAGCATTCTCACCGGCATCAGTGGACCATTACAGGAGAGCGAGGATGTCGAGACCATTCTCGTCGCATTGGAGGGGTTCAAGCACGCTACGCGCATCGCCTGTCTGTTCGATATGGACCTGGAAAAGAAAGCATTCATCTCCACACTGAGCAAATTCACCATGCTGGGCAACATGCAGGAGATGAAAGCGAAGAATCTGGAGGCAACCAAGTGCTTACTGGACATCGCGTTCACCGAAGGAAACCATTTAGGGGAAAACTGGAAGGACGTGGTGCTTTGTGTGAGTCAATTGGAAAAGCTCCAAGTCGCAGGAGAGAACGAACAAGACGGGTCAAGACCACGCGCGTCGACCGACAGACTTCAACGACGCGAGTCGTCGCATGGACTCACGCGTACTGGATACCTCCAGGAAGCTGCGGCCGAAGCTAGTTCGCAGAGCATGACTGTCGTAGTTGATCGAATCTTCACGGGAAGCGTGAAGCTCTCCGGTTCCGCCATTGTAGCGTTCGTGAAAGCCTTATGCGAGGTCTCATGGGACGAAATTACGTTCTCTTCCGATCGCGAGCATCCACGTATGTACTGCCTTCAGCGGCTCGTCGAAATCTCCTACTATAACATGAAGCGTATTCGTGTCGAGTGGTCCAACATCTGGGCCATCCTTGGAGATCACTTCAATCAGGTCGGATGCCATCCCAACAGCAACGTGGGATATTTTGCCTTGGACAAATTGCGCCAGCTGGCCATGAAATTCTTGGAATTGGAGGAGCTACCCAATTTCAAGTTCCAAAAGGACTTCCTACGACCTTTTGAGCATGTACTAGGGAATAACAGCGATGTGAAGATCAAGGACATGGTGTTGGCGTGTTTGCAACAAATGATCCAGGCGAAAAGCAAAAGCATCAAGAGTGGTTGGAAAGCTATGTTTGGCGCGTTCATTCGGGCCGCCAGGGAGACCCACGGTAAGATCTTATACGTTTCGCGCACGATCATCACAATGGCTTGACTGCTGACGCTACCATCAACTCAGAACCCATCGTTCTGCTCGCCTTCGACATCGTAAAGGGAATCTTCAAGACAAATTTTGAAAGTGTCGTCGTCAATCAAACTTTCCCAGATGCTGTATCCTGCCTGGTGGAACTATGCAAGAACCGCAAATTCGCGCGAACCAGCCTCCAATCCGTCGAGATTCTCAAGCAATCCATCCCTCGCATCTACGAGCTCTCCAAGACGCAACAAGGGTCGAAGCTTCTCATCACCGCTGCTAGCACTATGAATGTGATGCGGTCGAACGAGAACCTGACAGAGTCGGTACATCAGGGACTCTTGGCTTCCACGCCGACATCTGCTGCTACACCTGCTGCTGTGGCGACTGGCCAAGCGAAGTTGGCTGTACCTGCTGCCACGGCAGCTGGTGGGCTAGGCCCGGAAGACGACCCCAGCTTCAGATTTTGGTTCCCGATCTTGTTTGGGCTATACGAGGTTATCATGACTTGCGACTTGGAGGTTCGAACCAGGTACGTTCTCCGCTATGAGTTGAGAGCTACGAAGGAGCAGGACGGTTGATTCAAAATGCGCAATGCAGGGCTTTGAATTACCTTTTCGATACTTTGAAACAATACGGTGCATCATTTTCACGCGACTTTTGGGAGGTCATTTCCAAAGGGGTTCTCTTCCCTATATTCGACGACTTGCGCCTATCCAGGCAGGAGCACACGAAGTTCGCCAACAAGGAAGACATGTCTGTCTGGCTCTCTACCACGCTCATCCAAGCACTACGGCAGTTCATCGACTTGTTTGGTCATTATTTCGATACACTGAGCTTTCAGATCGATGGAGTCTTGGAGCTCCTGACAGTCTGCATGACGCAAGAGAACGAGACGCTTGCGAGAATCGGAAGTACCTGTCTTCAGCAATTTATCGAGGGCAACGTGTCCAAATTGGATGGCGATATATGGGAGAAGATTTCCACCATGTTCGTCCATCTTTTCGATGTGACAACACCGAATGCTCTGTTCTTCGACCCCAATGAGAGTGGAGATATCCCAGCGCCAGCTTCAGCCATTCAACCACCAACTATTATGCCACTTGGAGAAGAGAAGGGTCTGTCCATTGAGACCCGTCCGAAACGCCCAAGACCTCAGAAGAAGGAGTTTCAGCAAATCATCGTCAAATGCGTGCTTCATCTTCTCGTCATTCAAACTCTGCAGGAAGTGCTTGCGTCAGGGTCTGACGACGCCGTATATCGCAGCTTGAACTCCAAAAACCTCTTCACGTTACTAGACTGTCTCGAGCGAAGTTACCGCTTCGCCCGCGCTTTCAACGGCGACATGGAACTACGGATGGCGTTATATCGCATGGGTTTCATGAAACAGCTACCGAATTTGCTGAAACAAGAGACGAGCAGCGTGTCGACTTATGTGGGCGTGCTGATCAAGATGTACCTAGATCCAAGCGATGAAAGGACAGGCATGAGGCCGGAGATCGCGAAGAGATTAGTGCCGTAAGTGATTTGCTGTCTTGGTGTAGAAATCTGCGCAGGGCAATGGAAAGAGGCTTACATGTTGTATTGCCTGTTCAGATTATGTCACGACATTCTTACACATTACAACTCATTGGATCCCGAATCCAAGCGGCGGAATGTCAATGCATGGCGGCCGGTAGTCGTGACGATACTCAACGCTCTCATTGATTTCGATAACGATCAGTTCCGTCTCCAGATGCCACATTTCTACGGCGAGGTGGTCAATCTTCTCGGCCAAGACGTGACTCCTGACATCAGGCTCGTACTGCACGCGCTACTCATCCGCACCGGAATGACGTTCGGGATCATGACGGAAGGGGAAGCCCTAAGTGCCCGCGCGAGTCGCACATCCCTTACCGGCAGCATGGAGGCTTTGCAAGCACAAGAATCCATTGCACTGATACCCGAACATGGCATCGGAAAGACCTTTTCGACCATCAACACAGACGCTGGAGATGACGCCGGAGCGTTAGCTAGCGGCTTAATCGAGTCAGGTGGTGTGGATGCCGAGGCGTTACCAGATTTGGGCATCCCAGACGCGCCACTGGATATCGGCGACGCTGATGGAGATGGACCAACCATGAGAGGCGAAGGTGGCTGGATTGTCAGCAACAACGATCTCTTACAGCCCGACGAATCTGTGGCCAAGCCTGGCATGCCTGTTGGGGACACATCGTCCTCAATAGCAGCGATCACACTTGTGTCAAATGATTCGCATCAGGTATCTGGCCAGCCACCAGAAGCAGCTGAGAGCGCTCCATCGAATACGGACCGCGCCCTCGCGTCAGAATACCCCTCTTCGGGGTCAGACGAGCGCCAACGGAAGGAGCACGAAGAACAGGACAAGGCGGAGAATGATGGACTTGATTTTACGTAGTCATCCTGCATCCCTCCAAGCCCTAAATGGAAATTCTGTCCCATATATCCATTTTCATTCCATTTATCATCTTGACATCTTTGACTGTCGTCTCCATACAACGGCGCGTCACGTGACTGTCGGATGCCTTTTTTTGCAAGTTGGTGAGGAAAGGCTTCTTCCTCACGCGGCCAACAACCAACATTCGCTTGGTTCGACCTCCCACCACATACTAATTTCGCCATGCCTCACTCCTTCGGTACGTCAGATGGAGGGAGAACGCCTGCCCGTTCGAATTTTGGATTTGCGGGGAGAACCTATGCCCGTTCAATTTCGGCGTTCCGAAGAGTAACGATATACGGTCCAAGTTTCTAAACTTCTTTCTTCCCAATAGGTCTCAGGGCTCGCACCAGGCACCTTTTCTCCCGGAACTTCCGTGAGAAGGGTTCCATTCCCCTCTCCACTTACCTTAAGAGCTACAAGGTTGGAGACATTGTGGACATTAAGGCCAACGGTGCTGTCCACAAGGGTATGCCCCACAAGTTCTACCACGGGTGCGTGTCATGGTAGCTTCGAGCGTGCGAGTTGGTGGAAGCAGACGAGGGGGAAGTTGGGAGGTGGGCTGAGATGATGTGGAGTGGGGAGAGGGGCAATAATGGGATGCGATATGCCGAAAGATTGTGGTGGGAACATATGGGGGAGTAGCTTGCATGCAACAGTTAGCAAAGCCTGTGCAAGGAACGAAACGTGGGCGATTGCAGTAGTTAGCCAGTCGGGAGTCAACAAGTGAAGCTTGGCAGCGGGGTCGACAATTGATAGCTGCATAGAAGCGTGGGAGGAAGTTCTACGGAGGCATGGATGTCGCTGACACGAAACACAACCCTTCCAGAAAGACCGGTATCATCTACAACGTGACCAAGTCTTCGGTCGGTATCATTGTTCACAAGCAAGTGGGCAACCGGTACATTGAGAAGCGTGTGAACATTCGTGTGGAGCACATCAAGCACAGCAACTGCCGATTGGACTTTTTGCGCCGAGTCAAGGCTAACGCTGCTGCTAAGAAGGAGGCGAAAGAGAAGGGTGGTAAGTAATCTCAATCGACGAAAGATGCGACGAGTGCAGTTGAAGTATGAGACATTGATGGCTATTGTCTTTCAATCAGTCTCTTTCAACTTAAAGCGTCAACCCGTCGGACCCGTCAAGGCCCACCACGTCTCCACCAAGAACAACGCCCCCACCACCATCACCCCTGTCCCATACGAAGGTATGCTCTTTGGTTTGTGCGTCGATTGACCTGGGATCTTGAACTAAGCTCTTCTCCTTCTTTCAGCCCTTGTGTAATCTTTTTTGCTGCATTGCATAGATAAACCATTATTGTCCTGTCCATGTGCTGTTCATTTTGCTTTGCATGTGCCTCTCTTTTTCGGAGCTCGAGAATCTCCGGGAAGTCACTCGAAATTGGTGCCGTGATGCCGCTGAACAAGTGTGGGACTTTCGAGAGCATATTGAGACTTCGGCTTGGAGCAGCCACCCATTGGGTGCAAAGCTGTATCATCGTGGACGACTATCACCCAACCCCTTTTCCGCCGTACCGACCTCAACCTGAAGCCGGCTGCACGTTTTGTCTACTAGCCTGAATTTTGATATCCTTCTCGCGAAGCGTTGCGAAGCGGCTTCGTTCCGCGGAGGCGTCGTGACATTGTTCAAACCATTCCTCTTGTTTCACGCTTACTGTATTACGCACATGTATTCATCGGGAGACAAAGCTGAACAAGTCCAAGAAGGGTCCATGAGGGCAAACAGGCCAGCCGTGCGTGTTCATCACAAAGGAGGGGACGAAATCCGCGGACACGTCTCGAGTCTCGACGTGTGACTTGTGTGATCCGACGGGGCTAATAAAATGCATGTGTCAGTCGACATGGCTCTCGTGCTCCGATATCGATAGTTATACATGTCTGAGCGAGCGTATACATACTGTACATACCTAGTACTATATACTGTACTGTACAAAGGAGCTGGATCTGGAGTGAGCTGATTTCGCGGCAGATATCATGAGATTTGGACCATGTAGTACTTGTCCAGATCCCGAACAGCCTGTGAGTATATGGTGAAAAGCCACATGATGAGTCAGGGCCACAAATCGGACCGCTTTCGGAGGCCATCCGCCGGTTTAGGGATAAGCCTTGGATCCTCTTTGATTTATACTATAGGTGGCTTGAACGGGAAGGACAGTCAGTTAGCAAAAAGCTGTGCGCCCCCTCCAATTGAAATCAATGTCGGTCATTCATGTGAATTTGGCGTTACGGCAGTCGCTGATTTATTTCAGGGGGGTCCACAGCTTTTTGCGAACTGACTGAAGGTCCAGGATCCAACCCCAGCGTTTAAAACTGTCAGACGATGATCTCCCCTCTCCCAATTTCCGAAGCCTTCGATTGGGAGACTGAACCACAATAAAAACCGGACCCTGCATGGCTTTCCCAGTTCCAGCTGATGGCCAAAACATTCCTACTCCCGCTCGGAGAGTTCAGTGCGTTCGGTAACTTTCGGTTCCTAAAAGCCATCAAACTTCAGGTATACAATCAAGGGTTCTGCTTCGGTGGAATTCCAGAAAAACACTGACATGACCAAGTCCCTGAGCACTTTGTCGCTAGTCACACTACTACCCTGGTTCTCGTAACATTGCGAACTTACAAGCTTGCGGGCTACAAAAGCAGAATCCCAACTCCCGAGCGATCAGGGTTCAGCGATTACCGTAGGTAAGTGAGTGATGGATTACTGGTGACGCGCGAGGACAACTGCGGAGCATGTGCTGCGTGCATGCATATCGAAGGGCCGCCCCGTTCATGTCGATGGACGTGAAGGGGGCATTTGGGGTTTTGTTGTCTGTTGCGAAGATTCAGAAGAGTTGCAAAGGGGGCTTCAGCGCCCGATCGCGTCTGGGAGACGATTTTCATATATATACCGGAGGGGAGGGGCTTTAAACTTCGGCCGGTTCTAGGCCTTTAGCGGCTTGCCTTTGTTCGTCACCGTTCAATCAGAGTCCATATCTCACACCCCGGCGGGCTTGTTGCTGCGTTGGCGACATACTAAATGGAGTCGAAGCCGGCTGCCCGGTGGAGATTTAACTGCGGCAACGACTGTGAAGCCTCCTTGGTCGTCCTTCCCCTCCTCAGGCCCTGATCGCACGCCGGCTCACCATTCATTACGGTCCTCCCGTCCTTCCTTCCTTCCTCGTGCTCGATCTCATTCCCGCCGTACCAGCGGTCTGTACATTACGACGATATTTACTTGCCCTTCAATTCGCTGGAATAGGATCGCTTCCATATCCTCTTCGACCGAAATCCCGAAATCCTCGCCGTGGCAGTACCGACCAATACATTACAGGTAGCTTGAACCAAGCGACGCCGCAACTTCCAGCAACGTCCAGTGTCTCCCAGCAACGCCAACCGTGCCGAACCCCTGTCACACGTCGTCACCGCTATCCAGAATCCAAATCGGTTGCGCACGCCTTCCCGCCCATTTTTTCTCCTCCGGGCCAGTTGAAAATAGACAGCCACTGGCATATAAAACACACACATACGACTCGCGAACGTTTACCGGTCTGCTGTCCCCCACCGACTGTCCCCCAACCGACTGCGGGGCCTGCCACATCGGCGTTTTCCATCGGCACTTGCGTCAGGCCCAGAGGTCGGCCACGGTTGTCAGGAAGAAAAAGCCGCGCAGGCGACGTGAAACCGTACCGTACTGTACTGTACTGTACGGCAGCAGCAGCGTAAGGTGGTCTCGCCTCTTTGATCGGAGCAGACCCTCCGAGGCCCTGACGCTTTGTGAGCGAGCGGATTTCAAGTTCCGTCCACCGCTTTTATTTGCTCGATTCGACAGCTGGAGGGCAACCTGCCCTGTTGGATTTGAGCAACTATGGGTCCTTATAACAACTCCTCTGGCACTTCAAGAACACCGGTTCCGCCACAGCAGGAAGGGCTCATCCATCATCAACAGCCAGGTCCGTCCCAGCAAAATTCCCATCGTGGCTTGCCGCAGACACCGAGCGGCACTACTCCACCGAGGTGAGTTCGCAACAGACAGTCGTAGTGGGTACGGGGGAGGGCAGTGGCACCACCACCATGTGCCTCCCTGTGTCTCCATCCACTGCTAGTAGTGGTGTGTGTGACTTTAGAATCTGGGATGGGTGTCTGCGGAAAGCATGGATGATGCATCCAGGGGCCGTTCATGTGTGTGTGTTTGTGTGTGTGTTTTGCGTATGGCGAGACGTCTCGAGGGTGGCTCACACGCTTTTGCGCGGTCTCCCATCGAGCGATCGAGCCAGCCACGCGAGGCCCCCCCGCTGCGAGTTCCCACCGCGCTGGATTCGGAGTTCGTGATCGCGTCGCTTTCGCTGCCACCCACCGCCGTCAATGAGGCCCCCGAGAAAAAACACTCACGCCGCCCCCCCGCTCCCAAAACCCAACACCCAACCCCCCCCCCCCCCCCCCCCACCCACCCACAAACCTTTGATGATGACCTTGCATGGCTGGCTGACTCTGGCTCCTACTGCCTTCATTGTTCCTTCCAGACAATCGTACGCCCTACAGATCCTACAGCAACCCTCAAGAGCGCGCATGTCTGGATTCGGAAATTCCGGTATGTCAAATCGCAAACTTTTTTGCTTTGGTGCTGCCAATTTGTACTGTCGCTTTTGAGGGGAAATCATTAAATCCTTGTTCCCCAGATAGGAGACCGGTAGATCCAGTAAGTTCACCATCCTACTATTCTAGCGTGCCCCACTGTTACCGGCGGTTATCGGTCTGTATGTGTGAAGTGTGTCTAACTCTCGAAATAGCCAGCGATCCTACAAGTCACCGCCTTCGATGCCGCCGGAATGCAACCCATCAGGTTTGTTTCCTTTATTGTCTTACCTCTGACACGCGAGTCTTCACTCTTCTTGGCTATCATGCACACCGCCGGTAGTTGCATGTATTCGAACCTATAATAATTATTTATCTTCCGCTGTGTTGGACAGTGCGGATGAAGCTTCACGGCTCGTTGTCCATGCATCGCTATGGAGCGCGAACGGTCGAGAAGACCGGAATGTGGTCGTCAGTCCATACTACTATGTATCGCGGACCGGTCATGGGACAGGCGACGACGAGGCAGGCATATCAGCAAGGGACGGCGAGGACGGCGCTGACATGATGGACGACCACGAGAATCCGGACAATTGGCATGATGGGTCGTCAAGTACGCCAGAACCATCACAAGCAGCCGATTCAGTCCCTCCTCCCAACCTTGCTATCCTAAAACCGGCCGTAGACCATGATCAAGACATCCTCCGGAATCGGTCTCCATCGACGGTAGATCCCATTACTCGTTTAAAGCGACCGTCTGAAACGTCTCTGACCGCGGACGCGGAAAGCGTGAGCCCTTGGCAGCCAGTGGCGCCGTCCTCACCAGAATCCTCAGCCAGCGGGAGAGAACGACGCGATATGATTCAAACGTTAGTCGGTTCCGTCGTCAGCCAATGCCTCCCTTTGCAGGATCTAAGCGGTCAGCATGGGTACTTTGCGATCTTCTCCGACTTATCGATTCGAACGCCGGGCGAATATAGAATACGATTCAGCTTATTACAGCTGTTTCCCGCTACTGGGTGAGTGGGAGACAATTCTTACCTCGTTTAAGGTTTTCCGGTCCCGGTTCTGGCCCTGTTCGATAATCGAAATGCTAAACTGTGTTACAAATTCTTTACAACCAGGGCAACGGTGGAAAGTAGCCCATCTACACCGATCCTCGCCACAGCACTGAGCGACGTTATATCCGTCTATCAGCCAAAGCGGTTCCCTGGTCTATTGAGCACCACGGCGATTTCAGAGCACTTTGCCAAACAAGGAGTGCCAATACACGTGCGCAAGTTCAGCGTCAAGAACAGTCGAGAACCTCTCTCGCGCCCTACCGGTTCGCAAGGATAACAAGCACTACCCTCTTTGCATCAGCGCTTCTCGCCACACTCTTTCGCACCACTCTATATATCCGCTTGCAATCGATCCTACGTCACATTGCAACGACAGCCGTTTTCCGAGTCGCTCTCCCAGGTCTTCCGGCCCAAGCCGGTTTGGCGTCTCCCCCGTTCCTTTTGCCCCCGCGCGTTCCAGCCTGCAACCAGGGTCAATCACACTTGCCCAGTTTCAGCATCGCGGCCTCTATATCTGCAACCACTCGGCTTGATCCCGGCCCAGCTTCTTCCCTCGACCGCCGTACTCTGATCACGTTAAATAAGCGGCCCGGTTCGCTTTGGGTAGTCGAAAGGGGATTTCACTTCAACGTGCACTTCTTTTTGGGCACATCGGCTGATACAGGGGCGACAGCCGGCCGCCCTCATCTACCCTTAGCACGTTCGTTGGTTTTGCTACCGTTTCCTCGACATCATTTTGCAATGCTAGACAATGCGACGCAGCGCCTGATGAGTTTGATGCGGAAATCTGTTGAGGCCACCGACGTCGAGCACAGCGGACCTACTGCTTAGGGAATGCGGCGCCATAGTTGGAAGCGCTACGGGCTCGATGGCCCATGCATACTGTGGTTCTAATGTCGTCGATTGGAACGGTGTGAGCCGATCACCGACTGAAAATCATAACTTGGTCGAGTTTTTGTATTTGGGTCCCCCCATCTGTGTACATAACTTCATCGTCCCTTCATAGACCATGCTCAATCTTGCAATCAAACACTCAATCAACTTCCGCAGTTTTGTCGATAAAACATGTACAGTATATGTCTGCGCAAGACGACGCTTCATCTCGTCCCAAGTATCACCCCCACCCAGCGTAACAGTGCGGAGTTGCAGAAATTGGAAGCCAACCCGTAACCTCCTCTTTTATGAAGGGTTTGGTCCCTTTCCAGGCATGACAATTTCGAAAGGGAGGATATCCGAAGGCGCGTTATTGAGAGATTATGACAGGGCCCGTCACTTGAACTCAAACATACGTCACAAGCCCTGCGGGAAAACTCCCAGTAGTGTTTTGTGGTTTTGTGCTCAACCCGTCAATAATATGCATGCCACTGGCAAGCGGCTGAACGGCAAACTTGAGGAATCGATAAAAGGGGCGGGGCATCGTGATGGTACCCCCAATAAATCGCCTTATTCGTTGTGAGACAAGCGTTCGTTCGTATCCACTCCTCGCCATCACGTCATCGCTCTTGCTTTCGCGCCATTCCAGGTCCTCGCAGCCTCGCCATGAACGCAATCCGAGGAATCCGATCCCGGGCGCCCTTAGCGTCCTCATATAAAAAGACGGGACACTCTCGGGGCGCTTCATTCCTTCTCCAATCAGCAATCAGCAAACCTTCATCACATCCTTTCCTCACTACTCGCATCGCCGCACACACATTCCACAAAATGTCCCCGACATCTGCTCCTCACGACCCTCAAAGCATGGACGCAACCAAGGCAAAGAACTTGGACACGACGACCAACACGAACAAGCAGATTGAGGACCTCTACAAACTCATCGATGGAATCAAGGTATCTGTCGTCCGTTCACACATCCCGTTTCGGTTCTCCAACTCACTCAACTTCTGTTCATGTCATTAGATCGCAACTTTCACCACTCGCGCCCGAGATGGATCCCTGGTGTCTCGACCGATGGCTACCCGCGAGCGAATCGAAGGCGGACCTGATATTGTGTTCGTCACCAACAACCAATCTCACAAGTTGGACGACTTGAGCTACGATAACCACGTGAATGTGGCGTACTCCAAGGGCCAGAACTGGGTTAGCGTATCAGGAACTGCATCCTTGGTGAACGACAGGACGAAGATCAAGGAATTGTACAAGCCTGATCTGAAGGTATGATTGATGCGGTCTGTCCGATGTAAATGCTGATGATGGCTCGCTCACATTTGCACACTATCAATCATCTAGGCATGGTTTGGCGACCTCGGTGACGGCGTGCACACAGGGGGCCCGGAGGACCCTCGCATCACTTTGCTCTACATTACCGCCGATTCTGTGCACTACCAACTGCAAGACAAATCCACGCCCACCGTTCTTTTTGAGGTGGTGAAGGGTGCGGTGACTGGAGCTCTCCCAGAGACCGGACCCATCCGGGAGTTGGGAACGTCGGAGTTGAACCACGCCCGGAACATCGCCACTCAGTAGCAACCCCGCTTTGTCGGATACGCATAGTTTCTCCATATCGTTTCTTTTTTGTAAATCCTTCTTGGCAATGAATATACAGTATCTCACTTTGACCGCCGACGCGATTATTTCGTCATCACCGGTGTACAGTACAAGACTGACTAAACCCATGCCCCTCGGCACTGTATGGGGTTAACTACGCTATCCTATAGTTGTACGTACGTGCAGGATGCTGTGCACGGGGGGTGTCTATACAGCCAACGCACAGAATTATCTCTACATGATGTACAATATAATTCTGGCTCACACTCCGTCTTGACCAATTGACCTTGACTGGCAACCAAGACCGAGTGCGAACATCCCTATTCCCAGTCCAGCGTCTATTAGCCATTGTTTTGACGACAACCACTCTGCACTCAAATCTCATACACACCCACAACTAGGGTCCTTACGCCACGTACTCGGTGCACATTCTCACTATGAGGCGAAGGTCTGTGGGTTGGTACTGTATAAACAGATTAATGGGTTAGACTTATGGATCTCTCTCTCACGACGCTCGTGAAGTATTAATAGGGTGCGTGTATACCTGGCGATCTCCGTTGGTTGTGTTGTATATACGATGGGGAGCTCTCCCCCGAAGAGACAAGCAGGGGGATGCCAATGGTCCCGTACTGTACAGTATATGTGCGCGGCGGAGTCGCGACGCGTGGGCTGTAGGATCAAGCGTATCATGCTGAGCCCTCAACTCGACGACAGGAGCTGCCGACTTATTATCCACTACGAACAGTGGCAACTTGCCCACCGCAGGGGCGTCCGTGCTGCATATACATTGCCCCGCTCCACCAGTCTTGCAGATGTCTGGCGATCGCACTTTCATGCTTTTACGCAAGCTCCGATATTACGTTTGAACATATTAATAACCATCGAATGCACATGGAAGGCCTGTGCGGCGACGACCCTTGGGTAAAGGAAGCGCATCGTGTTCATGCGTCGGAGTTAGCCGGCGATAACCATCCTTGAATTGTACATGTAGGGTCCTTGGAGAGACGGCGCTCTGACTGAATGCTTTGTCAAAACGTAAGTTCGTCGGGTCGCAGATATGGATATGCCATACCCATATATATGTAGGCCTGCCCAGCAAGGGTGATAGCTAGATGGTTGTAGACAGCGGTGAACGCCGCAAATTGTTCATTAACGCCCATGTCATAGAATCGTGATAGCCGCCATCCCGACCCTTTGTATCGTTATTGTCGGCTCTTTCTCCTTCGCCAAGCACTTGAAGTGGAGAGAAGAGCATGTGAACGATAACGGCATCCACCGCATCGACGAAGACCATGATCAGTCAGGCGATACGAGAGATGATTTCTCGACCTTGCATACGCGAGCGACCCCTCACGCCCCTGAGCACGCTTGGGTTTGGGCGGCGATTCTCAACCTGGCGAATCTGCAGATCGCTATAGCTCTGATCGAGTTTTTGGGCGTCAACACCTTGGTCTTGGCGCCGTATGAGTACATTATATTAGCCGCCGTACTGCTTCAATGGGTACGTTGAGAAGGGAGTCAAATGGCGCGTCAGCTTAAGACTAATATCTGCTCTCGCCAGACTTTCTTTGTTGGCATTCTGGCCTACTTGATCTGGGCTCCACTACCTTACGATGACCCAGAAGCTCATGCAGCATTCGATCGCTCAAAGCGCACGTCGCTGCGCTATCTTCTAGCGTTTGTCGCTGTCGCTGCCATCGCGAAGGTCATCGAACTCGTGCCATTGTACTCTCACTACGATCCGCAGATGGGTGATGTGGTCCGGATACTGCTGGTGATCGGATCGCTCGCCCTGGACATCTTAATGTTGGCCTTCGGATTGGTTGTATCGGGAGAAATGCTAGGAAGCCAGAGGTTTGGATACACTTCCGTGCCTAGTTCCGAGTCTCGACAGGAAAGGGTGATCTGCACAGAGGAAGGCGCGCCATTCTTTTCGAAGATGACATTCATGTGGTTCAACGACCTCATCAAGTTGGGGGCATCCAAACACCTATCGAAAGACGACATTCCGGATATAGCGGAGGGCGATAAAGCGGCGAATGTGTGTGAGAGATTTGAGAAAATCAGGCTGCGCCACAAGGGGTTGCTGGCTTCGTTATATTATCTAGTGCGCAAGGAGCTGCGGATTCAAGCAGCCTACGGGGTCGGGTCAACACTGCTATTCTTCGCTGGCCCATTCTTCCTCAATCGCATCCTAGCACATGTGTCGCAACCCAGAGGAACCTCGTCGGCGGCTGTTGGGTTGAGTTACGCCTTCGCGCTATTGGTGTGCTCCCTTGTACGCTCCGCATGTGATGGCCAACTGTACTTCATCGGCAGGCGCATTGGGTTGCGCCTTCGCGCCGTCCTCATTACGGAAATCTACACGAAGGCGCTCAGGAGGCGCGCGATGTTTGGAGAGGAGGAGGAGGATCAGGGCGCGACCACGGGGCAGGTTCAAAATCTCATGGCTGTTGATTGCCAGAAAATTCTCGAAATGTCCTGCTATCTACAGTATTACTGGAGTTTGCCGTCTCAAATAATCATCTGCGTTGTCCTCCTATGCCTGGTGTTGGGCTGGCCAGCCCTCACCGGAGTCGCCGTCATGCTTTCCGTCATGCCCATTGGAGCATATTTCGGAAAGGCCGTTGCCCGAGCGCAGAAAAGTTTGATCAGAGCGACAGACAAGAGAATCAACGCTATCAACGAGGTATGATGAGCGTTTGATTACAGACACGTCAATTGAATCTGATGACATTAAGTTTTAGGCTCTGCAAGGTATAAGAGTGCTCAAGTTTTTCAGCTGGGAGCTGCATTATTACAAGCAGTTGACAAAGTACCGCGACACGGAGCTAAAGAAGTTACGCCATTATATTTTCGTCGCCGGTGGCCAATCTCTCTTGTGGTCCGCCACGCCCATCATGGTGTCCTTCCTCACGTTCCTCACCTACACAAAAGCCGCGAATCGGGAACTGACCGCCGAGGTAGCATTCACTGGCCTGGCGTTGTTCAATGCCTTACGCGGCCCTCTGCAGTATTTCCCGGAAATGATCGTTCGTTTAAGCGAGGTCAGCGTCAGCATGCAGAGGATCAAGGAGTTTTTGGCGGAAGAGGAATTGGAGCGCTATGAGAAGGGCAAGGAGGTGGCTACAACGGCGCCGTTAGCTGCGGACCAGGCGATAGGTATCCACGGAGGATCATTCACCTGGGAAGCGGACGAGACTGAAACCACGAAGAAGCGAAAACGGTTCTCTCTCAAGAATCTGGAACTTTCCTTCCCACCGGGTCAGCTCAGCTTGGTTTGCGGGACAACGGGTTCAGGGAAGACGAGTTTGATGATGGCGCTGTTGGGCGAAATGCATCGTATTGCTGGGACCACTACGATGCCTGATAGCAGGACCGCAAAAGTTGAACCCATCACACGGTTAGCACCTAGTGTCGCATACGCCGCCCAGCAGGCGTGGCTGATGAACGGCACGGTCCGTGACAACATCACTTTCGGAGAGCCATTTGACTCCGAGCGGTATGAAAAAGTCATATTCGCCTGCGCACTCACTCGGGATCTGGAGACTTTCAACGGAGGAGACATGTGTGAGATAGGTGAAAAGGTAAATGTTGATCCCGATATTCCTAAGGTACTTGCACAAGGTTAACATCTGATAACCGATCTCAAGGGTATAAACGTGTCCGGTGGCCAGAAAGCTCGCTTGTCACTCGCCAGAGCAGCATATTCACGGGCAGCTTACGTCCTATTGGACGATCCGTTGTCGGCGGTCGACGCCCCTACTGCTCGCCACCTTTTCGAGGAGTGCATCCTGGGACTTTTACGCGATCGGACCCGGGTGCTGGTTACGCATGCAGTTCACCTCTGCATCCCGCGTGCCGATCACGTTATCGTTATGGGCAAGGGGGTGATTGCCACGCAAGGCTCGCCCAAGGAAGTCATTGGGAAAGGCCCAGGCAAAATCGATTTGGAGACCATCATAGACGATGAGGATGAGCTGCAAGCAGTCGCTGAGGTTAATGAGGACGGGGACGATTGTGGCGCGCGCGCGTCGATTGGAGGCGAGGCCAGCGTTCACAGCACTCAGCGGAGTCAAGGAGCGGAAAATGACTTGCGACTCGAGGTTGAGGAAAACTCCCCAAGCTCAGGATCCCTAGGAAAAGGCGCCGGATTACCGAAAGATGCCACAATTACTTCACCAGTAATCGACAGGCCTGTAGCTCGCCTGACGGAGGACGAAGCGAAGGCCTCGGGCTCGGTGGGCAGCGAGGTGTATATGACGTACATACGCGCAGCGGGCGGCTTTCTCTTTGTTCTGACGTTGGCGATCACGTATAGCGGTACACAACTTGCGATTATCGGGCAGGATTGGTGGCTGAAACATTGGGCGCAGGCTTACAAGGTTGTGTCCTCTCTCTTCTTTCCCAACGGGGCGCTTACCTTCCAAGCCGAAGAAAGGTTGTCGTTTACACGCCCTCAGCCCATCAACGTCGACTGGTACTTGGAAATCTACGCGTTGATTGGGGTACTTAGCCTGCTTGCGCTGCTAATTCGCATCGTGGCCGTCGCAATGGGTTCCCTGAAAGCATCAAAAAGGCTGCATAATGCGATGCTGACCTCTATCTTGAGAGCACCCATCCGGTTCTTCGACATTACTCCTCTCGGTCGAATCCTAAACCGCTTCTCGCGCGACACGCAATGTATCGATCAAGAGGTATCCAACTTCTCTGGAGAATTTCTGAGAAACTCGGTTTCCGCTATTGCCGTCGTTTTAGTCGTCGCCTCCGTGACGCCCCTTTTCGTTGGAGCTTTGATCCCAATTGCGTTAATATACCGCTCCGTCGCGCGCCTTTATCTGAGCACCTCTCGGGAACTCAAACGCTACGACAGCGTGACTCGGTCGCCCATTTATTCGCATTTCAGTGAAACAATCACGGGGGCGCCTACCATCCGAGCTTATGGAGCGGAACAGCGGTTCACCGAAGAGATCTATGCCAGAATCGATCAGAACCATCGTCCTTTCTTTTATCTATGGGTTTCGAACAGGTGGCTGGGGATTCGCATTGACTTTGTGGGAGCTGCTGTCTCCTTTTCCTCTGCGGCGGCGATTCTCGCAACCATGCATTGGGGGCCGGGCATGGATCCTGGCGCTGCTGGACTCAGTTTGAGTTATGCTCTAACATTCACAGACAATCTGCTGTGGGTTGTGCGAATGCATAGTTTGATGGAGATGACCATGAATAGCGTTGAAAGGATCGGGGAATATCTGGAAATTGATGAGGAAGCCCCGGCCGTGATTGACACATCGAGACCACCCACCCTCTGGCCTCAAGCAGGCCGAGTGGTTTTTACGGATGTAGTCGTCAAATATGCGCCCGCTCTGCCACCCGTTCTTCGCGGGCTCAGCTTCACGGGGCAGGCGGGGGAGAAAATAGGGATTGTTGGTAAGTTAGGGCAAATCGCAGAAAGATGCGAAACATAGTCTGGGTGCTGACGATGAGTATCGTGGGCGTAGGGCGCACCGGCGCTGGGAAAAGTACAATCTCGCTAGCCCTCTTCAGATTCTTGGAGGCTTCGAGCGGGCGCATTGTCATTGATGGTATCGACATCGCGCAGATCGGCCTACACGACTTGAGGTCCAGGTTGACCATTATCGCTCAAGGTAACGCCTAATACACCGTGCAGCCTACTTCACGGTGTGCAGTAGGCCTAAAGTCTCGAATGCGCCGTGACATGGCTTTGCAGATCCGATACTTTTTACGGGGACGTTGAGAAGCAACCTGGATCCATTCTCTCAGCACACCGATCTCGAGCTGTGGACGGCTCTGCGGCGTTCCCATCTTCTCGACTCGGACCACTCGCGTCACTCGCATCACCAGCAGCACTTACCGACAGCTGTGCCAGTCTCCATCGCGCCACACAAGTCCTCAGGGAACAACAGCGGGTCTGAAGGGGGGAGCATGTCTACGAGCCAGCTGGTGCACGATCGCACGGGAAGTTTGGTTACCCGCAGTTTTGGAACAACTCCTTCGACATCGCGACGACCCTCGTTAACGCCCGCGACGTTTATTCAACCGGCAAATGACACCCCATCGGGGCATCCACATCATCACGCGTTACATCGCCAGACGTCAACGGCATCGGTGGGAAGTAACGCAGGACAGCCTCATCTGACACTGGACACTGCAGTTGCGGAAGGGGGCGCTAATTTCTCGCAAGGTAGTCAAAGAGTCTCATCATCCTTCTCCCACCATACTAACTCGCTTGGCGAAAGGTCAACGACAGTTGCTGTGCCTCGCGCGCGCCCTACTGAGGAGTTGCAAGGTGATCGTCCTGGACGAGGCTACAGCGAGCGTGGATCATGAGACGGACGCGAAGATCCAGGAAACAATTCGCAACGAGTTTCGCGGGGCCACGTTGCTCTGCGTCGCCCATCGGTTGCGAACCGTTGCGGATTATGACAAGATCCTCGTGCTTTCTGAAGGCAAAGCTGCAGAGTTTGATACGCCGTCGAATCTGATGAAGCTGACGCCAGAGCGAAACGGCGGAAAGCCGGGGATTTTCCGAAGTATGTGCGAGGAGAGTGGGGAGGTGGAGTTGCTGTTGCAGATGGCGAATAAGGCGGATGAGGAACGCGTCGCGAAGCGGCGGCGGTCGTATATGTGAACCTTTCTCACATCTCACTTCGGACAATGGACCCGTTCCTATGTAGAAGAATGTTTGTGACCTTTGTAGAATACGTACAGTACTTTCATTTCCATGTTGCTATGTGCATGACACTGCATATCGCCCATAGCGGGTTCAGTGGCGCATGCATGGGCTGTGGGGTTGCCGTTCTTGGGCGGACCGCGCCGCGCCGCACGGCTGCCGCAGAGAGTAACACGTCGGCTTTGTGGCGCATTCACTTAGTCCCAGACCGCAAGGGATGCCCAAGCCTCCAGTCCGTTTCGCGCGTCCCAACATCCGAAGCTTTGGTGGCCTGGTGGACTTTTCGCATTTGGATCCTGGTTCTGCGCGGCCGTCCGCCAAGGCTGCTGTTAAAGCGGGGCGAATTCGACAGTGTTGGGGACGAGGGCGGGGGGGGGCCATGTGCTACGGAGGCTTCTCGGCGGGACTCGTCGCGCATCAATGTAGCACTCAACCTGCTGCGGGTCGCAAAATGATCTATTCCCTAATCACAAACATTAGTAGGACAAGCCTCCGTCGCAGTCGTCTCAGCAGCGAATTGGCCTTCTCTCGAGAGCGTCCCTGCTGCTGCTGCCACCGCTTCCGTGTATAAAAAGAACCACCCTCATCTACAATTCCCCTTTTTTGTTCACAACTTCCCTACGCCTTTTAGACGGTCTGAACCGAGTCCGCTCCTGCTCTACAGACGTTCAGCACCGCGCTCCATATCCAGATATCCACCCTCGAAGACAGTTCGTGATCTTCCCACCCAACCTGACTTGCAACCCCCGACACACACTTCCCACGATGGTCAAAGTGCTTCTTGCCACTGCTCTCCTCGTCTCTGCGACGCAGGCGGCTCCCTACTACAACACCAACAACTACGACGGTCCCCGCTATTCTCCCTGCAAGTACCAGTCCTACGTAAGTTGCCCCCGTGATCTATGTGACTCTTTGACCGAATCCTGTGCCTGACTCGGTCCCTTCCACAACTTGATTCCCCCAAACAAATAGCAAGACAAAACTTGGTACGACAACAACGGTGTTGCGTATGGGTGGGATACTTACGCCAACAAGGCTTGTCTCGCCAAAGACTACAAGGTATGGGCCCTGTTTTCGGTTCGACTGGATCCGACCCTCGTATTCTCAATCGCGTCGCGCTCACACATTCCCGTATTCCACAGAAGAACGACTATGGTTACAAGAACTATGGCGGAGACGATTATGGAAAGAAATATGGTGGAAACGACTATGGAAACTGGAAGAAGGACGACTGGAAGAAGGACGACTGGAAGAAGGACGAATGGAAGAAGGACTACGGATACAAGCAGAACGACTATGGTTCCAAGCAAAACAACTACGAAACCAGCAAGGGCTATGGTTGGAACAAGGTACGTCAAGCTTGATGGGCTGGAAACTCATTCCCTTATCGCTCATCCTTTTGCTGCCGTTGCATCTTTGTAGGATGACTCGAAGTACGGCCATGGTACACCAAAATACTTCGCAGCCACCAGCTACCAGCCACCCGCTGGCCAATCTTATCAATCCGACTATAAAAAGGAGGATTACAAGGGCGAGTACAAGCCTGAGGAATCCTACAAGAACAAGGGCGAGTACAAGCCTGAGGAATCCTACAAGAACAAGGGCGAGAACAAGCCTGAGGAATCCTACAAGAACAAGGGCGAGTACAAGCCTGAGGAATCCTACAAGAACAAGGGCGAGTACAAGCCTGAGGAATCCTACAACAAGCCTTCTTCGTACGACGGACCCAAATGCGATGCAAAATACAGGGATGACTCCTATCATGAATGTCGTCAAGTAAGGCTCGCATCTCCCGAGTTTCCCTACCTTCACTTGCATTCACTCATTCATTCATTTCCCTTTTCTTCACTAGACCTTCGATTGGGTCAAGGAACACTATTGCAAGGGTCCCGCTTCCACCGCGCATGGCCGGTGCATTGACGAAGTAGTCACCTCCTTCGATAAGTGTATCTCTGCTGTTGACCGCCACCAGGGTTACTGCTGGAAGCCCGACTTTTGGCAACAAAGCTCGTACGGCTCTGGGTCTTCCTACAAGGCCGCCAGCTCGTACGGCGACCAAAGCGAGTATGGTCAGCAACAAGGCTCCTACGGTCAGAAAGAAAACTACGGTCAGAAAGAAAACTACGGTCAGAAAGAGAACTACGGTCAGAAAGAGAACTCCTACTCCGGCAAAGACTACTCCTACTCTGGCAAGGAATATTCGTGCCCCTCGGCCCGCGAGTACTTTGACCGAACCGGGTCTCCTACGTTGAAGCAATGCGCATCGATCGTTTGCGCCCCTGGTCAGACGAAGGAATATATCAATCGCGGGCTCTACCAATGCTATCAACTCGAAGAACAGGCGAAGTTGACCAACGGCGGAAAGCTTCCTTACGGGTGGTAGATTGTCTTTGGATTGTAGTTGAAGATGAGTCGGCCTCTCCCAGAATATACTCCCCTTTGCATAGCATCACATGTCCTCACCCTCTCTCGCGAACTATAACTTCCTTTGTATCTGAAGTACTGATGTACATATATTAATTACCCCAGCGCGCCCCGCCGCATCTCACTTTCTTTATCGATTGAATTTCAATGTTCCGAATTGATGAGGAGATGGTGGCACGTGACTCTCGCAGGTGTTGCAATCCGTCAAACTGTCAAAGTGTCACTGACAGCTTCTGACAGAAATATTGACCGGTCTTGATTCACCTCACTCTCCACTCCTACCGTCTCTCAAATGCCGCAGTTACCGTCGTCCACTAACCACTCCAACCTATCTTCTCTCGCAACAACCCCTCTGTCGCACACGGTCGGCTCCTGGGAGAGGAGAATGAAGGGCAACAAGGACCAAATGGGTCGCTTCTGCATGGGCCTGAAGACGGGATTTGCGAGGTCTGTAAAACAGACACTGCACTGGCGGACGGGACTCATTGGGGGAGTCAAAGTGGCGAGGGCCGTGTGTGATCACTGTGGGCGCAAAGGGGAGAGTACCTGGCGAAAATCCGCGAGATGGAGGGAAAAACACCCCGCATACTAAGGAGGAGGGCAGCGATTGATAAGGAAAAGGAGGAGGTTGAGCGGGCGGAGGCGATGTTGAAGCAGAGGAAGAAGAAACTGGAGGCGGGGAAGCGAGCCGCCCAATCTTATCCATCTCCTCTTCACCGCCTCGTTCTCCGCAGCGACCGAGGGGCTAGTAGGATTATAGCCCCACTTTTCCCTCTTCCTTCATTGCATGCCATTTCAGATGCACCTTATACACGTTGTGTGTATGATTTCCAATCCTACTGTAGCGACAGTATCTGGAGCATGATGTGGTGGGAATACGATCGTATTTCACGGTGAGGGCAGAAGTGGTGGAAATATAATGAGCACGAAAAGCACCAGCGCGGTACAAAGTTGAGAGCTAGCTTTGTATTTGCATTAGCTCTTCAGGAATCAAAATGGTACGTACAGTAAAAAAGAGATTTAAGCTAACATTTGAGAATCGTTACTGTCTACATCCGCAGTATTCGAGGAACCACGAAACAAGATCAAGAATCAGAGTCCGGTAGGATCTGATGACGCTAACTATCTGAGCTTATGAAACACAAATCCTTCACCAGCTCTGGAGCCACCTTTTCCTACGCCTGTTTCTACCGCCAGCAACCACCGGGTTATTGTGCACAGATGCATCCGTAACACTGGCGCCTGTGGCGCCTGTGGGACCATTCGGCACCGTCACCTGGGCAAGAGTAGGACCGTCGTAAGCCGGAACATCGCCAATGACCACTTTCGCGAACGCCTTGTTGTTATCAATGGTCTTTTCGGGGAAGAAGCCGTCCGGGTTGATGTCGATCTCCAGCGTGTACTCGGTGTTGGCCGTGTAACCGGGTTGTAGGTGCAAGTCGGTCACTGCGTTTCGGTACCGGAGTGTCATTGGAGAGGCACACGGAAACGGAACAAATCTTCGCTCTTACCATCGATCCATTGACAGGGCAGCGTCTCGTCGTAAAGATCATGACACCCCACCGAGATGCCCTGATTGTTGCAATTGTAGACTGGTTCCAGGCCTTCGACGTCACAGCCTACATCTTCGAGACAGAAGCCATTCTTGTGACCGTTGAGGATGACAGTTTGGCGATCTGCGCTCAGGAGTCGGTAGTTGGCGTAAGCGGTGAAATGCCAGTGTCTGAAATCAAGACCCTCGGTTAGTGCATGAGGTGCCGGAGGAAGCGAAGGAGTGAGGAAGAGCTGCAGTACCCGTGACAAGTATCCCAATGCCTGAGTGAAAGCATAGCAGAAAGAAAGACGTAACGTCAAAATTATGCAGTCCGGCGGACGTGCTCAAACAACGTATGCCATTACCAGTAACGTGGATTATTTGGGTCATTATGAGCTTCAGGGGGGTTTCCGAGATAGCCGTCTGCGTCGCCAATGTTGTGAACCTATATATAGACAAATTATGAGATGACGCCAAGCGGGAGAATTGCGCACGATGCGTTCACTCAAACTCACCATGCTCCCAAAACGCAGAAGCATGCGAGTGCCTACGGATGAAAAGACAGGTCAGTCGACCTTGATGTGGTTTTGAATGAAACAAAAGCGCATGACAAACCGTTTCCAGTTAAGCAGCCTTCGTTTTGGAGGCAAGGATCCTCAGCGGCATCCACATGATCAATGTAGAGGGTGGCTTGCGCATGGTCTCCATCCGGTGCGAAGTCTGGAAGGGGGTGGTTCGGGGCTGCACCATCTGGAGCTGGGGCTGGAGCTGCAGCCGGCGGGGCGCCAGCGGCGGGCTGGGCAAACGCAGAATGGTAGAGTCCCAGGAGGACAGTGGAAACGAGGAACTTTAGTATATGAGGCATCTTGCCGGCGTAGCGAGTCGAAGCTTCTTGAAAGAGCGGCCGAACCTCCACGCGAATGGGAGACGAGGAGGTTTATTATGCTTGCACTTGCTACCGGACTGCTGCTCAACCAACGGCGGTTGGATTGCCAACCCCGCTTTATATGCTGGGTCTGGGGTGCGGGATAATTTTGCACGTACATCTTTCCGCAGCGAAACAGTATGCGGGGTTCGGAAACGTCAAGCCAAGGAAGTGGCGATGTGCCTGTGGAGGTTCCAGCATCCACCAGGCCACTCGTGGTGCCGAGAAGTGTACCCCTTTCAGGCAATTCCGGAAGAATACCCCTCTTGTAGTATTGGCAGAGATTACCATCCCTTACGTGCGTGAAGGAATCGTACTGGCCAAGGCGAGCAATAATCGCCACTTTAATGCACTACGTCTATGCAGGTCCGTTCTCCACTCTTCCCACGTTGCCGCCGGAAATCGAATGACATGAAATGAAAATTAGCGGAACTTTGTGTGGCGGGTCCACCCTTTTTTTCGTGAGATTCGCTGTGGAGAAGAGCGTGAAATGTGAAGCCCATCCGCATGAACAACACAAGAAGACCGACAATTGAGCCGCCATATGCTTCAACTCCGACGATCTGCCGCCATCTCCCTTCTTTTTTTCATAATATTAGGGGTTTCATTGAGCTCGTGAACCTCGTGGAGATGCTTTACTTTTTGCTGAGAGTGGGGCGACGACGTTCCTCTCTCCACACTCATTCTAGTTGCGACTGGCATTGGTGAAGCGCGCTGTCGAATCCCGTCAGCCGGTGACACCAGAGCTCGCTGATATGTGCTGTAAGGACTAAAGTAATAACCAGCAATTCAGATATGCGCACATATGTGAACAATTAGTACTCAATATTCTGTGCGTCTATCTGCGTCTGCGGTAGTGAATTGGTAAATCCAGATCGAGACAGACAACAGCGCAGGGGAGTAGAGACCAAGTGTGAGTTCATACACCTTTGGGCGGTTGTATTCCGGTCCACTTGGAGAGCCTTACTGGCGTCCTGGGCATCATGAGCGTCACCGCCGCTGACAAGAAACCTGATCGAACCACAAACGGGAGAGAAGAGCGGTTACTTCTGGAAGGGGAAGCTCATATCGACCACTTGATTTCCCTGCTTGAGTTGGAACGCAATACGGAAATCAGCGAGACACGGGAGAACCTAGCGCACCTGGCACCGCAGTCTTTGCAGGCACGTGGAGTATGTTTACTCAACTTGCGGGCGGCGGCCACACGCACTGGCTTGGCGGGAAAGGTCGTTGTTGAGTTTGAGCGTAATTCAGGCGCAGATATTCTCCCGCCACATTCGTTCAGAGTGGGTGACGTGGTTGGGGTTGTCGAAGGCAGTGGAAAGCAGGCCAAGAAGACGGAGAAGTTGGCTGCTGAAGGCGAGGGTGTCCTTGTGAAAGTCGAGGACACCAGAATCACAGTGGCCTTCAAGGAAGACGTGGAAGGCGGTTGGGAGGGAAGAATTTGCCGGATGTGAGTTTTCACTAGACTGCCGTCTGGAGCATGCTACCGCGAATCCGTGTATCTCACCTACCTCGAAGGAATAAATTAGCAAATGAGATCACCTATAAGCGAATGGTATTTTCTCTTTCGGCACTAAACGTCGCCGCCTCCACGAATTCTCTTTCGAACTTGCAAGAAATCCTCCTCGGCAAACGCGATCCGACGTCGTTCCAATCATCCAATGTCAACTTGACATTCTTTAACGATCGAATCAATGACAGTCAGAAAGAGGCAGTGCGCTTAGCGGTAGGCTCGCCAGAGATTGCATTGATACACGGGCCGCCTGGTAGGTTCATTGGGTCACAAGGGCTGAAGATGCCGATACGGCATTGGATTTGTATGGACCTCAAAAGATCTGTCTTGTAGACGCAGTTATTAATTCTGGAAATTTTCCTTCACCAGGGACGGGAAAGGTATTGATTGCCCCCAATGAAAGCTGGTAGTGGGACTTCTGACTCACCGTAACCACCTCCAGACTGAGACCCTCGTAGAGGTCCTGAAGCAGTTGGTTAAAGAAGGGCTTCGAGTCCTGGTGTGCGGCCCTTCCAATATCTCTGTAGGTATGTATGCCTGTATCGAACTATTCTGCGAGTTTCAAGGATTGTTCAATGATTACTCTGTTGGGTGACATCCAGACAACATCGTTGAAAGACTTGTCCCGTCCGGAATATCACTCGTGCGCATTGGACATCCCGCACGTGTCGTACCGGCCTGCCTAGAAGCTACGCTTGACATGCAAGTACGATATTCCGACGCTACAAGCTTAGTGAACGACATGAGAAAGGAGATTGACTCGAATCTGAAGAAGTTGGCCAAATCCAAATCCCGTACCGAGAAGAAGGAGTTGTGGCAAACAAATCGGGATCTCCGCAAGGATCTGAAGCAACGCGAGAAGACTGCTGTGCGCGCTTTGATCGACAATGCCAGCGTAGTTCTATGCACCTTGAATGGCGCAGGGGCCAAAAACGTGTGTCTCAGCAAGAAGTACGACGTGGTGGTTATCGATGAAGCCACTCAAGCCCTAGAGCCGGAATCATGGATCGCGTTGTCTTTAGCGCCGAAAGCTATTCTAGCCGGTGACCACAAGCAACTTCCCCCGACTGTTAAGTCTGCTGCAGCTGCTGAGAAGGGGCTTGGCCGAACGATCTTTGACAGACTGCTTTCGGCTCACGGAGATAAAATCAAACGACTATTGGATACTCAGTACCGAATGCACGACAAGATAGGGGAATGGTCGTCGAATGCTATGTACGAGGGAAAACTGATCTCCCACGACTCGGTGCGAACGAGACTTTTGAACGAACTCCCTGGTGTCGAGAGCACTAGCGAGACGGAAGTGCCGCTTCTGCTGATAGACACAGCAGGTTGCGACATGCTGGAAAATGTGGCGGCCGACGGCGAAAGCAGATACAACGAAGGAGAGGCAGATTTGGTGGTGAAACACCTTGAAGCCCTGGTCAACGCCGGTCTGTCGACTGCCGACATTGCCGTCATTACGCCGTATAATGGGCAGGCGGGCCTCATCAAGTCTCGGATCAAGGATCGATTCAGAGGATGTGAAGTGGGAAGCGTTGATGGGTTTCAAGGCCGAGAAAAGGAAGCAATAATTCTCAGTCTAGTTCGCTCGAATGATAACGGCGACGTTGGGTTCCTGTCCGAGTCAAGACGATTGAACGTCGCTATAACGAGAGCTAGACGACATGTGTGCTTGATCTGCGATTCGGAAACCATGGAACGCGGGGGCCCTTTCCTCAAAGGCATTGTTGAATGGTTTTTCGAGGTAAAACTTACACGTTCGGGCTTGGGAAGGTTGCTCATATCTCTCTACTAACCGTTTCTTCGGCGCGTTGCAGAATGGTGATGTAGTGTGTGCTAGCGGGATGTAGATAGATAGTTGACAATAGATTTCTCAAGTAGGAGAAGCTATTGCGATGTGTTTATATTGTGTATATGTGACACAGGTATCAAAAATTTACAAACCGCTTGCAAATACACTCCGAAGCGAACATTTCAAAACGAACGTTTCACATGTTGCCGGGCGTGCCACGATCCACCGCAAACTCGAACCCACCCAACCCAATTCCACTCTTTGCACGAGCCTCCTTCATCTGCCGAGCTTTGTCTTTCAGATCTACATTATTCCGCCCAAGAAAGCAACCTCGCGCTTTGCCCTCGTCAAGTATGAGGCGCCAGCGTCTCGGAGCATGCTTGAACTTCAACAACCCCCGTTCCAACTCCGCCTCGTCTTCTGCACTCCATCGTCGTCGTTTACGTTGTTGAGGTGTGCCTGGCGCAGGCTTCACGTCGACAGCTGGTTGTTGTACATGTAAGTCAGTCCCTGCGTTTTCGTCGTGGACATCAGCATCTTGGCCGAGCACCGGGGTGTTTTCCTTTGATCCAGAACCTCTGGGCTCCGTGAGCTTACCCCCCGTGATTTCCAGCTGACCTTTCGCCCGCCGTTGCGCTTGGTTCGCAGGGACCGCGCTGGCCGATGGAGTCGCTGGAGAAATGGGAGACGAGGCGTCCTGAGCTGCACCGGCGTTGTTCGGGTCGAAGCTGAGCCCGCGGCTTCGACGAATGCTATTGACGATGTGAAGATTGTCAGGGGCAACTCCAATTGGTAGCTTGTCACGCTCCTCCTCGGCTTTGCGTTTGATGCGCTCCGCTGGTGGAACAGAAAATCATTAGATAAAAAGCTATCGAGTATTTCACCTCAATGCATACCTCGTCGCTGCCTCGCAGAGTCGATCTTCTGCCGCTTCACGTCGCTTCCTTCACCATCTTCGGCGTTGTCTTGCGATAACCCTTCACTGGCCCTCGCCTTTCGTTTCCGTCCTCGGCCATTTGCGGGAGTGCTGACCTGTTCACCATTTTCAAGAGATACATCTTCCCCTTGACCTTTTTTCGCAGATGTGGATTTTCGCGTACGTGTCCGTTTCGGCGGCACCTCCTTAGGGAATTCCGCATCGACTTCGTTGTATATGCGATCGATGGGATCTGGAACGTCACGTCTACATCGGACCGGTTCATTAGTAAACTGCGACAAAGTGGCATACCGGTCGGAATCATCCATTTCGTCTTGCATGGCCTAATTTCTTTAGGCTATATTCCACTCACCGTAAATTGTCTTGGGCAACGTCGAGGCCGTGAATGACATCAGCAGCTGTGCTCGTTGCCCGGCGAGTAACTTTCTTCTTTTTCGCACCGGAACTCGTCGTCGTGGGAGCAGCACCAACATCGCTTTTCCGAGGACGAGACGCGCGCGTAGTCTTTGCCTTTGGGGTGTTCTGGCTCACTGATTCCTGTGACGGCTGCTCGACTTCGTCAACAGCTCCCAAAGAGGGATCCCCTTGCCCGTCTTCTACGACAGCTTCCCGGGCTTCCAACTCGTTCATCAGTTCGCCACTACATGAAGGAATTAGCGTGTCAGTCAGCGACGTACGATACTTCGAAAACGGAGTGTACTCACAGCAGAGTCGGGGAAGCATTGTAAGAGAAAATGCCCTCATCTCCACCATCTTGACTATCACCGTTGGCTCCTGTCGTGCTCACTGAGGAAACGCGTGCATGTCGCGCATTAGACAGGGTTTTTCCATGTGCGTTAGGGATTTGTCACATCCGTGTCAGCCGACTACGCGCGAGCGACGAAAGTCCATACCTTTCTGATTGGGCGACGCCGAAATTCCTGCCGCACTGGCTGCCATGTACGGAATATCATCGCCGTCCTTGGCGAGCCTTATTGCCAGGGCTCTGAAAAAGTTGGTGATATTGAGGTAACAGTCTGACCAGGGGCGTGCCTCCAGCAATGATTCGAGGTTGTGTTTGAGTATCTGTGGGTCGTTTCAGTGATTGCTGTTATAGTAGTTTGTACCGCCTACCAAGAGCCGTCTCATCATTTAGTACTCACAAAGGCGGTTTCGCTTTGCTTCCTAAGCTCCAACGCCGTCTCGTTGACATTTGGGTATCGTTCGGGCGTTTTGAACAGGCGAATATGCTCACGTTCGACATCCTCTGAGTCCCATATGCGGCCGTTCGACGAGACAAATGCAATGAAGCTCTGTTGGGAAAGGATTGCTAACTTGGGACAAATGCAGGGACGCGAACTACTTAGATTGGTTCTTACCTGCAGCATTATATCGACCAAAACAACGTTGAAGGCAGCGGTCCGAGCCATATCCCCAGGAACCACATCTTTTTCAAACAACTTCAACATTTGTGTCAAACATTCCCGTCGACTCATGAAAGGGGGATCATGTTGGGGATCCCGGTGAGCGTTGGCGAACTCAAGCAGCTCTAGGGCCCGCACGAGCTTGACTTGTCTCACAAAGTCATTCGGCGACCAAGCAAGCTCATAAAATTGCGGATATGTGGGATCTACAAAAACAAGAGTGATGGGTTAGGGATGAGAAAAAAACACCTTGCCGGTTAGGGTTGGCAAAACCCTAATCATTTGAGATGTAAACGTACCTTTGAGAAGTTCGCTCCAAAGTCTATTTTTCTGGGCCTGTAAGCTTTCACCTCTCAAACGATCACCAGGTCTCTCGTCGCCGAGGTGGAGAGCAAGGATACGGGCGGCGTTCGGACCAATGTTGTACGGTTGAGGAGCTGCTGAAGCGACCAAGGCCTCGACCATTGCCCCGCTTTTGCTGCGGCCCATTGTGGGATACAGGGAGCCGTGACGCGTAGCGGGCACGGGATGGCCTGCCTTTGTCGTTGCTCCGTTTGCAGGGGCTGCAGGCGACGATTGAGATGTGGTTGCGTTAGACACTCGTGCGGGTGTTCCATTTCCCCCCTGGAAGTTCGCCCCGGGCGTGACAACGACAGCAGCGTTGGGGGTGTGAACAACAATACCGGTGGGCGCGGACGTTGGAGTAGGAGGATTGGCTTGTCGCAGGCTACTGTTGCTCTGTATATGTACAGGTATTGTGTTTGGAGTCATCGCTACTAGTGATCACACATGCAGGTCCTGGGACTTCCAGTGAGTCGTTCCAAAGGGTGCAAAACAAACAGAGCGCCTGGAAAGCGTTTATTGAGATGTGTGGTGGGGTCGTTCGGTTCGTTCTCAGAGGGCTGACTGTGGCGAGAGTGTGATGGATTGTGTTCCTTGCTTTGTCCCCGGTCGTCGTCGTCGTCCCCCCCTCTTCTCCGACCCTCTTCAAGTGACAATGATGGCGTTCTGCTGCTTATTATTAGGCGCGCTTAATGTCGCAGAGCGCATTCAGGGCTTGCCGCGCTAATCAAGCTGTTTAATCTCAGTCACGTGCATGCTCCCTCAAGTTATTATGCTCCCGCACGACTGACGTGTTTGGTCCGAAGATGCCAACGTCCGCGGCCAGTCAAACTTCGAAGGTCGAGGTCATCGCCAAGACTCCTCCCTCTCCCTTCCCGCTACGCTCTCTCTTAATGGCCCGCAACCCGTTCGCCGACGATGCTCCCCTCTTTGAGGGTGCTCCCGCTGGGGACGAGCCGCTCTTCTTACATCCTTCAAATAGGGTAAGGCCCAATTCTGTTGGTTTTGGAAGGCGGTGGGAAAATGCCTACACTGTTGAAAGCCCTAAGTCATAACCAATAACCTGAAACATACTTGCGCATCCACGCTCTCGTTAATCCTCTCCTATGTCGCTTCCAGGATAGGCTGCTTGAAAATACTATAGGACTGTCCGTGGGGGCCGTCATCGCGGTAAGTCGTCCGTCGTTTCTCAGCCGTGTGAAGCGAGGGCCGGACGGGGGTCATCCGATCCTAATGTGCGCGCACGCTCAGCGATCGCGGATTGTTTGAGCTCTAAGAGCAAGGAAGCCCTTGGGGCGTGCTAAATCCCTCTCTCCACGCACACAGCTTACGTTCCTGTTTTCATTATGGACTGGAATCGGCCAATCCTGGAACAACATTTTCTTAGGGCTGGTCCTTCTGGCATTCTCAGGCGTCACTTACCAACTGGTGCGACTTTGCTCGATACTTTACTTGGTGATACTCCGTCCGGTTTGCCTGTGCCTCAACCTATTTGTCTCTTTCAGATACTCTGGTATCGCTCTGGAGATTTAGACCCAAAGTTCAAGACAATCATTCTCGTACTGTTCTCGTCCGACGTCCTACTTGCGATCATTGCCAACGTGTACTTCTTTGCTGCCAAGTGTCCAGGACAACCCGCTTCTGGAAGCGGCGCAACGAGTTTTTGAACTCGCTATGCGCGGCGGTTGCCATGCAGGGTGGGAAGGACAGACCCTGACACTAAAGGATCTCTGGTACATGTTTCATCTTGAACATCGCTGCGATCCATGGATGATCGCCAGATCTACTTTCAATGCCATGCTTGCGCTCGTTTTTTCACCTCCCGTGCGTTGCCTTCACGGACTTGTTATACGATGTAGATTCAGGCAGTGATGATCTCACAGTCTTGAGCTTGTAAAGTGGCCGACATATCAGAATAGGATTTTCTTACCACCCAACGACAATACGTCACTCGGGTCTTTCGGGGCAACGCTCCCTGACGGAATTGTTTGATCTTGTCGTTCGGCGCCGTGGCAGAATGGCGCAGTTTTCCACTACCTTTCTCCAGATTGTCAATATTAGCTCCGGCCGTTTGCTCGCGAACCACATTGGGCAACCTAACCCTAACCAAAGCTCAACTTGAAGCAAACAGCAGTCGGGAGTGCCCACGGACAACTGGCACTCTCGACGAGCATGAAAGGGACTCTGTCGGCCAGAAACTACATTAAATACAAAGTCCACTCGCAAGACCCGCACTTCACCACACTGCACGGACACATGTCCTCGATCGACATGGAGACCAACACACAGATGTCCAACATTGAAGTGGGAGAGCACGCGAGCGGTGAACTGTCAGCAACCCGCTCGCAACGACGCAAACGAGAAGCTCCTCATGCCATTGTTCACAGCGTCACTCTCCAAATTCAGCATACTCACGCCACCACGTTGCCAAGCCAGACCAGTACACTGAACACCTACGAACAACTTACGGCAGAGGAGTTTTCTGCAGCAGCCAACGTCGGTGCAGAGCTGATTGCTCAGGCCAACTCCCACTTTGTTGCGTTGACATACATCCTCGAACGGTTGACGAGAACCTACCCCCTTCTCACATCAGGAGAATGTGGGTCTGTAACGCCCCAGATTGCCTCTCTACTTCACGAGTCGAACACGGCACAAACCTCTTCCAGCGATATTGGCAACGGGGACATTGAAGGCAACCCGCGGACGGGTTGGGAACCTCTAGTCCTGCTGCTGCAGACCCAACCATCCGCGTCCAATTCAGAGGGGGAAACCCAGGTCTTCAGGCAGATCATGGAGATTCATGCACTTGGGTTCTGCGATATGGTCAGCGACAGAATTCTTATTGGGGCACTATGGAAGCGAAACCAGGTCTTGGGAACTCTGCAGCCGACGCATTTAGAAACGTCGAATGCCATCCAGCACCTTCTTTCAGCCAACCGTCGAATCTACGCACTCTCCCTACGCCACCGCAAGTTTGGTGTCCTCTGTTTTGACAATGATGATGAAGAGAACACAACCTGGACGGCAATGTGTGAGCAGCTAGGAGATCTGCCCACCAAACGGTGCATCCGATCCACATCTACGTCAATCATACCTATCTTTTCAAAGGCGAAGCGAAACCTTTACCGCATGCACGTGGATTGATGCACAACAAACGACCTCTTCCCGCTTTCGGTGGCCTTTCTATCGCAAACTCCTCAGTTTGATCATCTCTCGCAAACTTCTCGGGCACTTGTGTGCACGACGGTAGAGTCTGTCGCCTGCACACTCATCCCGTGGCTTCCACACATGACACGCCAGGCTGGGAATGAGTCCCAGTCCGATGGCACATCCAACCGACGCAGATCACATCAGCGGCATCGCAATCTTAGAGTAGGATTCTACGCCAATTTGCTAGAGGATGTAGTGGAGAATATGGATGTGATTGACCTCGACATCACATCCCAATCACTCCCCTGGGAGGTGCGACCAGTTAGCGTAGCTTCCGTGCGCCTTGTCTTGGATCAACCGGATGACAGGCTCATAGAAGCCTTCTCCCTCAAACGAAAAGACTCAGAAAAGGGAACGGGTGGAGCAAAGTTCCGGAAGTTCGTCATCGAGCAAGGAGAAGATGGCAAACTCCGCTTGTATGCCGAGAAGCGTGTGCGAATGCGAACTGCACCCAGAGAACAGGATCGATAGATAGTCGCATTGTAGATGCTCTCACGGCAATTGTGGTGGTTTAATATTTTCAATATATCCACTCACCCCAAACCCAAAAGCAAATACACGAGGTTTATGCCTGATACTACTCCCTATACCGCATCGAGCGGTCTAACTGATACTACGCCCTATACCGCTCCATTTTGAAGTGCCCCGTCGGGCTCTGCTCGTTTACGCCGGTGTAGTCGACAATCTGGCGCCATTTTGAGCGGGATGGTTGGTATACCATGAACACCGGTGAGGTGATGTCCCCGGGCGGGAGATTCGGGCCGTGAGCGCGCATCTCGTCGGTACAGTCTTCGATGATCCCCTTCGCGAGACAGTCGTCGAGTTTGAGTTGTAGTTGATCGCGCTCGGTCGTTGAGAGGTGGTACTCGCCGGTGTAGCGTCGCATTTGTTGGGGGGATTGAGCCCATTTTGTTTTGACGCCCTACGCCGTACTGCGTCCGTACCGTCGCGTTGCTTTGCTTTACTCGTTGTATGAGCGGTAGTAGCCAAAGGAGGTCGGCGCGCGACAACCACGATCGGGGATGGGGATGGGGATGGCGATGGGGATGGCGATGGGGATGGGGATGCGCTGGGGTGCTGGAGTCGTCCTGTGCGGGCGGAATTGAACACCATCCCTCGCTGAGGTGCGGCCCGCTGACCCAGTGGGTCCATTGCGCGCGCCATTGAAGGATGCGCGGCTCGTTCGGGAATGGTAATTGTGCGAGGAGGAAATGGCCTTGGGTTCGGTGGATCCGGTATATGCGGCATATCCGGCGTCGCCATTGAGCATCCCTCTTCTGTTTTTCGCGTTTTGCATCGGGCGAATTGTGTCGTTGATGACTGTGGGACCCGCCGCGGCCGCCGTCGCGGCCTCGATAGCCTTGTCCGGGGGAACGACCTTGATATCCGCTGCTGCGTGTGCTGCCGCGGAAACCTCCCCGTTGGTTTGATAATTTGCGATCGCCGTAGGAAGAAGAATTGCTCCGGTTCCGCTGACCGCTGCGCGTACCGGGGGGTCCAAAAACCTTCTGGGGTCGAAGGGATTTCAGTGCCTGGAGGGAGGCGACGACTTCCTGCATGTTGTCGAACTCGCCGAAGAGCTCCTGCTTCCGATGCGTCCTGCTTTCAGGTCCTCGGTTCCCCAGGCCCGATTTTGCTGTAAAATATACGACTTGTAGGTTTAAAAAAACTACGACCGGCGTACCGTTCTCAAAACGCACATTCTTTATATATGTAGAGTTTATGGTATTCGATACAAATCAAAATGGGTCAACGCGATCGTTCTAAAGTCTGCAATCGTTCTAAAGACTGCAATCGTTCTAAAGACTCAGCAAGCCCAAGGACGCGCCCGGCAGCAACGACACCCTCCTCCCGCAACAACCGTTCGACTCGTTTTGCCAGCTTCTCATTGATTTGAACGGAGGTCCCAAGGCGATTCGAGTCTTGGCCTCTGACGGACGACGTGGTTGCGTGTGCATCCTCAGGCCCACACCACACGATCTCAACTACGCCGTCGCACAAATCAAAATCCACATACACACGGTAGTCCGCATTCACAAAGACTCCACCATGACAGGCGAACCCATCTGCCTTTTCAGCTTGCCCGTTGTGTTCGAGACTGGGAACCAGATTCCGTATGTGAGTTTCGATGTGTCGTTATCGCGGTGGAATTTATTGGCAAAGTCATCCCATGTGGCGGTGATATTGCTGGCAAAGGAGTCGTCTGCGACGAGGTTGCCAAATTCCGCTTGTGAAATGCTGGGCACGCGTAGTTCCTTTGCCCGCTTTTTGATGCGAGACAAGAGGTAAGGGGAAAGCTTATTGAGGAAGTAGATGTAATGCGCCTCGATCTTCGGTAACTCAGCTTGTAAGGCGCGCCACTTCTCCACGCTGACGGAATCCTATGAGGACGCGCTGTCGAAATTATGGACTCCTTCAACAATCTACATTCTTGAAATGTTGCGAACATTCCCGGCCGGTGCCTCTCCAAGACGGGTTTCCAGGATGTAAGACCCATTTTTGGGATTATTCAAATAGGACTGAGTACCCATCCTAGACAGGTCCACCACAAGCATCTGTCAATCTCCGCACCCTATTTTGCGCATGTCGATGAGCTCTCGAGCCCCCCAACTTATTGTCTGTCAGTGTTAGAACCATTTACTTTAACACTAGAAATCGAACGGACATAGACGATGCCGCCAGACGCCCCAGATTCCCTGCCGAGTGTCCGCTGGCGTCCCTCTCTTACGCGTTGGTGGAGACGGCTCATCAAGTCGCTGACTGAAACGTACGATATTCCACCGCCTCCACGGATTCAACGTCAAAAATCGGAGGCCCCAGACCGCGGAGCATCTTCAAGCAGACAATCTGTGCACTCAACGAGCAGTGAACATTCAAAATATAACGAGGGGCTGGGGAAAGGAGGACTGCATGGACAGGCGAGGTCGAACGGATCCCTCGGGGAAACGTCGGGTAAGGCCCCGATAGCCACACGAGAGTATGGGGATGAAGCGTACCTTGCGCCAGACCCTACGGGACGTCATCTTGTCGATGAGGAGAAGGGCGAAGATGAAGACCACTTCTTTGATGAAGAAGATTTCGGGGATGGCTTCGGTGATGAGGATGTTGGCAAGTTCATGCACCCGATCTCATTCCAATTCAAAAACCCGCGAGCCGAGGAAGACTTTTTTCGGACACATCTACTGCCCAATCGAATTGTACATCTACGATTGCTGGCGGCTCTGCAGCTCCTGCAGTATGGAGTTATCCTTTTCCCAACGTATTCGGGGTGGTTGCCACCAAGAGCTAACCCGCCGACCGAAGGGCTGACGCCACATCGATTTGGACCGGCATACATCACTGTATGGGTAGTTCAAGCGCTTTTATGGAGTTTCCTTCTTACGGCCTGTCTATGGAAACGGGGAAAGATTTACATCTCCCTGTGTTTACGCTCCACAACATGGCGATATGTGTTGACAATCTTGGAGGTAAATAACCCAAAAGTGGTGCCTGGGGAAATGTCACTGAGTACATCAACGCATTCCCTTCAGGTATTTGCCGTGGGGCTGGCGGCATCGTGGGACTTTTTTCTGTCCGAAAACCCAGAAGATCCTGTTGGACCACTTTCCACCGTCCCCATATGCTACTATGCCATTTCGAGCGGCTTTGCAGCAACTTATCGACAAGGCGTGGCTGGATTGTTGTTCGTGGCGATAGTCTGCTCGACGAAGTTTGCTCTGGTGCTTGCGAAAGATTCCGATGTCTATGTTCCATCGGTGATATACGCAGTGCCGTTGCTGGTGACCATCATAATATCGCGGGGATTAATCTTGGACGGAGATAAACAGCGGCGCATAAGGTGAGAGTCAGCCTATGATTCTTGTCTCCTCGCTGCATGTTGAGTGAAGACCGATAACTCTCATCCTCTTTTTCTTAGTTACATAAAGTATCGAGTGGTAGAAGAGCGATTGGCACAAATGAGAGTGGAGCGCATGAAGACGGACTACCTGCTTTCTCTTTCCCTACCAAAAACGATCGTTACTACGTTGCGGGAGGTTGGGGCGACGAACTTCGATCTGATTGCGACCCGCATTCCTGACGGTATGCTGTCCGGCAATCCGCCTCTTGGAGAGTGACGCCGGTTCAAGGAGCCTGAATCCACCCATCTCATGACCATTACTTTCTTTGCAATAGCCACGGTTATGTTTGGGGACTTGAAAAACTTCAAGGAAGTGGCGTCTACTCTCGGCTCCACGAAGGAAGCCCTTACCCTCCTCAACGGCATTTTCCAGTACATGGACGAAGCCATCGAAGAGTACAGCGACTTGACAAAGATCAAGGTGAGGGACGGTTCGAAATACGCATATTTGAAGGTAACCCTAATGTATTATCATCCGACTTTCAGACTATCTCCACGAAAATTCTCTTTGTCGGAGGACTTGGTGGAAGTACGACCCATACCGTGCAGGTGCGCTTGATAACTTTCAATTGACAGCCAAAAGAAGATCCTGTTCGGCATCACACTTGCCAATCTTTTCCTCTTACAATAGATGGTCGACATGGCCGTTCAACTCAGGGACTACTTCAGCGAGGAGCAAATCTACAGTATAGGAGACGATCAAGTACCAATAAAATTGAACATAGAGTTTGGTATAGCAACCGGTGCGTCATTCATTTCTTGGAAGGAACAGATCTTTTTCCGTTCGCGGCTGATCGTTGTTTCCGAACATTTTGCATAACAGGTCCTTTGGTAGCCGGGATTGTGGGCCGGAAAAAGTTTGTCTACGAGGTTTGTGATGCAAGCAAGTTTTTGTTCGCGGCTACCAATGCTTTTGCTAACCTTTCCTGCCAACACCTAGATATACGGGGATGTTGTGAACACCGGTACGCATCAGTAGCTTCCGGGCATATGGAGTTCTCAACACTTACATTTCCCCCATTACTCGAATATGTGCACCTCTCTCGAATCGTCTAGCCAGCAGGTACTCACATTTTCGTGGAAATGTTGCTTTGTTCATAGCTAATGGAAGCGCCTTGGAATAGAATGGGATCGCTTGCACAGGAGAATCAGATCATTGTCACGGAAGCAACGCAACAGAAGGCACACCAATGTGAGTCAAGATGTTTGCAATATATAACAGTTCATGTGCTTATGCGGAAAATCTGGCCATACAGACTTTCAAACGGTCTCCCTTGGAACCCGAGCTGTAAAAGGGAAAGGGGTGGTCCCAATCTACTCCATTGGCGACGCCATTGACACCGAGGAAGCTGATGGCCTGTATCGAAAATGGGTGGATGAGCCGAGCCCTTTGAGTTTCGGAGTACGAGCGAATCCAACCACCGTGGGGCCAACATTTGCACAAACCGCAATGTCGACTTATGGTCCGGACGGACTTCCGGAAAAGACGGCTGTTACCCGCCGAAAATCGCAGTTCCGAGCCGCGGAGCCACCGACAGCGCGGCTAATGGAGAGTGCCGTAGGGAACTCTATAACGCATTTGGATCGTGTGCGGAGCATCCCTGCAATCTCCGGAAAGCACATCGACCAATACGTGAGCGCCACAGCGCTCAATACGCTCGGTATCGGGGAGCAAAAAGCTGGTGTAGGCATGGGTGTCAACCTTCTCAAATACCTGAGCGGTTCGGCTGCCGTACCGTTATCGGGTCTTGGAGCGATGGACACACAAATGCCCGCCAAGCGGGCCATTGATGTTGCAGCTATGGGAAGCCCACTCACGATACAGAACACCGTAAAGGCAGGCGTGACGCACGTCGATAGGGAGTTCATCTCCTATGGCGGGGTGCCGGCCACATCTTCTGCCGCCCAGGGGGGAGCGTCTGCGATCAACATAGGTGACCCCAAAACATGGGCGCAACCTGGGGATAGCGGTAATAGCGCCGCAGCACTGCAACGGCACCAGCGAGGGGATGGATCAATGAAAGATCCAGATGCCAAAGAAGTTCTGTTAGATGTGGTCAAACGAATGGGTTTACAAATTGACATCGACGCCGCCGCCGGAACGAGTTATTTGAAGGTGCTGACTGCGGAGATCGAGCCGTTCTGGGTGCGTTTTCGCCATGCGGTCATCGAAAGGAGGTATCGAGGTGACTTCACCGCGGCAACAAATGGAGCGTTCACAAAAGCCGGCGCAATTGCGCTGCTCGGAGAAATACTGTTCTACTTCCTCGGAATATACCATGTCGTTGCCAGAGGGGGCGATCTGTTGGATGACAAAGACGCATACTATTTACTTTTAGGCTGTGGAATGGCGAGCGTTGGACTTCAGCTTCTTGTTACCGGAGTAAGCCTGTTCGCCGCATCGGACGATAGCCCACCATCGCGAGCATACGGGCCGCGCCGCATACTGTTCGTAATCGCTGTAACGACATTCTTTCTCACATGTCTGTGCGTCACATTACCATGGACGCAGCTGTACCGATACCCCTTCCTTTGCGGCTGCGTTATTCCCCAGCTTGCAATCTTCTTCTGTATGCGCATCGAAGGAGTGGTATACACCTCGAGACTCTTCGCCGCTGTTATTGGTGGATCAACTCTTGTGATCGTCCAGCTTGTGCTGAACGACGCACAATGGCAGGAATCCTTGTGTGTATTACTCAGCTCGAGCATCTGGATAGTAGTTTTCTACTTGCTGGAAAAACGAGCTCGCCTGGATTATCTACTCGATCTCATTCTGGAAACCCAATCGGAGATTGTGCTCCAAGAAATCGATAAAAGCGCTGGAGTTCTGCACAGCATCTTACCGCAGGCTGTTATCATGAAGCTTCTGGAGGATCCAACCACCATCGCATATGAGGAGCTAGAACTTGTCACCGTCTTACATATGGACATTGCGGGGTATGTTATGCAGTATTTCCTTTGGATGAGGAGCAGTGCTGACGCGCCAGGTACGAGGATAGGTTTACCTCAATGTCGAGCAATTTGGAGCCGCTTACCATCGTGAAAGTGCTGAACACACTATTCACATTCTTTGACCATTTAACTGAGGAATACCAAGTCGAAAAGGTGGGTCCCATGCTTGGCCGAACTGAGGAACCAACCAGAGACTTATACACTGCACTTCCACCATTCCCACAGATCACAACTATCGGTGATGCATACGTCGCATGCTCAACTCTGACAAACAGCGCAGATCCCAAGATAGGAGCGCTGTCGATCTGTTTGGTTGCGCTCCAAATGCAAGCATATCTGGACAATCAGCTTAACCAGAGCCAGATAGTATTGCAGCTGATCAAACAGCCACTGAAGATGAGGATCGGAATACATACAGGTACGGACAAGGAGTGCCTGAATGTATATCGCCTCAAGCGGCTAACTCTTTTGATGTCAGGTCCGGCGCATGGGGCTATTATGGGTGGCCCTAAAAACTTTCGCTACGATGTCATGGGAGATACAGGTAATTACACAGAGTCCGTCTACCGATGGAAACGGGTGATCGCTTAGGGGTGATATCTCACGATGTTCATTATCATCCATTGTCGATTGTCGGTCTCTTCTCAAAGTGATACTGGCGGAGAAGGTAAACATCGGCGCGAGTGCTAATATTCTTCAACTCACATTCCCTAATCATTTGCTTCTTCTAGACACAAGAGCGATGTCCAGTGGGAGAAGTGAGCATCACCAACGTGACGTACACGTGCGTGAAGGATTATCATGGATTCCGCTTTATACCCCAAAAGCAAATGAGTCTGCCACCATCGCTGCGAAGTTATGTGCTCCAGGCGGCTGATGAGCGTATCGTCAGCGGCGCAAACGATTTCGATTACGAGCAGCCAAATGCCGGTACCAGCGGTGGGCTTACGAGCGGAGGTGGGGCGTCATCCGGGACATCCAGTGCCGTAAACGGGTACACCTCTCGGAGCAGGTCAGCCACGACGACGCGGCGTCATGGCCTTGCCACCACAGCTGCGAATCAACGGCTCTCTGCGACGGAACGACCGAAAACTGGCATTGGCAGTGATGAAGCGCGGATCGGTAATGGTATCGGCGATAGTGTCGTCAACTCGAAGCAAACGGACGCACCAATAAGTGGCCACAAGTTGCTCGGTACAAATAATACAGGCAAACGTGGCGGTGCCACTCTTGCCAAAATCTATCCGACATTTGAGCAGGGCGAGGATGAAAATTAAAAACCCCAATTCCCAAACACGCAAGTGTTCATGCGCTTATAATAGCATGGCCTCAACGAAGACCATATTGTACATATCCAGCGATTCGCCCAAGTTCCGGCATCTTGCCTGAAATTGTATATACCATCTTCTTCCTGAGGCATACCATACCATATGACCCGCGCTGTATATTGGGTAATAGATGTCGCTTAGGTGTTCCTCCTATCCAGTCACACATCCGGCCACACGCGCGCATATGGGCCTCACATGCAGCGAGACGGGTAACAGTGGAAGTACGACAGGGCCAGGATGCGAAACCCGTAGAAGAGCCGGAAGTGTATTGGACGGGCACCATCAGAACTCCGAAGAACGTTCCACTCAGTTGCGAGGAAGCTAGGTTTGAACGTTTTGGATTAAAGTTTTACAAAGACCCAACGGCGCATACGGACCTCGAATACAACGTAACAATTATAGGGGAGGGGTTATAGGGGATAAGTCAAAGCATTCCAATTGGATACAAGGGTGGAAGGGTGAACAAATATAGCTTGTAAGGACCCAGGCAGTGTAAATGATGGGGACAGACCGAATGAAACCATGACAATTCAGAAAACGATCGATGCATGCTCAAAATATTCCAACCAGACCCGCGACGATACCAGCCGATAGGAGCGCGAAGGAAACAGCCAGGCTGCGTGCCGAAGAAGTCGGAGCTGCAATCGTGGTGCTCACGCTGGTCTTCACGTACGTTGCGTTGGAGACTTTGTTGGCCGAGTCGGTGAGCTGCAGGACGATCGTGTCGTAAACGGGTTGGTCTGCGCGAGCGAACAAGTCACGGCGCCCGCCCGCGCCGGCTGCCGGGCTGCCCGTAGTTGAGCTTGACGTAGAGCTGGAGGTCGCACTTGCGGAGACGGTCACGTTGCTGGTCGCGGTAGTGCCCGCAGAATTGTTGGGGGCTTTGGAGGTGCTAGAAGACACGCTAGCGACCACCGAGGGGGTGCTTTTACTGCCGGCTGAGAACTGGCCGGAGACGCCCCAAGAACCACCGTCCTTGCTGATAGGACCGGAACTGGCTGAGATCGCGCCGTTTGCTGCGACCGTCACGGTAATCGCCTTGCATTCACAGTTGCTGTTGGTGCCTTGGATGTTGTACTTGGAATCCTTGCCAGCGACACCGATTTCCTTGAGACAAGCGTTATCGCAACTGGGGACGGTTGCGGCGCCGTTGAAGCCGCCAACCAGTGTGTATGTGCCTACGTTGAGAACGTCGGCGCCAAGCGAAGAGCCGAGCGTGGACGCCAAGACCGCCGCCGCCAGGATGTTGGCTCGAGAGATTTCGCTGAACATGATGAATCGTTTCGAAGTGGTTTGACGACTTGATAATATGCGTTGATGAACAGCGTGGAGCGTGCAGCGGTGCAAGATTGACCTGAAGTCTCGAGGAAGCGGAGCGTAGTGGTGCAGTTATTGACGGATTCGGAGGAAGTGCGAAAGCGAGAATTGAAGGGGACGACAGTCGAGGCTGCTGTTTTATACTCGTCGCCTGGATGTTGAGCGTTCTATGTGAGACTGTGGCAGAGCCGGGCCAGGAGGGCTCTCGGCGGGCCACGGCACGGGAAATACGCAACTCTCACTAACTGACTCGGGTCCTTCCCAGTTGACAGTTCTCGGCCGCTGTCCGATCATCAGAAGGGTTTAAGGTTGCTTGGCGAATGGTAACTGTGTTGTATAATCCCCTCGGAGCAATTTGAACTTATGGACCATAGAGGGCCCGTCGGGGTGTCATTTGGGCCCGGAAACGAGCGCGTAACGCGCTGTCGATTCTCGTACTCTCTCCAATATTGGAGTCCACAGATCGGAGTTTCGGCTGGCTTTGCTTATGCAACATCCGCGTCCCTTGTTTTCGACAGTACATAAGGCGAAACGGTGTCAGTCCCGAAAACTCTGGGACTCGGTGCCACCAGTCGTCTAGCTAGGCCCATACGTAATTTCCCATACGTTGCCTGTTGGGACCCATATGAGGCGCTGCCCGTCATTAGATCCAATTAAGGCATCGCCTAGGTTTGTTAGAGATCTCACAGCGAGCGAGTGCTCCGGGGTAACGTGCATTTATTGACAGCACATACGCAAGGATACCGCCTTCAACTCTCACTGGCCTGGAGCAGTCGCTTCTCTCGCTGTGCACGCAAGCCTTTGCGGCACCTTGCTTTGCTCGTTCGCCGGACCGGTTTCTGGATACGTTTGGGACACATAAATCGGCGTGTGATTTAAGCCTACCCGTCGCCGGACCTGTGCCATGCCATGACGGCCGTTCATATGCGCTCTTTGCTTGCCGCTATTCATCCAGGTTCGCCAAACGCGAGGTAATAGAACCTTCCTACGCGTTTTTGGCAGGGTCTTTCCCAGGACATCATGTCTGGGGGGGGGGGGGGGATGATTCAGTTGAAAATGTAAGCAACCCGCTGGTGCTAGATGAACCTTACGATAGTCATGTAATCGAAACTGTGTTTGGATGACTACGTCATCGGAGAAAATCAAGAATCGTAGATCAGACCATCATCTAGTTCCTCAGAGACTACACTCCAAATGTGACCAATCGTTGGTGTGGAAAACCATGCCATCATCACCATCCACCAGCCATCCTTTGGGATTACAGTGGGTTTGTGATGCAAATAGATATGGTTATAAAAATACAGTCCTACTCGTACAGAGCCAATCATTTTGTGATTGGTGGCTGGAATATGGGTTGTGCCCGCATCAGAAAAGGAGTGGGAATAGGCCCACCCTGCGGACTTACCGCTACCCTTGAAGCTAGTTACAACCTGAGAGTCCGCTGATGAACAGAATGAGAAATGCCTGCCCAATGTGCCTGTGTAGCCATAGCGGCTCCCTGTTTGTGATCTCGCACGGTTCCCACAAAGTGTCCATTCCACGACTGAGGGCCATCACGCCGAATGTTGTGTGAGACTGTGGTTGCTGTCACGCTGGCATCATGCGGGATGACAGCTTTCAATGCAAAGTCCAACTAGTTTTGATTCAACTCCTTTGCGCTTGTCAGTGCTCAGCCAAGAATGTCTTTCGACATCAAGCTTCACCAAAAATGTGGGCGGTCTATAGACCAGCACGAAACCAGCGATGAAAGAGCCTTGGAAAGCACTGGGATTATCATTGTTGTACAGTTAGGTCGAGCCCCGGCGTAAAGTAAAACGGTGATGGGATCAAGCGGAAGAACGTCGAGCCCCGTAAATCCGACCAACCTCACAAGCTGAGAGCTCATTTCTAAATGCAAGCAGCCATTTCTGTCGCCTTGAGCCAAGAATATTATCAGGAGTTCCGCGGGTTACGGTCTCGGGCAGGAAGCGTTCCCGAACTGTAACGTCAGAGGAAACTTGGACGATAATGGGGTCTTCCGAGAGGGCTGAAAACAGTGTATTCAGGTGAAGAAAAAAGTAGGAAGTCATTTGCAGCGGCCGCTCGACTGACAGCTTTATATATGGGCTGCCAGTGGGGCTTGCGTGGCTTCAAGGAGGCTTGGCGGATGATGTACCTCCCTCAGATTCTGTTGGGGATATCTCACATTCACTTGTATTTCATATTATATTGCAGATATAATCGCGCCGTGTTATGGGACTGGGGCCTAGGTCCCATTAGCAAGCAGTCCTTGACTGAAAATCAAAACTGTAATGCGTCTATGGCCCGTTCCTACCCTTCTGGAGCTGGACTTGGAGCCTTCACCAGCGGACTTAGAGCCTTTACCCGCGGACTTAGAGCCTTCACCGCGGACTTAGAGCCTTCTGGACCAGCCTTCTACTATTAGAGCCGTGGCCAGCCTTGTTACTACCCGTAGCTGCAGAGGTCTTCTTCACTGGTTCTTCCACACCCTCTCACCGCCGTTGCCACCATTGCCATCGCCATTGCCACCGCCATTGCCACCGCCATTGCCGTGGCCAGCCTTGTTACTACCCATAGCTGCCGTGGGATTCCGTGCGGATGAAGTTGAACATACCCTGATTGCCAGACCAGACAGGGAAATGGGAATCCCAATCGTCTTGTAATGCGGCTGATCTGCGGTCCTTTGACACCAGAAAGAAGTGTAAACGATTCAAGGCGGCGATGCCTGAACGAGAAGACCCGAGTGCAGGGGTTGTAACTTATCAGAAGTTCACTCGCTTATTTCGAAAAAAGGTGTATGGGAAGTGTTACATAGCGTACGCTATGGACATAGAAGCTGCAGTGAATGCGTCACCAGCTTATGTCCCCGCAGATGAGCGCAATCGCGCCGAACCAGAGCCAGAGGTTCAGATGTGCGAAGCTACAGGACAGAAGGTTGACTTGGGCGTGCCATTGGATCACCTTCTATATCCAACGTTAGAGAAGCACGTGGATGGTTTGTTTGTCGAGCACGCAGAGTTGCCGTCCAATAGAGGAGAGGATGATTTCCATATCAAGCTGGAGCCTGGTACGAAACCAGTCTTTAATCCTTTACGGCATATGAGCGAAGCCGAACTCAAAGAGCTGAATGAGAAGGTTACTCTCATGCTCGAGTGTTGTTGGGTTCAACACGCAGAGCCCGTGGGGCATGGCAGTGTTTGTCGGGGATATCTCATTTCACTTGTATTTCATATTATATCTCTTTACTTCTACTTGATCCGAGACCAGGGCTGGCCACCCGAGCTCTCGGTGAACTTAGCAGTAGTCGGCAGAGGAAGCAGATGACTGAGCGAACTCTATGTAGTGTGCAATGCTGTACTGTGAAGTATGTATTGTCTTATATAGAAAAGTCTTAAGTGTAAAGAGGACGCGAGGTCCGAAGGGAAGGAAAGAGTGAAGTCCCGTACGCGGAAGCGTGGCGTAAGTGGGAGGGGAGTCACGTGAGGAAATAAACTACGGGAACCCTAACCGGGGACTCGGGAGGATGATACCTCCAACACCCCCACTCAAACTCACGAGTCTATCTAAGTGAAAGATAAATCTAAACAATGAGTACAATGGTGTGGCCGTACGCGAAAAGCGGGCGGTCGGGGGGATGAATAGCTATGACTAAAAATGAAAGAAATGAAAGAGTAAAATGAAAGAAGAGGGAAACGCCGCGAGTATAAAACAAGAGACAGCTGTCAGTTGCCCCAGAGAGGTAGGACCAACGTTCCCCATACTCAACTACCGTATCCCAGACTACCACACGATACGCGAGACAATGGCAAACGGAGGCAAGAACGGCGGGAGTGGCAAGAAGAGTGGCGACGGCAAGAAGAAGCAAACGGCCCGTAAGACGGGAGCGCCCGCAGCCCCTCCAGCTGCACCTCCTCCGGGACCCTCACGTCCGACTACACGCTCTACGCGCGCATCGTCCGCAGCGTCCGCAAGCGACTCTTCGATGTTGAAAGCCCGAGTTAGAGAAGCTCTTTGATTGGCAACGGAGGTATCGACGTTGAGGTACCGCAAGGATAACCATGAGAACCTTGCGAAGCACCTGGCGTTTACAAAGGCGAAGCTGGATCGATCGAAGCAAAAGAAGGGGTTGTTCGAAGCATTGATGGAGGAGGTGTTGGGGATATCTCATCTTCACTTGTATTTCATATTATATCTCTTTACTTCTACTGGATCCGAGACCCGGGCTGGCCACCCGAGCTCTCGGTGAACTTAGCAGTAGTCGGCAGAGGAAGCAGATGACTGAGCGAACTCTATGTAGTGTGCAATGCTGTACTGTGAAGTATGTATTGTCTTATATAGAAAAGTCTTAAGTGTAAAGAGGACGCGAGGTCCGAAGGGAAGGAAAGAGTGAAGTCCCGTACGCGGAAGCGTGGCGTAAGTGGGAGGGGAGTCACGTGAGGAAATAAACTACGGGAACCCTAACCGGGGACTCGGGAGGATGATACCTCCAACACCCCCACTCAAACTCACGAGTCTATCTAAGTGAAAGATAAATCTAAACAATGAGTACAATGGTGCGGCCGTACGCGAAAAGCGGGCGGTCGGGGGGATGAATAGCTATGACTAAAAATGAAAGAAATGAAAGAGTAAAATGAAAGAAGAGGGAAACGCCGCGAGTATAAAACAAGAGACAGCTGTCAGTTGCCCCAGAGAGGTAGGACCAACGTTCCCCATACTCAACTACCGTATCCCAGACTACCACACGATACGCGAGACAATGGCAAACGGAGGCAAGAACGGCGGGAGTGGCAAGAAGAGTGGCGACGGCAAGAAGAAGCAAACGGCCCGTAAGACGGGAGCGCCCGCAGCCCCTCCAGCTGCACCTCCTCCGGGACCCTCACGTCCGACTACGCGCTCTACGCGCGCATCGTCCGCAGCGTCCGCAAGCGACTCTTCGATGTTGAAAGCCCAAGTTAGAGAAGCTCTTTGATTGGCAACGGAGGTATCGACGTTGAGGTACTGCAAGGATAACCATGAGAACCTTGCGAAGCACCTGGCGTTTACGAAGGCGAAGCTGGATCGATCGAAGCAAAAGAAGGGGTTGTTCGAAGCATTGATGGAGGAGGTGTTGGGGATATCTCATCTTCACTTGTATTTCATATTATATCTCTTTACTTCTACTGGATCCGAGACCCGGGCTGGCCACCCGAGCTCTCGGTGATACGTTACATAAGGCGCCAAGCCTCACTGAAGCCACGCAAGCCCCACTGGCAGCCCATATATAAAGCTGTCAGTCGAGCGGCCGCTGCCAAGAGCTCCTTGCTTTTTTCTTCACTACAATACACTGCTCTCAGCCCTCTCAGAAGGGCCCAGAATCGTCTACGTTTCCTCTGACGTTACAGGAGGCAGACTACCTTGGATGTA